TAGGAACATTAAGCCCTGTATTACAATATTATTAAAAAAATATAAATTGATAGAAAATACATACAAGAAGGTAGATAAATTTGAGGACGCGAGAGTTCTCTTATTTCAGGAATTTCATAGATGCTACTTTCATCAAGAGAGATGGCTTCCAAGAAAAAAGTGTTACTATGTTGATCTTCGACGACTTTATTGGCTATAACTTTAAGTATTTCTGAACTAATAGGATGTTCATAGTCTGCGACAGAATATTGCTAAAAATTCATGTTAGATGCATGTTATTAGAGAAAAGATGTTTACATTAATTAATTTTTGTATTTGTACAGGTGTTAAAATCCAACATACATCAAAGATGATTCCAATATCTTCTATAGTTGATTTCTTAAGTTGAAGCAACTTTGTGACTTGCATAAGATGTTCCAATTGTAAAATTCCCTCGGGTAAATCATGGTTTTTACACCTACAAAAAAGTTAAGACGATTTTTTTCTTTTTTTAATAATTACCATTCTTCAATACGACACGCGTTATAGTGTATTTGTAAGCCTCTTTTCCAGGACAAAAAGTTTCTTCTAATTACTTTTAAAACATAATATAAAAAATAGGAAAGCATTAACCTCATAAGTAAATCATTAAAAGCAGTTACTCCAACAAGTTTTAAAAGCTCATTAATAGCTTGTTTATGTATACTGTGTTCCAGATAATATGACTTTGTAGCTCTATATACCCTATTGAATAAACTAAGAAGATCATCCATAGTGAATTGAGGATTATTTGTTCCTTGGAGTAATTTATTAAAAAATTTGTTTCCATCTGTAGTAATGAATCCAGGAAGAGATTGAGACTCAATTATTGCTGGAACTATCATTTTATGTAATCTTTTTTTGACCTCTTTCATCCATGTATGATAAATATTAAATTCTAAGTTTTCTAGATCATGTTTTATTAACGAGATTAACCGATTGTATTCTTCCCATTCTGTATCTGTCATTTCTATAGTAATTCGATACAATATATCATTTTCTGCTATAGATATAAAAGATAATACTTCATGAACATTAGAAAGCCAAAACATGTCGAAATCTATAACATCTTTCTCATCATGTTCTACCACTACTTGTTGTATTGTTTGCATAACATTTGTTAAAAAATCCTCAGATTCCTTAATAAGTCCATATTTCCACATTTTAAATGTAATAAAATTTATTAAATAAGCAGGAAACAATATTTCTTTACGAGGTAAAGAATTTTGTATGCTTGGTTGGGGAATTTTAAGATTCTTAATTACTTCTACCATAATTTCATTATTAAGCACATCATTATTTTTAATTATATACACAAACTATAAATATTAGCTTATTAGCAACTAATAAAAGATTACCTCATGATTTATATCTTTAATTGACGCATATGAAGTTTTAGGCATTTCATTATTTAACATGTTTTGTTTTTTTGGCGGAGATAATGGAAACAAGATAGATGCTGGACGCTGTTTGTGGTCTGTCTTTTGTCCATATAATAGTTTCCCCTCAAAATAATTATTTTCTTTATTAGAACCAGGTGAAATATTTTGCCGTTTTGTATATAGTTTAGAGGGGCTTGTAGCAAATTGTTTAGTATTACTTATAAATCTTGTAGAACCATTTGGTCTAAAGCCAAGAGGTGCATTCTTACCCATCGATAGTCTATTAACTTCATCTTTAAGATATTCTATTTCAATTACAAGGTTGGAACGTGCATTTTCATATTCAGCCTTTTGAGAAAGTGCAGATTCAAGTTCTGTCGATTTATTAAAAAGAGATTCCCTTAAAATATTGCTTTCTTCATTTAACTTCTTAAGATTGACCTTTGATATGCTTAGCTGTTTCTTCAATGCATGTATTTCTTGCTCTAAATCGAATGCTTTTTCTAATGCTTTATTTGCATTGTTTAAATTATTTTCAAGGTTATTGCGTTCTTCTTCCCATTTTTCACTTTTTGTTTTCCATGTATTATTGAGATTCTCTAAATCCTCTATTTGTGCTAATAATAATTTGTTTTCTTGATGTTTTTTAGATAAATTATGGGTAAGTTCTATAACTTTATTCTCTAGTTTATATGATACTTCCTTGAAATGGCTAAGAGATTTGGCCTCAATGCGTAATCTTTTTAATTCATCTTTTGCTTTTTTGCGTCTCCAACATGATTGTATGCAAACTATTCGTTTGTATTGTATTTTATACTTTTTACGGGCAATACTGAAATTGTTATTTGAAAAATAATATTAAATAAGTAATGCTTACTATCTTTTCCATAAAGATTGTATTTTTGTAGCTGTTTTCTCCTTTCTTAAAGCAAGAACTTTCTTTTTTATAAGATAACAGCGCACAACTAAATCGCGTTAATTTACAATTAATTAATAATATAAATAATACCCGATTGTAATAGAATAATTGCGTTCCTTGTTTTTCTGTATAAATTCTGCGAATAATAACGTCTCCAGGCCGTTTGTAATTTCAAAGCAGCTAAATTACACTTCATTTCATATGCTTTTTTGCGTATAGAAAACCCTCTAGCATAATTCTGAAGGAGAATGATAGATTTTCGAATCCTAATATAACGTTTACGATACATATAAGAAAGCATATTTTTCTGTATCAATATAGCACATTCATTTAAACGATTAAGACGAAGATGTTCAAAATATGCCAACTATTGTTTGTTAAATAAGGAGAAAGTATAATAAAGTAAATATTACCATTCCTGCTCGAAAAAATATTTTTGTTAAACCAATTTGATATTTATTTGAATCATCAACTGTCTTTTCTAGAATTTCTATGCTAAGTTTTTTAGCTTCATTATTCCAAAAAGATGAATGAACAAGTATATAGTATCTAATTGTTTAAGTAAAAAGAATGTTGTAATCTTTTTCCTACCTAGAAATAAATTCTTGAAATGTCCATCTACCTGGAAAGCCTGCTGAACTTATTCTAATTGTTTCCAAAACACCGCATGCACGAAGCTGGCTCAAAACCAACTTTGGTTCAAATTTCCAAGAAACTTTCTCATCATTAGGTTTAATGCATCGTATATAATGAACATTAGTCGAATTTATAGTATCCATTAAGCCAATTAAAGAAGATTTAAATATTGAACCTAACGTTGGCTTTTTTAATAAGGAATTAACTGGTTTAGACGTGTTATTTTGAGATCCATATTGATTCTACAAATTTATAAGTAAATAATTATTTGAATAGCAAATAATTACTTTTTCTTGGAAAGCTAGAGATGATAAAATTATTTCTTTCACAAAATTATTGGTAGTTGAATTTAATAGGTTTAATAAATCATCTGAAATGGTGTCTTTATTTTTCTCAATAAAACCATCAGACTGATATGTCACTTCTAAGGCGTAATGGCAAATTGTAAATGAAGACATTCCGAACCTCGCTTTTCTAAAATAATTCTGATATGTTGGGATGGTAAAATTCTTAACTAGCTTAGTAACAAAGGATTCATCAGATCCAGCAGGTAACCTGCTCTCCTATTGAAAATTAATAATAGAAGAAATATAGAAATATTATAAACCTCATCAAGAAGAGATAATATTCCCAGTCGCGATTCAATAAGATCAATGCAAGGTTGGTTATCGGAGAAATCAATAAAAGTCCAATTAATTTTTTCTCTGATATATTCTTCCTGTTCGAGTTTAAATACATGCTGAGTAAACTATTTACCATTAAATTAAACATAAAGAAATAAAGTTATAACCTCCTGCTGTAATTTTTCATTAGCATAATTGATACAAAATTGTTCAAAAGAATTTATATCAAAATGCTCAAAACCATAAATATCAAGTACACCGATAAACGTTTTCGTCTTGATTTCATCTTTTGTTTTAAGAATGCAATTTATAGAATTAATTAACCAATCAAAAAGAGAAGAATACAAAAACTTGGATACGGAATCACGAACAACAATTGCTTGTTTTTGATTAAGATCTGTAATAATTTTCTCGTTGCGTGTATTTATTTGCTTTTTAACAATCCATTTCGCAAATTGTACATTATCTATTCCGAGTAATTTGCAAACGAATTCTACAGTAGCATCGGATGCTGATAATAATGCATTATTCCTTAATGCCTGAATCTTCACATTCCCTAAATGTAGTAAAGCTGCTAATACTTTAAAAATATCATTCTGAACTTCATCGGTGATCCCCATTGTTTTTAACGCATTTCTGGTCATAATAAAATCATTTAAATCATTAATTCCAGGAATGGTAGAACTTTCGCCCTGATTTAAATAATGAAAATCACTTGGATCTTTTAGACCAAATTCTTCTTTCTCATTTTCCGTTGCTCCAAAACAAAGCTTAAACAATTAAATTGTATCCTTTAAGAAAAAAAAAAAAAAATAGTAAATTTACCTGATAAAATATATGATAATTTCGTTCATTTTTAGGTTGAAAGACTATACGAGATCTTTCAAGAAGATATGTCCGAATTCTTGCCCCTACTATTTCTGCGTTATTATCGAAATTAATCTAATAATATTAATAATATGGCTAGGAATTATTTAAATCACCTCAATATATTTTCCAAATCTAGATGAATTATCATTACGAATAGTTTTTGCATTTCCAAACGCCTCTATAACAGGATTTGTAGCTAATATTCGCTCTTCTGTTTCACTCATTTCAGATTTGATATTTTTGAGTTCTCGATTCAATGATCTTTCTGGATCTTCAACCGTAGCAAAATATCTCATAATATATTTGGCTGATACCGTTTTTCCTGCTCCACTTTCTCCTGAAACAACAATCGTCTGATTTATATTATCGCGAATCATACATCTATATGAATCTTCTGCAATAGCAAAAATATGAGGTTCAAGTTCTCCTTTATTTTTCTTCGAATACGTTCGAATAATATCGTTCGAATATAGCGCTATATTCTGAAAAGGATTCACTGCTATCAAAACAATCCCTGAATATGTATATATTTGAAGTTGTGAATATCGCATTTTAATCGTATGTAAAACTATTAAAATTATTAGCAAAATCCCCTTATTCAATTCATTTACTTCCCAGATGGCTCGTTTAAATATGATAAATTAATTAAATCTTCTGTTGCTTCAAGCATAGGAGGATTTCGTAATTGAAGAATTGACGAATTTTCCATTACTTTGAAATCTTCTTCTTTCGTTTTAACCACATGTTCCTATCAAATAAAACGTTCAATTCCGTTCAAAATTCCTTTCTTTTTACATAGTTTTAATTCAGAATTTAATCATTCTCTTTTAAACCATGTTTATCATATAAAAAATTACCTTTCCATTATCATCCAAAAAAATTAATTTCAAAATCCCTTCTTCAACTGAATGTTCTTTATATTCTGCTGATATCCAGGCCTCTTGATCATCATGAAACCAACAATGTCTAAAAAATCCTTTTATTTCTAAAAAAAAAAAATCTTTCGCCTTACGTTCCATTAAGAAATGTTTCATCTATCATATTTATCCTTTTAATTTCCCTTTTTTCCCTATATTATCCTATTTATTCTTTAAGACTTTTCTTTTAAAAAAAAATCCCTAAAAATACTCAAAATTGCTCGTTTTTTTTCGTTCAAAAAACACTCTTTCAATCTTTTTGCTAATCCTTAGCTATATTTTAATAAAAAACGCTTCTTCCTGGCGTTTTTCCTTCTAAAAACTCCCTTCAAAATCTTCCTCTCGTGCTAGTCGTGATGGTAAATCTCGCGTTTGGCGTTCAGAATAAATGCACTTTCGCGTATATCACGTGATTTTTATTTAAAAAAAGTCACGTGACTTGGCCCTTTCTATATTATAAAAATCATAAATAAAATCCTCCTATTTTATAGTTTTTAAGATATTTTTTAATTAGTTTTAAATGTATTTTGATAATTTTGTTAATGAAATTGTTGAGATTTATTTTTTAAAAATAAATCAGTTTTTTCCGAGAAAAAAAGCCGTCTCGCTTAAGGTTTTGTATTTTATCGAGACGTCAGCTTAATTAAAGAGGTATATTTGATAGGAATAAATGGTTAATATAGGGCTAATTGATATAGAAATATAAGATTTAATAATAATTGAAAGATAAAATAAATTTTCTTGAGAAAAAAAAGCGAAAGAAATGTCAGAAAATTTGAATATATGTAATAAAAAAATGATGGAACGTCTTGCACCAACACCACAGAATACGCCGGCAGGAAATAATATTTCTATTATTTCAGGGTCTAATGTATCATGTGGATCAGGAGGAGGAGTAGTTTCATCGTCAAAAGATGATCGAGAAGGTTTTTTTATGAAGAATAAAGTATAACGATTTAATAAGGAGGATAGATCCGCCAGTATCAGGACGTAGTTCATTATCGTGTGGACCAGGCCTAGTATCTATGATTCAGGGGAAATTAGGGACATTGGTAGGTCAATCGTCGGGTTATATTGAATCGTTACCGTTATCGGTGAGAATTCGAGTGGAAGGGTTACAAGGTCTTCAAGCAGAGCATTCTAAGCTTGAAGCGCAATTTCAGAATGAAATATTAGAATTGGAGAAAAAGTATCATGAACTGTGTTCTCCTTTGTATCTTAAACGCTCAGCTATTGTTGCTGGTGCAATGGAGCCTACAAATGAAGAGATTGAAGCAGGTCGTGAATTTGGAAGAACGTATGATACAAATAATAAGAAAGGGGATGTTGAGAATAAAAAAGGAGGAATGGATAATGATGTTAAGGGTATTCCTGAGTTTTGGTTAACAGCAATGAAGAATCATCCATCATTAGCGGAAATTATTATGCCAGAGGATGAGAAGGCATTATCTCATTTGGTAGATATTCGGTTAGCGTATCTTGATAGACCGGGGTTTAGATTAGAGTTTTACTTTTCAGATAATGAGTTTTTCTCTAATAAAATAATTAATAAAACGTATTATTATAGAACAGAGTTAGGTTATGGTGGCGACTTTCTCTATGATCATGCAGAAGGGGATAAAATTGATTGGAAAGCGGGTAAAGATTTGACAACAAAAATTGAGATCAAGAAACAGCGTAATAAAAGTAAATATTTGTAGTTTTATGGGCAATGTTTTTTAATGTTTTATAGATACAAGGCAAATGCGTGTTGTGAAAAAGGTTGTTCAAACCGAAAGCTTTTTTAGGTTTTTTAGTCCTCCTGTAATTTCAGATATTCAAAATGATGATGATGATTCGGATATCGATAATCGACTTGAGGCTGATTATCAATATGGTGAAGATATTAAAGAAAAGGTGCCTTTTTTTTCTTCTTTTCTAATCATTGACTTATTATGTAAAGCTAATTCCTAGAGCAATTGATTGGTTTACTGGCGTTGCTTTAGCTTATGAAGATGAATATAGTGACGATGATGATCAAGATTATACTGATGAGGAGGGAAATGATGATGATGATGACGATAATGATGATGACGATAATGATGATGACGATGATGATGACAATGATAATGACAATGATAATAATTTAGATTGCAAAGACGCTAATAAGCCTAAGCAAGATCCTGCTGAATGCCGTCAGTCATAATATTTTCTTTTAAAATTTTCTAAAAATATCAATTTAAAAAATTAGGTTTAAAATGTCTTTTATTTATCATTATTTGTTTTGTCTTATTTTAGAATCTTTTTTTTAATTTTGATAGTCATTATTTATTAAAATTTAAAATTAGTTTAATAAAAATATTAAAACTTTTATTTCTTTAATTCTAATCTTTATTTACTCTAGATTTTACATGATTATATTAGAATTTGAATATTTTATTTAGGAAATATATTTCCCTCTTAAAATTTTATCATTTTTAACTTTTATTTATAAATTTAATATAAATTTCCCTCTTTTTCATTTATTATACTAATATAATAAATATATATCTACATAAAATAAAATTTTACAATTTTTATAAAATAAACTATTATTTTCTACTTTTTTTAAACTAAATTCAATCATAAATCTTTTTATTTCCTTTCATTCTTTAAATACTCCAACTACTATCTCATTTTTTAAAATTATACCTTTTATCATTTTTTTCTAAAATTTTAAAATCTAATAAAACTATAACTCTCATCTTTCATAACAATTCTTCAATTTCTTTATATACAATTCAAATACTCTTCTTTATACATTTAATCTTATCTATATTTCTTCTATTCTACTGATCTATCTTTAAAACATAAAATATATACTTTTTATTCAAAATCATATACATATTTACATAAAATTATAGGATAACTCTTCCAATTGCTTTTGATCTACCATTATTTTTTGTATGTTTCTTCACCTATCTTCTACCGTTCAATGCCCTATATCAACCTCATTTTTTCAAAATCTCAGCTTTAACAGCCAAAATGATTACTAAACGATTGATAAAGGACCTCTTTAGATATGATTCATATAGTATACGTTGTTTTAGTTCATTTTTTGCTGCTCGTCAAAGTTTATATGATGAAACATTGAAAAACTTGCGTTTAACTAAAGAATCAAAAGTAATATTCCAAGGTTTTACTGGGAAACAAGTTGCTATATATTCTTCGTTTGATACTATTCGGTTTTGATACGATTTATAGGCAACATTTCATGCGCAACAAGCAATAGATTATGGTACATGTGTAGTTGGAGGTATAAATGGAGAAAAGAGGTTTTTTGAGGGTTAAAAAAGTAAAGGAATAAACCCGAAGAAGGCGGGAACAATGCATCTTTCTCTTCCAGTCTTTAAAGATGTTAAAGAAGCTATGAAAAATACAAAAGGTGTTTTGAGATATATTTTTTTATTTTGAATATGAATTAATGGGAAATAATATGAAGTGGACATTTCAGCTATTTTTGTTCCGCCACCTCTTGCAGCAGAAGCAATTATAGAAGCAATTGAAGGGGAGGTTCCTCTTATTGTGGCTATTACAGAAGGAATTCCGCAATATGATATGATTCGTATTAATCAAATTCTTAAAGTTCAATCTAAAACACGGTTAATTGGACCTAATTGCCCAGGAATTATTGCTCCAGGCCGTTGTAAGGTTGGAATTATGCCTAGCCATATTCACAAACAAGGAAATGTTGGAATTGTTTCTCGATCAGGGACATTAACTTACGAAGCAGTTAATCAAACAACAAATATTGGGCTTGGTCAAAGTTTAGTTATTGGAATTGGAGGGGATCCATTTCCGTAAATAATTTTTATATTTTTATATTATATTAATTATTTAAAGAGGAACTAATTTTATTGACGCCTTGAAATTTTTCTTAGAAGATGAAGAAACAAAAGGAATTATTATTATTGGTGAAATTGGAGGATCAGGTATAACTATATAGATATATTTTTTTTTCTAAATATTTTATTAGCTGAAGAGGATGCAGCTGAATTTTTGAAGGAGGCAAATCTTTCATTATCATCACCTAAACCAATTGTTTCTTTTATTGCTGGGGTATAATATTTTAATTCATTATTTTTTTTGAATTTACTTCTTATTAGATTTCAGCTCCTCCTGGGCGTAGAATGGTATTTTATTCTATATTATAATATGATTATTAACATATCTTTAGGGTCATGCTGTAAAATATTAAAAAATCTAAAAATAATATTCTAATCTTTATAAATAGGGCGCAATTGTAACAGGAGGAAAAGGAACGGCAAATACTAAGGTAATTTTCCTAAGTAAAATAACAATTTAATATTTTAGATATCTGCTTTGGAAAAAGCTGGCGTTATTGTATCCAAATCTCCTGCTCGTCTAGGAACCCTTTTATATGATGAATTCGTAAAACATGTTAGAAAAATTAATATTTTTTGTATTTTACCATTTTTAATATAAATATAGGGACTTGTTTAAAAAAAAATTATATAAAATATATTTGCATATATTATTTTCAGGGCAAATAATAAATATTAACTCATCATTCTAGATGAAAATGTTTTATATATATAGATTCAAATGCTTCCCTTATTATATCAATATCCTTTCCCTGTCCAGATTCTATCATATTTATTAACCTTTTCTTAGCTTCTCGTAATTCATGTAATCTTTCAAGAATATAACTTTTACCATATGGGCTAAAAATAACCCATCCAAGATTCCATGTCTTTTTATAATGTTTCCATCTGTCATAAAAACCATCAACTATCTATATATTTATTAAAATATTAATATATATATATATATTTGTATACTTTATTATAATAATTATTCTTAATAATAATAATACTTAAAGAAATTGTTTCACTTAATGAATGAAATGCAAAGATTTTGCGTATAGTAATATATATATATATATCTATTATTATAAAAACAAGAAATCCTATTAAAATCTTATTTTGAGCCTAAATATTAATGTTAATTCAAAAATATATAATAAATAAATACCTTTGATTCATCAAACTTTTGTATTTTTTCAACTAGGAAACCTTAAATTATCATTAAAATGTATTAAAATTCAATTTTCATTACATATTATATAAATTGGTATATGAATAAGAATTATAGGCAACACAAGCAAAATATGTATCATTAAAAAAATCGTCATTTGAATAATTTGAAATAAAACCCATTTCCTAGATATCGTATGCAAATTAATAATATCAACAGCTTCTATACATGATAATTTTAGAGCTTTCAATTCTTTTTCTAAAATATTATATAAATCTGAAATATCATTATGAGAAGGATCTAGTCGTTGCAATTCGAAGATATTTATAAAACTAATATATATTAGAATTATTTTCTTTTTTTTTTTAAAAATGTACCTTTGTGTTATTGATATATAATCTTTTGCATTAATATTTTTATTATCTCCAAATAATATAGTCCGTGAAAATTCTGAAATTCTTAATATATCCCTTTTATCTACTAAATAACTTATTCAATAATTATCTATATTTACCAATTTTTTGCATTAATAGTGATTTTCCATAGTCTTTCTTGAATAACTTTAGTTAATTTTTTTACCGTATTTTTAGGTTCTATTAAGAAATCATCTTTATACATTCCAATGTGAATAGGCCTTCCATATCTAATAATATTAAAGTTAATTGCACCCAAAAAACATCCCCTACGTAACAATTATATTACTTCGATATTTAGATTTTTCAAGATATGTTATTCCAACTGGAAGAAGCGTCACATCATTTAGCTTATCAATCATTCTTGTTGGATTTTCCTTATGATTAAACATATTATATTTATATTGAAGTGCAACCCATGATCCACCATCTTTTAAATCAAGAAGATGAGGACTAGTATGTGATGTACCTAATTATTATTATACATTTATATATCTAATCTACCTTTATTCATACATACCTTCTGGATAAATAACCAATGTTTCTAATTCTTTCATCGCATTAAATGTAATTTCAAAAAGTACACGATTATTCTTTGTTTCTCTGTCTATTTTAATAATTAAAAAACCATACATATAAATTCCCATTAAATATATTGATCTTTCTTCATTACCTACTGGAATTACCCCCAATTTATTAAGAATTTTCGTCACAATTGGGTTAATTTTAAAAATAGAACTTTTTGCCTAAAAATACTCATTCATACTCCAATTAACTAACATATATCTATCATCTATACCCAGAATCGAACCTGTCTAGGAAAGGTTGCCGCAACTATAGCTATATCTATCATCTTTTTACCCATCAATCTCCCTTCTTTTTTTCCATAAAAAATCTACTTCCCATGTTTGTATGCGTACAAAAAATAATAACCGGCTTCTTAAAGTCAATAATTTCATGTTCAATAACTAATTTCCTCAAATTAACCCCTTCTTTCCCCTTATTTTAGACAAAATTTATACCCGTAATTGACCCATAAAATCCACGTAATAATAGCCTATAACAACCAATATAAGCAAACAAATATCTCCAATTCTTTCTATTCTATCTACTTACTTTGATAGATACCGGAAAATAAGGTATAAACAGGAGAATCCCATGTTATATGCACTTTTTACTTTTTTTTGACGTCGATCTGCAGGCTCCACGCGCGTCATAAAAATTCATGAAGAGGGGATTATCTATTTTGACAGATGATGAGGTTATATCAGAGGATCAGAAGGAGAAATACGTAGAAAATCAGTTAGAAATATCATCAGAACCAAATAAACTAAAAAAACTGGATTTAAAGTGAGTTATTAGGAGTTAAATAAGGGATGATTAATATTATTTAGTGAAGAAGAAAAAAGAGAAGAAGAAGGGGCAGAAACGGTGATAACGTGTCATTTTCCAACGGAATGTATGTATCAGCCTAGAAGATTTAAGTCTTTTTCGGCATATGAAGCGCATTATCAGAAACAACATTGTAATGTGTGTTTTGAGTGTAAAAAAGTGTTTCCATCATTAAGAATGATGGAACTTCATATTTCAGAAGTACATGATCCTATATTTTGTTTAAAGAAAGAAAGAGGAGAAAGAATAGTATGGGTTTTATGTATTTTTTTTTTGAAGAGAAATTGATGGGTAATATATAGTTTAAATGTTTTATTGAAAGTTGTCAAGAATTATTTATGAATGTGAAAAAAAGAAAGAAACATTTGATGAGAGAACATTTTTATCCAAAAGCTTTTTAATTTTTGGATGATAGTCGATATGTTTTCTAATATGAGTGTATAGGAATATCATTTCGATGTGATTTATACAGGGATTTCATCAAGAAATACGAGTCTTCTTGTATCATCAAAGAAAAATGTGAAAAAGAAACCAAAACCTAAAAATTTGGAAAAAATGCAACAAGATTCTGAAATAGAAAAACTTGTAGATAAAATGACAACTACACGACTTGTTTCATCGAGTATACGATTTGTAGGCGGTAGAAATAAATAACTTATAGTTATTTTTATTTTTAAAAATGAGGAGTTTATTAATAGAAGAAACTAATTTTAAATAATTAAAGATATAATATGGTACAAAATTATTGAAAGAATTATAGAGTATGATGGTATTCTATCAATTCATTTTTCTAATCTATTATTTTTAGTTAATGAGGAATTTTTAATACCGATTTCGATTGAAGTTTTTGACATTTAAAAAATGGTTAAAGAATATGTTCTTTTTGGCTTAGGTATGGACATATATTTTATGAAATATTTATGCTAAGATTTTATTTCAGGAAACCCATTATTAGATATCCAAGTTAGAGATAATGGTTTTCTTAAAAAGTGATATAAAATAAATATATTAAATATTTATTAAAAAGAACTAGATATGGATTAAAACCCAATGATTCTATTCTTTCAGAGGAGAAACATATGATGATTTATCAGGAAATATCAGAGCTTTCAGATGCTCAATATATTGCAGGAGGGTCAGCTCAAAATACACTTCGTGGAGCTCAAGTATATTAATATATATTATATTTAAATATTTTAAAATATGATAGTATGTTCTTCCTGAAAATTCTACTGTATATGTTGGATGTGTTGGAAAAGATCAATTTGCAGAACATTTAAAATCTGTTTCAAAACAAGAAGGATTAAGAGCAGAATATTTAGTAGATGCTACTACACCTACAGGAGTATGTGCTGTTATATTAAGTGGTAAAGACAGGTATTTTTTTTTTTCCTTTAAATTGCTTCATTTAAACATCTTAAGGTCATTAGCAACACGACTTGCTGCTGCTAGTAATTATAATATTGCTCATTTAAAATCTCCTAGAATATGGGCTCTTGTTGAAAACGCTGATTATTATTATGTCGAAAGTTATCAATTTTCATCTTGTATTTTATCTGTAATTTCTTTATCAGAGGAGGCAGCTATGAAAAATAAGGTATTTATATTCTCTAAGTAATAAAAAAAAATAACCTTTAAGTTATTCATTATGAATTTATCTGCCGAATATTTATGTCATGTATATAAAGATGTAATGGACACTTTGTCCCAATATTGGGATTGTTTAATTGGCAATGAAACTGAAGCCATTGCTTTTGCCGAAGCACATGGTTTAAAGGTCTCTTAAATTATTTCATTAAAACAAATATACTTAATTCTATTAGACAAAAGATACTATAGAAATTGCTTTGTATATTGCTCGGTTGCCTAAAAAAAATACTCGTCGACCTAGAATCGTAGTTATTACTCAAGGATCTAGGGATGTCGTTTTTGTTGAATCTTTCAATGGAAGAATAGTAATAAATCAAACTCCTGTTCCAACTATTCCAGACGATCAAATTGTAGATACAAATGCTGCTGGTGACGCTTTTGCTGGGGGTTTCGTTGCTGGTCTAATTTTAGGCTATTCCCTTGAAAAATCTGTTCGATGTGGTATATGGTTAGCACAGCTCTGTATTAGACAAAGCGGTTCTACATATCCTTTTCCAAAACAAGTGTTTCATGATCAAGATGATTAATTTTTAAATTTCTTATTAAAATAATAAAACTTTAACAAACATATCAAATTCTATCATATATATATATATATATATATATATTTCTTATTAAATCAAAAAAAAAAACAATTCTATACTTTTATAAACTAATTTAATCAATTATATCTTTATTATATTATAATCTTGTTATTTATTCACTAAGGTCTAACCCTTAGTTTTTTCCTCTATTTTTTACTGCTGACATCGATCAGACGCTTAAAATTTAACCTCACATAAAGCAGATAAAAAATGGGACGAGTTATTCGGGCTCAGAGGAAATGGTAAGTCCTTAAAACCTTTTAAATATGATTGTATATGTTTCTGTTTGAGTTGCATCTTTTTTCCCGCTTTTTTTTGAGAAAATTTGAGCGATTTTTGGAGAAATAAAGAAATAAATATAAATAGTAAAAAATAAGGATAAAAAGCACGAGAAAAGGGATAAAAAGCATAGAAAATCGTTATTTTTCATATTAAAATTACCTATAATTCGTTTTTACTGATGGATTTTATGTTAGTGGTGGAATTTTTAAGGCACATCAACGACTAAGAAAAGGAGCAGCACTTCATCGTGTTTTAGATTATACAGAAAAACATGGCTATTATCGTGGAGTTATTAAGGAGATTATTCATGATCCAGGCCGTGGGGCTCCGTTGGCGAAGGTAATTTTTCGAGATCCATATAGATATAAAAAAAGAGTTGAAACGTTTATTGCGAATGAGGGGATGTATACAGGACAATTTATTTATGTAGGAAAAAAAGCGTCATTATCTATTGGAAATGTTTTACCATTGGGAAATATGCCGGAAGGAACGATCGCGAGCAATGTTGAAGAAAAAACGGGAGATCGAGGCTCATTAGGTCGATCTTCTGGAAATTATGTGATTATTATTGGACATGATCCAGAGAATGGGAAAACCCGTATAAAATTGCCTTCAGGTGCGAAAAAAGTGGTTGATTCTACATGTCGTGGTATGATTGGTATTGTAGCAGGAGGAGGAAGAATTGATAAGCCTATACTTAAAGCGTAAATAGTTTTTTTTTAATAAGGAGTATTGATTATCTTACATAAATATTAGTGGAAGAGCATATCATAAATATAGAGTTAAAAGAAATTGTTGGCCAAGAACAAGGGGTGTGGCAATGAATCCAGTAGATCATCCATTTGGTGGTGGTAATCATGTATGTTTTTTTATTATTTGAAAATATATATCTTACAGAATATATAGCAACACATTGGACATGCATCTACAGTTTCTCGTCGTGCACCTGCAGGTCAAAAAGTGGGTCTTATTGCTGCCAGACGTACTGGTTTATTACGTGGGAATATTAGAGTTAAGGATGTATAAAAATATTATATATTAATATTTTATTTTTGGCTCCTTTTTAAAAGCAGCATTATAGTTATATTGTACTATATTTGTTTTTTTAGAGGAATATTAATCTCAAATTAAACATTCTATTAGTTTTTAATTTAGTATTAAAACTTCAAAAATCTTAGTGATCCCTGTAATAAAAATGATATTATTTCATATTACTTTCTCTGTCTGATAAAGTACTTTATATCAATTTTTTGTTTTAATTTTTTTAATAATTATATATTAATATTCATATACTTTGTCTTATATGTATATATAAATATAAGCACGATCAAGTTAACAAAAAACATATTAAATATTATTCAAATAACTTAAATTTTTAGGAATTCTTTATTATTATATATGGACTCGAAATTTAAACTCTTAGCCTATTTTCTCATATATTTTCACTATTTTTGAAATATTTAGAAAAAAGGTAATAAAAGTTTATTAAATATATAAATAAATATATTTAATGATGTGTGAATTTCTTCATTAGAATGAGATTAAATATCTCGTATGTTGTTCTTTAATAAATAGCTTTTTAACTCTGAAAAATATTATTTTGAAATATAAAACAATGTAAAATACAAATTTTATATAACTAATCTTTTTAGGAAAAATAATTTATCAAGAAAATTTTCTAAATTTCTTTAATATAATTCCCTATATTTAATGAGTTTTTATTTAAAATCAAATAATATCAAATTAATTATTATTAATCATATACATATTTATAAATAAATATCTTCAATCCTATAAAAAAATACTATTTTTAAGTAAACGGGGGTATAATTTAGTTTCCTTTACTTAGTGAACTATATTTTTATTTAGACATTAAAAAACCGATTTAAAACGATACCCTTATTTATTGATCAAACCATTAGTCCTTATGCAATAAATAAGATGCAATTCTGCATAAAACAATCTATATCGATTGTACAAATATATAAACCATTGACATATATAATTTAAAAATATTAAAACATTTTCCCTAATATCCAAACACATAATTTAACGAACCATCCTGTTTTTCTATCTGGAGATGAAAAATCGTTCAAATCAATTTTTTTAGAATGAGTACGAAAATTATCAATTTCACCTCTTAAACTTTTTTGCAATTCTGTATCAAAAGTAATAATAAGAGCACTTGCTTCAAGATCTAACGAATGTGATCTACGACTAAAATTCGATGATCCAACAAAAGTTATATATGGTTTACGTCCTTCCGTTTTGTTTTCAGATGAAGGCATTATCCATAATCCTAATTGTTTTAGAATAATGAAAAAATAATTGTAATACTAATGTAAAACCTTTAGCATGATAGGTCCATCCTCCTTCACCATAACGTCCATTCTTCCATTCTTCCAAATGAATATTATTTTGTTTATTAGCCTTATAAACACTTAAAAGGAAACGTTCAGCCAGAAATGAATATGCTGAGGGAATCATTTTCGAAGGCCAGGCTGAATTATAAAATGAATTTGCCTATTATCTATTTATATAGGGAAAATAATAGAAAAAAGAGTACCTGTTGTGACGAAACGATAACACAACCCTTGGAACTAGATGTTAATAATCGTTTCGAATAATCCTTATGTGTATTAAAGTAACCAGATGTGAAAATCCAATCATAATCATTAGATTGATTAGAAAGAAAAGTATCCAGGGTTAAACAAATCCCTTTCTTCTCTGTCGAAAAATCATAAGGTTTAAAAATAGGCGAAAATTGAAATAAAGGATATACTATTGTAGAAAACACTTCATTTGTATTTATAGGTGTCGGTTTTAATAATTTTAATAAAGCAGATGTAGAATGCCTTCTAAAACGCTCAGGATCTTTGCTCGGTTCCGGGCAATTGGTGTCTTTTAACCATACTAATGCCACTTTTTCTGGCGAATCGCTAGGAACCACTTTGTACGATATCGATGATATAAATTGATGAATACTTGCATAAAAATCTGTTAATTGAGCAGACGAAAAAAGATGATAACGATCTTGACGATTCGTAAAATATTCATATGATAAATTTGCTCTAAAAATTAACTTTTCATCCATATATATAAATGATTTACCCTGATAATATCACTTCATCATCAAATCCATATATTTTCATATGCTGGACCCCCCAGCATTCATTAATTCTTGACGGAAGCATCTTCTTTAGCCCTGAAAAATTAGGCGTATGATACATACAAATATCAACTCGATGCTTCCCAAATAATGATATCAATGGAACTAAAAGTGATGCACCCGTAGGATTAGGTGCTTCACGCGTTCCCCGTAATGCATCCATTAATATCGATACCTTTAAATCCATATTTAATGAAAGAGCTTTGTGTAAAACAGTATACTGATTCATCATCAATTTTAAAAAAAAACGCTATAAAAACCAACAAGCTCATACTCCGATTTTCCTATATATAATGTAGATAAGAATACTCTTCTTTTAGCATTCAAAATCTTGTCTTTTAGTGTATAAAAGAACTCTTTTGGTTCAGTTAAAACTGTTATTTTTTCTTTGCTTAAAACAAATGACGGTGCAAATTGACTTAATCCTATCAAAAGATCCTCTAATACAGGTTCTGATGCTCGCATAATACCGCTTTTTATATCATTCTGTGCATTAGGGATCTGTTACATGTTAATCAAAAGCTATAAAAAACAAATCTAACCAGTTCCCGAGCAATAAGCCCTTTAAAAAACATCTATAAATATCTAATTTAGCGCATATAACAGGGAATATCTTGTATTTAACGCCTTATTGTGTACAAAATATATTGGGGGATTATTAAATAGTATCCAGCGAGCCGGCTATTATTAAATCGTAGACATAAAACGTGCATATATTCAAGAGAATTTATATAAAAAGTAAGAAATAAGCGCATATATATAGATATTAATGAATAAAAAGTGTCACACTTTCTAAGGACATTAAGAAACATTAAAAAGATCGGGTTGTATGCGTACGCGTAAGTATTATATATGCAGAAGAAGGGATTAATGCAGATAAAAATAGGCATCAAATGCAAACTATTGGGGACACGAAATATGGACGTCTTGTAGGAATGGATAGGTTCTTTTTTATGTGTATTTAATGTATAAATTGAGATATTTTTAGCTATGGAAATAAGTATTATGAAAATTTGGAAGAAGCGCCAAGTAATAATTTTTTTTTAAAAAAAAGGATTAATTGGATATTACAGATCGTACACGCTGGGTAGACTATAAATCGTCATTATTTGATGCGTCGCAAGTAGAACCTGGATGGTAAATATATATATATAAATATATATATATAAATATATATCTGGAAAAGATTTTTGTATTGACTCGGATAGGAATGCATGGCTTCGATATATGGTTGATGAAGCACCATCGGAAAGTAATACGAATGAAGGTTCTGTAAAAAAATTGGAACCATCTTGGAAGAAACCATTTCAACCGAATCTTACGTTTTCTCGTGGGGCTTACAAGCCATATAATACAGTTCTACCGAAATTTACAGAATGGACGCCAAATGTTAAGGAACGGGTGTCATAATTTGGGGTTCAAATTTTTATTTATGTTTGATTTAGTAGATAAATTATCTATTAAATCAAATATACAATATATATTTATTTCGGATGTTTAGAGGGAAAATAATAAGCAGGGTTAAATGAATTTCGTATTTTTTTTCTATATTCTATATGTTTTTTATATACATTTTTAAATGATATTAAGTCAAACAGTTTATCGAGATTTTAGACGGTAGAAAGTGATAGAAAAATAAAATATACTAGATAATAGGGAGAACACAGATTCTAATAAGGATATTATTATATTAAATTGTTTTATCTTGGAGGATGTATCCGAGGGGATATACGGATAGTATTTGGAAAGATAATGACTTTACCGAATATTTTAAATACAAGTAAATTATATGAAATAACAAAATAATAGGGTTAGTTTCTAATTTTTATCGTGTTTAATAGATACATAATTTGGATTTCACCTATTTGTCTTATAATATCTTTGTTGATTTTATTATCAACAGGGTTATATGTTATTGTTTTGAGATATTATAAAAAATCGAAAAGGTATGTTTCACTTGCTCAAGACAATGATTCATCGAATTTTCTGTCTACATCTTTTATGGATATTTGTTTTTCAAGAAAATCAACGTCATTTTTACATTGTGGATTGGATGAATTAAATAGACAAAATCTTAAAGAGTATAAAATCAAACCATCAAAGCAAATGTCAGTTATTATTACTGAGGGAATAATAGTACTATTTATAATATTGTTATATTATTTTTTTTTAGATGAATCAAAATATCCTCTTTTTATTATTAATAGAATTTTTACATGGGTTGGTTTTTTTTTTTTTTAAAAAAAATGATTAATTAAATTATTTAAAGGTATACGTTTTTATACTTATTGCTATTCGAGCAGCATCGATTGATGTAGAATCTATTCCTCTATCTACATTATGGTATCATACTTCTCTTTTATACGCTTTTCATTTGCCTTTATTTTATATTGATTTACGATCTATGATTATTGCTCATGAGGCAACTATCTTAATTATGTTGTCTTCGATAAATATGGTTTTGGTATTTGTATTAAATGCCATTGTTTTGTTAAGTAGAAAAGGCAATAGAACAGTTCGTCTTATTGCTTTAAATGGACTTAACCCTAGTAAAGAAAAACTTTCATCCATTCTTTCTATGTTTACATTTTCATGGATTGATCCAATTATTATTCAAGGATTTAGGAAAAGTCTTACATTTTCTGATATTTGGGATTTAACAGAAGGCGAACATTCAGCTGCTGTTTTGGACGCTTTTTATACTACTAAGAAAGCATCACATTTAAAATATACATTGGTACGTCATTTTAAAGCGACAATTACTGCCCAATTTGTATGGGGAACACTTTTTACTATAATGTCATTTGCTCCTGTTATATTTTTAAAATTAATTCTTGAGTATATTGATAATCCTAAAAACCAAACAAAAGAAGCAGTATGGATGTATGTTATTGGCATGTTTTTCTCGTCAGTTATTTCGACTTTTTTTATGAGTCAGTCTTATTATGTTGGTCGCAAACTTTGTATAAAAATTCGCTCAGTATTAGTCGGGGAAATATATTCTAAGGCATTGAGACGACATAATAATTCCAGGAGTCTTACTTCTAATGATGATACAATTGATTCCTTTCAAGCTACTATTGGTACAATTATTAATTTAGTGGCAGTTGATGCATATAAGATTTCGGAAGTATATGCATATCTTCATAATTTATTTATTACCGTGCCTTTGCATCTTATTGTTTCTTTTATTTTGATATCTAGGATTTTTGGATGGAGTGCTATTATTGGGTTTTCCGTAATAATCATATTTATACCTATAAATTCGTATTTTTCAGCACTATATCATAAAATTCAGAAAGAGATAATGTCAATTTCTGATACTAGGATTAATTTAATAAATGAGATTTTTCAAAATATTCGTCTTATCAAATATTTTGCATGGGAAGAAAATGTCACACAAAACGTCAATAGCATTAGAGAAGAAGAGATTAAAAAGCTTTGGAAAAAGTATATTCTTTTATCTTTTGCTTTATTATGCTGGAATGCATCATCTGTAATTGCTTCTTTAATTACATTTTTAGTTTATACAAAAATCGCACATAATAAACTAACTGCTCCCATTGCATTTACTTCTTTAGCTCTTTTCAGTAGTTTTAGAGCTCCATTGGAACAGCTTTCAGAAATAGTATCTAATTTTATGGATTCGAAAGGTATGAAGTTTAATATATGACTATTTTCTAAATATTATTAGTATCTATAAATAGAATTGATGCCTTTTTGAAAGAAGAAGAAATAGAAAGACATAGTAGAGATGCCGATTATCTATTGCCTGATGATTTTATTATAGGATTTAAAAACGCAAGTTTTACATGGGCTTCAAAAAATGACGTTTTAGAAAATACAGAAATTTATTTAAATAGTTTCCGTATTTATGATTTAAACATAAGCTTTCCTGTAGATAAATTAACAGTTATAATCGGACCAGTGGGTTCTGGAAAAACTTCTCTTCTAATGGCGCTTTTGGGAGAGATGACAAACCTTGGAGGTAAAGAGTTTTGTCCCGGCAAATATAATAAAAATTATTTGATTCCTGATCATCAAACGGGCTTTACTGAATCAGTAGCGTATTGTGCTCAACAGCCCTGGTTGCTGAGTGATACTATACGGAATAATATTTTATTTTATTCATCATATGATTCTCAAAAATATAATAAGATTGTCAAAGCATGTGCTCTTGAACGCGATTTTCAGATTCTAGACGGGGGTGATCAAACCGAAGTTGGAGAAAAGGGTATTATACTTTCAGGTGGACAAAAGCAGAGAATTTCTATTGCTAGAGCGTTTTATTCAAATGCAAAATATATAATACTTGATGACTGTTTAAGTTCTGTTGATTCATATACTGCAAAATGGATATTTAATTATTGGTAAATCAAATAAAATATAAGGGATATTTTTAATTTTTATAGTATTAAGGGAGAATTATCAAATGGAAGAACTATAATTATGACAACACATAATGAGAATCTTTGTGTTCCAGATGCAGATTTTGTTATTATAATGGATAACGGAAGAGTTTCTGCTCAAGGAACTCCAAATGATCTTTTTGAATCTAAATTATTAGATAGATGCGAGAGCTCTTTAAAAACTGTACCGTCATCTACTTCTTTAATACATAGTATCCATTCTTCGCAAATTTCTCTTAAAGAACAGGAGTTCGGTTTATATGAAGAAAAAAGTGAAACAAATGAATACGATATCAAAGACACTAAAGCTTTTGATACGTTTGACTCATCTAAAGGAAGATTAATTGAAGAAGAGGGATATTTAAGTACTTCTATGAACAAAAATATTTATATTGAATATACGAAATATTTTGGAGGAAAGTTTTTTCTTTTCGTTCTCTTTTTAAGTTTCATAATACCACCTATTCTGAATGTATGTCAGTCTTTATGGGTTCGAAAATGGACACAGGATAAATCTATAAGATTTTCATACTATTCTCGAGACTTTCAAAAAGATCAGTTAAATGAAAAAAATAACATATTTTATACTATTTATTATTTTTTTATCACTACATTCAAAAGATTTAGTCATATGTCTACCAATCACGCTCATCAAACTAAATATCAAAATTCCTCTTTAAATCTGAATTATTATATTAATATATATATACTTATATCATTATTATATATTTTTTCAACTTTTTTTAGGATAATAATGGCGTAAGATTATTATAATCATTTAACATATATTTAATATGTTTTAGATTTACTGGCGGTATTAGAGTTTCTATTAAATTGCATGAAAAATTATTTCAATCTGTTCTTGGCGCTAAAATACGGTTAATATAAATATTATATGTTAATTATTTAACGCTTACTTATATTAGTTTCTTTGATGCTACACCTATTGGTCGTATAATGAAGAGATTTTCAAACGGTATTTTTTACTTTTTTTCTAAAAGTTTATCTAAAATATTAAAATTAGATATTGGAGTTGTTGATCAAGAAGTATCTTATATATCACTGGTAATTGCTTAAAATTTCGATTTAATATATACTAATTAATTAGACATTGGTTTATGATTTTTTTAACTCAATTTGTTTGATCCTTATAATCACTTATATTATACCAAGTTTTCTGGTTTCGGAGATATTTATCATGATTATATATGTGGCCATTGCTCTATTTTATATCCGACCATCTCGTAGACTTAAGGATTTGGACTCGATTACTAAGAGTCCAATATATCAGCATTTTAGAGAGACGTTAACAGGAATTAATACTATTAGAGCATATGGTTATGAAAAAATATTTATTAGGGAAAATTTACAGAAATTGGACCTTAATAACAGACCATTTATATATCTTTGGGTTTATCCTACTTTATTTTTAATTATTTTTAATAATATATAGGTATGTAATCGATGGCTTAGTGTACGAATAGACTTTATCGGAGGGCTTATTTCCTTATTTGCAGGGATTTTTATAATATTAAATATAGATAGTCTTGATTCGGGACTTGCAGGTAATTTTATTGTGATTATATATATATATATATTGATTTTTAAGGCATAATTTTGTTTTATATTGTTTCTTTTACAGGTTAATAATACTTGATATTATTTACAATTATTAAAATATATAGATCATATGCTTTGGTTAGTACGATTGTATACAATAAATGAATTAAACTTTAACAAGTAAGTTAACTAATTTATTATTATTATTATTAACCTAGTTAGTGTTGAGCGTATTCGAGAATTTTTTTTCATTGAACAAGAGGCTTCTGCTATTATTCCTTCTAATAGACCTGGAAAAGATTGGCCAGAAAAAGGTGAAATTGTAGTTCAAAACATAGTTGTGCAATATATGCCAGAATTGCAACCTGCTATCTCTAATCTTTCTTTTAAAGTAGATCCGTGTTCAAAAGTAGGAATTGTGGGTCGTACCGGAGCAGGAAAATCCACTATTGCTACTGCATTTTTTCGATTAATTGAATTACAAAGTGGTAGTATTATTATTGATGGTGTAAATATATCAACAATTGGCCTTCGTGATTTACGAAGATCTTTGACAATCATTCCACAAGATCCAGTATTGTTTAAAAAATCATTAAGATATAATTTAGATCCTTTTAATATTTTTACTGATGCGGAAATTTTTGAAGCATTACGTCGTGTTCATCTTATAGGATCTAAATCAATGGAGGAAGAATCTAAAAACTCCAATACTAATATCTTTCTAGACCTAAATACACAAAGTTATATTTTAAGTTCTATAGGAAACTACTAACTTATTTTAGTTGAGGAAGGTGGAAATAACTTATCTCATGGACAACGGTATTAAAAATCTAGTAATTACTATAAAATTTCAATAACATTTATTAGGCAATTAATATGTCTTGCACGCTCTTTACTTAAATCCTCACGTATTATTATTATGGATGAATGCACTGCTTCTATTGATTATAATATGGATACTAAAATACAAAAAACTATACGTTCTGAGTTTTCTTGTTGTACTATATTAACTAGTAAGTTTGTCTTATTTTATTATTATATGTTAACATATTATAGTTGCTCATAGATTAAAAAGGTTTCTTAAAATTCTCTTCTTTTTTATATATTAATTATAATTTTTAGTATTATTGATTATGATAAAATTTTAGTTCTCGACTCCGGTAAACTATTGGTATTTCATTACATGTTATTATTTTTCATTCATAATGTTTATTAGGAATATGATCATCCTTATCTTTTGCTTCAAAATCCTCAGTCTGAATTTCGATTTATGTGCGAATCTTCTGGAGAATATAATACTCTTAGACAGCTTGCCCAAGAAGCATATGAAAGTAAATGTATATAGTCATTTTATCGGGTATTTTCTCTCTATTTTCTTTCCTATTCTCTCATTGTTTTTATCGCTTAACATTTAAAATATTTAACTAATTAATTAATAAAATGGTTTCTATAAAATTTCCTCATATTCCACTATGTCTTAAATCTTCAAGTATAGATTCAAGTACTTCTTTTTCTAACGGAATCCATATAATCTCCGTTCCCGTTACATCTCTTTTTATTTTAATCATTTCATGATCACAAAATTCTCTAAGTTGCATTCGAAATCCTTCTTTACTACTAACAACCATTTCTTCTGCACATTTTCCATATAAATAATCAACCGTTATACTTTTCATTTTCGCTTTTTCCTTTGCTTCAATCTGTTGTTCTATTAAAATTCTATACACTTCTCTTGCATGCGGCGTTAATGTTTCTAATACATATTCAATTCCTTCTCCATGTGTTCCTTTCATATTATTCCATACTCCTTCTTCATATGACGTTTCAATTAAATATGGTGCAAACGTCGTTGCATCATGCCATATAAATTGAAATTTACTTATCATTGATTCATCCCATAGTAATCCTGAATTAATATGATCAACACTTGCAATAAACTTTATTTTCTTCGCATTTGCTACTCTTGATAAACATGCTTGAACTTTTTTTGACCGCAATCCTCTTCCATCTATATTATGAACAACCCATACTAAATATTCTATACTTGTTTCTTCTTCTATCCATTCAAGAACCCTCTCCGTCATCTCATATATCGTACAATTGCTTTCAAATCTTTGTTCTCCCCAAAGATTATTAACTAACATATTATATACTCCTTTCATACTAATCTCCGGCTTATATCCATTCATAACTAATACATATTTGTCTTTAAAATATCTTTCAATAAATTCCATTAATAATCTTCGTTTAGATCCAAATCCATAAACTATTAGACTAAATCCTTCATTCAATTCAAACATCCATTGAATAAATAATGAACAGTGGTTATCATATAATGTTTTATATGGATATTCTCTTGATAATAACCGTTTAACCCTTTCTTCACGGCTAAGATGATTTAAACCAAGACGGTTATTTGATGTAACCTTTGTTTTTAATGCCAAAAACCAACGATCCAGAGGATTTTCATGGCTCATTAACTAACGATAAATATTTTACTTGAGTATTAATTCCGTTAAAGAGAATTTAAGTATTTTATTGAAATATCTTAATATTTTAATTTTTTTATAAAAAATTTTTAAGAAAAATTAAGAAATTAAAAAAATAAAGGTAAAAATAAGTATAAAAATAGAGATTAATAAGAGGGATAATAAGAGGAATAGGAATAGAATTAATTAAAATAAGTTATTATAATATAAAGAAATATTTTAATAAGATCTGGTATTCCAGAAAAGAAGAAGAAGAAGAAGAAGAAGATAAATCTATTTTATATAAATGGAAAGTTTTTTATATGAAAAAAGTATATTTTTTTTTCTTATATTTTATATTATTTTATCAGAATATGGACGAATGAGAAATGCGTTTCTAGCAAAAAAATGGTATTATTTGAGGTATAATAAAGGTATATTTAAATATTTAGGTTTGAAATAATATATCCATTATTTAAAAATGAATTTGCGCAAATTGGTATGAAAAGAAATGATCGAATGATTCTACATATCCGGGACCCTAGTTATTTTATTTCATATGCCAGTGGTCGTATTAATATTTCATGTTTATATATTCAATTTAAGTTTCTGATGCGTCAGAATTTTATATCATTGATTAGAGAGAAAGTTGTAGCATTTTTTTTGGATAAGCCTATGCCCCATGACCGTTTATATATTGATATGAATGTTGAAGATCATGTTTTTGACGCATGTGTATTTGCAGTGGTGAATAAGTCAAAGATGCGTTGGTTGCGTGAAAAATATTATAATTTATCATTTACAAGTGTGATGGAATTAGCGATATTACCAGAAACATATGTAGTAATGTCAGAATTTTCTGAAATAGCGTATATTTTGTTGGAAAATAATGAAAGCTTTATTAAATGTATGAAAACACCAGATGTTGTACTGGAATATTTAATTGTGAGTGACCAACCTATTAAATGTCCAAAAAGGTATGATATTTAATAAAAGCGTTTCATTTTTAATGTTTTGATTAATAGTCCGGATCAAATATGTCAAAAAAGTGTTTCATTTTGTGTGAAATTGCCGTCATTAAGAAATTCTCAACAAGTTACTTGTATTATTAATGAATGTATTGCATTTGTTGATATGTTAGCTGAAAGAGCACATTGGAGACCCAATATTTCTCAAAAACTTAAAACTATTCGTGAAGAAGCAAATAGAAAACTTAAGAAACGTCAAGATGAAAAACTAGCGAATGCATTAAAGAAGAAATCTGAAAAAGATAAACAGAAGAAAGAGCGTATTCGAAATCTTAGTCCCCAGGAACAGAGAAAGGTGAATAATATTGTTTTTATAATTTTCTTTTATTAAAAAGTCTGAAATGTATAGTATTTGGATAAAGAACGAGAGAGAAAGTATAGAAAACTATTTAAGGTGATGAAAGCTTAAAGTATTATAAGATAACTTACCCATAATGTCTTGTTTTGTTTTTTTTTCGTATGAATTAACTAAATATTTGAAATGATAATAAATTGTTCTCTTAAAAAAGCCATAAAAACACATTTTGTTCTTTTGCCATGATTGATATACTTTTTTCCTATATACACTCTGCACAATTGTGTATTATATTCATTATATAGTCCATTATAAAATGATATCTACAAAAAGAATCAACGTATATTTTTATTAGTCAAATAATTCATGATTCTGGTAAAATATGTCACTTGGAAACATTTCTAAAATAAACTTTCGAATTGGCTGCTGATAACGATAACTTGCTAGAATTTTAAGAACTGACTTGTAAAGATCTAATGATTTGAATTCTTCTGGATATTTCGATTTTATTCTAGAATCAATATTAGATATATAATAATAATAATAATAATAATAATTGTAACCTTGAGAGAGATTTTAGTGCTTTACTTACAAAAATATGACTAGATAAATCGGTTATAATCTTTAAAATTTCGTCTTGAATAATATTTTTGGATACCAACTTAATATTTTCTTCCAAATCTGATAAACATGAGCAATAATTCCATGGTTCCAACTAATATAAGATTTAAATATAAATAAAATAAAATAGGATGAAATACAAATAATATTTTTTTTATATCCTTAGGCACACAAATACCAATAGGAATACCAAAACTAGTAAAAACAGATGCCCATCCATGTTGCTCTAATATTTGAGAAACTGAGATCGTTATAGAGATTAATCCTAATACAAAAAATGCAGTTCTATTATATTAGCTAAAATAAAAAAATAAAATTAAAATACCCTCTAAGGCTTATTACTTGTGATTTTTCAGCTATATATATGATTTCAGAAATTACACCACTATTCTCAAGAAATGGAAAGCCATTATTATGAGAGCCAATATTTCCTACTGCCCAAAGAGAACTTTTTAAATGAAGAATAATATTTTTATCTTCATATTCATCCTTATGTTTAAAAATATTGGAAACAAAATATTCGAAATGTCCTTTATTTTTTAAAAGTTGACATCCTTCAGATGTTTTAATGATTTCTCCATAAAAATGAGGTGGAATTAATCCATCAAATTCATTACTACAGGAGTCAATTGTTAGTTAATGAAATGAAATAACATACTTTTTTGCAAATGAGAATGCTAACGAAAGATGATTTTCTATATAATTTACATAAATTTCATTTTGTTCCTAATAATTTAGTTTTTAAAAAAAAAATAAAACATACATAAAACCAATTATCCATTTCCTTCTCAATATAATCAAGTTCTTTAAGATAATTAAATCCTGTAGATGATGCTAAGAACCTTATAAAAATTAATTATTAGTAAAGATATAAATATAATATCTACCTTAAACGCAATGGCGCTCCAATATTACCAAGATGTTCTAATGCTGGACGTAATTTTACTGTATATTGAAGATTTTCAAAATCGTAACAAGCTTTTTCTAAAACTTCGACTGCCATTTGACATACCTCAATGCAAGGATCATATAATTGGGTAACAAGTAAAGAAATAGCCCATTTTGTACTTTTGGTATTTTTAGCAAATTTTTTATTTGAAGATAAAAGTGTTCCTAGATGTTTTGTAACAAAAAGTCGTACATCCTAATAAATTAGTTTTAATAAATATATCAATGCGATTCGAACCTTTAGTCCAGCAACAAGGGCTTTTGAAAGAATTATTCGAGGATGCCCATAACTAAATATATTAGTAAATATATATGATATTAAATCATTACAATATATAATTCATATTTATTATAAAATTTAAAATTAAGTCATCTCGGCTCCGAAGTTCTGTAAGATGATAAAACATGTCAAATATTTTCCATTTCTCCATCATTCTAATATATATTAAATACGGATATATGTAATAAAATTCAATACGCAATTCCATCTTTATTCTCTGATAAAGTTCCAAGAAAGACAAAATATCCTGAACTTAATGTCTCCTCCAAGCGTTGTTTAGAAAATAAAGGTGACGGAGAAGATACACCACTTAACTATAATTATTAATAATGAAATGTAATATTATTAAGAATAAGACCGGATCAAGTTGAGCAAGACATTCCGATATCTGTCTTAATAGCTTGCTATCTGACAAATAACGTATACCTTCCGAATTGGCAAGTAATGTAGTAAAAATCATTCGACCAATTTTAATATAACGTTGATTAGGCTGTATATTATTAATTCATAGGTATTATATTACTCAATTGCATTACCCTTGTCTGTTTAATATTTGAAAATTTATAATTAAATGGAAGATAAAAAGATAATAAACGTTTCATAAATTTTGTAGTTCGAATAGATTCATCTAATCTTTTTGGATTTAATAAAGGACCATTCAGAAGCTCAATAACTATATCCCATCTCCATTTTTTATAGTTTTTTGTATTTAAAACCTAATATAATTATAAAACATAATATTTATATAAAATTACCTGAGTATCTAAGAGAAGAGTTCGAAAACGAATGTCGTCAATTTGTAAACCTAACTTAATTTTTACTTGTTCGAGTTGTCTTTTCCCTCTTTTTAAAGGATTCTCCAAAGATGTGCTACGTTCTTTTTGCTGAACAAAATTGGTCTTCATTTTTATTCTATTCAAAGACTCAATCTGAAGAATAGCAGACGTTGCTATAAAATGCTTTTCACTACTAAATTCCAATGCTGATATAAACAACTTTGGAAGAGACTAAATCTAATTAATTATTATAAATTTATAATATGATATAAAAACTTGAAGTTTAGCACCATATTGTAGCGGTAAAATTCTATTCGATAGATGAAGAAGTTCTACAATCAACAATGTTGTTTTCCGGAAGATTATTTTATCCTTAGAGTTCTCAGCAGCAGCCATCAAGGCCTATATAATATTTAGCTATATGATAATTATATTATATATTATATATAATACATCTAATATTCCAATATCCATAAATATCATGATAGTTAATGCTAAAAACTGCTGTAATAAATTGTTTCTTCCAAATTCAGTAAATGTATTCGTAAACATGCCTTCATTTTGTGGTTCTTGTTGAGAAGGTGATGGTCTACCCCATGTTGTAAGTCTTCTACCAGCCAAAAATGCAGATGTTATAGATGATGATTTTATTCCAAAAAGATTGTACAAAATATCAAGAACTATGTCCTTTAAAGATGAGTATATAGGTTACAATATATATTTATATGAAATTACCTGAGTTCTGGATGATGATATACGTAACACATCAACTAAAGAGCGAATTGCTTGCATATCGTACATACTCATATAAACCAAGCCTAATATATTAAAAAATAATATATATCTCTAAATTTTTGTACCTGACCAAGATTTCATAATGCTTACTATTCCATCCCCACAATATTTTAGTCTATATTCTTCTATTATAGGACGAAAATTAGTGACATTAGAAAGAATAAGCTTGGAATAGTTGGTATATGAATACATAAATATATATATTGAAAAATACCTGAAGATCACTTTTTGGTCGAATGAATTTCCTTGTTGCTGGTGTATCTAAAAGATATATAAATAATTTCGCAATTTCATTTGCAATTTCAAATGGTCCATCACTTAATGTTTGAAGCAGCACTTTATTACCACCTGCGCTAACAATAAGTGCTGGATCCAATATAACTATGTAATATATTAATTATACATCTAATAATATCTTTTTTATTACACATTTCTGCTAATGTTTCAATGGATATCAATGACATCTTATCTTTTGTGTATTCAGCTAGAGATACAATGGCACTAACAACACTTTTAGATATTTCAGAAATACCATCTTTGATTCCGTAAAACGTCCTGATTAACTTTAGGGCCTGCTCCCGTTCTTTAGACGTAGAATTATCTTTAATAAGCGATCTAAATGATTTAATAGGTATTTTATATAAATTGAAGATTAAATAACCGTATGATTGCATGTTCTACATGAAATTTCTTTATAAATGATATAGATTCCAGATCATAAATCACAAATCTTGCAATACGATATCCACTAGAAACCTTATTTGTATCTGAGCTAGAAAACATAATTTGAAAATGATGACTAAGCGCTTCCCAGTTTAAATCTTGTTTTAACGTAGGATGAGATTTAATAAGTGATACAAGATGATTGGCGTGCTTTAAATATTGACCTGAATCATTTATCGATTCATCTAAGCTTCTAAAAATCGCTTGCAAACTTTGTATTGGATCAATTGTTTCTATTTGTTCTTTTTATATTTCTTATTAATTATTCTCGATATTTCAAATACTTACCATCCTTTTCCCCGATAGAAACAGAAGAATGAACACTTTTAGATGATACTGTATAAGGTAATACCGAACTTTTCCCATCTTGTTCATAAAATGTATTAATCGTTTTTGTATCTAAAATTATTAAATATCAAACAAAAAAAAATTCTTTTATATTAACTAGATTTTATAGAATCTGTTTGCGTCTTAGATTTTATAATATTAACCTTGGCCTTTAGCTCTTCAATCTTTAAATTTGCTGTATCCAATTCTAATTCTATCTTTTTTCTTAATGCTATATGATTTTCATCTTCTCGATCCTCTGTTCTTTGATCAAAAACCTAATTCTATCAATATTATCCCCTTATTTACTCTTATTTAAACTTGTAGAAGGTTTTCTGCCCCTTCTTTAATCTTATTTTCAATATCCAATTGATTTATCAACTCATCTAACTAAAAAAACCCCATTATTTTTACACCAAATTTTTCCTATTAAAAACCTCATTCTGGTTCTTCATTTTTACTCTATTTTAAGCACTTAAATCTTTCAAAAAAACATAATATTCTTCTTTTTTTTTTCTTTACTTTTTCCTCAATATCTCCCCCTAAATTACACTTTTTAACCCCGGAAAAAAACTTATTTTAACTTACACTGGTTACACTCTTATTTAAACTATATTTTCCATTATATATCGGCCCAATATCCCTTAATTATTGCCTCTTAACCTGATGGCTGCTTCACTAGATTTTTCTTGTCGTCTGAATATATACGTGTTGCCATGGAAACCCTCGTAATTCAACGTCAGAAATTTCGTAATATGTAAAGGCCTAATAAAAATATAGTGAAATGAGAAGGTTTTAAAGAGGTTAAAAAGGGCTAAAAAATAGGTATTTATGATAAAAAATATATGAAATATGTTATTAATGAGATTTAGTACTATGGTATGGTTTTTTTCCGGGAAAAAAACGTCAACAGAACGGCCAGAAGGAGAAAAAGAAAAGTCATCAATGGATATGGTTTATTCGGTGGAAGAAGCACCGGAAATATTTTATAAAGAATCTATGGATCCATCTAGATTACATCCACTTGCGGGTCTTGGGAAAACGCTGGATTATTTTTCATTAGAAGATGGAAAATTGACGAATCTTCCAGGAGGGAAAACAGCGTTTCCTAGCCGTGGATGGAGTGATGATCTTACATATGGAACGGGAACAGTATATTTATCTGGTTTTAAATACTAGAAATTAAGAAAAAAATTAATAATAATATAGCACTTGGTATTGGTGGTATATGGGGGGTTTTTGAAGGAATATTTAGGGCATCTAAAGCTATTTCGATGCGTGTTAAGGTTAATAGTATTCTTAATGCTATGACGCGTAGGGGGCCTCTTCTTGGGAATTCTGCAGGGGTAATTGCTCTTGGTTATAATGCAGCTAATTCTACGCTTGGATATTATAGAGGAAAACATGATGATTTGAATTCTATTATTAGTGGAGGATTAGCAGGTGCAGTTTATAAAAGTACAAGAGGTATTAAAAGCATTGTTATTGTTAGTGGTATTTGTTCCGGAATAGCTGGGATATGGTGTTTTTCAAAACGACTTTTTATTTAGTTTTTTGATATATATATATACATAAAAAAGACCTTTTGTTGTTAGTAATATTTATTTAGATTTAAATCATGCATTTTCTGTGAAAAAAATAAAATAAAATTGGAACTAATATTAGATATTATTTATTTCTATATAAATGATATGATATAATTATGATATAGATTAGATATATAAATTAAACATATCAGATTAGTGATGTTTCATTAGATTCTTTGGATCTATTATACCATTAATTTATTTGACCTTTTTTTTCCTTAATGCCATCGAATGTATTATGTTTTATTTGTTAATGAATAGATTTTTGTTTTCTTTGAGTGGCAATGTTCGAGTAGATTGAGAATTAGGAAAAATTAATGAATCTGAACGTATACATATCACATTATGTTTTTTTTGAGTTCTTCGTTTATTTAAAAGAGTAATTTGACGTAAGCTTAAATTTTGTCGAGTATTTTGTGTCTTTATAGCATGAGTTGAAGGATGTGTATATATACAAGATATTTCTGGACCAAAATCAGGACTGTTAAATAATAACGGATATTTGGCATAATTTATATTCGGTACAATTGATAAAAGATGATTTGATCTATAAATTGCTTGACTAATAGATGGTGTAAATGGCGAAAATGTCTTTTGAGATGATGCTAATGCCGCTAAACGTAACATACTTGTCATAGAAATAGGATATTCCGGATTAATATCTGCTAATCTTATAAGAGGTGTTGATTCATCGGTTTTAGGCATCTCGTTTGTTAGAACTGTACTAAATTGACCTAAATCATCCTTATTCGTTGAACTACATGGAAATGATACTGATAATTTATGAATAATAGCCGGAAGTTCCTCCTGAAAGAATATACGTAGTTGTTTTTCAATTTCTTTCTGTAAAAATTGCGCAATAACCGGAATACTATCAAATGTACTAGAAACCTTTACCGATTCAACCGGATCATTTCGAAAAACTAACGTAACTCCCTTTGCCTTGGAAAATACTAAAATAACAATACTTGATAGTTTAAAATCCGATAAACGTAAAAACATAGGAACAATCAATGGCGCATCCGCCGAAAGTACCCCCCTCCATGTAAACTTCGGATACATCTTTTTTCTTGTATTTAAAGGATTAATCTCCCTTTTATCAACAATAATTTCCCTTTTATATATATCTTACTTGAACTTTAGTCTGTAATACAATATATGCATCTCCCGCATATTTTAACTTAAATAACCCACGAAACCTGTCCTCTGCAAGATCTCCAATCTCTAAAATCTCCAGTTCCGGCGGCTAATTCTTATTTATTCCTATATTTAAAAAATAACAAAAATATTTACTATTGATCCCATATTTAGCTCTTTTATATCAATTTTATCCACAATAATAGGTATTTTTGTACATTTATTAAGAGCGTAATCAAGAAGAGAACTTGTTTTTGCTATAAATAATGGTGAAAACTCCTTATTCCATGAAAAATGAAATGCCATAATTCATCAAAATAATACTTTTTATCTTAATAAAATTTATTATATGTTTAAAAGGTAAATATTAAGGTTTTTTAAGTAAAATAAGGGCCTTTTCTAAGAAATATTAGCAGATTTTAAGACTTTTATATGTTAATTTTTGAGTGAGGTTGATCGATAGTTAACCGTTTAAAAATAAAATTATTAATATAGGTTGTAATTAGAGGTGTTTTTGAGGGTTTAAAAGGGATTATTTCTATTTTTTATAGTTACTAAACGTATCTACATATAATAATTGAGGTATATAGTTTTTTTCAGCGTGAAAAAAGAGTGTTTTTTGATTAAAAAAGAAATATTTAATAATATTTACAGGAATTTGAAGATGCTTGGAAGAAATAAAGTTCCATATTATCAGAAATTGTTTGAAGAAAATGCTCATCTTCCTGTTTATTTTAGGGTGGCGTATTTTTATGTTTTTTTTTATGAATTAAGTTTTTTTAGATGCCAAGAAGTAAGCTAATAATATATCCATATATGGCATTGTGGTGTTTTAGTTTATTTGGCAAATATTTTTAAAGGGTTTTTTTTATTTTTGTATTAATGAATTTTAGGATCATTATGGGGTGTTATGAGATTGATTAGGGTATGTTTTTTTAATAATAAGAATTAATGTAAAGATTTAAGGGTACTAAATAATATATTTTAAGTTTTTTTACTTAAAATTTATTTTTATGTTTTGTTTTTATTTATTAAATGATGTGTTATATTTCATAAACGACTTTAGATTTAATTAATTTAAATATTTTAATGAATAATAAAGATTTGAAGGTTTTTAACTTTTATTTCTCATTTCTTCATTTTGAAGATTCAATTGTTGTATTTTAATATTAATCATGATATATTTTATCAATTTTTTTGAATATATATAAAATAATTTAATTTAAAATATCTTTTTTCTTTAATTATTATTATATTTGTAAAGTTTTAGATACATTTTAATATTAAAAGGTATATTTGCTTCTTTTTATCCAAATATATCTTTTTTATCTTTAAAAATAATACTTATTTCTAATAAAAACATATTATTACTAAAAAAAATGCTATTTACAATACTAAAATCATTCTTTTCTTTAAAAGAATTTAAAAATAAATAATTTTATCATTTTTTTAATAATTTTGTCATTTCTTAAATTATATTATATCAATATTAACTTTAAATTACAATTAAAAAAATATTTCTATTTATAATAAAAATATTTATTAATCTTTTTATATTTCAAATAAATAATCTAATCAAATCCTTTATTTTATCTTTTTTCCCCTCATTTAAATCTTTAACACTTATTATACTAATACGAACCATCATTTTTAATCATTCATTAAATATTAATAAAAAATAATTAATAACTCGTTTCTTTCTAATCTTCTACTAATAATTACATAAAAATAATCATTCTTTTCTTTCAAAATAAAACTTTTTAATTCAATACTTATATTTATATACTTAATATTCAAATTTTGTTCTTTTTTTTAAAAAATAAAAAACATTTACTTTAAATATCACTATTATATATTCTTTTATATACATTCTCTTTAATATTCTTTATATTTTATACAGTTCTTAAGTTAAATCGAATCTCAACGTATTTCAACAGCTTTTTAACCTCTTAAAAACATCTTAACATCTTTTCCCTTTAATCTCATGAAAATAACAACATAATTTAGAATAAATACCGTCTTTAAGGACTATTATACGTTTTTATTGATATTTATATGAATCTATAAGCCTATTTATTAATAGAGGAGATATTATATATTTTTTTTTATATAAAAAGATAAGGATATATGAGATGGAGAGTATAGAGAAGGAGAATACAGTATTTGGAGAGTCTTCTCAGTGTAGACGTTCTTTTTTTTATGAATCAGAGCAAATATCAACATTAAATAAGACAGATGAAGATTCTACAGAAATAGAATCATGTAGAATAGAAGAAGCTATGTGCTGTCATATACACTCTATTCTAAATAGTATTTATGAGGAACCGATTATTTCTATAGTAGATACGGAGAAAATAGGTGAAAATGCAGGGAGAAGGTTTATTACATATAAGATACGTATGAAGGTGAAATAAGGGAAAAAAATACAACAAAAGAGTAATAATTGATATCAATAGAATCTTGAGGTGCGTCGACGGTATTCTGAATTTGAATCGCTTAGAAAATCACTTTCACGATTATTTCCAACATTAATAGTTCCACCAATTCCAGAAAAACATAGTATGTGTAGGTTAAATTGAATAATGATGGACGATTTATGTAATAAATTATTTAGATTTAACGGTTTCGTTATCTAGTGTTAATAAAGATGGGAATTTTATTATTCAAAGGAAAAGAATGTTACAAGTGTTTCTTAATCGATGTGCTTTTCATCCTATTTTGAAAAGAAGTCATGTATTTCATTGTTTTTTAAATGAGGATATACCATGGGTAAGAAATTGATTAAAAAATATTTATATGTGTATATATAACAGAAAAATAGTCGCAAGTTTTAGAGTCACCGCCTATATCCTTATTACCACAAAACATTCTTATGGCACCACCATTAAATCCATGTTCTCCTATAAATAGTAATATTTACCAATGTCTTCCAATACCACCATCAACTGCAAAATTATCAAATATTCACAACAGAGATGAAATACAGTTTGTAGAAATAGAAAGAAAAATTAAAGATCTTCAACAATTTATTGGGAATGATTTAGTAAAAATTAATAAGTCTATAATGAAACATTATGAAGGTAAAACTTTTTTATTTTTTCTTTGTTTTTCTAATTTTTCTTAGATTTAGCATATAATTTTAGTGAATTGGGAGCAGCATATAATATTCTTTCAATATCTGAAATAGGCGAATTGGCAAGTGGGATTGAGCGTTTTGGATTAGCTAATGATTTGAACTGTCAATCTAATCATGAGCTAGTAAGAAATATATATATATATATATATATATATATATATATTAATATATATTTATATTAATATTTATTTAATAGGTTAAAAATTTGGATTCTGTATTATCAGAACCCTTAAAAGAATTTATGCAATTTCATGAAGTCGCTAGATCTAGATTAAAATATAGATATCAAAAAGTTCTACAATATGAAATTATTGTAAATATATTAAATCAGAACAAAAATATTTTAGATGCGCTTGAAAGATCTGAAATGGAAGCACAGAAAATAGAATCATCTTTAGCAAGACTTAATAATAGTGAATCTAATTTGTCTACTTTAAATTCTGATGATCTCAATGAACATGAACAAACTAAACAAATTATACCGACTTTTATTGAAAAAATAACAGGTGCTGTAAAAGGCATGATTGACGTAGATTCTACAACTAGAAAAAAGAATATTGAGAAGATATATGAGAAAATTTCTCAGGTAAATTATATAAAATAAATCATACATATTATTAATAATTAAATAGTTGGAAAATGCCCTTAAAATTACAAAAAAAGATGCCAATATTGTTGGTCAAGCTATAATAGAAGAATTCGAGAGATTTCATGGTTTTATTAGGAAAGATTATTGTGAATTAATGATTAATATTGGAAAATGTTATATAGAATGGGCTAAGAAAAATGTTAAAATTTGGGAAGATGCAAAATGTTTAATTTAAAAACTAAAGTTTTTAAAATTGCGAAACATTTGATTAAAAGTTGAATTTATTAAATACCAAACATTAATTATATTTTCATTACAACAATATATTAAAAAATCTTAATATGAAATCAAATTTAACAAAAACGAATGAATTATAATGTACTTTTAGGTAATATATTTTTCTAACATATTCGTCATTTTTGATCAGTATTGTGTTTCTCTTTATTTTAAATAAATTTACTATATTCAGAAGCTATTTCTAGAATCATATAATATAATATATATAGTTCTATGCTTTGTTATTGCAATATAATAGACTTTTACAGATCTAATAAAAATATAAAAAATGCATATTTAAAATTATCCAACAATTTTTATAATTTAAAATAATGTATCAGAACCTTTTAAAGCCTCCGATGTATCTATCTCATCTGTATCAATAAGGCCTTGTGCATCTTCATCTGATTCATCTTCAATATCTGATAATGTTTGTATTTGAACTAACAGAATAAATATATATATAAATAAATATAAAGCAAATAAATACCTCCTGTACGAACCTCTTCACCATTAATATCAATATTATTTATAAGTTGTTCTAAATTATTCATTTTTTCCTTCTTTTTTTTATCTTTGTTCTCTCTAATAAGTCGTTCAAGCTCTGGTCGATAATTAGTCTCATATTCTTCCACTTTATGCTCAATTGCTGCCAAAAAATCATCCATTCCTAATCCTGTTACTGCTGAAACTGCAACAACGTCTAAATGACGATAAAATTCCTCAAGCATAAGACTCATACTATTGATTAAACTAGACATATATCCTGATCCCTCTACCCCTTCTGCATTCCCTTCATTTTTAGAAAGAGCTGCATGAAATGCCTCAAAATCTGTCATCCATTCCTTTGCAAATTCTGCATCTTGTACATCTGTCTTATTAAATACAATGATAATTGGTAATTTTGTTTTATAAAGAATTGAACATGCGTATAACATTGAACTCATAAATGTTGTACATGACCTAGAACGTACCGTATCAATAATATACGCAATACATGTAGGAAATGATGATGCTAAAGCATCTGTTATAATAGATCCTGATGCTGACCATGTAAATATTTCTAATAAAATATAAATATATAAAATTTCCCAAAAAAAAACCCATTGTACCAATCTGACCAGGCGTATCAAAAAGAACATATCTTCTGATCTAAATTTATCTCCATTATTATCTATATACTTACGATGTTGTTCTTTTATTAAGAATTCCAAGTACTTGATCAAATTTTGTTGCAAAAAGATTCAATGATGTAAGAATAGCTCCATTAGGTCCAAGATTATATCTAAATAATATAAAATTCCTCATAAAACATGTATAAAACCCCCAACTGTTTCATAACTTCTTTATAATTAATTGTATCACAAATATCAATATTTACATTATATGGAACTGATAAAACTGCTGGATCTGATTTAATAGAATAAAATAAGTATAAAAAAATATAATCTCCTGTATAATTTACCAAGATTAATAATATATGGAATCTTTTCCTGGCTGCGCAGGTGGGCATTTAATCTTTGTAGAAATGTTGTTTTTCCTATAGGTTTTTTACTTAATATCTATTAATACATATTAATTTACCTGATCCTGCCATTCCTACTACAAGAATACAACATGTTTTTCCTTCTGACCCCATCTTATATATATAAGTAGAAAGGTGAGGTTAAAAAGTCACGTGATCCCTAATAAAAAAGACCATATAATTAGTTTTATAGGGATATATAAAGGAAAAACCAGATTAAATAAGATCAAGAATCTATATATTTATGAATTATTTATGAATTATTTTTATTAGAAAAAGGATTTTTATATTTATTTTTTATATTTACCATGAATTGAAGAAATTAATATTTTAACATGATATTTGTATTAAATGTTTAATATAAGTAATAATTAGATGATTTGTATTATTTTTCTTAAATAATATGTGATTTTTTAAGAATCATAGTTTATATTAATAAATTGAAGAAGAAATTGAAGAAATTGAAGAAATTATGTATATTATGTATATTTATATGTAATATAAAAAGGATTTATATCAATTGATAATAGTAAAATAAAAGAAATATAAAAAAAGGAAAATTTAGTTTTATATAAATGTATATTTGTTGAGAGCAGTAATAGTAAAAACTAAAGATATTATATACATATATTTAAGAAATTTATGAAAAATAAATGAACAGGAATTGTATATGTTTTTTATAATTTCCGCTTCATATCATTTAAGTTATCGGTTTAATTTTATACATTTGATTCTCGAGTAACTAATCAAGTTCAGTTTATAGTTATATTTTGTCAAAAACATTAATATATATACATCTTACATGTTAAAGGATTATTTTATATCAATGAATAATATGATAGAATTACTTGAAACATTAAATAGTATTCATTGATTTTTTTGTACTTTCCGAATTAATAATATCATGAGATTCAACTATATCTACTAATTCCATAATATTTTCAGATTCTGTTATATCATCTAGTTTACTAGTATCATCTAGTTGAGTAGTATCTTCGTGTTGAGTAGTATCTTCATGTTGAGTTGTATCATCAGGTTCAGCGATATTATCTAACTCAATAGTATTTTCTAAATCAATAACATTATTCAACTCGAAAAAATCCCTTTGTTCAACGCAATTTTCCAAATTATCATTATTATTTTTGGATTCATTATTCTTTTCAGAAGGATCTTGAAGTAAATTTTCTGTTATAATACTATGATCTACATTCGTTTCGTGATTATTTGTATTGTCAAGAGATTCAGGAAGTTCCGGAATGATAATTTGTTTATTGAGATTTCGTCTTGCAGGAAGAGCAGGTGGTAAAGGTAAATCCCGTCTCATAGGAGGTATGGCTGGTATTGGCCTTTGCCTAAGTAACAATGTATCATAATCCAGATCCGTTCTTTGAGAAAATTGTTTAGAAATAGTATATGGTTGTTCTGTGATAGATTGAATAGGCTCTGGAATTGAAATATGTTTATTTGAAAATGCATGAACAGTATCTGTTGTAGTAGCGCATGATGGTTCACTTAATTGTAATGAATTATATACAATAGAATCTGTAGAAATTTCCGAATAATCTGGAGGGTTTTCATCCAAATTACTTGGTAATATCTTTTTCTTATCAGCTTCGAAGTTTAAAGAAGAAGTTTGTGAAGATGGATAATTTAACGATTCTGAATCAACAGACGTATTTCCTGCTTTGTTATTAGAAATAAAGACGTAATCTTTATTATGATTACCATGTCTTTTTGCAATATAATTTGCACCCCATCGACGTACAGTATTTGTAGCAGAACTAACGCTTGATGACAATGAGCTTTTTTCACCAGAATCAGCCCTTCGTCTATTGTCAAATATAGTATTCTCTCGTATTGTAGCAAATGCTGCAGTAAGACGCTCTTTTTTATTTGTAAATGAGGATTTAAATGAATTTGTAGAAGTACTAGATGTAACGCTCTAAATAATTATTAATATAAAAATTAATTAAGGATAAGATTTTCACTTCATTCTCAGCATCAATGGCCTTTTTATCCATGTCCATATCCAATTTATTTATATCTTCTGATTTAGGTGTTTTAGAATGAGATATCTTATTAAATGTTTTTGGTAAAACAGTAGATTTTCCAAAGGCACTTATTGCAGCTGCAGTAACAAGCGATTTACCACATAAATCCTTGAAAGATTTATCTCCTGAGGTAATTTCTGTATTTGATCGGTTCTCTAGCTCAATTAGTGAACTACTATCAGAAATCGTATTGAATGATGATGATCTTTTCAAAGGATCCTTTTTTACTTCTAAACCGGATGATCTCAATTTTGTAAGTAAAATGGATTGTTTTAATCTATTAGACACTTCATTTTCAGAATTCGTTGAAACCATTTTTGTTAACTCTGATTTCTCTTTCATATCATCTAATACTTCCAATAATGCCTTTTCATTACTTTCTTGCTTTTCTACCACCGGTATTTCTTTTTCTGGTTCGCTTTCTTGCATTTTTGAATGATCCCAAATTCCTCCTCTAAAGAATTGATCTGCTGTGTCATAAAATTCAAAATCTTCCATATAAGGGAAAACAAGTGTGTTATGAATCTAAAAGATAATTAAAAAAAAAAACAAAAAAATATCCAAGTCTATATACAGTCTCACGTATTCTATTCTCGATAACTTTTAATATCATGGGATATGTAATTTGTTTCGAAAATACAATAGGCTCAATAGTCATATCCATCTATATATTTGTTAAATACATATACTAACCATATTCATTTAACCTTTGGCATTTCATAAAATCCATACCAAAGTCGATTGCTCGGTGGAGGTTTAATAATTAATGCTAATGTCCCTTCTAATTTTTTTAATATTACTGCTAACATCAATTCAACCTGTCGAGCTTTAAATCGACTTCCTAAATTTAATGTCGCTGTCGTTGCTATTTCTATCCTAAAATTCCCATTATATGTAATCATTGCATCAATATTTAATTGTCCATCTGAAGAAAGATCCCTAAGCCTAGGACATGTAATATATGGAATACTATCCCCAATATCCACCCCTTTAACTACTATATCTGACAAAAATCCCGGCTTTTTAATTCTTGACACTTTCTTTTTTATTTTCTCAATTATATATTCTTCTGAAAAACGTGTACGGTATAATCCCAGAAATAACCGTCCTAATAATGCATTCAACCATCTCATCTCAAGGTTCGCATCACTAGAATGAATCGTATGAATCAAATTTGACATATGCTTCGCTTCAAACATTAATGGTATCGCTGATACCAACGGATTCTCTTTCCATTCACATTTCTTATCTACTGCCCTACTTGCTTGAATTAATAAAAAATACCAATCCTCTTGATCCGATGGATTCGAATTATATATTAAAAACTTATTTCTTCGCCTCGTTTTATCTAAAATACCCTCATTATCCCCTTCTAACTTTTCCTCTTTTTTTTCCCGAGATAAACAAATGGCATGAGTTCTAGCAAAAAGTTCTCCATCTTTACTCCCTTTAGGCCATATACTAACATCATATTGCGCCATAACAATCACATATTTGACATCTGACCGATTCTCTTTATCATATAAAAATAAATTTCCATGTTTTAACACCGCAAAAAAAAGTACCGGCCTCTTTCTTTGTTTCCTCATACTCCCCGAACTAAAACTCACTACCCCGCCATAATTCCCCTGTATTTGTCCTTTCATATTATTTCTCTCTCCTCCTCCTCCTCCTCCTCCTCCACTTATCGCATCCTCCTGTTTTTCAAATTCTATCTCATCCACCTCACGTGTCACCCGCATCCATCCCGTCTTATATATACCCGTTCCTTCTTCTTCTAGTTCCTTTATCTTAACTTTATTCCTCCTGTTTATACTATATTTCTTGACCGTCTTAATCCCTCTCTCATCAATGTCTGGTAAAACTATCCAGCTATAAACAAAAAATACTACTAAAACAACTGGTATAAACGTAATTCCTCCTAATATATATACAAATACATAAGCTTTAACTTTATCAATGGAAATGTCCATTTCATGTGGTTGGGTTGTCTTCGTATAAGGTCAAGGAAACATCAAGCTATAAAGAGTAGAACATAATTTAATGATATTTAATAAATGTATATAAGAAGAATGAGTAAACAGTAAGTAAATAGTAAGTAAATAGTAAGTAAATAGTAAATCATGTATAAATAAGAAAGAAAAAGGTATAAATAAGTTTATGGGGGGGGGGGGGTTTGGAGTAAGATGATAGAGGGGGTTATGAAGGGTGGAAGGGGTGGAAGGGGTGGAAGGAGTAGAAGGGGTATTTTTATTGTTTGAATAGGGATTTATATTAAATTATTAATATAATATTTGAAGATAATTTTAATGGTATAAAAAGGAGAAGTAGTAGTAGTTAGTTAGTAGTTATTATTATTAGTTATTATTATTAGTTATTTATTTATTATTATTTATTTATTATTAGTTTTTATTATTATTAGTAGTTATTAACTTTTTATTATTATTTATTATTATTAGTTATTATTTATTAACTTAATATTTTATTAATTATATTATTAACTTTTTATTATTATTAATTATATTATATTATTAATTATTTTATTATTATTAACGTCTTATTATTAACTTATTATTATTAACTTCTTCTTCTTCTTCTTATTTATTATCAGCTTTTTATTAACTTCTTCTTATTATCAACTTGTTATTTATTAACATTTTATTAACTCCTTTTTATCAGCTTTTTAATTTATCAATTTCTTATTATTATTTCTTATTAATATTTCTTACTACTATTTATTACTACTATTTATTACTATTATTTATTACTATTATTTATTACTATTATTATTAACTATTTATTATTATTATTTAATATTAACATTTTCTTATTAACTCTTCCAACTCCTTAATTCTTTATTAATTTATTAACTTTTAACTTTTTATTAACTTTTTATTTATTATCAACTTAACTTATTATTAACTTTTATTATTAGCTTTTATTATTAGCTTTTATTATTATTTATTACTATTTATTACTATTATTATTATTACTAACTTATTATTATTACTAACTTATTATTATTACTAACTTATTATTTAATATTATCAACTTTTTATTTATTAACTTCTTTTTATTAACTCCTTATTAACTTCTTATTATCAGCTTTTTAATTTATTAATATTAATTCTTATTATTATTTATTACTATTTAATATTAACATTTTCTTATTAACTTTTAACTCTTCCTTATTAACTTATTATTTTTACTTATTATCAACTTTTTATTATTATTAACTAACTTATTAATATTATTAACTTAATATTATCAACTTCTTATTATTATCAACTTCTTTTTATCAACTTATTATTAACTCTTTAATAACTCAACTCTTTATTAATTAACTTTTTATTATTATTATTTATTTATTATTTGTTACTATTTATTAACTTATTTATTATTACTTCTTATTAACTCTTATTATTTATCAACTTCTTCTAATTAACTCCTTTTTATTAACTTTTATTATTAACTTTTAACTTTTACTATTAACTCCTTATTAACTCCTTATTAACTCCTTATTAACTAACTTCTTATCAACTACAACTCCTTCTTATTAAAAGGTTTTTATATTTCTTAAAAATCCAAGGAATTAGCTTTTTAGCTTTAATTAAAGGGATTATCTCTAAAAGAACAAAATAAATTAAAAAAAAATAGACTGTTTATTAATATCTTTTTTTTTTCTGGGAGAAAAACTATGAATCAAGGGAATTTCCAAGAAATTATAGTTATTGGATATAAAAATGAAGGGATATTAGATGATACAAATATATATGTTTATGATATGTATACGGGAAGTCAGATAATGAAATTTAAACAGAATGATTGTTGTTTAAGAGGAGTATTTATTACGGAAAACTATGTTTTTTGTAGCCAAAGAGAAAAACCAATTCTTCATATATATTGCTGGGAAAAGGTTGATATATAGTATTAAATGAATCAAGGAATAATTGGTGAATAAAGGAAAGTATATATCAAAAAATGGTTATACCAGAGATATTGACAGCATTTGCTGTTTCTCATGATGTTTATTGGGCGGTTGGAGGTACAATACAAGGAAAAATATATGTTTGGCAGGTAGAAAGGATAATTATTTGATATTAAATCTAAAAATCAAAGATAACATCAGGAAATTTAATGTTTGTTCATGAAGCACATTATCAAAAGATAGCAGCGATTACATTTGTGATGGATGATGGATTTTTTTTAACAGGATCTGAGGATTGTTATTTATGTTTATGGAGTTTATCAGATATACTTGATTTATATGGAAAAAAGGATAGAGGACCAGTAAAAACATGGAATAATCATACATTAGGAATTACAGATATTGTTTGTGGGTATGGTACGACTAATTCAGCAAGAGTTTTTACATCATCATTGGATAGTACAGTAAATGTTAATTTTAATTTTATCAATATAATGAAGCTAAAATTTAAAGGTATGGGATTTAAATACTCAAAGTCTTCTTACAACGTTTGTTTTTCCTAAGCCGATAACATGTCTTGTGGTAGATCCAGCAGAAAGAGCGTTTTATGCGGGCAATGATCAAGGTGATGTTTATCTTGTTGATTTATATGGAATTGCACAAGAGAAATCTTTAGAATCTTTTTATGAAGCAATAGGAGGATCAGGAAAAGTTATTCAAAGTGTTAAAGATGAATCAACAATATTTAAAGGACATAAAAGTGCAATTTCATGTTTAGCATTATCTTTTGATGGATCTCTTTTAATAACAGGATCTCAAGATCATGATGTATTTATATGGGACATTGCTACTCGTCAAATAATTCAAACATTTAGTAAACAAAATGGTAAAATATATTATTTATAATGTTGAATTATTTATATAATTTAGGACCAATAACATCAATTTGTTGTAAGGTTATTTATAGAGGATTTTTTGAAAGTAAAAAATCTTTACAAAACATACCTACTTTTAAAAAAGTTCAAAATTTTCAAGATATGAATGATTATTCTATTTTAAAAAAGTTAAATGTTTTCAATGAATTGAAAAATAAAACGGCATGGTATGAAGATGATTCAGCATTGATAAAAAAAGATTTAACTGAATTTATGGTAAATATAATGTAATCATTGTTAATTTATATCTAATAATATCAAGTCTATTACATCTGAATCAGCATTGCAATTACATGTTAAAAACTTGCAAAATGAGTTACAAACATTATACGGATATTATTCTGATTTGAGAGAAGTTCATCAAGAATTATGGAAAGAGTATATGAAAACTCAAATAGTGGATCATGATGAAAATTAATATTTTTTATAAAAGTAATATACAGATGGAATATTTTCGTTGATTCATATGAATATTTACATTTTTAAAATTTTGGTTATTTCAATGGGTTAGATATTAATACAAGTTTATCATTATTACTGGATTTTCACTTAAAACTTTTTATATCTTTTAATTACATTCTTCCAAAGCTAATAAAAAAAGTAAAGTTTTATTCCTGTGATATTAAATGGTTATTTACTAAGGATTAATAGATAATAATATTCTGTATTTGAGTTTTTTAGATCATTTGATTAAGAATTTTTAACTCATTTAAACATAATTGGGTATATTTATTAAATTAACCTAAAAAAATATCTTTTTCATAAAAACATTAAGAAGGAATCTATGTTTTGATATAAAAAATGCATTTTTTTTTGAAAAATTAATGAATTGTTAGATTAAACATATTTTTAAATAATAATTATAAAGGAATGCATCATCATTTTTTAATCTCAAAAGTCTTATTTATCTTTCAAAAGAAAGGGTTCTTTGGATTTTTAAATTTATATTAAATATATCAAATATTCTTTTGATAATCTTTAAAAATATGATTAAACATTAAAGGTTAATTTGTCACTTATTTTTTTTACAGATAAATCAGTATCTTTTACTATGAATTACTTCATATCTATTCATTTAAATGATTATTAAAGCTTTACATACAGTGCTATGAGAGACATAAAACAGAAATAAGCTAACAATATAAAAATTCTCAATATACTAAGGAATATCATTAAATACAAATTTCAAAATATAAGAGAAAGTATATAAATATATATTTATATATTTGTCTAGCTTATAATTAATAATATTAAGCACATTTAGTGCTTAATACAAAGCCTTTAATATTATATATTTGGTCATTTTGAATAGGGATATTTGAAATTATTGGAAACATCAAATAAAAAATATTTATTAATTATATATATTAATTTTTAATTGTATATATCAGGTGGGCTCTTATTTTTATCTATTCCTAGCTGTCTTAGAATTTCTAAAACCCCAGTATTTTTGACCAAGTTTAATTCTTCCTCTGATTTTACTAGTAACATTCCAACCATACCAGTAGTATTAACACTTATATTGTTCCAAGATTCCATAACACGGGGTACCATAAACATCCATTGTTTAGTCATTGCAAAATTATAACTAATTTCATCCATTTTAAAAGTTTGAGAAGCTTTTGTTGTAAATAATAACAATTTAGAAAACATATCACTAAGATCCTTTGGAGAAGATGAAACAATAGGAGAAATATAATGAATAAAAGGAATCTTCGGATGAGACCATGGATTTTTTACTGCTGTTTATGTTATTAAATAAAAATATTAAGTGGTTATATACAATTTTTGATATTTATAATTTCATCTGGATATAATGTTGATACAGCGTTATCCTTTAAAGATATAAATTGGATATGTTTGTGAGGTTGACTATAAAAATAAGTATAAATCATTGATAATCATAAGTTTATATATATATATATATATATATATACCTTGCACCAGATTGAGGTCCACAATTATAAAATGCCAAATGTCTATCTTTCATAGAATTTAAACACTCCCAAATTACTGTAATATCATTTATTAATAATCCTTCTGTTTGTTTTTTAAATTCTATATTGAATTAAAGTTATATTTTTTACTTTTTTATAAAAAATACCTTTTGTTACAAGCAAAAAATGTCTTGGAATAATTGGAAATTTATTTAAAACAATGAAATATTCATCTCCAACATTTTGAATATAAAGTGATGGTTCTGGCGGATCAAATGGATCAATAAATATATGTTGATCAGACGTATTATGATTTTCCTTCTTTTTAATAAATGGAACATAAGAGAGTTGAAACTATCAAGATAAATAAATGTATTCTCTAAATAATAAATATTCACATTAATCCGATCTTCTTGAATTTTTTCTTGAATTGATTCTGTAAATGTTAAAGCTCCAAGATCTAAAATTTTATTAATATATATGTATAAACCATGAATCTCTTTAAGAACCTACTTTTTGCTTGAACATATGTTTTTCTAATGTTTTCTTCTAAGTTCTGGATCATCTTTTGAAAAAAAAAAATAAATTATTTTTTTAAAAAATATAACCACTTAAATTCTAATAAGTATTGATGCCCAGATTCAATATATAGATATTAATAACAATATAATTTTCATATTATAGTTGATTTAGATTTAATAAAAGTTATATATTGATCGATAATATTATAGTAATTATATAAGCGAAATTATTTTGAAAACTTTTCTGTTTTTGAGTTATTTTTACTACATTTTTTCCCTATAAAACCTCGGCAATTTGCCGAAGAACAATAACAAATTTGTTGTTCTGCACCTTCAAACCAACTATTAATAGTTAAATAATAATATAATAAGTTTTTACTTTCCTAAAATTATAATCATATGTTATATCTTCTCCAGCAAATAATCCAGCTTCTCCAGCAAAAACACCAATACGTGGAATACCTTTTACATACCATTTTTCAATTTTACAATTAGGCTCACAAGAATGGTTAATAAAGCGAGATTCATTTCCCTTAATTCCAGCATCCAAAACTAGTCCTGACTCAAAATTTAAAAAATAATAATTCTAATTGTATTTAAATATATATTTAATTCGAATTTAAGTAAATTTTACCTGAGCATTTTTGTAAATACTATTCATTCTACGAAATAGTTCTTTTTTCTCTATTACTTCTCCACAGTACTCAACTATAAGAGAGTTTGCTTCGAAATCACGAAGAGATCGAAGACCAAATCCACAATTTCCTGTCTATACTGTTATTAATAATATTTTTTGTTTTTTAAAGAAATGTTAAACCCAAACAATTTCCGTATTTAAAGAAGAAAGTCTCCCCTCCATTCTCTTTTTTGTATAGTGTTGAAAAGCACGATTAGAACATTCTTGAGAATTATTAAGAGCACATGTAGTATCATCACATTCATAAAAAAGTTCTCTTCAAAAATTAATAAATTCCTTTTTTTAAATATCTTTTTAAACCTATTTAAACAACCATCCCCGCAATTAGAACCTTGCTTGCAATTGCATTTAGGACGAAAAATCTTTTTAAACTTTTCTTTACCATAAATATCTAATATAAATTAAATTTGTTCAAAATTTAAAAAAATATTATCAATACTTTGTTTTATATATCTCCAACCTTCCGGTCTATATGTTATTTTCGATGTAGCAAATAAATTCCATGGCAATTTAAAATCCCTTAAATGATCCATCAATGTAATCCCATAATACATTGGCAAAGGAAATATTTCTTTTTTTTTCAAATTATTCAAATCCTAATATCCATTAATATATATATAACTATATAATTCAAATCTAACCGATTCTCTGCTGCAATTAAATGAAAATGCATAAAGACCTCGAGTTAAATATGTTTTTCTTTTTTTTACAAAATTTTTACTTGTATCTTTATCTTCACATGATACATTCCTTTTTTTTTCCACATTATCTCTATTCAAAGAACATCGTGCCGCTTCAACTGCTTCAAATAAAATTAAAGATCCTTTTTTTTTGCTTGGAATTAAAGATTTAGAGAAAAAATTCCTCAATTTATCAACGCATCCTCTTCCTTCTTTATTATAACAATTCCCCTCTAAACAATTTTTTTTTCGCAAATCTCTTAACCGCTCTGATATCATAGAAATTGATTCAATTAAACTATATTATTCTAATTGATATCAATTACAATTCTCATCATTCCTATTTGTTAACAAATATATATATTCTTAGATATACAATTCGAGGCTAAAAATATCAAATTTTCTCTTAAAAACGTCAAATTCTTATTAAAACTTAGAAAAAAATATTTAAAATGTTCTTTTTTACCTCAAATTTATCATTTTTTTTCAACAAATAATTAAAATTTTTTTAATCTTTTGTCAAAAATCAAATCTGAAGCTGATAACGATAAGATGATAAACCCTGGCCCTAACCCTAAGTATGCTATTAACCCTAACCTAACACTCCTAGCCCTATGCATGTAACCCTAACCCTATATCTCCCGATATACGACCTAACCCTGGCCCTCATACCTAACCCTAAACTACAACGTAACCCTATACTACAGCATAACCCTAACCCTTCCTGTGCACTCCTCCCTAACCCTAACCCTAATATAGAAAAGCCTGATCTATTGGTTTTAATGTATCAATTTTATTTTTTTATACTAAAACAATACCTTTTTACTCTTGAAATGCATATTTTCTACATAAACAAAGACATTTATATCTTTTTTTTTTATCAAACTTGTTTTTTTAAATATTTCAAAAAATATCACCAACTGGCCTTTTAAATATAAATATATAAATATATAAATAACAAGAAACAATTACTTTCTGAACGCCAGGCAAGTATCCTTCAAGTGCATTTAATCTAAATTGATACTAAATATCATCATTAATATAATGCATACATATATATATATATACTCGAGAAAGACGAAAATCCCTGAAAATACCACGTCCTTTTCCTGACTCAATGCATCTATTTTTTACGCGAGTTATACGTGTATTGGAAGGCATTTTAACTAGTTGTTGTTGAGCACGAATTCTTACATCAGCAGGTAATGTAGTATTTCTGACGATATAACGCAATGCTTGACGTAAAGGCTCACTTTGAGCAACAGCTATACGTCTACGAAGATCACGTAAAACACGACACTAAGTGTATTAAGAATGATTTATAAAATATAGAAAAAAACCTTCATTAAATCATGCAAAGAGTATAAAATGTGATTATATGCGGGATGATAAAGCAGGATTTTTATTTTTCTTGAAATATATGCGTTATATATGCACTATGATTACGCTCATGATAAATTCTTAAATAAATGTTACGGACACACGGTGTGTTCGTAAAATACTGGATTACGACAACTATATATATATCCGTATATTCAGATATTGTCAAGCATACAGATATTCTAAATTATATATTTGAAGCATAATTGAGACTTTATAACTATTGATTTTATAGTGTATTGGCATATTTTTCTCGGATTTTTTATAATTTCTATTATACTTTTATTGGTAGATTGAAACATGTCAAAACGATTATTACGCAGTGCGCAAATTAAATCACAGATATTTTATAATAAACTTGCAGCTGGACCTTCTTTTGAAGATTTTATTAAATCTAGTGTATCAGGTAAAACGCCATTAGAACTTCCAAAACCAACACGCCTTCCAAATTGGCTACGTACACGTCCTATTCCTGATAGTGATAATTATAAACGTATTAGACGAGATCTTCGTGGTCTTGGGTTACATACTGTTTGTGAAGAAGCGCGATGTAATATACCTAAATATACGATGTGTGATATATAGGATGTGTGATATATACGCATCGTATATTATGTAGAAAGTATAATAATAATTATATAGGTCCAAATATTAGTGAATGTTGGGGAGGAAGTAGTAAATCATCTGCTACAGCTACAATTATGTTAATGGGGGATACATGTACACGAGGATGTCGTTTTTGTTCAGTTAAAACGAGTGCTACACCTCCACCACTTAATCCAAAAGAACCTGTACATACGGCAGAAGCTATAGCCCGTTGGGGTCTTGGATATATTGTATTAACAAGTGTAGACCGAGATGATTTAAAAGATGGAGGGGCAGCACATTTTGCAGAAACAATTATTGAAGTAAAAAAAAGGTAATATTATTGAAATGAGACGTTTTAAATTGAAATTGTGTATAGATCGCCAAATATTCTGGTTGAAGCATTAACAGGTGATTTTGGAGGTCAAATGGATAGCGTAGCAACCGTTGTCATGTCAGGATTGGATGTGTTTGCACATAATCTTGAGACAGTTGAAACGTTAACACCATATGTTCGTGATAAACGAGCTACATTTCGTCAAAGTTTAAGTGTTTTGGAATATGCAAAAATATGTCGACCCAATTTAATTACAAAAACGAGTTTTATGCTTGGTATTGGTGAGACTGAAGAAGAAATTGAAGCAGCACTTAAAGAATTACGTAAAATAAGTGTTGATATTGTTACATTTGGCCAATACATGAGGTAATTTCAGTGTTTTTTTTTTTAATGACGTCTAACAAAATATCTAGACCAACTAAAAAGCATATGAAAGTATGTTATACGTTTAAAACGTTTAAATCATATAAACTAATGTTGTCAAGGTGTATGAGTATGTTCATCCAGATACCTTTGAAAAATATAAGAAAATGGCAGAAAATATGGGATTTATGTATATTGCATCAGGACCACTAGTCCGATCTAGTTATAAAGCCGGTGAACTATTTATTGAAAATGTTTTAAGAAAGAATCAACAAAATTAGTGAAGATATCTATAAAGCATATGAAAGGCATTTTTGTATTGATATTTGACTACTTTATATGAATTATATAGATGATTGACAATAAATATTTTTTAACTAATTTTTTATTAAATATTATTTGCCCTTTTTCATAATAATTGCTTTTAGCTGTGCTAAAGTAATTAACAATGCTTCTTCTGTACGTATTGTCCTGCAACCTTGGGCAGGACATACATTTATCCATCTATCAAAAAGTTCTTCTGCACGATCTCCTCCAATATCCAAGTCCTGATCAGCATCTACCGCCGCTTCTAGTCCTGCTAATCCCCCAAAAACAATAAGAATATGATTAAAATTCGGAATATTATCCTTTATTTCTTCAAATGCCACGCCTCTTTCTGATGTACCAATAATCAAATCATAACCATTTTCATACGGTGATTCTTTCAACACTGCTGATAAAGAACTGGCAAAACGAACAGTATAACCCCAATAATATCCCATTGTTTCTCGTGGAGTAGATGGACTTACCACCTCCGCATTAATATATTTCTTTTGTGAAGACGTTTCCTTCATAAACAGAGTTACACGAACGCCTGGATCAATTTTATCCGAAACTAGTACCTTTCGTCGTAAACCTGCATCTACTAGCGTAGAATTCTTAGGAACCTTTGGATACAATGAGGAATCCAATGTAATGCCTTCTCTGTATGGAAAATCCTCATCTCTACGTAAATGATGAGGACAATCTAAAGGATTTAATAGTCCAGTAAACCGAAGATCGCGATGTATTGGAAATAAAGATTTTCTCAAATATCTTTATATAATTATTTTATGAAATAATAATTTTTTTTAGAATAAAAGCATACTGTGGTGTTTCCATATAACGTAATAAATGAATAAAAAACGTATTTTCATTATTTACTTCATCATGCTTTCCAAAATTACTTTGTTCCTTTGATATTCCAGAATCATCAAAAATAACCACTTCATCTACACAAAAAATAACTAAAGCTCTAGCAACCTTTTTAACCCTTAATTCATTTTTTTTGAATAAAAATATATTCTTTAATACTAACCTGTCCTACAAGTACTGTTTTTAATTCTAACCCTTGCGCATTTGAAACAATACTTCCCGGAAGTGCAATAGTAACTATTTCTCATTAAACCCGCCAATTTATCAATATAAAAATACCCGTATATTTCCTAGGCCCTGTAGAAACAGTATGAATATTGTTTTTCGATTGATTTATCACTAATTTATTCTTTTTTCCCCGTTTACTATTAAATAATTCAATTTCATTCCTTTTTCTCTGATTTAAACCCTTTAAAAAAATTCTTCAAATTCCTAATTCCTCTAACCTTATTAAAACGCATTTTCTAATCATTCTATTCTTCTTTTTCTTCCATATTCCTCTTTTCTTTAATATTATAAATTACTACACCATATAAAAAACCTCATTTTTTCTCGCAAAAAATCTCTCTTAAATACAAAATAATCCCTTCATATAAATAACATAATCTTATTAAACTATTCTTCTACTAAAACTTATCCTTTTATATTAACATTCTCAATATTTTCCTTCTCTCTCCTTTTAGCTTTTTTTATTAAGGTTCTATTGAACCTCGGGGGACTTGGGGGTTTATATAGTTTTTTTGAATTGCTTTTTTTTTTAATTAACGCATACAACACGCATACAACACGCATACAACACGATAATATATATTAATTACCTCCGCAACATGTACCGCATGGAGGCAAACGAATATCATCAATACTACCCAATCGTCGTCCTAAAGGTCTTCCGCTTGAAGAATCATATCCCCATGTACTTCTATTATTATTGAATCTATTTGACGAAGTATTGGGGGTTCTTTGTGTATTTTGTTTCAAATGATATTTTTCAATAGCTCTTTGTGGGTCAAACTGAAGAATATTAGTTTACGCGAACCCTAAACCTAACCCTAACTGTAAATAAAGTGCTTATATAAAGCATAAAGATTAAATAAATTTGATATGCAAAATCATTTAATCTAATGAAATTAAACATGGTTTTTATTAATATATAGAATTATTTACCTAGCAAAAAAAGGTTTTTCTTTTAAAATAGTTCCATCTTTTGATATAAAAACAGATGGCATTTTTAAGAATTATATTTTATTTCTAGAAAAATAGAGTATTAAAACTTGCTAAATAATATATTTTGCAGTGTATTATGTAATGTATGCGCAATATATGCGTAATATATGCGTTATATATGCGCAGTTATGCACTTTATGTATGTTATGATAGCCCCGGATAGGTTGACTAGTATCTTGTCGAAAATAATTTTTTGATCGACTTAAAATATATAATATAATGTAGATAAAATATATATTAAGTATATAAGATATATAAATATAGAATCTTCTATATAATATGTATAGAAATAAAAACCATAGATATTTGGTTTAATATTTCAGTTAATTTTAAATATATCGTATATTATAGCAAATTAACAGATATAACAGATTGTATATGATAGATATCTGTTATAGATTAGAATCTATAATATTAGATTATAAAGATATAATATATATGTTAGTTATAATTTTGATTAAATACGGGGTTAATATCAGCTGGATATTGAATTAAGATGAAACAGTTATTATATTTGTCATTGAAATCACCATGTTCCTATAGAAGTTCATTAAAAATTCAAGAATCATGGGTTTATCGCTTTTTATTGAATAAACAATATCCGGATACATATGTTAAACCTCCAGGGTTACTTGTAGTTGGACAATTTTATCCAACATATACATGTGGAAGACGTGATAATAATAATATTTGTGAATCAGATATAAAATATCTTGAAACGAATCCAACAGCAGTTTTTATAAAAACGCTTCGTGGTGGACAAATAACATTTCATGGTCCAGGACAAATTGTTGGTTATCCTATTCTTGATCTAAAAGATTTCAAGGTAAGTTGTTTATTTGCCTTTAAAAATGTTTTATAAATATATAATATTTGTTTTTTATCACAGATAACTCCTAAAGAATATGTTAATCGACTTGAATCCTCTATTATTTCGACATGTGAGACCTTTGGAATAGCTGCTATGCGAACAGAACATATAGGTTTTACGAATAAAAGAAAAGAACATATCTAATAGTTGTTAAATTTATAGGTGTTTGGACATCACCAATACGAAAAGTTGCATCGATTGGCATCCATCTTCGACGACATATTACATCTCATGGAATAGCTTTAAATGTTTCTACTGATTTAAGTTATTTTAAGAAAATTATTGCCTGTGGTCTTAAAGGTAAAGAAATGACAAGCTTTGAACGAGAAGGTGTATATGTCCCACTTGAAATTGTACAATCCTGTTGGGTTGAAAAATTGGCAGATCAGCTAGGGTGTACTATTAATCGTATTAATTCTGAACAAGTAGATGACATTTTATCAAATCAATGAGTAAATAAATGATCAAGAAGCTATATCGTTTAAATAGCACATTATACTTATACCTATCATTACAATACAACAAGCTGGAAAAAATGTTATCCATAATTTATCTCCGAAAACCTCATTTATATTCTCATTTCCTGTTTTTAAAAGTGCTGTCATATGATATGTTGATTGTTCTACTATTTTTTCAGTCCTTTTTGCACGATATTTCCATAATTCTATTTCTTTTTTCATATTTTCTACCATAGCTTTTAATGATTTTAATTCATCTTCTGAGTTTTCATCTTTTTCCAATTTATTTTTCATTAACTCTGTATTCATTTTCGTTTCAATTGTATCTTCCACTTCTAATGTATTATTTTGTTCTTTCAATAGCTGCTCAATAATCTGTTTACATGTTTGTTGCTTTGTCTTTTCTTCTTCTAAACATTTGATTTTTGCTGTCTTTTCCTCAATTTCAAGCTGTTTTGATGCTAAAACCTCCAAACTAAGAGGCTGAGTACTTTTTTTATGACATTTAAGATTTCCTTTATTTCCAAAATTGTCTGAATGGTTCTTTAAAATATCTTCTGGCTGTATTTTTTCCAAACTATCATCTCTACACTATATTTTCACTAAGATCTCATCCAGAAAAAAAAAAGGGTAATTACATCATAAAATACTGTATCTTGGATATTATTAAGCATTTTCGTGACCAATTTAATGTCATTCATCTGCTGTTTTGCCGTCTTTAGTCCTATCTACCATTATAAACATTAATATATATATAATTTCATAAAAATCTTCACATTCAATGTCTGTAAAATATTTTCCACATCTTTCCCAATGCATTCATTCATTTTATCTTCTTCTAACACTGATTTTGATTGTGCTACTTCATTAGAAACTAGCACACGGAGCGTAATCGTATCAACTGCCTCTGTTGTACCTGTATCTACCCATAATCCATTATCCTTTTCCTGAGATACATCCAATGAATTCATCTCTGCCCATCCTGCATGTTCCACACGTGATGCTACCTTATAATGAAGAATAGACCGGTCTTCTTCGTTCAATATATCAATCCCAAGTTCCTGCCCCCCATTTAAGATAATAAAAATACATAAAATATCATACTAAAACGTCCCCAACGTAAAGCTCAAACGGCTCACTTGTTTGATTTTCTTGACTGAGTCTTCGTCCATTAAGAAACGTCCCATTACTGCTCTTAATATCCCGAATAAAAACACTACCAGTTTTAGGATCTGCCCAGACTTCTGCATGCGCCCGACTCAGAACTTTTGAGTCAAAGAACCCATTATTAGGCGCTGGTGCCGTACGGGAATTTATCTGACGGCCAATCCTCAATGTTTGAGGCCATGATGGTAACCATAGACATTTTCGCTCAAAAGTATCATTTATTGGGGCCAGAATAAGGCATACAAGCGGTGAATCAGCCATTTAATGGAACAAACATGAATCTATGCGTGTTGTATGCGTCGTGCTATGCTACAGTTAACACTTAATTTCATATTTAAAGCCTTAAATAAAAAAATAATACACGAACCGCTTTATTTCCTGATAAATATGCGTCAAAAAAGAAGATATATTTGCTAATTACCTAATAATAGAGCAGATTTGATGAGTTTAATTAGTCTGATTATTTCTGCTGTAAAATACAGACGATTAAACAAATAAAGAAATATATAGTAAAAATAGCAGGTTTTGTTAGATATGCCTTAATATATGCATAGCGAATTGATCTATTTAAATAGATTCTGATGATTTTATAAGGTCTATGGTGAATATGATAGGTTGTCTAGGCAACTTCCCCGTTGAAGGTTCAACGTCATCAAAAGTTTAAAAAAAATGGAGGATGATTATTACGCTTTGCTTGGGATTCCATCAACAGCAAATGATGAAATGATACAGAGGGGATATAGAAAAGCAGGTATGCCTTTTGAACGGAGAAAAACGGTTAATTAATGACCATATTAGCACTTCGATATCATCCAGATAAGAATAAAGAAGCATCGGCTATAGAAATATTCCATAAAATAGCGGTAGCATTTGATGTTTTAAGTGATCCAATATCTCGGTCTAGCTATGACTCTAGTAGGGAGTCTTTACTTGCTAAAAAACGGAAATATGAGGCATTAGATAAGGAAAGAAAACGGATGATAGATGGTAAATGAAGAGAAAATGGTATATAATAGGGTCTATATTGATCCTATGATAGAACTTGAACGATTGGATAAAGAAGCTAAACTTCGAAAAATCAAATCAGAGACGGCGATGGAGGCTACTCTACGTAAACTACAAGAAGAAGGAGCAGCTTTACGTAAGAAAAAAGAAGCAGCTTTAAGAGCACAAAGAGAATCAGAGAAACAAATGGAAAGTCATAATGATGAAAAAGTGTTAAAAACGAAGGAAGAAGAAAAAAGTAGATTTACAATGGAAAATAGAACAATTAAAGTACGATGGCGTCGAGATCAGATTACAATAGATAAGGATGGACTAATAAATGCATTTGAAAGATTTGGAAAGATTGAAGATGTAGTTTTAAAGGATTCAATAGACAATACAAAGAAAAAAAAGGTTATTGTAGGATTAATTGTATTTAAATCAGTTGTTTCTGCGGTAAATGAAAACATTTTAACTTATAAATTTAATAGAATTTAGCATGCAGCAATATCAGAAGCGTCTTTGCTGGCAGAGACGCCATTTATACATTTAAAAGAGGTTTCTTGGGCAAAACAGGCACCCGATTTAACTGGAATATCAGAAGATGTAACATTAAATGAAATTCATAATTCAAATACTTCAAAAAATACGTCTTTACCAAGATCAAACACTATGCCTTGTTTAAATCAAAATCACTTGGATTATCAAAATATAATATTAATGCGAATGAGAGAAGCTGAACGTGAAAAAATTACAAACAATATTTTACAATCTGATAATCAAATTTAATTAAAAATCATTTATACACTATCTAATCTCTATTTTTTACATCACTTTTTACTTCACTTTTTTACTACAAAACTTCTTTTTATTATCTCACTTATCGATGCTACTATGGTTACAAAAATATTTAATCAACATATCTCATACTTTGTGAAATCCAATACTGCTTGCATACTCTCTAAAACATTGTCTACATATATTTAATCCATATTTTCGAATTAATCCTGCTACATGTCCACAAACTCGACTATATATATAATTAACCAAAAATACATAAAATACTCTTTTTTCACACCATCCTCGAGATCCTTTACCATATGAACGAGGTCTAGAAAACCATACTTGATCATGTGCCATTTTTATTTTTCTTAAGGATTTTTCAAAATTTCTACTTCTTCTACCCTGCCCTTCTATTATTAATAATAGGTTTAGGTTTCCTCTTTAATTACATAATCTATTCTTCATTTTTACTATAAAAACCTTCATTTTCTTCTGTTTTCCTGTATAATTCTTCTTTTTTATTCTAAGTCTCATATTTAACAGCCTTTCTTTCTCCTACGAGATTTTTGACTTAGAAAAATTAATGGTTCATAGAAAAAAAAAAGCTTGGAATCTTAATTTAAATAATACACAATCTCAATGGTATAGAAAGTGGATTATAGAATGGGAAGTTCCTAGAAAATGTGTTCATTCATCAATAGGAATAATTACATTGGAACTTTATAGACAAAGATTTGAAGCAACGGTAATTACATTATGTCTAGCTATATTATTTATACCAGCATTTGGATGTGATCTTATACGGTTTTCAGTTCCAGAATTTAACCGTATATATATAACAGTTCTCGGACCGTTAATGAGACAGAGCGAAATTAATACGTGGAAGTAATGAAATATAATGGATTAAAATCAGTATTTACAAGTATTTAGTGGTGTTATTTTTTATATTATAGGTACATGGACAGTCTTAATAATATTCCCTAAAGTATATAAATAATTGGAAAATAAAGTGAGGAATAGTAATATATATATAGGATATAGCAGTGATATCTATTCTTTTACTTGCTTGGTGCGATACAGCAGCATCGACAATGGGAAGAATGTATGGACATTATGGACCTTTAATTCGTCCAGGAAAATCATTAATTGGAACGATTGCTGCATGTGTTGTAGGGATGTTATCAGTTTATATATTTTGGGGAAGGATTGCTCGTTTCGATGAGCCAAATTTATTATGGTATCCATCGAGTCGATTAAATATTCATGGGCTAGCTTTATTAACGGGATTAATTGGGGGATTTACGGAACAACTTGATTTATGGAAGTTGAATGATAATTGTGTAATTCCTGTGATGAGTGGAAGTCTTTTGTATATTATTTTGAAGAGTATTAATATATATACGTAAAAAAGGTTTTAAAATCGTATATATAGAGAGAGTACATTTATAATAAAAGTAAATGCTGGTCATATATTTATTTTTTTTATATAAACTATGGTAAAATAATATATATAAAACTTTATTATGTGTATAATCTACTTTTTTGTTTATTTTATTAATGTATTTATTAAAAAAATGAATAAATATATCTAAATAAATTATTATCTTAAGAAGTTTTAATATATCTATGAGAATTAGTGCATTCTTATTTATATTAGTATTATTAATTAAAATAATTGTTTTTTAGGTTATTTCTGAATTTATTTAATAAAATCGTTCGTCTAGCTTTTTTTCCTTATATATATATTAAATATACACTTTTATTGTTATTCTTTTATTGTTGTTCTTTTATTCATATTCTTTAAACCTTATTAATCAATATAAAGTCCATTTTTACTCTATATACTTCTTTTACTCTATATACGTCTTTTAATGACACTATAATTGCTTCCAAATATTCACTAATATAAAGAACTCTTGAAATGACTAATTCTATTCCTTAATAATTCTCTTTTACACCATTCTACTCTTATTCTACCCCTCCCCCCTATTATACATATATAAATCCATACCAATAATACAATTGCATACTATATATCTATATAACTTGACATTAACGTACTTATCTTTTAACATATATTTTTATAAATAGTTTTACTACTTATTATTCATATATATTGTCCTACAAATAAAAATATAGTCTTTCTTCATCTTCAATATTTATATATTTAGCTGAATACTCCTATTCAGCGTCTAAATATTAACTACATGGATATAGTGGTAATATTACTGCTATTCTATACATTGATGTTTCTTAATATATATAATTCATAATTCATAATCTCATTAAAGCATCGTTAATGCTTATTCTCTCTCATACAGAAACATCATTCATATCCATTAATAATATAGCTAAATAAAGTCTATATGAACAATATATACATGATTATTATGGAAATTCGCTTCGATACAACTTTGGTTTCTGCATTAGAGAATTTTTAGAGTCTTAAACGACTCAGTTTATCCCGAATTAATATTTATTTATTTATTTATTAACATTTAGGTTTTAAACTGAGTCGCAGGTGAAGAGATAAAAAGAACGCGTAAAAGACATAATTTAACCGAGAATATAAAGATTGAATAAATGAATGATAAGAAAGTAGAATTATTTCATATAAATAAGGAATAATATAAATTGCTAAAAAGAAAAGTTTTGGGGCAGTTTTATAAGAAATTAAGTGAAAATGAAAAGATGGAAATAAATGCAGAAAATGAAAAAAATGAAAATTAAGATACACATATATATGCGTTTTCTAAGGATATAACGGGTCAAATAATTAGTGATATAGGGATTGTATGCGTAAAAAGACGCGTGATATGCTTTATTTATTTATCTTTTTTTTTAGAGTCGAAATTTAACTTTTAGGAGTTGTCATGGCAACCCTATCTAAACAAACCTCTCGAGTCTAACGAAGCTTTAAACGACGAGTTGGAGAAGGAACGGCGATGGTTAAGCCGGAGCATGACGGCTCGGTCAATTATTATGAGTGTTTGTATGTGTTATTTTTGTATATTTTATGATGATTAATAAGGATTTAGACAGGTTTTACCTACAGCAAGTGCAGATGATATTCGACAACAATATCGGAAATTGGGTAGGATGAATGAATGAAAAGGATAAGATTTGATGGTATTAGCACTTCTTTATCATCCGGACAGGAATCTAGGGAATGAGGCGGAGTTTAAGCGAAAGTTTCAGTCGTTAAATATGGCATATGAGGTACTTTCGGATGCAGAAAAGAAAAAGTCGTATGATCGGGCACGTTTGATAGTGCTTTCTAGTAAAGTTACGCCGAATAGGAGGGAATCATCGTGTGGAATGAAATCACCATTTCGATCATCGTTTACGCCATCATTTGTACCAAAAACACCGACACATAATAGATCACCGGGATCCCCTCATTCATCTAAGTCATCGCCGAGTTCTAAGTCTAAATATACGAGTCAATCTAAAAGAAGTGAAGATATATATGCAGGATATGAAAATTGGTTTAGTAAATCAACGAGTGCATATTCTTTTTTTTATGAAAGAAATTCGCCAAAATTTAATCCACGAAAGCCATCGTATACATCGCCATATAGTTCACCAATATCGAAAAAACAAGATGAGGAAAAAGGTTTTACAAAAGTGAATGATGATGCTAGAAAAGCAGCAGCATCAAAATATGCAGAAGCAAGGATGCAATCTGAGAAAGAGAATTTGAAAGATATTTTTAAGAAAAACATGCAAACATCAGATGAAAAAGCATCAACTAAACATACATTTTTTGATATTAAATCGAAAGCAGAGCATAATGATGGAGTACGTTTACAGTCACGAGGTGATAATACATTAAATCATCAAAATATTTTTGCAAAAGAGAAAATTCCCCTTGAAAAAGCATCTGAATTATTTTCTTTTTCCTTTAATAAGAAAAAGGAATCGGAAAATATCCGACCTGTAGAACAACCAATTGTATTTGAAAAATTCTCGAACACTAAACTGAATGAATCCAGTTTTTCCTTTTCATCAATACCGACTGATTTGAAGTTTGGAACGCAAACAACTTATGTAAATGAAAATTTCCAATCGAACGATGGTAAAGAAACTCGATTTAACTCGCTTAAAGGTACATTGAAACAAAACAAAAAGAGAAATACAATTAGATCACTTCGACATTTATCTTCACAAATGGAAACAGGATTTAATCCTGTGTTTTCTACAAAAATACCTGATAACTGGTGTTCTGATAAGGAAACTTTTAAAAAGAATGATTCTACAAAGGAAAATAGGGAAGATTTGGACTTGAAAAAAAAGAATTCTAATCTTTCCGATAATAATTTAGGGAAAAATCCTTTATCATCCTCTTCTAGAATTTCATTTACTATAAAGAAACCGTCCTCTTTAAAAACAGAGAATCCTTTTGCATTTGATTCATCATCAAAAGAAATCAAAAAAAACGTTTTGTTAGACGATATTTCTGAAACTTCCAAAAACATTGCTGGTACTTTTGAGGATAGATATAATGAAAAGTATGGTAAAACGACTGAAAATAAATTTAAACATATTTCCCAAAAAAGTGTGGAAATTAACTCTAGTGATTCAGATTTATTATCAGAAAGGGTTAAAAAAGAACTCGAATCATATCGTAATTTTAAAATTTCTTATGAAGCGGAAAAAGCAAATAAAAATATTAATAAATCATCGATCAATGAATCTCATGTATCAGAACAATTTCAAGGCTTAACATTATCTGCATCAAAATCATCTGAAAATAATCAAAAATATGCATCTGTTGAAACATCTAAAAGTTCTTCATTTATTGAATTTTCACGATTTCAGGTAAAAACAGAAAAACATGTTCAAAATTTACAGAATACAAATGATGATTTAAATATTCCTACAAACATGAAAAAAAAGGGTAAATTTTTAAATATTCCCGAATTTCCGGATCCTGTTATTCCATTGTTGTCTCCATCTATTCCCAATTGTCTCACTGCTTCTTCTTTTTCGATTTATCTTAAAGAAATGATCAAATATCAACAAATATGGCTGGCCTGCTCTTCTACATATTTGAATTTTTTTCAAAAATGGGAGAAATATAAAGAATCATGTCATAGATATGACCTTTTAAAAGATACTGATATTTACGAGGCATTTATTATGGCTACTGAAAAGGAAGAAAAAATTAGAGAAGGTTGGTGGTCAGAAGAAAAAAGATATCGACAAGCATTAAAAGATTTTTTACATATTAAAAAAACCTATGAATATGGTCAAAAGTTTCCATTTGGACCTATATAATTTTTATCAAACATTAATTAACATGGCTTTATGGTTTTTGTATAATGTAATATTATTAAAAAATGTTCTTCCTCTTCATTTTCATATTAAACCTATAAAATTCATAGCTTCTATATATCTTTAATTTTCTATTTCTTATTACTATTTTATATATTTTCAATAACTTATTCATCTCATTCTTCCTTATCGATAACCATTCTTCTTATAGATAAGAGAAATCTATATTAAATAATTTCATCTTTTGGATAAAATTAAGTATTCTTATTAAAATTAAATAGTTTTTCTTCTATTTCTTTTAGTTTTTACCAAAATCTGTATTATTTTTATCCTTAATTTCTCCTACCCTATACCCTAACCCTAAATACATGGAAACCCTACTTTTATAAGAAATAAATTTCACGAAATTCCTTTTAAAGTTTATAAAAAAAACCAAATTTTTGACTTAGAAAAAATACGAATATAAAATCGGATTTATATGGCGAGGACTAAACAAACAGCAAGGAAATCTACAGGAGGAAAAGCACCAAGGAAACAGTTAGCTACTAAAGCAGCGAGGAAATCAGCACCAACAACCGGAGGTGTTAAGAAACCTCACCGTTATCGTCCAGGAACGGTTGCACTTCGTGAAATTAGAAGATATCAAAAATCTACGGAATTATTGATTAGAAAGCTTCCATTTCAACGTTTAGTTAGGGAAATTGCACAAGATTTTAAGACGGATTTGAGGTTTCAATCGTCTGCTATTGGTGCTTTACAAGAGGCAGTAGAAGCTTATCTTGTATCATTGTTTGAGGATACTAATTTATGTGCTATTCATGGAAAGCGTGTGACGATTCAACCTAAAGATATGCAACTTGCGCGTCGTCTTCGTGGAGAACGGTCGTAAAGGTTGGAATTTTCTAAATAATATATTTCAAATTATATTTATTTATCCAAAATACTTATAAGAATTGCTGGAATATATGTGCTGGTCTTTCTAAATAGTTTATTGTGTTATTTTTTAGAGTATAGATGATTATTTTTTTTATCTATACGTTTTTTAATAATATATCAGTTATTTGGATTCGTAAACAATTTGTCTCCAACCGTTTTCACAAGTTTCGTCTTTAATTAGTTCAACAGTTGGAAAATAATGTAAATTAAGTTTTAGTGTAAGAACAATAGGAATATTATCAAAAGTAGTTGTTCGTATTCGTACATATGTATTATCTGGAATGGGTAATATAGCCTATTATTTGGAAAATGAATATTGTAATTATGAAATATTTACCTTTAAAAAAGCGTCAAGATCAGGAGTAAATACACTATTTATATGTGTAATAAACATTGTTGGCACAAGCCCATATTGATATGCCGGCGAACCCTTACTCTAAAGACTAATTAGGACTAAAATAAAGTGATATAATTGGAAATACTTTTGCAGATACATAAATTTGTGTATGAAGTGTTTTAGATTGCTGTCTTACTGCACGATGAGGTGCTTGAAGCAATGCACCGAAACACATAACTACACGATCTGTTTCGCTTGCTTCTGCAAGAACTGTAGGAATGTTTAGAGTAAGTTCTTTTCGTTTTCGAAGTATAACCTATGATATTTATTAATATTACATATTAAAAATATAAAAATATACCATTTTTAACTCATCTGATGTATATTGTACGTCTAAATCTTGTATTCGAGTAACTATTTTTTGGTTTACAGTTAAAATAACATCACCATCTTGAAGAAGTTTGGGACCATTTCCTGATTCTACTCGTCTTACAAGAAGTAATTGATGTTTTTCAGGATTTGCATCTTCAACACGACAAATCAATTCATCACTAACACCCATATTTCGAGCTTGTGCCATTTGAATGAAATAAACTTCTATATTTAACATTCGTAATTTAGGAGTTATACCTAATCGTAATTTCTCTAAAATTGGTAAAATTGTTGATATAGCTAGCCCTTTTTTTGCATTAGCAATATGTCTATATTAATAGAACAATTAATACCCATATGATAATCAACATCTTTTCCACTAGATGTTCGTTCTCCCAAATATGTTAACCAGAGTGCTTTAACCCTTCCATCTTCTCCACAAAGAACTCCTGATCCACATTGAGATCCCAAATTAGTATCAACAAATATAGAATCAACATTAATTGCACGGAATCTTGGAGTTGCATTTTGAGGAATTATAACTGTCGTTACATCTGTAACAACAGTTTTTGTACCAACAATTCTATTACTATGATTTACTCCTACAAAGTATACAGAACTTCCTGTAATAAATAATTAAATGATAAATCTTTAAATTATGATTTTCTACCTTGAGAAAGATGTTCATCACTAAGTTTTGCTGCCTGAACAGGAGTATCTGCTAAAAGTTTAGGATCATAACTAATAAAGGCGATATTCTGTGTAGGGTGAAGATGTTCAATCTATTCTTCAACAGCAATTCTAGTATGAAATTATTATTAAATACCTTTCCAGGTATAATAATCGAGTCAGCAAATGTTAATAAAAGATCCCCCAATGCAAAGGGTATAATAGATCTGGAAGTAACTGCAAGTCCTCTATCTTTATCAACAATAAGCCCAGTTCCTGATTTTCTAAAATGGAATTAAAATCTTTTTCCTTTATATTAGACATGATTATACCTTCCTTTTGGAAATCCATCTAACCGTATAGGCATAAAATATGATATTTTTACGAAACTTTTAACTAAACTTGCTGCATGCCCAAAATTGTTATCCAATGTAATAAATTTTGCAGTTTTGGGTTGTATTTTTTCTGGTGGAGGAGGATTCCCTAAATCATGAAAATCCCATAATCCTGTTGAATCATTTCGAATAGCAAGTCGAAATTTAGTAGCCCAATGGCGATCTATATGAACTATTTGAGTGCAAAGACTATGCATATCATGAATAACTCTATATGTTACTACAACATGTTTTCGATCAGGTATATCTTTGACAACTTCTATAAATGTATCTAAATCTGGTACCTGTTTGGTATCGACAGTATCTAATATATAGCCTTGATCTGGACCTTCTAGTCGAAAAGAACCCTCTGGTTCAGAAATAAATACACCTTTAACAGCAACAGCATAGCTTCGTGCTAATTGATATGATAGATTATGAAATTTTGCCCCAGAATATTCGACATATCTATCTGGTGTAATTTTATGTTTGTCACATACTTCTATATTTATATTTATATCTTCCCCTCCCCTTTGAACTGATATTTGTATTTTTTTGCCAATAGATTCGTCTAAAATACTTTCCAATGGAATATGTTTTGTAAGAATTTCATTGTTTACCCTTATTAAAATGTCTCCTTCGACTATTAACCCATCTCCTGGTCCTTCTGGAAGAACTGTTTCTGCTACAAGAAGACCTACTTCTTCTGGGAATGATTGTCTAATACATGCCTCTACATCAGGACTTAATCCAAGTCTACGACATTCATCAAATGGCTAGTTATATTTTAATGAAGAGAAAATAGTATTAAAATTGTATTGCCTTTATCATCCATTGTACTTGAATAGTACCCCTTGTTATAGGAAGATTATTTTGAAGACATCTTAAAGTACGAAGAGGACGATCAAGAGGTAAGAAGAAATCCGTTGCTGCTACGAAAATATGAGCTTTTTATTTTCATATGTCCAAATACCCTGTGTTCTTCCGCCTGCTTGTAATGCAACTGCATAGCCATCAATGTTTACTACTGGACTTCCTGAGCTCCCTCCACTTGCATTTGCAGCTGCTTGAATGTAATTAGTATTGAAATCTAGTCAATTATTTAAAATAAATATAATAAAAAGAATATTGTACCAGAATATGTAAAATCTCCTACAAATAATAAGTAATTTCATCAATATGATATATTGTTTATTACCATATTCAGGTGCATTTCTGTCTACTCTTGATATCCATCCTGAAAGTATAGATAATTTTTCAGCTGCATCATTACTAATATAAATATTTAATTAAAGAATAAAAAATAAAATAATACTATACCCTACTACTCTAATCTCTGTACCTACACGAGCTAGATCTGGACGTAATGGAATAGCCACTACTGGCATATATTTAATACTTTTTGGATTAAATTTTAAGATTCTAGTAAAATTAGTTTCTGCTTTATAATAATCCCCATCTAAACCCAAAATCATGGACTATAGAAATTAGTTAAGACAGAATCTAATATGTTCATTTACTTACTCGGATCTCTATAAATAGGATATATTTCAATCTATTATTAGATAATTAATAATAATTAAAAATAATTGATAAAATACCTCTTCATGGTTCTCACAAATTGCATGTCCCCAAAATGGTCCTGATGATACAACATGACGATTCGTCAAAATATATCCATTTTCCGCATCTATTATAAAACCACTTGCTTCTCCACTCTCTGGAAATTCAGTGTCAAATGCTGAAACCTAATTTTCAATCAAAAAAAAACATTTTTCTACTCTTTTATTCAATTTTACATGTGAAAATCGAATTGACACTACACTCTTCACTACATTTTCTATTGATTTTATCCATAACGATTCCTCTCTATTCGTTGATACTACTGGTATGTTTTTTCCTCCAAATTCTTTGCCATTGCATATGGTTATTTCATTTTCTTTTAAATTTTCTATAATATATTGCTCTTCTTGTCCCATTGAGCTTGTTCGTTTACGTTTACATGTTATATTCACATTGCTTTCCTCTGAAGCACTAACTTTACTCAATTCTTGATTCATTTAATATTTTTATATCCTTTTCTTCAGTTTTTGCATCTATTTTCTTAATATTTTTTAACTTGCTTATTAATATCAAGTTTCCTCTCAATTTTATACATAAATTATATTCTTTTTCTCCTTTGATGTCCCTTTATCCCGATTATTATTGATTTTCTCCCTCAATTTCTCTTCAAAAGAACATTTATCCTGTTAATCGCTGAATTGATTAAATTTTAAAAATATAAAACTCCTTTCAATATAAATAATTTATAAATATTCCTTTGTATATAGTATTTTATATTTATATTTAACTTGAATATTTAAAGAATATAACTTTATTTATAAGTGATTAAGGTTTGCATAAAATATAAATAAAAAAAAGGAGTCGCAAGTAAGAATATAACTGAAAGATGATGTCTCTTGTAGATTTTTAAAGGCTTTAGGGTTTAAAAAAAAAAAGTTTAAACGTTGAAAAGAAACCTGTTTTAAATATAGATATAAATGAATATGATATTTTTAGATATAATAAATGAGTTTTATAAGTTTATATGGGCTATTTTATTTATTTATTTATAAATCAAAGTGTTTATGTTTAAATCGTGCATAAAAAATAGATCGTAAATATATATAATTGTAAAAATATGAAATTAATTAATAAAAGAGGAGGAGAAATGTATTATACTAAGGTATAATAGGTCTGAATATATTTTGAAATTTGATAGAAATGATATAGTATTTTCTCTTTCATGAGAAGTCTTTTATTTTTTAAATATATCGTACAACGTATATAAGAAAGAAAGATTGATATAAAATGTTTTAATATACAATAAGGAGTACAAAATGTGTTATGGAAGATATCAACAAAAACTACGAAATATGAAGAGAATATTCCTTTAAAGAAACTTTGTAAAAAAAAAACGACGCCTGATACAGTAAGAATTTATAAATATTATAAGGGTCTAATTTCAAGTTATCTAACAAGACGCCAAATTATTCAGTAAAAACTCGAAAAATCAATACATTTAGTTTATTTAATACATCTGATAAATCGGTTTGTATACTTTTAATTATTTAATATAATAATTTATTTTATTAGCCATGGCTGCAATCTAGCGCTGAACCTTCTATACTAGAATATTCATATTCTTATAAGAAAAAAAAATACAAGAAATTTAGAGTAATTCTTCCATCATGGAAAAATAGTTCTAATTTCATTGCTTTTCGCTCAAAACATCCTGTTTGTGAGCCATCAATTTCTAACGATTTTTGTTCTAGATCGATTATGCAGCAATTAGAGGCACATAATTATCATTCACATACTTTTCATTTATCTAGATGTATATAATAATTTTGTTTAAATATATTAGAAAAAAATATTAACAAAAAATATCTTTTATTATATATTAATAACAAGTTTGCCTAATACCTTGTGGAAGAGAGTTCCACAAGACTTAAGAAAATACCAACTCTCCAGCGGGGAATCGAACCCCGGTCGCCCGCGTGACAGGCGGGAATACTAACCACTGTACTACTGAAGATATCTGTAGTTAGAGATAGATAAATAGGTTATAAAGAACTAAAAAGTATTTATATATATAAATAGTTTAGTAAATATAGATAATAATAATAATAAAATAATAAAATAAAAATATACAAGTTTTATAACTAATAAGAGGTCTAGGTGTGTCATATTGTATTAAGAATAAGTGGATATAATTGATATTGTTTTTATTAAAAGATATATTATTGAAGAAGTGTTTAATCTAGAAATATATGGGTTAATAAATGACATGAATATACAAGAAGCAGTGCGGTTACGGCGTCTTGTAGTATTTCTGATTTGAATGAATGACAAATATTGATTGAATTTAGTCGGATGTTCGGTCAGCTATATGTGGTAGCTCACCTTTATCAAGTAGTCCAAATATACACAAATATGGTGTGTTTTATAGAGATATTAATGGAGAATAAGTTTTTTATATGTATAGATCAGTTAAAAATGGAATTTCAAAGTTTAAAATATGATTATTGTAATGCTAAAAATAAATGGGATATGGAAAAAACAAGTATGGAGAAGAAGATACATGAAATAGAACAGAATAATGAAGAAAAAGAAAAAAGAATTAATGTATATTGTTTTTATAGCGAAAAAAAGGGATATTAATTGAGAAAAATCTAGGAATTAGAAAAAGATAAGCGATTTTTATATGAAAAACATAAATTAGAGAGTGAAGAGACACAGAAATTGAGGGAGGAATGTTCAGCACAAAAGGTAGATTGTTTATTGTATTTTTAGTTTAAAATAATATGAAATTTAGCAAGAATATGAATGGAAGATAAGAGAGCTTCAACGAATAAACAGTATTGATAAAGAGAATTCAACAGATAGGAAAAATGAAGAAAGATCTGTCTTAAATTCTCTTCAAAGGAAAATAGAAACTTTAGAATTAAAAAATACGGGGTTAGAAAAGGTAGTAGAAGGGTTAAAAGATGAATTGAGGTCTAAAAATACATTAATAAATCAAAAACAACAATCATTATTAGAAGCAAATGAATTGATTGATAATCTTCAAAAAAGAAAGCGTTCTTTAGAAGTAGAAACAAATGACTCAAATGAAATTAAAGTATTGAATAGGGAATTAATTGAACAATTATCTTATATTAAATCTCTTGAAAAAAAGAATTTTCAACAATCCAAAGAACTAAAACAGCTTAAAGAATCTCATAAATCAATCCAAATACTTCAAGAAGAAAAAAAGGATCTTGAATTCCAATTGAAGTTAATGGATGATCTTAGGCAACGTTTAGGTGAATCAGAAATAGAACGTGCTATTTTAAAACGTGAGAAAGCTGCTTGGGTTGCTTATTTAGATGATGATGATCAAAGAGATTTTGATTCTCCAAAAGCTTTAAGTTTAACACTTGCTCAACAAAGAATTGAAAATGCAGCTCTAACAGAAAAATATAGTATTTTAGAGATGGAATTAAAAGAGAAAGATATTTTACATCAATCTACTTGTTTTGAATTAAAAAAATTGTCAGATAGAATTGTTGAACTTGAAGAAAAGTTAAATTATGAACTTAAAAATAAATTAAGACTAGAAAGACAAGAAGTTTTATCTCAAAAAGAAGTGGAACTTTTACAAGAACAATTGGTTTGTCTAAATTGTTATTATAATATTAATTGATCTGTATTAGAATTCATATAATTCTGAAGAAATGATATTTATGCATAATAATTATGATGAACAGAAAACAAAAAGAATAAAGAATTTGGAAATGATACTAGATGATTACAAAATTGAAATTATGAAGATTTCTGAAGAATTACAAGAAGCAAAAAATCAAATAACATCTAAATCAACAGAAATACTAAAACGTGAACGTGAAGAGGTATTTAATCGTCATGAAAGGGAAGGTGATTTGTTACGACGTAATAAAACATTGTCAGAAGAGTTATTAACTCTTAATAAAGAACATACTCTTTTGAAAAAAGAATTAGAATCATTAAAACAGCAATTATCTTATATGGATTCTACTTCTAAAAATGATAAACATAATTCTCAAACTCGTATATTGCAATTGAAAGATAATCCATTATCTGCTCTTGAAAACTTAAGACAATCGACTCTTGATCGTCTAAAAAATGAAAATGCTGCACTTTTAAAGCAAATTGAAGATAATGGTGAACAATTTGGTCAAGTTGTTCCAATAGAATCATTAGAAAATCTTAAATTAGAAAATTTAAGATTAGAAAGTACTATAGCTGATAAAGAAAAACGAATACAAAGATTAAAAGAGGTGATATTTTGTTTTAATCATACTAATATCGTCTAATAGATATAGATATTTGCTGAAAAATCATCTGAATTTCGAGAAGCTGTATATTTTCTTTTGGGTTATAAAATTGACTTTCTTCCTAGTGGTAAAGTGCGTGTAACATCTATCTATTCACAAAAAGGAAATCATTCTTTTGTTTTTGATGGAAAATCTTCATCAATGCATTTAGTAAAAGGAAATGAATTTACTGGATCAATAGAAAACTTAATAAAATTTTGGTGTGAAGAACGAAAAACTATTCCAGGTATAATACAATGTTATTTAAGTTTATATTTAATATGTTAAGGAATGCTTTCAGCTTTAACTCTTGAATTATTTGAGCAATCTACTACAGGACAATCAAAAGGTTGGGCTTAATAAGATATATTTAGTGTTAATAGTCATATACCCTTGATAATGTATATACATGAATAAAAACGAAATTATATCGTTTTTATTTATATTTCTTTTAATTTAATGTTTGAAGTATAAAAAAATAACTTATAAAAAGCTAGGATTTTATTCTTTATTTTCTTGCTCAATAAAAAATATTATATATTTAAGAAAATAAATATTAATGTTACAGTAATAATTCATAACAAAAGCTTGAAAGTATTTCTTTTTAATTTAGTTAAAGTAAATCTAATATAATGTATATTAATTAAACAATTGCAAGTTAAAAAATATTAAATTTTTAGATAGCATTATGTATAGAAATTTAAATTTCATAATATAGTTAAATAATTCCTCAATTATTAGTAATATTTAGATTTTCGAAAGATATCTTCCATATAACGTTTAATTAAGAATTAAAAGAAATTATAGTATTTGTTTCAATTTTTGTTAAAAGACTTTCTTCCTTTTCATCATATAATATAATATTATCTAACGAAAATATTAATTTATTTCGTTTTTTTTATAAAATATTCCTTTAGGTTCATTTTAGCAATGTTTTAATTATTACATTTTCTGATCCTACTATAAAACCTAAATCCTGTAAAATGAAAGTAAACTCTGAATAGAAAAAATCTATGTTTTTTATGTTATAAGAATATATTTTCCTTATATATGTTTCTATTAAGATGTTATTAAAATTGGTTGAAAATTGATTGAAAATTGGTTTTGTTAATATCAATTATAATTCCATATCAAATATCATTTTTGAGAAGTGTTTTTTGGACCATTATTATTACCAATTGCAATATATTTCCTTAAATATAGAATTATAGTGTAACAATTATCTTTTTCTTAATAAAATTGTGTTGTAGACCCCGGTTTTGAAATATTATTATCCCAAATTTTGAAAGATTTTTCATTTTCAGTTTTAATATCTTTTTTTTTTATACAGTATATTTAAATAATATTACTCCTTCTTTGAAGGCTTTTCAGTGCTGTATATTGTATCTAATTCTTCAAAAACTTTAACCACTAAACTTCAGAATTATGATAATTATATTTTTTGAATTCTGTATTAATAAATTTATTCTATATTAAAAATAACAATAATAAAATAAAAATACCTTATTAAAATATAGAACATTGTTATCTTTGTATTTAATCGTCTTTATATTTAATCAATCATCTTTAATTTTTTTTTTTCAAGATTTGTTGCAAATAAATTTTCTTCATAACCAATATCATCTTTTAAAATCTTGTCACTATTTAATGTTAAATTCATAGTATTAACACTATTTATTATATTTTTAACTGAATTGTCGACTTGTTCAAGAGTATTCTTTTTAAAATAATATATCAATCCAATTATAAAAATTCCTTTTAAAAATAAATACCTTAAATTTTAATTTACATTATAACCTTAAGCTTTAAAAATATATGATTTATTATACTTTCTTCAACGTCCTATTTATAAATTGCTTTTTTTATAATTATTTTGTTTTTTCTAATATTAAAATATAATCCATTTCTTTCACCACTATTATCTCCTCATATATAACTCTTTATATGGCTTATTTTCTCATTTCTTTTGTTTTATTTATCAATTGACATCCTCATACCCAAAAAAAAAAATTTACTTTATATTCAAATTTTTCCTTTTTATCATTATATAGTTTAATACCATTCGTTTTTCTTAAAAATTACTCTCTTATTCATTATTTTTTTTATTAACTCGTCATATACAAATTATCTCCCCGAGTAAACGTAACCATTATATTGAACCTTTTGACCATATTTAAATTAAAAAAAACACTTTATACGTCCATTTAGACAAATATATATATATAAACACTTTGTTTTGGTCCTTTTTCTTAAATTCCTTTTTTCATTTTTTATCTTAATTATACTTTGTTTTATATATTTTACATCTCTTTAAACTCAATCTTTATAATTCCTTTTATATCACTTAATTCCTATCTATTTCCCTCTTTTTCCCCCTTATTATACCCTTTCTTGAGGCTCATTCGCCTTAAATTGATGGCTAAATCTGCCTGGTCATTTTTATGACGTTGCGGTTACCATAGCAATGCCTATATCTACCAGACATATATATATATATAGAGAAATGAGAGGATGATTTATATGAATGAATTTAAGAATAAATCATTCCATTCAGAAGGAACTACGGGTAAAGTTTATAGGAGCATCTGGTCTACTCGTGGAGATCGAGTTGTAGCACTTAAAATTAGTACATTGTCTATAAAGCGTATGCCACACCGCCCAGACAATGAAATAGAGTTATTAAAGGAATTGAAACATGAAAATATAGTTGAAAGCCTTGGATCATTTAGATATGGAGAGAATCATGTATTAGTTTTGCCATTTTTGCCATATGATTTATTATCAGTTATTAAAAGAGGAGATAAGGACGAGAATTGGTTTAAAGAGCAGATCAAAGGGATTACATCTGCATTAGTTTATATACATGATATAGGAATTATTCATAGAGATATTAAACCAGAAAACATTATGTTTTTGTCAGAAAATGGGAGAGCGGTATTAATTGATTTTGGTATAGCATGGTCATATAAGAATCCAGGAAATGAAATACAAGGAAAATTAATTACAGATGTTGCAACAGGGTATTTATTGAATATGATATTATTATAAATTATATAAGTGAAAAATAGTCCTTATAGGGCACCAGAACTTCTTTTATCATATACGAATTATGGAACATCATTAGATATGTGGTCATGGGGTGTTACAATTGCACAAATGTTTACATTTGAAAATAAGCCATTATTTGATTCAGGATTAGGTGGTAATTTTGGATATAGTGATCTTCTTTTATTGTCATCTATTTTTAAAACATTAGGAACGCCTACAAAGGATAATTGGGAAGTAAGAAATGATTTAGTTTAATTATAATATTTATATTTTAAGGAAATTGATGATCTTCCTGATTTTAAGAAAGTTAATTTTGTTCATTATGATTCACAACCATGGGAAACGATTTTACCAAATGCACCATCTGGAGCTAGGGATTTGATTTCAAATTTGGTTACATATAGTTTTAAAAAAAGGTTAAGTGCAAAAGATGTATAATGATTGATATAAAAATGTAATCAATTGATATAATTAGGTATTAAACCATTATTATTTTTCAGAAACGTAATATTAATTTTAAATATTTAACATGGCATACAAGATATTATTTGATTAGCGTTTTTAATGTATATGGCTTCTCCAAAATTTTATAGAATTAAGATTTTATGTCTAAATTTTCAATTATTTCATCAGAAATGTTATCATCTATATCCATTGAATCTTTATTGTTTTCTGATTCCAATTGAATTTTCTCCTTCTCTTGATATTCATGGAGTTTATTAATATCCCACCAACTAATTCCTTCTTGATCCTTAATATTAAATGGCTGAGCCATTACTTTTAGAAACTTTTCTGCAAAGGCTAGAGACATGTCAGTACTTAAATTTGATGTACCACTTGTAATATATTCTTGAATCCATTTTGGAAGTTTATTACGCTTATCTATATATGTTTAGTATTAATATAAAATATAAATGACTAATACCTGCTCTTGAAAATCGTTTATCTGCTAAAACCATAACTCCATAGTCATCTTTTCCTCTTAAAACTCTTCCCAAACATTGTGCTGCATGACGCATAGCATCAAATGTAAGAAAATCGTTTTCCTTAATATGATACATATCTCTAAGAAACTCTAAACGTGCCTATATCTTTATAAATAAACCATTGTAAATGAATATAAGATACTTTTAAAATTCTAGACTTTGTATATTGATATGGAATTCCAAACATAATTACAGTACGGCCATAATGGTGATCAAAATCAATGCCTTCTGAAATCTTTCCTCTAGCTACACATAATAAAACTGCACCTCTACCATTATCACATGCCTAAAAATTAATAATGTTGATAATATATAATAATATGTGATAAAAATTACAGTTCTATAGGTTTTTAAGGCTAAAACAGTTTCTTGACTATCAGGTGTTTCAACTAAAATTAATTTATATTTCCATATTTCATCTAAAATTCCCTGAATCATTAATCATGAGACAATTGCTTTGTTTTATAATACCAAAGTATGCCATTGACTTACTTAATGAAATTAAAAAATATCTAAATTGTTACTACATGACTTACTGATAGATTCCATATATAAATAGCTTGGAAAAAATGCAACCAAACCATCTGGTGTAATTTTTGAAAATTCAATTAATATATCACCATAATTACAAATAATACTAGGATCATCTCTTACTTCAAACTTTGAACTTATTGCTACCTGATTGCTTCCTCTTGTAACAATCATAGGAAGAAACGAATTTCTAGCCAAAGATATACTATAGGATTCTTGAATTACTGCATTAAATTGAAGTATCTTTGGATACATATCTAAAGGAGAAATTGTACCAGACGTTATTATAACTGTTTTAAATTTGTTAAAAACCGGTTTAATAGCAATTGATGCATCAAGACATGCAAAATGAAAAACTGGATTAGGTACTGTAGCTGTATCTGTTTCATATGGTTCAAGAATAAGTATAAATCCATTTTCATATGTTGATACTAATGTTGCAAAATTTGCTATTTCTTGTAAATATTGATAATCTTCAATGTCTGAAAGTTCTAATGTGTGAATAAGTGAATTAAGCCTTTCTGTACAGAACCTTGATCTATTAAAAAAAAAGAAAAAATATACTCAATTGATAAACCTTAGTGGTTTTCTTTCAATATACGTTAGTTCTTTTAAATGTTGTAAGAAAGATAATGGTGTTTCTGCTACAACATGTAGAACTTTCATTCGAGTCTATAGACATATCAATAAAAATACACAAAAAGCAGAATAAAAACCTTCATATACTCTACAAATCTCTTAAGAAACGCAATGAAATGTTCTGCTTTTCTTATATTCCCTGGAACTGCCTCTTTAAGTAAATCATCTGATAGAACTATTGTTGTTTAAAAAATGTAATAAATAGGATAAATATACTTGGATTCGAAATGAATATATCTTCTTCTCTTTCTTCATCTATTTTCTTAAGATCCTCTACTAATTTTTTATATTCCATCTGTAGTTTTTCTGAATTGTTTTTTTTCATACTATTACTTAGAATTTTTCTAAAAAAAGTAGCCAATTACTCATTGATCTTCCTTTCAAGATTGCTAATACTGTGTGACACCTTTTTTAATGAATTTTCTGTAATATCTACACTAAGTGACTCAATACAAACATTGTCTATATATATATTTATTTATTTATAAAAAACACATGATAAGCAATTCTTACCAATATTATGAGCTTCATCAAATACAATAATACAATCTCTTGACAATTCCCTTGAAATATATTCTGAAATTTTTGGATCTAATAAATAATGATATGAATATACAACAACATTACAGATCGGTATCTAATACACATTAATACCCATTAATACCCATTAATACTCTAAATCATGGACTCATTACCGCTCTTCGTGCTGTAAAATATGGACATTGCTTGTTTGCCTCCCCATATTTTAAAAGATCTGAAAATGTAAACACCCCATAAGGTATTAAACCATTAGATTCAAGAGATTCTATATTCTTTAACATGTTAATATTAACCATAAATAATAATAATAATTATTATTATTGTTAATAATAATAACCTCATAATAAACACAAAAATTACTACTTTCTCCCCTTCTTCTCCTCTCCCTAGCAAATCCTGCCGTCAAACTACGGCATCTAGCATCAACTACACTGCCTTTCTTCTCTTGTCTAACCGATGAATGTAGGCATAGATTTTTCCTACTAGTTAGTCCAAGAGCTCTAAATTTATCCTCTTCCCCTAAAATCCCCCTTCTAAACTCCATCAAATCTTTCAATTCAACAAGAACCTTCTCTATTTCTGACATAGTTCTTGAACAATATATAAGCTTTCTATGTTCTGGATAAAACTCCTCTTCTTAATACATAAAACTCCTATAAATCCCACAAATACCTTCTGATATGATACTATTAATGACAAAAGTGATATAGTTTTCCCTGTACCAGAAGGCATCTACCCATATATCCTATTAATCCCTCTAAAATACACTATTTTTCACCTCCAAAACACAATGGCCCTATAATCTCCCATTATTTTCGCCGTAAAGCATTCTATTAACACATACCCCGACATCCAGCGTCTTTTTAAGGTGACACATATATGAATACTGCTCTTTACTCCTCATAAACCTCTTATTAAACCTCTTTATATCTTATTACCTGGATAAATCCTTGGATAAGGGAATAACACTGGGAGATCATCAATAAAGAACCTATTTATAAGTAAATCTCTTAGATATAACAGAAATATACCTCATTTTTGCTGATACTTTTAGTCATCTATATTGACCACGATTTTTCTTAGTCTATAAACCCTCTAGATCTTGGAAAACTGAGGATATTATGAGACAATCAGTTAAGGGCTCTAAGAACAGCAAGGAACGTGCTGTTGAGCTATTAAAAAGGTGATATTTATAGTATAATTATGAAGAAAACTGTTGATATTAAAGAAGCCCGGGATTTTCTTCAATACAAAGCAAAAATAGTGCTTCAAAGTTTAAGTTCGGGAGCTATGGAAATACTAGGGAATGTAATATGTTGTCATTTGTTATTGAACCTCTTGATTTTGAAGGGATTCCTCCCAATCTTGTGGTTATTTTTAAAAATATATGTAAAAGAGATAATACAACAAGAATTAAGGGACTAGAAGATCTCAGTAGCTGTATAGATGAAGATACGGATGTGGTGAATGAGGAGAATGTGTTAAAAGTCTGGGTAGTTTTATTTTTTAAGAGGGAAAAGAAATAATTTATATAAAGTCATATCTATATCCTCGGTTATCAATAGATATGGAGCGTCAGGTTCGTTTACAGTGTAATCAGGTACATGGGAAGATATGTGTTGTATCAGGGAAGAGAATTGTTAGAGTTATTAAGGAAATTATTGGACCATGGATGATGTCAAATTTTGATAGTGATTATGGGGTTAAAAAAGTATCAATAGAGTCATTTAATGCGGCATTTCAGAGTGAGGAGAAGCGTATTATTGTTAAGAAGGTGTATCAGAAATATATTATTAGTTTTAATAGGAATATTATTCTTAAACAATCTCCTAATACATTAAGTATTTAATTTTATTATTTATATGAGGAATTGTAAACAGAATGTAGGTGATGTGCGATATGTGTCTCAGGAGGACTCTAAAGCCAAGTATTATAGAATTATTTCTTCTATATTGGCGTCACTTGCAGATATTATATGTAAATATATATATATATACATATATATTAAATGTTTATGTTAAATATTGATTAGTGAATTTGGAATTAGATGAGCTTAAGAAGGAAGAATCATCATATGATGAGATTATGGGGTCTGAGAAATTTTGGAAATTCTTATATGAAACAGATCTTATTGGAAGGAAACATTTTTATCAAGTGATTAAAAATATATCAGAGAAGTGGCCAGGTTTATTTTGTTATAATGAATGGATTGTTTTAATGCTTTTAGAATTGTTAATTTCTCAAAAAAATATGATTAAGAAGTCAGTGACAAAATTAATGAAGAATACAGAAAAATCATTTATATCAATTATTCTCCCAACTATGGAAATATTCTTTTCAGGTATATTTATTTTATTTGGGGATATAAATTTATTATTAAAGTATGTCCTGAGTTATGGGGATATGATTTTTTTGGTGATTCTGAGATATTTTCTTATTTTAAAAGGTTGATCTTGAATAATGATTTTGATTCTACACAATTCTGGAATTGTTTTTATAATCTTATAACAAAAATACCTTTAAATCCTGAAAAATCTGACTTTGATGTATATTTAAATGATTTCATAAAAACCATTTGGGATGGTGCATCTAAAAAGACTAAATATAATAATGAAGTGGGCTTTGAAACATTTTTTAAAATTATGTGTTTCTATATGAAACATTTTGAAAATACAAGTACAGTATTATCTATATTTGAAAAGAAAATCATGGATATTATTATTAATTATTTCACTGATATAACATCTTTCAGTATTAAAATGTCAGATAATTTCAGACATGCATTGGTGAAGGGGTTTTTGAGAAATGAATATATCTTAAATGATATTTTTAATAAGTTTTGGTGTGAATCAAAGCAATGTATTTTTGAAAAGTTATTAAAAACATCAAATATTACATCTGAAGGGAATTATGATGAACTTTATACTATATGTGTACGTTGGATAAATACTGCTGATGAATTTAACACAGAAACAAATGATAATACTGTTTTGGATGATAAATCATTTGTTTATTTAACTATATGTGAAGTAATATATTCTATAATTTGCTATATTAGGAATTGTGATGGTATAATTATATTATATTTGGAATTGTGTTAATAATCTGTTAGATTTATATCAAAAAATAGTAGAATTATTAAATTATGTTTTATCTAAGTTTTCAGATATCATATTTAAGGATCAAAGAATTCTTTCAGTTAGTTTACTCTATAACAATTCTTAAACTTATATTTATATTAGGAATTTGAAAGTTTTATTATGGAAAAAATTCCTAGATTTATTACATCATTAACAGAATCTATTGGATCTATTCTTTTAATTTATATTTTAAAAAACAAAAACACTGAAAGTGTAGGTTTGGTTTGGGCATCTTTATTTTCACATCTTTCAAGGATAGAAAGTGGATCAGAACGAAATGTTTTTACTCACAAAATAGTGAAAATGATAATTGATAGTAAAATTAAGATACAAGATTTAAGAAATTGTTTGCCTAAGGTTAATTTAATTGATGATGTTTTATTAGATTGTGTGCATTTTAATATTGATAATAATTTGGGGAATTGGGAATGTTTAAATGATTTTCTTACTGTTAAAGGTAAAATTATATTTAAAAATATGGATAATATTTTAATAATTAAGAAATTGTCTTTTCAAAGGAAAGTATTATTAAAAGTTTGATTTTCTTGGTAGAAAAGGTCTTTTGCTCAAATGATTCTGAGCCTTATTATATATTCAATGACGATCGAATCTTAGTTCTGTTACATAAAGTATTAGGTGACAATTCTGATTTATGTTCATGTTTTCTTCAGAATTTCCAAGCTATAGAATTTCATATAAAAATATGGAATTTTGTTTATATTAAAAAGGGAAATATTTCAGAAAGAATCTCTATTTTCAATGATTTATTTGAGCAGATCTATTGTTTAAATGATGAAATAGGTAGTAATCTAAGATTAAATATCGCAAGTATTATTCAGAAACAAATTTTATTATTAGATTCACTTGATTTTTCATTGTTTAATCCTTTTTTTTATGATATTTATAACTTATTATTTTTAGAATGAGATCACTTTGTTCATTAAGTGTAAAGGTGTTATCTTTTGCTACAGAATTAGAAAAAAAGGATCTTTTGGCTATATTTTTATTTCCAATTCATGAATGGGATATGGCTTTTTCTTCTTTAATTTCAGAATATCCTAATAAAAACTTGGAATTGTTTAATTCTTTGAAAACATGTTGTTTAATATTTTCAAATCCTGTTAAAACAAAAGGAAATATTGAAACTGATAATATATCAAAATTATTAAAAATTTCTGTTTTTTCTAAGACAATAATCAATTTTCTTAAATTGGATTTGTGTTCTTTGGAAATTCATTGGACAATATTATATGGAATTATGATTTGTGAAGAGCTTATCAGAGACAATTTCGAGTTAGAACAAGCAAATTGCTTATGGAAATCGATAACCAAAGATCAGGAACAGGAATTGTTTACCTTAATAGAAAAAAGCAATGATTTTGTTTTTGATTTATTAACTTTGGATAAAATTGAAATTCTTGGTATTGACAATTCTGTACAAAGAAATGATATAAAGTTTCTTGAAATAATAAAGATGAAATCTATTGGATCTTCGCCTGAAACATATTATTCTGCTTGTGTATTATCTAGAACTCTTCAATTCTTGACAGAAAAGATTGAATATTCTCAAGAAGAAGTAGAAACATGGTTAAATGATATATCTATAGAAAATAATCAAAGTGATCATTTCAATTTATGTTTATACATTTGGCTTATTTTTAATAGATGTATTTATTTTTGCAGCTATTATTAATGGATTTCAAGAAAAGCTATTTTTTTCAAAAAGATTGGAAGGCATAAGAAATAGAATTGGTAGTGATCTATCTGGTGATTTTATTGTTGATAGAGGCAAGTTTTATTTTAAAAAAATATATTATGATTTATTGTTTCTTAGATCTGAAAAAAATTATCTTATTTAATATATTTATACCATTTGATGATAGTCTCTGGAAACATTTTCCACAACAGCGTATAATATTTCTCTTTCAAAATCTTTTAAAATCAATTGATAAAAAAAACTTAATAAAAGTTGAATATATTGATTTTTGTGTTGAAATTACAAAAATATTTATAAAGTTAATACCTTTTATAAAAACTATTGATGGAGTTTATTGGTATAATATTTGCGATTATCTTTGTGAATGTCTTAGGGTATTTAATTTTATAACAAAATTATTAGCTAATATTTTTAAGATTTGTACAGAAACTTCATTAGAATTTTTGAATTTTGAATTCTATTCAATGAAACTTTTTATGACTTTAAGCAATTGCTATTCTTTCAACGATTCTTTTAATGATTCATGGAATATTCATTCTAAGACTTTATATTCATACTTGTTTCAATTATTTATTCATAAAAAAGGTTTAAATATTTAAAGTATTTTTTACTTGGCTTATGATAATAGAGACATATGTAAAAAATCAACCTTTAGATATTTGTATTCAACTTTTGTCAAGAATTTTATTACAGATTCCTATAGATATTGTTCAAAAGCCATTAGTAAATTTGGTAGAAATTTATTTATTTATTTTATTTCACATTGATATGAATAGCTTTATCTTCATTTATTATCTCAATGGAAATATACACAAATTGTTACATTTGATTGGTTAACAAATTGGATTTTAAAAGATCAGGAAAATTTAATTATAGAAACTGAATTTTCTAAAGAAATAGATATCAATTTGCCTTCAGAATTGCTTTTTATGATTTCAGATCTTCCATGTTATGATACATTAGATAATATTGATCATGAAAATAATGTATCTTCTAGACTTCGAGGTTATTTTCTTTCTTGGATTCTTATTTTTACATATTTTAAAAATACGGTATCTTATTATCAAGTATTATTGTTTTTTATTCTTACATATTCATTTTAGTCATACATATTAAAGTCCAGTTATATTGAAAGTCTGAAAAATAATAATTGTATTCCATTGACAATTGAATTTATATTTAAAACTCTTGAATTATTAACTGATAAACCTATAAATACAATAGAAATATTATGGGATATCTTAGAATGGAAAAATATAGATAATATAAAAACCGAGATGCTATCTTTAATAGTGTATGTATATTTACTTATACTCAGACATATTCCATCTCTTGCAAGGTTAGTTTTAAATTATTATTTTAAAGAATAATAATAATAATAATGAATAGAGATTGGTGGATTGGATGTAAAAATAGACAATTGACTCAATCAGTAGAAACGTTTGTAATAGCTTTATGATATTTTATTATTAAATATAAATATAGGTTTACAGAGAAAAATATATCTTCTATTTTGATTGAAGATGAAATTGCTTCAGTATTATTAGAATCTATGCAATTAAAAATAAATGATGATAATATACATGTTAAAACGTCAAAAACTACTCGTGAAGTTACAACTTCTTATACAATTGATGATCAATATTTAGAAATGGTTATCCGGTTGCCTGCTTGCTACCCTTTGAATCAGGTTATTGTAGAAGGTGTACAAAAAATTGGTGTTAAAGATGCACAATGGAGAGCATGGTTATTAGCTTCTAGAATTTTAATAACTACACAAAATGGAAGCATTGCAGATGCTGTAAGTCTTTTCAAACGGAATGTTTCACTCCATTTTGAAGGAGTCGTTGCTTGTAACATATGCTGTAATCTCCATTTCTTTTTTTTAAGTAATTAATCATTTTAGTTTCAATCATATCAGTTCAAGATAGATCTTTACCCAGTAAAAAATGTGCAACTTGTAAAAACAAATTTCATTCTGGATGTTTATATAAAGTATTTATTTATATGTTTCTTTATATATATATTAATTTTAATTTTAGTGGTTTAAAACATCAAATACTTCTAAATGTCCTTTATGTAAGTCTTTAATTACACTAAAATACATTTATACTAATTCTTAAGGTCGAACTACTTTTTCTTTTTCAATATAGGTTTAATAAAGAAATATCTTTCATTATATACAAAAATACATTTAGCGTAATATAAAGAAATTTAACTTGGGCCTTTCATTGATTCTTTTATTATCAATTTTAACACTTATTCTTTTTGGTTCTAGTTTCATTAAATCTATACTGGATTAGGGTTAATTAAAGTACAAAAATCTTATTAAAAGTATCTCATTTTTATTAAATTGGAAGACAATTGTTACAAAAAATGCTCTTTTTATGATATCATTGATTATTTTGACTAAGTAATTAACTTTATTTATTATTTTTTTTATTAATTTAAAAGAATTTTACTTTTTATGATAGAATTATCAAAGGGCTCGTGTTTTCAAAGGGCAATACATAGGAAAAAAAGTATAAGAAGGCATCGTATTTCCTCTCTTATGCTGATTGCATTCATTTAAACATTAAGCTATTAATTCGCAGGTCGAATTATTTGGTAGGAAGAATTTATCTAATATTACTTTGACTTAAGTTTTATACATATAGGTGATTAATTGAAGTTATTTGACTAACTGATCTACATATTTTTTTTGATAAAATGGTTTTGCATATTTTTTTCTGTATAAAAAAATGGATGATTGTTGTTCATACCAGCTTATTGTTTATAACAATAACCAATGCATATCCGGCATCAATTCCTGTAACACGTGATAATCATAGAGCTCTAGTTGATTCTCAAGGGTCGGATCAAAAAACATGTTCAATTAATGATCCTACTTTGTCCATTCATCCAAGTTTATTAACAAGTACTGGCACAGGATTTGCAGATTGTTTACCAGGAAGGAATTGCTTGTTTGTTTGTAAAAGTGGATATGTATGTTTTCTTTTTTCTTTTTTTTTGAAAGACTAGAATTTTTAGTTATCAACTCAATATGATGCATCTTATTATCCTGAATTTGAGGGAACTTCGGTTTGTTTTTTATTTCTTTTAAGTGGGTTTTTTCATAATTATAGGTTGGCAACGTTCTTTGTACTTCACAAGGTACTCTTCAGATAGCTGCAGGCGGTTCTCTTTGTGCTCTTTCAACTAAAAATCTATATCTAACTAGTCTTCTTGATTATTCAGTATCTTTTTGTCAAAAGATTTCAGTTAAAGATGGCCTTTTCTTTGCACCTAATTCTCTCCAATCAAAATCAGTTTCTTTTTTAGCAGTTTCTGGTCAATCTCATCAATCATCTCTTTATTACTTCAATCCTCTAGGAACAGATTCTACCTATGAATGCCCGATTACTGTGGGGTCATCATCACCATATATATTAGAAATTAAAGATATAAATGGTGAAGTTCATATTAGTCTTGGATGGAATCCTTTTTATATAAGTAATGAGGAATATAAACGACCTCCTAATTGGGGTTTAAGAGTATTATGTCAAGGTGTTGATTGTGATCGGCCTTGCTTTATTGATCCTACTAAACATGGGATTAATGAATGTGAGAATTGTGAAAAAGGTTCTCATGGTTCTTCTTTTTGTACAGTAAAAGTATCAGGAAGTAAAGAAGCAATAGTATTTTTGTTTTCAACTGATGGTGATCAAAAAACTTATTCATATGATGATTTTTCTTCTTTCACTACTACTCGTGAAGTTACTTTAAGGGAGAGTCAAGGTTATAGATATGATAGTTCAAGAGATTCTGGTAAATCAATATATACAGAAAAAGGGAGATATCATAGAACAAATCTTGGTGATTTGAAAGAAGAAGAGGATCAATTGACGCAAGAAGAGAAAGATCTTATAGAACGTCTTCAAAAAACTCAACAACAAAGTAAATTATTTGGCGATCAAAATAAACAACCTGAAGAAAAGGCCGATCCAGAACATCATTCCGGTAATCTAGGAGTTACAGTTGTAGATTCAACAAAAGAGTCTGCACAACATCAAACTCAAAGTCAATTAAAAGGGTTTCAAAACTTTTATTTAATTAATTTATTTCTAACAAATTCTAGTTCTTCTGATGATGTTAATAATCAACACTTAGATCTTGTCTATCTAAAGGATACTGAAAAAGAAAATAACGGTCATTTAGATGATTTCAAAGGATTTGTCACTGGAAAAACTATTACTTCTCAAAAAGATTCTCATAAAGACATCGATACTGCAAATAAAGCTACCACTTCCTTATATTCAGCAAATGATTCACATAGAACTGACAAATGCAAATCATTAATTGACTCAATCGTTGATTCTGTACAGGAATTATGTCTATTACTCAAATCCAAAGATTCTGACCCCAATTCTTCAAAAAAACAACAGAACCCTCAATTAGACGTTATCTCTCCTGCTCCTGACTCCATCAAGCAGGAAAATAGTGCTATTCATCTCTTAAAACCTCGTGCAAATTGGATATTAATATTCTTAGGATTCGCTATCCTTCTATAACTATATTAATCTTTCTATTGCACTTTCTTCTAAATTTCTTGTATATAATCTTCATAATATAAATTCAATATATACCCTCATATATATATCTCTCTGACCTCTCGATCTGCTGCTTCACGTCTTAATATTTTCTATAAATTGTTGATAAAGAATTAAAGGAAATAAGCCTGATTATAAGGATTTATGAGGTTATATAAGAGGAGAAGACCTCATAGAACTGAGAAATATAGATATATTTCTTAAGATGATATCTGGTAGGGTTTTAATAGGGTTTTAGTAGGGTTTTATAATATAAGAAGAGGAGATAACCGAAGAAAGTTATCTATTAAGGAATAAGAAGCAGAGAGAAGGAGGAGAAGAGGAGGATAAATCGGTTATATGGACGAAAGAATCGCTTTTTATTATTTATATTAGGTTTTTTTTTTTTTGGAATAAAATGTATATTGATGGATAGTGTTTTTATTGTAATGTATTGTATTTCTCTTGAATCGCAGACGACGTCGAATTTTATTCTTCCAGCAACGTCATATTTTGGTAAAAATTCATTAATTCCTTTAATTAATACGATCAATGGAATTTTATATACGGCGGTGAAACAACAGATGTTAAGATTGAGCGGATTGATTGGTATTATGGAGGTATTTTGTATATCTCTTTTATTGTATGATATAGGTAAAATTTTTTGGAGGGAATGGTGTATTTTTTTTTTAAAAAAAAATGAAATAGGGTGTTTGATGTATATGATAAGTAAAAATATTATTACGTTTATTATATCATCTATTTTTCATACGATTGGTACGACGGGATTTCAAGTTCTTGAACAATTTGTTATTACAGGTTTAAAAATGCGGTATTTCATATATAATTGTTAATTTTTTTGGTAAGATACTTCAGAACTTTTGAATAGAAGTCTTTTAAATACTATACTTAATATACCACTTCTTATTAATGTTTGGGTGGGACCGAATTTAGCACAAAGTATTTATATGCCGAAATTAGATAGTGAACAATGGAGATGGGGTTATGGTATATGGGCAATTGTTCTTCCTGTAGTATCACTTCCTATGGTTATGATATTATATTTAAATAGGCTTAAAGCTAAAGAGAAGGGTTTATTATCTATAGAAAATAATCATAGAATGACAATACGTGGATTTATAAAAAGGCTTTTTGTTGAACTCGATCTTGTTGGAATTATAATATTATCATTAGGACTTTCTTTATTTTTTTTTCAGTTAATTCATGAATTTCCTTTACTTTATAATGCTAAACCAGTATATATATTTTCGATACTTGTTATATTACTTGTTTTATGTGTTGTATTTCCATTATGGGAATTTTATTATGCAAAATTTCCAATTTTTAGTAAGGGTTTGTTTAAAATGGAAGAGTTAACTATAGGATATTTTTCTTCATTTTTTTACTTTATGGGATTTTATCTTTACAATAATTATTTGACTACTTATCTCTATGTTACCAAATCTAATTCAATTAAAAGAATTGGATATTTAAAGTATGTTTTTTCTTTTTACTTCTTGATATATTATTTTTAACTTCTTCTTTTTTAGTAATGTATTTTCATTTACTTCAACCATTGTTGCAATATTTGTTGGTATATTTGTAAAATATAATAAAATATATAAGATTTTCATATATATTGGCTCACCAATTTACGTATTTGGGATAATATTTATGATATATAATCTTAGAACGGATGAATCTGTAATGGAAATGGTTATTTCTCAAGCTATAATTGGTATTAGTGGAGGGTTTTATAATATGTCTACTTTGGTTAGAATTCAAATTTCATCCACTCGCCAGCGTAAGTTAATGGTTTATATTTATATTTGATATTTAAATATTTGTAGAGGTTGCTATTAATACTGCTATGTTTTTGACGGTATTTTAATTATTCAATATATTAATTACTGACAAAATATAAGTTAGCATCAGTAGGTGGTGCTATTGGATCTGCAATTTCGGGTATTGTATGGTCTAATCTTCTTCCAAAAATGTTAAACTCTTATTCTAAATATCTAAATTTATTTTTAACACCAAATGATTATCTATTAATTATTGGGAGTCCTTTTATGCTTGATCAATACGTGAAATTCGCTAAGGGTACAATTGGAAGAATGGTTATTGTTTTAGCATATAATGAAGTTATGAGGACTCTTTATATATGTTCTGTAATATGTGCTATTCCCATGTTGTTGTGCGCTATATTTACTGAAAATATTCATATTGATAAAACTAATCAAAGCTCTCTTAAAGTCATTGATATGTATAGCAATTCGGATGAATTAAAATAGATTCTGGTCTTTAACAATATTTTTATCTAAATAATCACTGAAAAATATTAGAATTGCTACATCTCATTGTTTTGGTTTCTAGTCAGAAAATATGGAATTCTTGCTTTATATTATGTCGTCATATATATATATATATTAGAAAATATTTTTTTTCTAATATATTATAATATTGATCAAATCTTGGAAATTTATCTTTTGTTTGAAATATATTGACTTTTTTTTTTAAGATTATACTATAATTTTTTTATGATATAGGCATTTAAAATACTTTACGTTAAAGAATAGTAAATTATTCATGTTTTTTATCTTACTTAGAAAACTTACTCATAAAAATCTGTATTATTTAAAAAAATCATATATAATGGACTTAATTCAGAATTAAAAATCTTTATTTATTTCTTCCACTCTTCATATTCGTTTACACACCCAAATTGCTGCAATACATCCCACCTAAAAAAAATACATATTTTTCAAAAATAATTTTATTTTATACCTTAATAACATTCGTTATTAATCCATATCCAAATGATTCTTTAGAATTCCATATATTAACTGCAATATCAAGATGTTCTAGCTCTTCATCACGAAATTTCTTGATTTTTTCACGTAATTCATCGATTTCTTCACTATATCCTTTCAAACACATCGTTTCTCTTAATTGATCATTATAATGTTCTCCAATTACCGTTTCTACCGCTTCTGTACATGCCATAGCCGTTTTTGTTCCTAAAAGCGCTGTACCCACTCCTAATGCAAATCCTACTGTTTTACACACATATTTTAACTGCGTTTCTTTTATTTCATGTTTAATAAGAAGTTTATCAAATGTTTCAAGATGTTTTTTCTCCTGATTCCACATATCCATAATAATTGGTGCTACTTGTGGTCTTGTTCTCGATAATATAAAATATTGTCCTTGATATATATAATTAGCTCCTAATTCTCCTAAATTCCCTATTAAATTCGATCTTTTTAATCCTTTTTCATTCCTGCATGATTGACTCTTATACATCTACAAATTATGTCTTTTTCATCTCTTATCAGTCTTCTACTTGGAAAATAGACTTTTTTTATCTCTTTAACTTGATTTGAATAAAAATATAAGCTATTTTTATAATTTCTTAACAAATTATAAGAAATTGTTAATCTTTTGTTAAGATTCTTATGATTTTGTTTAAAAATTGTTAATCTCATTCTTAACATTTTATTAAAAGTCTTAACATCGAAGTTAAAAAGAAGTTAAAAAGAAGTTAAAAAGTTAAAAAGAAGTTAAGAAAAGTTAAGAAAAGTTAAAAAAAGTTAAAAAAAGGTTAATAAATCTTAAGAAAGGTTAAGAAATTTTAAAAAAAGTCTTAAAAAACTTAAAAATATAGGATTTTCTACTTAAAAATATAGAATTTTCTTAATAAAAAGGCTATTAATTACCTTAATTTTCTTAATAATTTTTAATTCTAAGGATAAAATTATCTATTTTAAATGTTATGAAGGGGTTTTCAGGATTTGAAGAGGAGTTTATACATAGAATTGCAGTTTATCTATCAAGATATCTTAATTTAATGAATCCTAATGAAGTTCTTGCAAAAAAAGTGATTTCATTAGCTATTGAAATGGGAGATATTAGTTTATTTGGAGAAGCAATACGTACATTTGGTAGATTTAGTGATGAAATGGCAGAAAAGTTATGGAGAGATATTCGGGAGGAAAAAGCTAAGATTAAGGGTGAAAATGGGACAGGAACAGTAAGAATAAGGGGATATATTAGTTAATAAGGTTGATGGAGATGAATAGATGACCGTTTTTTCATCTAAAGTGGATCAACTTCCGGGATCATTAGATCTTGAGATAGGAGGGTTATTACCGATGAATTCAGGGTTAACGGGTACAGGTGTATCTAAGGGAATTCAGAGACCGTCTTTATTGGGGTTAGATAAGCTATCAGAAAGAAAAAGAGAACATGTAGGGTTAGATATAGAAAAAGATATGAAACGAGCATGTTCAGAGGGAAATGAGAAGCATTTTGATAGTTGTAGTATTGAATTTAAGGCACCATTATGTAAAAAAATGGATGGTAGCTTTAGTTCTAGAAATAATGCACGTATTCGTCGTATTGATACACCTAGTTATGGAACAGGGCTTAGTGAGGTTTCTAAGGAGAATTTAAGGTTATATAGATCAAGACATGATAATAAGAAAGGTAAGAAAAAGATATATATGTATAATTTTAAAATAATATATATTAGGAGTATTTGATAAAAAGAATAATATGGAATATGGTAAATGGAATAATTATGATAGTCGTTTTAATGAAAAAGAAGAGTCAATTATGGATAAGGAAGTATCAATGGCTAAATCATTTTCTAATAAATCGGAAAAGTTGTATAAAATGGAAGATTTGGAACATGTAGAAGAAAAAAATACAGAATTGAGTATAAATACGAATGGAACGAACAAAACAAGATATCTTAATACACCTAGGGTTACAGATTCAGTATGGAATAATCAAGAATCGACATATCAAGAAAATATTAAAAATGATTATGATTTGGTAGAATGGGAAAATAATGAAGCAAAACTTGATCGTGATTGGTATAACGCAGATGAATTTGGTAATGTTTATGGGGATGATACTCATAATCCTTTTTTTCAATTTGAAGATCAAGAAAGAAATCAAAATGAAATGTTATTTAAAAAAAAGACTAAAAGAATATCAGCAAAACAGAGAGAATTTAATAGAGAGAATGATCATTGGGAAATGAATCGAATGCTTACGTCAGGTGTAGCTCAACGTTCATTTGCTGATATGGATTTTGAAGATGAAAATGAAAATACAGTGCATCTTTTGGTTCATGATTTAAAACCATTGTTTCTTGATGGTAGACAAGTTTTTACTAAGCAAGATCCAGTTTCTGCTGTTAAAGATCCTCAAAGTGATATGGCTGTTTTTGCACGTAAAGGATCATTACTTGTGAGAGAACGTAGAGAACTTTCAGAAAGAATGAAAGCAGGTGCAGAAGTTGCAAATCTTGCTGGAACTACACTAGGAAATTTGATGAATATTAGGGATGAAGTTAAAGATAAAATAGAAGAGGCAAAATCCAAACAGAAATTAGGAGAAGATGATAATATTAAAGAAAGTAATAAATTTTCTACTTATATGAAGAAATCAGAGGGAACTAGTGAATTTTTCTGTAGCAAATCTTTAACAGAACAAAGGGAATATTTGCCTGCCTTTGCAGTTCGGGAAGAACTTTTAAATGTTATAAGAGAAAATCGGGTAACAATTGTAATAGGTGAAACAGGATCAGGAAAAACTACACAATTGACTCAATTCTTGCATGAAGATGGTTATTCTAATTTTGGTTTAATTGGATGCACACAGCCTCGAAGAGTTGCTGCTATGAGTGTTGCAAAGCGTGTTAGTGAAGAAATGATGGTAAAGTTAGGTACAGTTGTTGGTTATGCTATTCGTTTTGAGGATTGTACTAGTCCTAATACAGTTATTAAATGTTTGTTTGGTCTTTCAAGTTGTGTTTTAGTTATTAATTTAATTTAGATATGACAGATGGTGTTTTATTGCGTGAATCACTTGTTGATCCAGATTTAAGTAAATATTCATGTATCATTATGGATGAGGCTCATGAAAGATCTCTTAATACTGACATTTTGCTTGGATTAATAAAAAATATATTGGTTCGAAGAAAGGATTTGAAATTAATTGTTACTTCTGCTACATTAAATGCTGAACGATTCTCACGGTTTTTTGGCAATGCTCCTCAATTCAACATACCCGGTCGTACTTTCCCTGTAGACGTTTTGTTTTCTAAATCACCATGTGAAGATTATGTAGATAGTGCTGTTAAACAAGTTCTTACTATTCATTTGTCACATCCATTAGGAGATATATTAGTGTTTATGACAGGACAAGAAGATATTGAAATAACATGTCAAGTTATTGCAGAACGTTTAGAACAACTTGATAATCCTCCTAAATTATTAATTTTACCAATTTATTCACAAATGCCAGTAGATCTTCAAGCAAAAATATTTGAGCGTGCTGAGAATGGTGCTAGAAAAGTAATTGTTGCAACAAATATAGCAGAAACTTCATTAACATGTAATATTTTATTATTATTATTATTATTACTATTATTTTAATATTGTTTTAGTGGATGGGATTATGTATGTTGTTGATTCTGGATATTGTAAATTAAAAGTTTATAATCCAAGAATGGGTATGGATGCACTTCAAATAACTCCTATATCTCAGGCAAATTCGAATCAAAGATCAGGAAGAGCAGGTCGTACTGGAGCAGGAATTGCATATCGTTTATATACTGAATCAGCATTCCAGAATGAACTTTATGTACAAACTATACCAGAAATTCAACGCACTAATTTGGCAAATACAATTTTATTACTCAAATCTCTTGGAGTTAAGGATTTACTTAATTTTGATTTTATGGATCCTCCACCTGAAGATACAATAATGTCAAGTTTATTTGATCTTTGGACATTGGGTGCTGTAGATAATATTGGTAATTTGACTCCACTAGGGTATTTGATTATTTGTGTTTCATTTTTGTTTTATTAATTGTATTAGACAAAGAATGTCTTCTTTTCCTATGGATCCTCCTCTTTCAAAGTTAATAATAGCATCTGAGGATTATGGATGTACAGAAGAAATGTTAACTATAGTATCAATGTTATCTGTTCCTTCTGTTTTTTATAGACCTAAAGAAAGACAAGAAGAAAGTGATGCTGCTAGAGAAAAGTTTTTTGTTCCAGAGTCTGATCATTTAACATTATTGCATGTATATTCTCAGTGGAAATCGAATGGTTATCGTGATGAATGGTGTACGAAGCATTTTTTACATCCAAAAGTAATGCGTAGAGGTGAGTTATCATTAGAATAAAATATCATATTTAATATCTTAAGCGCGGGAGATTCGTCAACAATTGACAGATATTATAAAATTTCAGAAGATGAAATGTGTTTCTTGTGGATCAGATTGGGACGTTATTCGAAAATGCATTTGTTCTGGCTACTTTCATCATGCTGCAAAAGTTAAAGGAATTGGAGAATATGTACATATTCGATCAGGAATGCCTTGTCATTTACATCCTACATCTTCTCTTTATGGATTGGGCTATCTTCCTGATTATGTGATATATCATGAATTAATATTGACATCAAAAGAATATATGAGTATTGTTACATCAGTCGATCCATATTGGTTGGCAGAACTAGGTGGAATGTTCTATTCCGTAAAAGAAAAAGGTTTTAATATTAAATATAACTTAGTAAATATCAATTGACTTATTTTTAGGATATAGTATATCCAAGAAAGCTACTGAACGTATTATTTCTAGAAAATTAGAATATGAAGCTGAGATTCAAGCTGAAAGAGAAAGACAAATACAACTAGAAGAAGATAGACAAAAAGAGGTTTTGCGTACAAAAAAATCTGCAATTGCTGCTGCTAGAATAGCTACTCCTGGTTTAAATAGAAAAGGATTAAAAGGATGCGAAACCCCTAGAAGATCAAGAGGCTTTTAAATTATGGAATTCGTTTTAATACTAATCAATAACTATGTATATATTTCATTATCAACATAAAAACTTGTATAAATTCACTTCATACTCGGCAATCGATACCATTAATATCTTCAACCTTTTTTATTTATATCTAAAATATACATGGGGGTTTACGTTTTTAATGACTTTATATCTTTATTAATACATTTATATATCTGGCTATTTAACATATTATCAAAAATTCGATCAATTCTTATCAAAATAAAATTCTTCAAAATGGATTTTTTCTTCTTAAAACTGCTACAATATTTTGACTCAATAAATGGTTGTTTTCATAGAGAAAACTTTAAAAATTTTCAACTATTTTATCTTATGGGCTCTTTAAGCTTGCTGCTCACGTGATCTGTGTTTTGAATCGAGAGCAATTAAATATATATAAAATTATACAGCTAAATAGGCTTAGGAATACAGGGAATTATAAGAGGGTTAAGGCCATAATATTAATATGAAACCTCTTATTAAAGAAATTGGGAGTTCATCATGGGTTTTTCAAGAAATAAAATATCTTTCTGATTTATCAAATGAAAAGTTGAATGATTTTACATTAAAAATTGTAGAAAATTTAGAATGGATCAATGAATATATGGAGGATGTTTTTAAGAATTGCAGAGGGTTTTTTCTATATATTTTTTTTTTTTGGATCTGATGGCTTTTATAGCACATTTTGTGATTATTCTAAGAAATCAAGTTTTATTTGTTCAGAGGTTCCTTTGATTAGTGAAAAGGTGAATATTCTAAGAGATATTATTATTATTTATGAATTATTTATTATTTTTAAGGGATCTGATTTTGTTTGTCAGGAAAATTTTGGAAAAGAATCATTATTACTTAAAAGTTTAAGCTTTAAATTGATTCCTTCACCATTAAAAGACTTAAAAGGAAGTGAATTTATAGATATTCCGGAGAATATAGATATCAATTATGATATTTTAAGTGAAAGTGAAGATAGCAGTCTTTCTATTATGGAATCTAATGAACAAAATATAAATTTAAAATATGATTCTTCATCAACAAGAGTTATGGAAATGATTACAGAAGAGGATGAGGTGGATGAAGAAATTCTTGATGGTGTTGAGATTAAAGGATTATCGAGGAATGATGATATAGAAACGAAGTTTTCATGTGTTTTGAAAAAAGATAATAATGTATCTCCTGATGAGAAATCATTTAAATCTGGTTTTATAGTTTTGTTTTTTTTCAGGAAATTTATTAATAAATATAGATATTGAAAAATCGGTTAAATTTAAGAAGGATTATGATATAATTTTAGAGAATAAAGATGCTAAATCTCCTCCTCATGATTGGGATTCGCCTCATCATTTGGATTCTCGAATAATATCTGGTCCTAATACGAGTTGTGCATCTACATCTATAATTCAATCTTATTTTTCTCCTGCTGTTGATAATACTGTCAATAAAGTGTCGTTTTCGCCTCCAGCATTATCATCTTCATTAAATTTTGTTTCACTCCCTCCAAGGGAACCTCTTAATACAAAAAAATCTTTAGGAAAAAGAGTTTCACGGCATGGATCTTTTTCTGAAACTGTAAAAAGTCAAAGAATTGTTGATTCTAAATTGTATGGAATGTTAAAACAGGAAAATCAAGAAGACAGTTTTGTTTCAGAGAATAGGCTATCAGGAAATTTACAAAAACAACATGTTTTAGAAGAGATATCAGGGAAAAAAATGGTTTTTGATGAAATCGATAAGCATGATATTAGTGAGCAAAGACTTAAAACTGTATTCACAAGTGGTAGTCAAAGAATACACGAAGCATTGAATTCTCTTCGTATTGCAAAACCTACTTCTGGGCAGTTTAAATTAGTTTCTACTGAACAAAAGTTGCAACCTGATACAGAAACAAAAATATTTGAATCAGAAAATAATTCAATTGCATTGAACCAAGTTTCTAATGCAATTAGTAATGTCTCTTCTGGGGAGTGTTTACATGAAACAGCTCCACAAATAGAAAATGAGGAATGCTGGGTTTCCAGATTCGATGTACTAAATAGATCAATTGTAAATACAGCTATGAAACAAGAAAAAGAGCGGCCTTTTCATGATACTAATGAGATTAAAAATGAGCCTAACTCTGATGAAGGCTTAACAGCTTCTAATAAATTGGAAGATACATCTCAACGTCGAACATCTATTATAACTGTTCCAGCGATTTCTGTTATTGGTGCAATACAAGCTGCAAGAAATTCTGCAACTCAGGCTATTCGAAAGGCAACATCTGTTTTCTTTACTCCATCATCAAAAGTGTTGCCAAGAAATTCTGTAGAAAATGTTGTGGAACAACCATTAAAGGCTCTTAATAATAATTCATGTGATGAAAATACATGTTTGGATTCTAAAAGAATTTCTGATCTTAAAGTAAATTTGGAGAAAAATAATGAAGTTTTAAAAAATGCTACTTGTAAAGTTGAAATAGAACAACCTTGCAATATAATTGAAACAAAACATAATTCTACAAAAACTTGTGACTATGGGAAAGAAACGAATATTAATAAGACTCGATTTTTGGCTAAAAAATCATCTACCTTGGCTAATTCTATTCCTCATGAAGAAGTAAATTTAATGACAAATAAATTTGTTTCTCAAGAACTATCATGTCAAAATTTAAAGATCCAGCCTTCTCAACCAGTAAAATTAACTAGTTTTAACTCTGTTTTTATGCCAAAAAATAAACCAGTTTCCATAAGAGTAACTACTGCATCACAAAGACAGGCTAATCTTGCTGAAAAAAGAAAGGTAATTTTTTTATTTATAAAATGAAATATTTATTAATAAATATAAGGTACAGAAAACAGATTTTGCAACTTCGTTGCAACAAAGTTTTACCAGTGAATCTTCTCAGAATCAAGACAATTGTCCTGTAACTGATACTTTACAATACAATGATTCTTGTCCTCAAGAATTATCTGTTTTGTCTCGATCACAACCTGCAAAGCGCTTAATCCCATCTAAAGGAATTAAAGCACTTACAGTGGCTAATCTTGCTAGAAAAAGGGTTTGAAAAATTATGGATCTGCAATTGCTATAATTAAATGATATTAGGAACAAGAAGAAAAGGATAGAAAATTAGCACATAAAAGAGAGATAGAACGAAAAAGACAAGAAAACCTTAAGAAACAAGAGGAGAACAAGAAACAAGAACAATGGCATCGGGAAGATTTACAGCGTAAAGTGCATCCTGAAAAGGTTAATATTAATTATATAATTATAATGTTCTGATATTTTAGACTAATGATACAAAAAAGAAGCTTTTACAACAAAGACTTGAACATTCGTCATCTGTAGCGAAAAAGATCTGTACAATATCTTCTGATAATAATGTATGTTATTTTATTGAAAATTCTTATAATTGTTTAACTCTTGGAAGGCGAGAGGACCTCTTGAAGATATTATTAATAACGATGGGAAGAGTAGGGATACGTTAAATATGGAAGTTAAACCATTTAAAAGGGTAATTCAAGATGATTTAATGCAGGAAAATTGGAATTCTTTTTCTGTTTCAAATAAACCTTTATTTCAAGAAGTGAAAAAGAGAAAAACAGACGATAATACTAATAAAAATATATCCAGCATGCCTATTCATATATCTTCCGTTAAGGATGATAAAGATCCATTTGTTGTTAGAACTCAGACTAGAGAGAAAGGTTCATGTTTAAATATTCAAACAATGTCCCAAAAACATACCAAACTTCTACAAGATCGATATCAAGGAAATCAACAAATATCATCTTCAAAAAATGGGAAAACAACTGGTCCTGTAGTAGACATTGTAAAGTTTTCAACAGATAATATTAGATTTGGTGGAGAATCTTCTAAAACAGTTCCTGTTTCTCATCAATATCCACAATCTGAATCCATTGAACTCCCTGAAATTGATAGCGAGTAAGTGATCAATGGGAAAAACTATTTATTTTTATTAATCTTTATTAGCTATTCTGATGATGATGAATTAAAGAAAAGATTTAAAACAACATTACCCCAGTGGGCAGAATCTCCTGAATTAATGCAAATATTAAGAATGCAAGCAAAAATAGACCCGGATAAGATTTTTGGTCCAATAAAACCTTTACAAATGGAAGAAATATTTAGAGGAAAAGATAGAGCTCATGTGCGATTTAGATCACGAAGTTCTTCTGCCAATTGGTCAGGTCAGGACCGACTAACAGAGAAAGAAATAGAAAATTATGCAAAGATAATGGGTTATAAAACTTAGGTATTTTATGTTGAATACAAGTCATTGAATATATGTTTATTATTTTGTCCATATTAGTACTCTCTATTATTACGTATATTTATTAAAGTAGGTATGCTTTTTTTATTAAATTTAAAATTATGCTTATTTGATAATTATGATTTTTGTTTTATTTTCCATTCATCTATCCATGAATCAATTTCATTCTTTGGTAGAATTAAAAGTCTGACAATTCCATCTAGCACTTCTACTTTGTTTGCTAAAATATCAAGAAGTTGTGCATTTTTTTCAACTTTAATCATATCACCTATTTTTGTTTCTATACATACTTCAACATTTGAAGCTGAATATTCATTATTTTTGTCCCATTGAGGTTTTGATGCCAATACTAAATCTAATTGTTCTTGGATCGTGCTAGTTTCTTCTACTTGTTTAATAAAATCTGATTGTAAAACAAGAGGATATAAGAAAATCACTGGAAATAATAAAATTGATGTAATATCCAAAGGTGATGATAAACATACTTCAACATCACCCATATCTTGTTCAATTGGTGATGATTTTATTATTATTCCTCGTTCCTATATAAATTTAAGCTTTTTTTATTGATTTATAACAAAATTACTTTAAGTGCTTTTTCAAGTGTCTTTTTTTTTATAAAAGACATATTTTTCCTTTCATACGCTTCCTTAAATTTCCTTTCTAAATATTTTTTGCGCTCAATAACCTCTTGTTTAAGTGATTTGAATGTATCATTATTATAATCTGTTTTTAAACATTGATTGATATGTTTTAAAGATTCATCAAGTCTATCCAAAAAAAAACATGCTTTTGCTGAACGATATAATGCTTTTGTATGATTTGGTTCCTTTTTTAGAACTTCATAGCAATTGTTTAATACTTGACGATAGTTTTCTACATTTCATAAGTATTAATATATCTTATCTCTTTATTACTAAGTTCCATATGACATGCTGCATTATTTAACAAACATGCTACTTCAATTCCATTCCCTGCTTTAGTTTTTAATGCTTTTGTGTAATATTCTATTGCATCTTGATATTTTTTAGCTTTATAACATTCATTTCCATGATATTTAAAGTTTTCTGCTATTTCTAATGGCTCTCCTTCATATTGAAGTGCTATAATTGCATCAATTGCTGTATTTTCTTTTGTTTTATCATAATTCTGCATAAAAAATGGCAATTTTTCTGTCTCTTTTAGCCATTTCTCTGCTGTTTCTGATATTGATACTGATTTATCTAATTCTACTATTTTTTCTCCAATTTTCGCTGTTTTTTCTATCTTTTCATTTTGATCTCCTTCTTTAACATATGTTTTCTTCATATTCTTTCTCTTTTATATATTTTTTTTATACAACTATTATTCTTATTATCTTATGTATTTCTTTACAATTCCTTTTTTTTCAATATTTTTTCATTTAAACTTCAATTATCCCTATAAAAACACTCTATATCTCTCTGTTCTCTCAATTATTCCCCTTCTATTGTCCTTAAATTCCTGTTTAACTTCTTTTTGTTCAATATTTCTTTCTTTCTCTTATTTCACTCTATTTAATCCCCTCAAAATCTTTCTTATCAAATAATATAATTATTTTCTACATATACACCCCGTTTCACTTGTTTCTTCTGTATTTTATTCTCCTTATAATTTCTCTTCTATTTTCACCTCTTCCTTATGTTCTTCCTTGATTATCTAAATTTCTTTCTCCCTATAATTAAACACTAATCCCCTTATATCTCCTTAAAATATACTTGTTTCTTCCTTATTTCCTGTATAATTCTTATAAAATTAAACACTCCTCTTTGACTTAGGTTTAAAAAGCTCGCTGCTCTGGATACACTTTTAACGGCAAAAAAAACAGAGGACTGGATGATTGAGCTAAAAAGCGTCTTAAAAGGCCAGTTTTTTCATAAAAAAAGCCATAAACTACGTCTTATAAGCGTTTAAGAAGATAAGAAGGGTTAATAATAAAAAACTAGGGGTTTTAAGTGGATTTACTTGGAAAATTAATATATCTAAGAAACAAGAAAAAGAGAAAATATAGGGAAAAATTGGAGATTAAAGAGGAATTAAGGCCTAGAATGATAGGGAATATACCTGGAGGATATGGATTGACAGAGTCACGGGTGGCGGCATACGGATATCCGGGTTTTTTTATGAAACAACCGGTATTATATAAGCCAACCTATCCACCGTTAGCATCTAGGGAGATAAATCGAAGAAAAATGAATGAAAGGGTTACGACGTGGTTAGAAGGAGGATCGGTATCATTATTAAGTCAAGAAAAGGTGTTAAAAAAACAAATAATAGAAAATAAAGAAGTTTATGTGAAGTTGATTAAAGATGTATGAAAAGGGGAGTTTTTGATGGATAAGTGTTTAATTGATATAGTTATATCCAACGGAAGGAGTGAAATTTGATGATGATGATGGACATTATATTGTTATACCTAATTCAGACTTAACGCCGCGATGTAACGTTTTATTTTGTATAATTTTTTTTTTTCTTATGTTTTTAAGATAAAATTATAAAGGTTCTTGGTCAAGGGACGTTTGGAAAAGTGATTCAATGTTATGATCGGTTGAAAAAGGATTATTGTGCTATTAAAGTAATACGATCTGTTCAGAAATATCGGGATGCGAGTATGATAGAGCTTCGAGTTTTACGTACAATTAGTGAAAATGATCCTGAAAATTTGAGGTTTGTTTTTTTTTTTTTTTGAAAAAAAAAGTTAATAAATTTAGAAAATGTATTCATATGAGAGATTGTTTTGATTATAGAAATCATATATGTATTGTGATGGGTCTTCTTGGGATGTCAGTCTTTGATTTTTTAAAAAACAATAGTTTTATTCCTTTCCCTCTTTCACATATTCAGCATTTTGCGTATCAGCTTTTTACCAGTGTTGCATGTAAGTTTTTAGTTGTTATGGAGAGAATAATTTAGAATGAATAGTTCTTCATGATCTTAATTTAATACATACAGATCTTAAACCTGAGAATATCCTTCTTGTTCATGCAGGATTTCGTACCGTTCCTTATACGAAAAAATTAGGCGTAAAAGTAAGACGATTATTAAACAACACAGAAATAAGACTTATCGATTTTGGAAGTGCTACTTTTGAAAATGAATATCATTCAAGTGTTGTAAGCACTAGACATTATAGGGCACCTGAAATTATTTTGGGTAAATTTTATTTTGGTTAAATAAATATATATATATATAATAATTTCAAAGGAATGGGATGGTCTTATCCATGTGATATATGGTCAATCGGTTGTATTCTTATAGAATTTTTTACGGGTGAAGCTCTTTTTCAAACACATGATAACTTAGAACATCTTTTTATGATGGAAGTTATTTGTGGAAAATTGGAACCAAAATTTATAAGACAATCTTCGTAATTAATTTAATTTTTAAAGAATAATAATATTTATGATTATTAGAAAATCTGCTCAGAAATATTTTCGTCATAGCGGAAAATTAGATTATCCTAATAAAGATACATCGCCTTCAAGTAGAAAGTTTGTTAAAACGATGCGATCATTAAAAGTAATTTTATCTCTAAGTTTTTTTTTTATTTTCTTATTGATTAATTTTTTATAGGAAATCATTCCTTCTACTTCACCTTTAAAGATACATTTTTTGGATTTACTTACCAAAATATTTATATATGATCCTAATAAACGAATTACTGCAAAAGAAGCTCTTTCTCATCCTTATTTCTTTACTCCTGTTAGAGAAGATGATATATAAGTTAAATTATCTGAGTTTACTCTATTATTAAAGGTTAATTACATGATATTTCTTTATTTTACTAAGGATTAATAGAAATGTGTTCCCAACTTTACATTCACCATTGATTATATCCTTTTTTTTTTTATAACAAGTATGTTTCAAATAGATTTTTCATGTTTATCTTATTACTTATTACTTTTTTCATTCTGTACGGAGGATTTCCTTGTATTGTGTATTCATTAAGGTTTATTATGATTTTTTTAATTTTCATTTATACTTTTACTTATATATATTCATGCATTTTAAAAAATTACATCCTATAACAAAACATAAAGTCTCTTGAGTTGTGCGATAAATTGTTTTATTCATTTCTTTTTGATTTTAAGAAAGTTTTCATACTAAAAAAAAAGAGATTCATTATAATATTAATTTTAAAAAAATAAAGATAATATTTAGAAGATTTTAAAGAATTATTCAATAAAATAGAATGGATCAAAGAGATATGGATGCAAAAAAAACATATCCTCCCCAGACAATTGCAAAGATTTTTTCATTAGCTTTTACTGATCCAACAACTAAAATCTCTGCTTCAGCACTGACTTTATGTTCAGAATATATTCGTATTTTTTGTAAAGAAGCGATCTGGAGGGCTGCTGCATCTAAACGTGAGCAAGAAAATAAAGATGAAAATACACAAATATCATTAGGAGCAGAAGATTTAGAAAGGCATAATTTATATATTTAAAAATGCTAATAACGTTTTTTAGAATTGCAGGTCAATTGACCTTGGACTTTTCATAATATTAATTTTTATTAATATAAATATATTGATATATTGTTTGAGGTTTATTATACAAGAAATAACATGTTTTATATATAGGATATTTGATATTTTCGAAATTTTTTATGTGGTATCTTTATATTATATAAAAAATTATCTTTTTTATTAACATTCTAGGGATATTATACAAGGTATTTTAAGAACTTAAGGTTTATGAAGGTTAATGAAGAGTTATTTTAGATATTTACTTTGAAATTTTTATTATAACTTCTTTTTATATTTTTGAAAACTTTATCAAAATCATATAGAATATATATTTTATATATAGGAATATCATGCCTGAGTTTGTTTTATCATATGGTAATCCAGATGAAAATTTAAAGAAGATTGATGTATTTATTTCTGATAATGGTTTTATTAATGATTCATCAAATTTATGGGTTATTTATATTCATGGAGGTGCATGGTATGTTTAAAGGATGGTTTTATATTTAAAATACATGTATTTTTATTAATATGTATTTTAGGAGGGATATAGATCATGATTCAAAAGATGGACATGTTCTAATTAATTTTCTTCGTAGTCAATTTTATACACAAACTAAATTGGCTTATGCAAGTATTAATTATCGTCTATCACCTCATGTAGTTCATCCTGAACATTTGAATGATATAAAAGAAGCAATTGATTTTCTTAAAAAAACATATAAATTAAATCAATGTATTCTTATTGGGCATTCTGCTGGTGCAACATTATGTATACAATATTTTATGGTTAATAGTGAGGTACAAAATATTGTATGTTGTATTATTTGTGTGGAGGGAATATATGATTTATTGGAATTGGTAAGCGAATATCCTTCATATGAGGATTTTGTAAAATTGGCTTTTGGTAATGATCAACGAAACTGGATTGTTGCAAGTCCTTCATATTTAGTATCTAATTATGTTGGTTCATCTTCTTGTGAGATAATTTTGATTCAATCTGAAGAAGATGAACTTTTAAGTATGAAACAAACAAATATTATGATGAAGGCTATTTCTCATATTAAGAATTCTAATATTACATTTAGTTTGAAAAAAGTAAAAGGAAAACATTTTGATGTTATAAAAAATGATGATTTTTTTTATATAATTAAAGAGGTTGTTCATTATTATTTATAATGTTTTACAACAATAGTATATTTTTCTACAAATATTTTGATAATTAGAAATAAAGATGTTTTCAATTCATTTAAAAATATTGTTTTTAGTTATTTAAGGCGTTATATTATCTATAAAATCAAAAGGTTTATTAATTGATCTGTTTAAAGATGCAATTATTTATATTAAAACATGTAATCTTATGAATATTTTATAAAATCTTTTATTTATATTAAAGCTCTCTTTCTTAAGTCATTTGTTGGCATTTCTATATACAATATTTTTATAAGGTCTTTAAGACTCACAAAATTATTTTTTAATATGATATTTATAAATATTTCTTTTTAAGCTTATAAAAGTCTTGTTATTGTCCTTTCAATTGAAGTTTTTTAAAGTTTTTTGTGTATAATTTTTAAAAAGTCTAGGCTTAATATATGTAGATATAGAAATATATTTAGGTTTAGATAATATAATAAGTATATAGGAATTGAAGAGAGGATTACATCAAGAGGTCTTATAAAACCTGAAATTCTTATATTTTCAGTTTAAATTTATATATTAGCTGTATTTATGATTAAAAGTTAAGAATATTAATAGATTAATATCTATTTAAATAAAATATCTATATAAATTTTATATAAATTAAGCTAGATTGTCAAAATGTTATATTTATTGAAAAAAAAATGAAATTATTTTATCATTTTAATAATAAGTTTGAATAATGGATTTTATTATATATAAAATCTTATATAAAACTTAAAGATTTATTAATAATAAAATTGTTTTTCTAATAAATGTTTATGATATTTGAATTTCTTTAGTATATACATTTAACAAAATAATCAAATATGTTAATATTTTTTTAAAAAAGCATCAAAGTTTTTAATAAATATCATAAAAATAGCAATTTTTAATTTTATTTTAAATAGATTTTTTAAATTAAGATAAAATTTTAGTAGATTTATATAAATCATAAAAATAATATACCTAAAAGTCATATTTAATAATAAAAAGAATAATTATATATGAATTGCTATAAGTGATCATTTGTTATAATTATCAAGTGCAAATATAAGTCATTTGTCGCATGATTTGTTCAATTGCCTTATTAAAACATTGTACATTATATTCAAGTAGGCTCTGTTTTTCTAAATTTTCTATTCGTACAAGACAAACAAGAGCAAGATATCTTGTAAAAATATTAGAAATATTAAAGTAATTTTAAAAAAAATACCTGTTAATTTCATGGAAATATAGTGCCATCCCATTGCTTAAACGGATCACAGATGATATTTCTTTTTCATCTGTTATATTTTCATTATTTGAATTATATTTCCTTTCATAACTTGTCTATATTAATAAAATTATCATAAATATATTAAAAATACCCATAAATTTCAAAAACGTCTAGAATTACATCAATATAATCAGAGCAGATTTCATAACTTTGTACGTCCACTGGTGAACTATCTGTAGCAATATATATTTTAGACGAAATGTCAAACAAATATGCTTTTTCAATAACTGAATTCTAATAACGTTAAACAAATATTAACTTGTTTCTTGCTTACTGAACAAAATATATTAAGAAGATTTTCTAATGCTGGCAATTGAGGAATAAGCTTTTGAATTACCCTTGAAAACGCCTCAAAAATTGAATAATCAAATATAGACGTTAAATGAAATGATATAGAGACATTATCAAGTCCTGAATCTAAAAGCTCATCAAGAACTCTTTGTTGTATATCTCTTTGTGTATCTATATTTCATAAGCTGCTTTCACTCCCTCTACTTATAAATATTACCAATCTTATAATCATCTGAAAGAACATCTACTTTATGTATAAATACCTCTATATTTATACTTGGATTAACTGCCAATGCCTTCATTATTGTAATATGTAATTTAGAAAGTGCCTCCAAATACTCATCCTATTCTTATTAATTTTATATTACCCTTTCATATATATATATATATTCCTGTGCATCTACTACAAATATCAATGCTCCTACTTGTCCAAATATACCCTCAAGATCAAATGTTGAATCAAAAAAATCTATTTGTCCTGGAAAATCCCAAACCTGAAAATCAATAAATGAACTTTCATATAAGCTTTCTCCCCATTCTTCCCTCATTCTTACTTGATATCATCCTTATTAATTCTGTTTGTTGACTCAAGAAAAAGTGTTTCATTAGGTGGCATCTTTAATCATTCCTGTAAACCATACACTCTTGACTATTTCCATACCTTATGAAATACTACCCTCTTAGTGCTTGATTTACCACTTCTAATGTCTCTTTAGCCCCTCCTCTTCTTCCCTTCTCCACTAACCTTCTCAATCCCATCAGTAATAGACGTGGACGATATGTATACATAGGAATCATACATACTTCATGCTAATAACATGTCAGCATCTATTTTAACATTAGAGCTACTCTTAGGAAATACGTTTAAGGCCATTCTAAGCTTTTTAGCTGATTTACCGCTCCTATAAGCCTTGATGGTTAAGACCTAGAGAGGGTATGTTAAAGAAGGGCAAGAAATTAGGGAATAATTGGCATGATTCATGATACGAGGATTAAAAGGTTAAGAATAAGCAGGGAAATGGGGCTGGATGGGGGGAAAAGTGGAAAAAAGTATCAAGAAGAGGAGAATATTGGGATAAAGTGCCATATGAATTTTATACAGAAAAGACTTGTTTTTATGTTTAAATCCAGGTTAATTGATGTATTTTGATGAATTTATGGGGTTGATTTGGTTTAAACAGATATACAGATTTTTTGGTGAATGAGGTGGATGAGGAGGAAAAGGTTATTCATATAACAAAAACAGAGTTTTATGAAGAGAAAAGGAGTTATTTAGAAGGGAATGTATCTAAAAGAGAAGATCTGGAGGTGAATATGTTTTTTTTTGAAAAAATAGGAATGATAGATGGTATGGGAGTAGCCAGAAGAAATTGAGAGAATAAGAGGGATTTTGGGGGAAGAAATAGTTGAGAATGTTCTCAGAATGCTTGAAAATGGGGGGGATTATATGAAATTTGTTTTAACGGGGAGAATTAAGGACAAAAAGAAGCGTACAGATGTTCATAAGGCGGTGAGAGAAGTTTTTAAAGGAATACTAGATACAAGAACAACAAATGAAGAAGAAATAAGGATAACATTTTCAAAGAGTTGTTATGGAGGGATTTTATGTGTATAATTGATGAATTTTAGAAAATGATAGTTCATATGGAAATTTCTGGGTAGATGTTGGAGGAGAATACTGTTTATTTTATCTATACAAGGAAAATATGGATACAATGGAATGTATAAATGTGCTTTGTAGATATTTACATGTAAAACCCCGAATTTTTTCATTTGCAGGAACAAAAGATAGAAGGGGATGTACAGTTCAACAATGTACAGCATGGAAAATAAAGGCAGAGAGACTTTCAGGTCTAAATAAATATCTTAAAGGTTTTAAATTAGGGAATTTTTCATATACAAATGTTAAATTGGAATTGGGTGATCTTAAAGGGAATGAATTTACAATTATTTTGCGGTAGAGAAAGGAATTGATATATTTTAGATTTAATATTTGCTAGTGATGTTAAAGAGGAGGATGAAATTATAGATGAATGTTTAAATTTATTAAAAAAAAATGGTTTTGTTAATTATTATGGAGTACAACGATTTGGAACATCAAATAATGCAACTCATGAAGTTGGTATTTTACTTTTGAAGTTTAATTGGAGAGGGGCAGTAGAATTATTACTTAAAGAAGCTTGGGAAAAGATTAAAGGAACCATTGAAATGAATGAAACTATTGAATCGAAAGGAATTTGGTCTAATATAGAAAATGTAAAGATTGCATTGAAAAATACATGTCAAAAAAATGTATCAGAATATTCTATTTTACATTCATTGGCAAAAGAATCATCTAAATCACCTAATTATGCAGGTGCACTTCAAAAAGTATTATATTATAATTGAATTGGATAAATATAACATCTTTAGATACCTAGAAATTTAAGAATGATGTATATTCATGCTTATCAATCTTATGTGTGGAATTTTGCAGTTACAGAGCGTCTTTCTAGATTTGGATTTAATCCTATAGAGGGTGATTTGGTTGTTTGTGATCAAATTGTTAATTCAAATGACGATTTGATAGATTCAGAATGTTCAGATTTACAATTAGAAAAATTGACTAAATCTTCTAAGATCATTTCTGTAAAACATTTAAAAAAGGATGATCTTTCAAATTATTCAATTTATGATATTGTTTTGCCTACACCAGGACATGATATTTTATATCCAGAAAATTGTATTAAGGATTTTTATTTAGATTTTATGAAGAAAGATGGTTTAGATGGTTTAAATATGGTTCGTTCTATAAAAGAATTCTCTCTAACAGGTTCATATCGGCCAATTGTATCAAAACCAAAAATGATGCAATGGGAAATCATATATTATAATAATCCAGAAGAACAACTCTCTATTACAGACATTGATATTATAGAAAATCGTGTTTTAAATAACACTGTCAATAAAAAAGGTAATTTTAAAAAATCTTATTATATATATATAAATAAATTACTATAGATGGTTCTTTTAAGGCAGTCAAATTGAAAATGCAACTTGCAAGTTCTTCTTATGCTACTATAGCTTTAAGAGAAATTACAGAAGGAAATACGTTAAATCCTTAAAACGTATTTTTAACTTATTAAAAAATATATATTATTTTATATAAAAATAGGTCTGTTTTTTATACAAAATTCTTATAATAATCATCATTAAATCTCATTAATACAGTTGGTTCTAAAAAATCTTTGGTATTTTTAAAGTTATTTAATAAAATATAGGGTTAATCATTTTTAAAAGTTTAAATTGTTTTTAAAAATTAATAAAATTATTTTCTTAATAGTTTTATTATAAAATCTATTAATATTTTGGTTAACAAAGTTATTGAAATCTTAAGTTCGAATTAAAAGGAAATTGAAGTTAATTTCGGGATTTTTAAAGGGTTTATAGAATTATATAAGGTTTTATTTGAAAAAATATTAAATGGGATCAAATATTGAAGATGCTTTTCAAGAAAATCCAATTTCTTCTGTAAAATCACAAAATTTAATTCAAGATGTATCTTCTAGTAAAACTTTTTATGAAGATACAGATAGATCTAAGATTATTTATATTGAAAATACAAAGGAATTTCGTAAATGGAGTATTATATATCCTTTATATTTTGATTCAAGACGATCTATTAAAGCGGGACGAAAAGTTCCTATTAGTAAAGCAGTTGAAAATCCATTGGCAAATACAATGGCAAATGGTGCAAGAGTTCTTGGTTTTTCATGTATTTTTGAGGTTATTTATTATTCTTGTATTTTCATATAAATTTCTTAATGGATCCAATACAGCCTGATAAAACACATCCTAAAGATTGGGCTAATCCTGGTCGTATACGTATTTTATTTAAAGAAAATGGTATATTTTCTCATGTATCATTAAAGACAAGTATATTTTTATTTATCTCAAAGGTCATTCTTATTCAAGGTAGAAAAGGCATTATACTTGGCATTATCAAGTTATCTTCAGGCTAATTTAACGACAATCATGTCTCCTATGAAAGTACCTGTTCCTGGATTTAATAAGCCACCTTCTCCTCCAGATATTCCTAAAGGGATCTTAATGGGAGATATATTACCATTAAATTCACCGGCATTAATTAGTGATGAATGTTTAGAGAATTTTTCTAAAGAAATGGCCAAAGAACAAAGGTCTAATGTTGATCGGTCAAAGCAGAAGAAGGAGAAAAAGAAGAAACATTAATTTCTAATGTTTTTTTTAATTTTAATTAAGCTATCAATTATTTTTATGGATTCATTACCATTATAATTTTAATTCATGTCCAGTTTATACACACTGGATCATCAATTATTTGTTATATTATTTACTATAGGCTTGAAATATTCTTATTTTAACCCATAAGTTGATTTCGATCATCAGGTGGTTTCACTGACTGTATAAATGTAAGAAGTCTTTTAATCGCTTGTAACCATTTTCTAGTAGCTTCATCATTTAAAACATGACCTATAATAATATTTTATATTTATATATTATTAAAAAAAATACCATACCTGTTTGTCCTGTATGAAGCTTTTCACGTGCACTTCGTTCATGAATTCCTACCATTGTTACACCAATTGGCCATGCCGCATTACCTATACTAAGCTGAAGATATGCATCATTTGCCTTAATATATTCACGTCTTTGACAATGATATGTAATCTTTGAAACCCCCTCCAATATATCACTTTTCATAGATTTCTTTTTTAATAAATTAAAAAACACTTGAAGATCCTTTTGTGATTGTTGCTGATTTGCTGATACTGATTTCCCTTGTTTAGATTCCTTGATTTCATCTAAAGAATATATATATATATATGTATATATGTTATATCTATATATACATACCTGGACGTTCATCTAATGTTTTTCTCCACAAATCAATCAATATCTTTGTATAATTAATGCTTTTTAATAGTTTTTACTATCAAAATACCTCAAAATAAACTAATATTTTTTTATACAAATTTTCTGGATTATTTTTCAATTCATTCAAGTTAATATTCAATACACTCTCATCTTTCTCTGCTTCCTTTCTAAGTATCTCTATTTCTTCCTTTAATTCCACTCCCTTTCCTTCTAATTCCACTTTTCCTATCATTTCTTCTTGTTTCTAAAAAAATGTAAAAAACCCTTATAATATTGTTTTTAACTACTCTTTTTTGCTCTTCTATATATTCTAAATGTATTAATCTCTCTTTTTTCTCTTCAAATGTCTCTCCAAATAAACATATAGGTTGCTTTTTCTCTCTAAACTTTTTAATAACCTCTTCTTCTGTTAATCCCTTCATCTTTCCTTCATTCTATCCCCTTATTTAACCTTTCTGCTTTAAAAATACTTCTTGTTTATTACTTTTTTTTCTAATCTTGATTCTTCATATCTTTTTTTAAATAATACCCTCTTTTCTTCCTCCTGAATCACTAATTCTCGCTTTTTTTTTCGTTGTTCCTATTCATAAGCTATTCCCCTTCATATATCCCTTCTTTTTATTACTTCTTTTTCATTATCTATCCTTTCTTTCTCCTCATAATAAGCTTTTTCTCTTTTTTCTTCAAGATCTCTCTGTTTAACATATTTTTGTTCATTTTGACCCCTCACACTCCTCATCTCCTCTCGTTTCCTTGATATTTCTGCTGTTAAGAGGTTCATTTCTTTGTTTTTGCCTTTTTTTATTCAAATATAGGCCTTTTGCCTTATCTTCTTACTCGTTTTTACACAATACTAGAAAAAACAGACTCTTTTTACAGATTACTCAGTAAGTTTATAGGAAAACAAGTGTTTTCTTTAAGGAATTTCTAATATCTATTAAGTGTTTAAGAAAGATCCTGCAATTGAGAAGTTTGCTGGTATAAAAACTTAAAGAAATGACTAAGTTCTTATCAAATCCTTAGAAATGAGAGCTTCTCAGCATAAGTACTTTAAATGGACGCCAAGGACTGTATTAGTATCTCTGGTTCTTGGAATTTTTGTTCCAGGGTGTATTGGATATATTGCCTTAATGACAGAGGTATAATAGTGATGAAAAGAAAAAAGTAAAAAAGTAATGTTTAATGAGGGTAAATGGAACTTTAGAGGCAAGGGAATAAAGGACAAGTTGACGGAGGACCATATTTGAGTGTTTATATAGAGTTGAATGAGAATGCTTGATTATATATTACAATAATTAAAGATTTACCATCTTGCTTTATAAGAATCTAACCGTTCCCGTCCATGATTTCCTTCAGCATCTCTTTTTCTCCAATCTCTTCCTAGTGGAAGATCAGGATAAGGATGACTCCTTCTTTTCATTAAAGTATTTGTTCTTCTTCTTTCAAAACCTCTACTTAGTGTTCGAGCTTTGGGTCCTTCATCATTATTGATTGCTACATCAATCCAGTCTCCTATAGAAAATCTAACGTCGTCAAGTGTTCTATTTGCTTCTAATCCTCTGGAATAAAGTAGAACACTACCGATATCTTTTGTTAAATACTTTTCCTTATAATTATCATTATATATAAGACGAAATGAAAGTCGTGTGCTATTATTATTAGGAATTGCCTTAGAAATAAGCTGTGCAAGTTCATAAAGACTTGCATCTCTCCTTAATATAATATTAATACTGGATCTATCATAATCTAATAAAAAATATGTTAAACCATGTATATATTTGAACTTCATCTCCAACTGGCTGGCTTTTTGGCTGAAATTCTTCGATCCTGAAAAGCAAATCAATAAGTATGATAAATAATAAATATAATGGATTATTTTACGAGTGAAATCCTCCATTTTTACAGAAAATTCTAAGTAAAAAAGGTGTTGTTTTCTGTCGGTCAATTGGCTTTGGAGGCTTTGAAATATACATTTTTTTCATTATACAAAAAATATCTTATATTCTACAATATATCTTCTCTTTTAACGTCTTTATATAGTTTCTAAGATAATACTTATGTAGAGATCTAATTTTAAAGATTTTACCGTATTTTGTGCGGTGCCTTTGGTATCGGGTGCCGTTAGGTATAAATAAGAATAAGAGATAATTTGGAGAGAATCGAGTTAAAATGAGAATATAACAAGTAATTATGATAGAAATATTATGTATGAAAAATATATTTAATAGATTAAGTATATTTTTCTTTTTAAGAAAAATGATTATTAGATAAAAGAAGAATTATATAAAGGCTATATGAATGTTAAAATCAAGAGTAATAAATAAAAGGAATGCCATAGATATTGGCGATATATCCGAGTTTTTAGAATTACTCAGGTGTAGCCCGTGCTAAAAAATAAATAAAAAATTAAATAAAATATGAAACATACTATATATAGTTTGTGCATGATGAAGACCGACTTTTTTAATGATTCCTTCATCGAAAAGAGTCTTTAAAGCTTTTCGAGCAAGTGATCCATTTATTTTAAAACGATCAACGAATACAGATATTGAAATAAAGCGATATGATAAAACATCTTTATAAATCTTATCGCATGTTTGTTTATCAAGTATAACGGTGTTATTTGATTTCTCTTTTACTTTTCCTTTGGACCATTTTTTCTTAGCTTTTCCTAAAAACAAAAAATTAGTTATTATCCTTTAAAATAAGCGTTTTTTTCCCGGAAAAAAAGGGATTTATATTATAAATATGTTTTTCAATTGATTTACCTGTTTTATTATGCGCTGGAGCAGGTGCTTTAACCATTTTTTAAGTAATTTATTATTTTGATTGGAGGACGGTTTATACGGTAGATCGATAAATTAACCTCTAAAATATATATAAAATTGTTAGAAATTAGAAAGTGATTAAAGAAGCAGGAAAACGGGATATTTTAGTAAAAAATCTAAATAAATCTGTATTTTTTGATATTTTTACTTTTTTTTTTGGGTTAAAAAGGCCAAAAATTGGGAATAAACCTTATTAAATATAGTGGATGATTATATAGAGTTGTTAAGATTCATTGAATTATACAGGCAAACTATACTATATGGGGTATCTATTTATTTTATTGACAGAAATTCAGATAGACATTAAATTCTGTCTAAATAAGCCTTATAGATCATCTAATTGTGGTTATATATAAGGTGTATATTGAAGTGATATTGAAAAAATAGTTATTTATACAAGTCAATTGTCTTTTCCTAGTTCCAATATAGAAGGGGATTAGGAAGGAGAGAGATAATTTGAAAAGACGGCGGTGTTAAGGGTATATTCAGGCATTCGAGGCTTTTGTTATACAACAAAGCTACATATGAAATCATTTGTTCAGATTGTTCAGATTCCTAGTGCGGATACTAGTTCTCAACCGTCTATTCTTATGCATTGTGATAGAAAAAGATATTTGTTTGGAGCAGGAGAAGCCATACAAAGGACATGTATAGGGAGGAAAATTAAGACTAAGAAGATTCGAGATGTATTTTTAACATTTGGTTCTAGAGGAGTTTGGGAAGGGTTTGGTGGATTTCCAGGTATATTTTATTATTTCTAAGAATTAGAATATCTTGATGTAAATTATATTTTGGATGATTAATTTGATTTAGGACTCTTTTTGACAATGGCAGATCAGAATCATTTTGTAAGTGATATTACAATTCATGGTCCTCGAAATACTATGTATTTAATGTTAACTTTAAGGCATTTTATTTATAGGTTTGCCAAGTTTATTATTATTATCATTATTGAAACTGAAAACTTTAAAGGCCCAATATTAAGATTAAAATAAATGAATTCAAGTCAGAGAAAGATGTATTTGTTGATGAGAATGTTACGATTACTCCTGTTATTTCTGTACCACGTAACTATGAATTAATTAATAGATCAGAGGAAATTGGATTTTGTGATAAAAAGAGATCTTATGAGGGGTATATAAAAGATATTAATGATAATTTAGAGTCTATACAAGAAATGGTGTTTTATTCTAATGATGGAGAAGTAAAGATTTCATGTTTTAAGGATATTGAAAAGATTTTGTTATCTAATTCTGATAATATTAAATCTAAAAGCTTTCAAAAAGATCATTTTAAGATGATAAATGTTGGAAAAAATATGAAGAATATGCTTCGAGCTGTTCCTTTTCCTATGTCGGTAACTTATATATGTGAAGGACATACACAGCTTGGTAAATTTAATCCTATTGCTGCTAAAACTTTAGGTGTCCCACCTGGGCCTCAATTTGGAATACTTTCTAAAGGGGAAAGCATCACTCTTGATAATGGAAATGTTGTTCATCCATACCAAGTCCTAGGTGAATCTCGTCCCGGTTTTATATTTATTATAGTGGATTGTCCAGATAAAAATTATATTGATTCATTAATTAAAAAAGATATATGGAATGATTACTATAAAACAGGAACGAAGAGAGTTCAATTCATGATTCATATGGTTAATGAAGATGTCTTAAATGACTCTGAATATATTAATTGGATGCATCAGTTTAGTGAAAATGTTCAACATATTATTTCATGTCCATCTTTGTGTCCTGATTCAATAACTCATCATAAAGTGGCTTTACAGCAATTGAAATTAAATAAATTATCTGATAATCATTTTCCTTTACCACAATGTATGACTTTTCAATCAAAAAATAAAGGAATAAATATAAAGGATTTACTTGTAACTGATATAAAACCTCTGCAAAAATTTATTTTGGGATCCAATTCGTTATTTGTAGAAGACGAAGTGCTTTTACCTGTTAATTTGGAATCTCCTGAAAATTTTAAAGGATTAGATGTTTTTTTATCTCTTGCAAAAGAAGCAAATGAGAATATTCTTCGTGATCAAGAAAAGTTTGGCATTAAATCGAATATTCCTGGGTCAAATGTTAAAATTATTACTCTTGGAACGGGTTCTGCTCTTCCATCACATTATAGAAATGGTAGATATTTTAAAATTATGGTTTTAATTGATAAATCATTAGTTTCTTCAACTGTTCTTAGAATTCCTGGTCATGGTTCAGTAATTTTGGATGCTGGTGAAGGTACTTTAGGGCAATTATCTAGACAATTTGGATCAGACTTGGATTCTTTTTTAAAAGATTTAAAATGGATATATATAAGTCATCTTCATGCAGATCATCATTTAGGTACTATTCGGGTATTGAAACAGTGGAATAAGGCAAATCATGGAAATGATAATGTAATTTATATATCTGCTCCTTGGAAATATTTTTGCTTTCTTCAAGAATATTCTAATATAGAGGATTTTGGATGGGATCGTATAAGAGCAATATCAAATGGTGATGTATGTGAAGATTTTTCATTAAAAAAATCTCATTCAAATTCACATACAAATTCTTTAAAGTATTCATTTCCTTTTTTTTACTCATAAAACTTATATTTTCAGTTTAAATAATTTATTAAAAGATTTATCTCTTTTTTCATTTTCTACTGTTAATGCAATACATTGCTCATGGTCTTTTTGTATGCAAATTACACATCTAGATGGTTGGAAACTTGCTTATTCTGGTGATACTAGACCTAATGAAAATTTCGTCAAACTTGGAATGAATTCAACTCTTCTAATACATGAAGCTACTCTTGATGATGATAAACTTGATGATGCAATTAAAAAAAAACATAGTACTACTAGCGAAGCCATTCATATAGGGAAAAAAATGAATGCTAATTTCACTCTTTTAACTCATTTTAGTCAAAGATATCCAAAAATTCCAAATTTCATAATCAATGATAATAATACTCAAAATACTTTAGGAATCGCTTTTGATGGTATGCAAATACAATTTTCTGATCTTTGGAAATTACCTTATTATTCAAATGCTCTTAAAGTTTTATATTCTGATGATATTAATTAATGGGCTCTTATTTAATCATATTAAATAAACTAGTTTTAAGGCAAATAGGTTTCTCTTTTATTTTTTTTACAAACTATATTAAATCTTTATTTATATACAGATATTCGACTTAAAAAAACAACGTAAATTTAAGAAAAAAAACAACTTCTTAATACTAAATATCTATCTTATTATCTATGGAAACCCTCTTTGAATGGAATAATGAGCTTATGACAGAACATCTTACATATCCGCCTTTATCTTTAATTGATGATGTTATTAATACCATTAATACCTTATTATATAAGGCAGTTGGGGCTATAGAACAGTATATGAAGCATCTACCATCATCTATGATATCAGAGAAAGAGATTAGTGAAGGAGTTCAGCAAGTTGAAACATTTTTAGAGAATGCAATAGATAGAAATTTTGATGCATTTGAACTTTATGCTTTACGCAATATTTTTATGGTTCCAGAGAGTATAAGAGGATGGATAAAGCTAAGACATCAAATGGCAAATAGAGTTTATTATATATTTTCTATTAATTTTTATAGGATGTTGATTTTTCTAAGTCTGAACAAGATTTTGAAAAAATCAAGTCAGAAATTTCAGTTTTAAAAGATAAAATTACTACAGTATGTTTGTTAATTTTTATATTAAAAAATGAATGTTTTAGGCACATAAAGTATTACATAATTTTAAAAATGAAGATTTATTGAATCAATCAATACTTCAACAACTTCGCAATTTTACAAAACAACTTTCATTTTTATCAGATATTTCAAAAGAACATGAAGGTTTTTTGTATTTATTTTTAATTATTTACATTTTTAATTTTTTTAGTTAAACCATTGCCAGAAACCGTTGAATTCCTTGTTAATCAAACTTTGGCTTTACAATCTTTATTAAATTCTTTACAAACATTGGCTTTAACATATGATAAAAAGCCTTTATCTTTATCTGAACGTATTTTATACATTGAAAAGTCTATTTTAACACAACTTCCTATACATTCAAATGATAATTCGGATACATTCAATCTCACTGATGCACGTTCTTTATTATATCGTCTTTCTCAACTTGAATAAATTAATTCATTCTTATGCAAATCATTGGTTTCATTAGGCACTCTTAATTATATTTATAATATTATATATGTTTATACATATATATTTTATATATGGGTTTAATAACTTTCTTTAACATAATACTAAGCGTATATCTGGGCTGGTGGCGCAATGGTTAGCGCATTGGTTTTCGGTTAGAATGGAAAAAATCACCAAAGGTTGTGGGTTCGAGTCCCATCTGGCTCGGTCAGTATCTTTTTTTATACTTTTATATAAGTCAAAGTAAAAAAAAGATAACATTTTAAACCATTTTTTTTAGAAAGAAAAGGATAAATCTATTGTTTTTTCTAAGAACAAACTTTTCAAAACCTGAGGGTTAGGTTGTGTTTTTATTTTTTTTGCCGAGTATAACTAATTATAAAAAGGTAGATCTTATATATATATATAGTCTTGTTTTTTTCAAATGCCTTTATAAAGGCACAGATTGATGTTTTCATTCTATGAATAGAAAGGATGCAGAAAGACATGATGTTTTTAAGTTTTATGGATTTGAAGATAATATTTTTCTTTTTGTTCCGAATTTAATAGGTATAAAAAGAAGAATAAATGTTTAAATGAATGAAATTAAGGTATAATTAGGATATTTCCGTATTCTATTAGCAGCGGCGTCTTTAAAATTTATGCCATATCATCCTAAGTAAATAGAATTATTGGGATAATTAAAAAGTTAAAATAATAAATTAATAGATATTGTACATGGCTTTATATTTTATCATGTTTGCTTGATGCGTTTGATGGGATGGCAGCCAGATGGCTAGGACAATGTATGTATTTAATTATTTTTTTTATGAGAGGTAGGGATTAATTATATGTTATATTAGCAACAAGATTTGGAGCCATTTTGGATATGGTTACGGATCGGTAAAATTTTAGGGCAGAGGAAAAATGAATTAATATTGTAGGTGTGCTACATCCTGTTTGTTATGTTTTTTATCTTCTGCGTACCCAGCATATACGTTTACCTTTCAGTTTCTTATTTCTATCGATTTGGCAAGTCATTACATGCATGTATTTTCAACATTATCTCAAGGAAGTTCTTCTCATAAAAAGATTCCTGATGATCAGAGTTGGATTCTTCGACAATATTATCAAAATAATGTAATTTTTAATATTAATAATTAGTACTTTAATTATATATATATAGGTTATTCTTTTTGTTTTTTGTGCTGCGAATGAGCTTTTCTTTGTAGCGTTGTATCTTCTTTCTTTTCCTCCAAAATCTCCTCCACGACTTGGTATTATATTAGGGTTCTATTAAAAATATCATTTATGATTAAATACTTCTAGGTTATGTCTTTAATATTCCACTTTCATATCCTGTATTGATTGGCATTATAAGTTTTCCTATTTGCCTTGGAAAACAGATTATTAATATTGTTCAAATGATTAATGCAGCCAAGGCACTAGCAGACATTGATAAGGAAAACAGAAAGAAAAAAAAATCCATGTAATACTCTAATTGTTTAAATGAAATGGCTATCATTTATATTTGAGATGTGATTTAGTTTATAATGGCTTTATTTGATGTCATTTCTATTGAGTGAACTTTGTATAATAGTATTATCTAATTTTTTATATAAGTTGGATCTAACTGCTGATATTTGCCATATGTTAGTCTTTTAAGCGTATATATCCTCTAGATAAGGCACGTGCGCCTCTTCCAAAGATTTCTCCTGCGCCTTCTCTGTCCATTTCTAAAACATTAAGTGCATCTCTTATTGTAATAAGTCCTATCTCTTCAACAGTCTGTATGATAGCGGTTTCTGTGCTTGCTTGCGAATGATTGCTTGTGGTTCGTGGTGTTTTTGTAACATATCCTGGAGATAATGGCAATGTCGATGTCATCCATGAATATTTTTTACCACCTGGTCCATTAGGACCTGAACCCATCATTATTGCTGCTGTTGTATCAATATTTCGTTTCTGTGCATCTTCTGAAAGATTTTTTGAAGACGAATTCATTAGCATCTCTTTCTTTTTCCTTTTTTTGTCCATATCTTCCGGATTTCCAGATAATAAGGTTTGTTTATCCATTTTACTTTCCTCTTCCATCTTTCTTGATAATATTTGAGCCCTTCGCTTTTCTTCTTTATCTTTTTCTTTAATATTTATATCCTCTAGAATTTTTCCAACATTGTCAATTATTTTTCTATTAACAGGAAGTGATGCAGTGCGATGTCTAGATAAAACTATCATCTCTGATAAGAGACTTGCCATTCTATCGCGCAATGAAAGTGCAAGAAGAGGTCCTATATCCGGATCTATAGTTTTAAGAGAGTTTGAAATCGCTATTTCTTTTTAAACAATACTTTAGCAAAAATGACAATATACCAATCCTATAAATAAGATCATTCAATGGAACTGGGTTCAAAAAATCCGTCATTTTTGTTCGATCTTCTTCAAGAGGAATTACATTTGATCCAAACACATAATCGTAAGACCGGCTCATATTGTGTTCTTCCTCCTAAATACATAAATTATCCAAAAAATACCTACAATAAATCTTTTTTTTACCTTAATATCAACACCTGCTGATATTAATGCATCTTGGAGCTGCTCAGTATCTTGTCGGTCGTCCCTAATTATCTTTTTATATACACTTATCAACATTATACATAAATTACCCTATTTTCCCAACATTTGCTACCGTATTAACTATAATTTAAACTCTTGTTACATTTAAATAATATATTATATAGCTAATCATACCAGGTCCTTTCGCTCCACTATACACATTCGAATTCCCCTTAGAAACCGGCTGAGGAAAAACCATCTGTCCATATCGTTCCTGACCCGATATACTAGATGAACCTCTCTGTTTTTTCGACAATGGCACCTCCCTACTGCCTCATAAAACATCTCAAAAAAAAAACGCTCAAAAGTACTCATTTAGACTCCGTTTTAAATCCATCAAAATCCTACGATCTTCTCTACGATCTCTACTTTATATCATTCGTCTGTTTTTTATATTTTTCTTTCTCAAATGCTACTTTTACACTTTAGACATAATATACATATATTCTTTCTGTTTTCCTCGGAAAATTGGCTGTTTTTTCCCCGGAAAAAACTGCTCCCACACAAATACACCTGAAAAATATCAAAAATACTATTATTTTCCCTGTTTTCTCATTAATTCTACTCAAAAAATACACTTTTTATTTATATACTTATTATTGTAGTCGGCCTCGATCTCCTCCCAACCTCCTACGCTTTTATCTCTGATAAATCCTTATCTTATATATAAACCCTTTAATAGCCCTATATTAATTAGTCCTACTGAATTTTGTATATTATTTAAACTTAATAGACTGGAATTGGCTTTATATTTATGTTTATTTATATATTTTGAATGAGACGTCTTAACAGGACATTTGATATTTTATGTATAATTTGTTTATATAGAGCTTATTCTTGAATGAATAGAGCAAGATCTTTTGATATCTGTGTTTATTTGACATCATAAAGTTATATATTTCTATATTTCTAAGGATATAATATTTAAGCTGTAGAAACTTTTTAATTGGATACAAAAATATAGATAAACAGTTTGAATTATACAAGAAAAAGGACGTATATGAGTTGTTATATTGTTTTATTTATTCTTTGAATATGAAGGAATCTTTTAATCTATTGAGTAAAAATACATTTGAAAAATCATCAAGATAAAAGGAAAAAATCTTTGAGAAAAATAATATAATATTTATAATCGCTGTTAAAAATGATGGATCAACAGAGAATAATAATGATGTACAAGAAAATATTGTATTTGTTAATAGACTTTTTAGGGGGGAATTAGCAAGTTTATGATATATGAAAAAATTCAAGATATATCATTGTTAATAAATATTATTATGAAGTATGAGTCTTTAAGGTTTTTATTGGGTTATTTTTAATTTATTTATTATATAGAATCAAGTATATAAGTAATCGATCTAAACTCTAAAAAAAAAAGAGAGAGACAATAATTATTTACACACTAATTCTTAAATATTTAGCTCTTATTCAAATGGTTGTTTAAAAAGTATTGTTATTTTTTGTTTTTTTTTAAAAAATAACCAACTTTATAATATTAAATATATTTAATCGAGATCTAGCTTTACCACCAAAAAGCTTATAAGATATAATAAAAACAAGCATTGATTTTGAACAATTATCTCTCAATACTTTTAAAAAAGATATGATTTACATGTATAAAGATGATTTTGCGATTTTTTTAGATTTCAGCAGCAATTGATGAAATATCTGGATATATTGATTCTTTAGTTTTTCAAAGAAATACTGTTTGATTATAAAAAAGGTTTCTAAAATTTGGAGAATAGTTTAAAATTCTAAAATTCTTATTCGATCTAATCTTTCTTTCAATTTTCTTATCATCTATATCTGATTTTTGCATTCAATGGCTCTAATGTTAATTGTAAATTCAGGTTTTTTTTTTTCAATTTACTCAATTCCTTGATTCATTCTTTATTTGATGATTAACTCTCTTTTAACCATTCAAAAACTCTTTTTTCAAGACATTTAAATGCTTTCAATAAACTGGTCTCGTTTCTTTAAAAAAATGGATACTTTTTTTGATTTTTCTTCAATACTTAATTCAATTGATTATGTAACATATAGATTACGGTCTGATCTCAACTTGTTATATTCATTAATCACTATAATTGTTCATATATCAATTATATTCACGGGCAATAAGTATTTATACACTCTTATTCATCAATTTATCATATCATACATTTATCATATCATAAAATTATCTTTTTTTTTCTATTCTAACTCTTAAATTTCAACTATTACATGGATCTATGGCTACATCTTTATTCAATTCAATCAATACAATTAAACAATGGTGTTTTTCTAATGATATTGAAATTCATTCTACTACTTGGAAAAAAATATAACAATTTTTCAGATAAATTTTTATAAATCAATAAACTCATTTTTTGTCATTTCAAAAAAAAAATAATCTTATAATATCTACAGACATCTACAGACATCTAGACACATCTAGACTAACACTATATTCTTCAAAAAATAGAGCCGCCTTCGGCGAGGCTCGAACTCGCAACCTTGAGATTCCTTCTTAGAGGAAGTGTCACATAAAAGTCTCACGCGCTGACCAGTTGTGCCACGAAGGCTGGTTAGTCGCATCTCGACGAAATATCTTATAAGGTGTTTTGAAATCGTATCAAATATATATAAAGCTTCTAAGTATAATATTTTAATTTTATTTTTATGTATGAAATGACTATAAGATTATAGATTAGTGTAAAATATATATATAAATTGTTGAATAGTAGGCAGTATTTCTTTATCTATAGGAGGTTATGATAAGAAGAGTTAATGAGAGAAGCCAATTCTAAGAAAATAGAGGAAACAAGGTTTTTATATGAGAATAAATCTTTAAATGACTATGAATTGGAGGATAAGGACCAGAAGGCTTTATTAGGATGTATGAATAAGAGATCATATGAAGATGTTAAGCTTTCGTTACAGATAAAGTCATATTATGAGATAGATGAGGAAGAATTATGTTTAGAGGAATCTACAAGCGGAGAAAGTGGAATTGATAGTAGTAATGTTGATAGGTATGATGGGGATTTAAAATATGTATAATGAGGAGGTATTAATACATATAAAGATATGGATTTTTTTCAATACGTCAAAAGCTTCCAAAAGAAAAGAATAGAACTATGTTACAATTTGGTCTTTTAGAACTTGGGAATGTATTTTTTAGAAGAGGGAAACGTATAGTTCTTGAAATTCCTCATGGTTTTTATTTTGATCAATTATTGAATCAAGATAATCTTATATGGTATAAAGAGGGTTATGATGTTAATAAAAAGGAAATCAATAGAATTGAAAAATGGAGGAATATGGCAGAAATTTTTAGAACTAATGGGAATACTGAATATTCATTTTTAAATACAAAAAAGGTATTGAAAATTAGATATTGAGATTTTAGTTAATAATTCTAGCTTATTAATAGAGTTTTTAAAGGAATACCAGATTCCTGGAGATCGGCTGCATGGTATGCTTTTTTATCACATTCTGCAAAAAAAAACAAGAGTAAATATAGTGATTGTGAATTAAAGTTGAAATATTATGTAATTTTTGAAAAAAAAAAAGGAATAATTAATTAATATAGGAACTTCTTCAACTTCCATATGCTCAGGATTTTCAAATTGATCTTGATGTTCCTCGTACTATAAACGGGCATGTTTTTTTTCAAAGACAATATCGAGATGGGTATGTATTAGCTTTAATTCTATCTTATTTTTATCAACTAAGGATCAAGACAACGACTTCTTTTTAGAGTTTTACATGCTTTATCTCTTTTTTATCCAGAAACCGGTTATATACAAGGAATGGCTTCTTTAGCTGCTACATTTTTATGTTACTATGATGAAGAGTCTGCTTTTATTATGTCAGTCAGACTATGGGAAGAAAGAGGAATTTTATCTATTTTTTCTAATAGCTTTAAAAATCTTTTTGCATGTTTTAACGAATTGCAAAATAGACTCTTAAAAACAAAAGTTGGGAAAAAATTGGTAAGTTTTTATTCTTTCTTTTATTTCAATCTTTATTATTTAGTTTTCCCTTGGAATTGATATATCTACATTTACTACAAAATGGTACTTGACTCTTTTTAATCACTCTTTATCCTTTTCTACTCAATTGCGGATTTGGGACGTATTTATATGGTATGATACTAATGAAAAAAATAAACTAGAGATATTGCACATAACAGCTATGTCTTTAATATTGGCAATGAAAGGTCTTTTCTTAATTTTATTTTTTGTCCATTGATCTGTATTTATAGATACACTTATGAAGGCTAATTTTGAAACTGCTATGAGACTTTTAACCTCCAGAATACATGTTATAGACGACGATGCTTTTTTAGATCTTATTAAATCTCATTGGAAATTAATAAAGAATACATAAATCTATTCTATTACAAAACACTAATAAGTAACAAATATTAACGACTATATGGCTATGATTTCTTATGTTTAATCTCTTAATATTCATGCTTATCTCTTATAAACTACTTTATTTCGATAAAGGTTAATATCGATCTAAACTTTATATATACTATGATATCAAGAAATTTATATCCTCTCTTAAAATACATAAGATGGGCTTCATCTGGACCTCATCCTACAAAACATCCACGGCATCGTATTCCAAAGTTAAAGGCTGTATCAGAAGGAATATTATTAGAAAAAAACTCAGATACTAAGCTTTTTTATAATCCTCCTGCATCACCACCAGATTATAGAGTTACACCTTATATATTACTTCCAGACGATGTTAAAAAATTAGCTGAAAGGCCTGTTTCTGATGGAAAATTGCCCCCACCTTTATCGCCTATTAAAAAGAAGAAATATCATTTAACAGAAGAAGATATAAAGGAAATTAAAGCTCTAAGAAGAAGTGGAATAAGTCGTTCAGAGTTATCAAAGAGATACAATGCATCTCGTTTATTTATTGGAATGATTTCTCCATTAAATAAAGAAAAGCTACAAGAAATTGAGAAAAAAGATCAGGAAATTAAGAATAGCTGGAGTGAACATAAAAAAGAAGTAAAGATGAATAGATATAAGAGAAAGATGTTGTGGAAACGGGAGTATAATTAGTTGTGAATTTTTTTGAAAATCATGTATTATTACAAAATATATTGTTGTTAAATTTTGTTGAAAGGTTTTCAAAAATGTATATAATTTGTTTTTTTTTGCATGTCAAGACGTTGTGTATATCTAGATAGAAGATTGTTTATATGAATAATGTTGTTGATTATTTGTATAAAGCATAATTTTATCGTGATGATTGTTTATTCTGTTTTTTTGGATATTTAAATATTAACGGTTGCATCGTTCTTTATTAACTCTTTCAATAAGTTCTACCCATTCTACAGCACGTTCATGAAGATCATCAAAATTATAAATTTTATTTGGCTAAAAAATATTAAATAATGAAAATTATATCAAGAGTTTTATACGGTTTCTATTATCCATAGTCTTCCACTATTTCCTTCTAGTCTTATTTTTATATTTGATTTTCCTAAAGGGATTTCACTTTTGATTTTTTTCTCCCCATTACTTTCTTCAGTAACTAATAAAGCTCTTCCCTCACTTGTAATAAGAAGATTTCGAGTTTTTTTCCGATGAAGAAACCTGGAAAGTCTACTAGGTGATTTACCTGATAAAATACCATCTTCTCCTACACCTTTTCCTGTTGACACTGAAACTTGGCCAAGACGTAAAAGTCTTTCATTAGGTAAAACTAAAACCGATGACCATAATTCATTTAATCGAGATAGTGATGGATCTTCTTCATTTTGTTCTGGCACATTTTGTGAACAATTTGATAATTGTTTATGTTTTTCTTGTTTATCTGTAATATCATGTGATAATGTTGAATTGGTACTCGAGTTTAGCTTTATAACATTTGAGGGTATTCGAGGACTTTCTGTAATGATGGAAGTTTTATATGGTTTTAATTTAGGTGGATTTGTTTTCCATAGAACTTTTCCCCATGGCATACCATTAAAAAATACATGAGATTTAAGTTCGTTTATACTTAGTCTTTTTAAAGGATCAAGGATTAATATTTTCTCGCAGAGATCCCTAGCATTTGGCGGGAAATTGGAAGGGAACTGGTATTTAAGATTAATGATTTTTTGAAATGTTTGATATTCATTTGATGCTTTAAAGGGTGGTCGTCCCACAAAAAGCTGGTATATTATGCATCCATATGCCCATATATCCGAGCTTAATTGTTAGCACATTTATAAACAAACAGATAGATAATCTACCTTTTGTATGCAACTTTATCCATTAATAATTCTGGGGATACATATTCAGCTGTTCCAACAAAAGAATTTGCTCTATGATGTTTGTCATTATTATCAGTAGCATCATATTTTTCATCTTTATTCGTTTTATTAAGTTCTAAAGGTGATTGTAATATTTTTGCAGTACCAAAGTCTGTAATTTTGATTTTCATTTTATCATCAAGTAATACACTATACATCGTAATCAATAGAAATATTAAAAAGGTCAAACAAATATACTTTTCTGGCTTAAGATCGCGGTGAATAATACCACATTCATGTATATATTGTACAGCGTCTAAAATTTGGGCACCATAATATCTAGTGCATTCTTCATTCAATGAACCAAACTAATATAAATAAGAAATATTCTTCAAATATCCTAACATTTTACATGTTTAACGAATCCAAGAAGTTCTCCATTTGCCGCAAGACTTAAAACGAAATATAAATTTCTTTCATCCTGAAATGTATAATATAATTGAACAATTCCCGGATGGTTTCCAAGTTTATTCAATGTATCTTTTTCTATATACACGTATTTAACCTTCTTTTCTTTAATAATATGTCTTTTATCCAGAATTTTAATTGCATATTCTTTTGACGTCTGCTTATCTCTAGCCGAAATAACCTTTAAATCCCTATAAATATACATCTATAATTCTAAATATTAACATACCGTTGAATACGATCCTTCTCCAAGTGTACGTCCAAGTACAAAATCTTTTATACTTTTTTTCACCACTTTAGATACAACCCCTTCTTCCTCATTTCCCTCTTCTATCCTTCTTTCTCCTCCTTTATCATGATGATCTTCTGTATTTAATTCATATGTACTATGTTTCTTCATATGACCCTTATTATTTTGCTGAAAAAAATATACATCATCATTCCTCATTTCTAACTCTTTAGGATGTATAAAATATGAATAATTATTAGAAATCGTTCTATTAGTTTCCTTGGAATTATTTATTTCTTTTTTTATATCTCCCCGTCTGGATATATCTAAAATACTATTATTTCCTTGATCCCCCCCTAATAATCTATCCGATTCATTTCTATTAATAGAAAATCTCCCGTATCTATCCATTTCTTCTTCTTTTTCCTCTTTATATTTGTTTTTTTTTATTATATTTATGATCTTCTTAACTGGTGTCTCTGATGTTGTCAACATTCCCTTATTCATTGGTATTTTATCATTTAAACTCCTTATAACCCTTATTTATTATAATATATTGGAATTATTATTAAGAATCTATGTTTTATTGATAAGATGGGCTGTTTATCAAAGCGCCCTGGATTTCGGGTTTTTAACCTCGGTCTATAATAGACGAACGCTTTTTATATATAATTATAGAAGTTTATTAAGAAATACATATTTCTGTAGTGTATATAGAAGTTATATGTATAGATTATCTTTAAGATATGAAAAAACCGAATGTTTATTTTTTATTTAAAAAAAGAATATTTTTTAAATAAATGTATGTTAATATGCAAATAAATGAGATATTTTAATTGTGATAAGATATTTGAAAAGAGATATTAAGATAATCCATGTGTAAAGATAGAGAGAAAGTTTTTTTGTTTGTGTAGTATGAATTGAGATTATGTATTTGATAGTTTGTGTATTTTTTATAATTGAGAAGTGAATATATTGTCAATTGGTATTTTTAGAATTTGTAAGGTATATTTCATTTGAGATTGGAGATATTGCTCGTTTATTTGCTTGAATATCAAAAAAATTTGATTGTAAAATAGATGTTTCACTACGATGACGTGAATGACGTCGAGGTGAACGTTTAGAAAGAGGTGGTAAGACAGAATTTCCAAAAGATGGAGGTAAATGTTGTTGTTGTTGTTGCTGTTGTTGTTGTGAAAGACGTTTTTTTTTAGAAGGAGAAAATGAAGATGTCTCTTTTTTATGTAAGCTCAAAATATTTGATTGAGATGAGCTAGATAATTCAGATCCTTCATTATTTATAGTTGGTATTGAATTAGTTGATTCTCTTGGGGGTATCCAATGATGAAAAAAAAGTGATGGCAAAGAAGATGAATTTGAATTTGAATTTGATGTAGAATTTTGATTAGATGTTGATTCTTCTGTATTTTTTGGTATCATAAATGGTGATTTTGAATTTTTTTGCTGAGATAATTGTGTTGTTGAAAAAGAATCTAAAGAAACATTTGATATATTTGTTTGAAGATGATGTAATGTAGATTGATTTAATGTAGAATCATATCCTTGAGTTCCAGGACAATATCCTGGAACAGATGCTTCTGATAACCCTGAATTCTGTAACTGATATTGTTGAGAGGGTATCGAGATTAATGAATTATTTTGTGAAAGTGCTAATGTAGAGTTACTTTGTTGACCTGAAAATATTATAGGAATAGCATTAGGTTGAACCCCATTACGAAGTGCATTAGTAAAAATTTCGTTTTCTATTTTTTTAATATTAAGACGCACTATTTCTTGTTTTAATCTATCTTCTTCTGCTTTGGCTACCATTATACTACGCAAAGTTTCTTCTGAGCCTGTCCATCTTTCTAGAATATCACTTAATGTAAATTCCTTATTAGACATTGTATTAGAATTAGATCTTTCAAAACAAATTTGATTTATATTATGATCACAACTATAATTTGATTCTTTTTGCTGTGTTGAAGGATTTGTCATTTTAAAAACCAAATATACACTTAATCCAAAAAGATGCCTTGATTATAGACGATTCTCTATATTTTTGTTCTTTTATATCTCCAATAAAATATTATATATATAATAGATATATATTATATATATTATATATTATAGTGCTTAATATTAATATCTTGAAATTCTTAAATATATATATATAAGGGCTATGGGATCTTATTCTTGGCAATAAATGGCTCTGTTTTTTAAATTATATATCTTAAGCATCTTTTTTTAAGAGCCGTATTATTAGCGAAATCCTGAGCTACCCTATATTTAACAAGTCTTGATAGATTATATAGAAAGATTCATGTATAAGAATAATTATATGAAAAAATGATTTATATTTTGAAGGAAAAATAGTATTTGATAAGAGTGATTGTTAAAGATGTGAAAAAGAAAGTGAAAGATAGATGTATATATGTATGCCTTGAAATGATGAATAGAAGTAGATGCTATAGATATATAAATAAGTAAAAATTAGTTGAATTTATTGTTTTTTATTTGAGAAAAAATAAGACCATTGAAAAGATAGTTTAGATGTATATGTTACCAATGCCATGATTAAATTAAATAATTTAAAATGAGAAATTACAGTGTTAATGACAGTTGAACTGATATTATTGAGTAGTTTTATATTTAGTTGATATATATTTGTGGTGTTATTTTGATGTTTCTAATAAAGAATGTTAGATGATAAAAATTATAAAGAAGGTGAATTTTTTTTGATGAAAAAAAGAGATTTTAGTTTTTCATAAGGTTCAATAAGTGAATAAACATTTAATGGTGCAGAAAATATTATAGGATTTTTATACAAATAATTTTCCTATATATATTTTAGAAATAATTATAAAATAAGCTATTAGTTTACTTCATTTCTGTAAGAATTGTCTGCAACTGCTGCAAGATATGAAAGATTTGTTTGAAGACGTTGAATATATCTAAATATTGTATATATATATATATAAAGATTAATAAATAAATTAATAAATACCCTGTCATGATTGATTCTGATGTTTCTGATGTCTCTGATTGTTCTTTTTTATTGTTTTCTGTATTTTGGAGTTCTATACATTTCTGTAGAAGAATAGTGTTGATCTCTAATAATAATGATACACGTTGACGACTCAGTTCTAGAGATTTAGATAATGTTTGTGAAGGATCTGTAGGCAGATCTGTATTTTTTAAATAAAAAAGTTAATTATATTTTAATTATTACTATTGTTTATATTTCTTGAATCTTCTAAGTTAATATTTAATTCTGAAGATTTATATGGTACAGGATGATTGGTTTGTATAAGTCTATTGTTTGTATTAATATCATCAAAATAACCTGGTGTATGATTGTTATTTCCAAACATGATCACCAGTATATTAAAGAGTCCAGATTTATTTCATGATTGATAACGGATTAGAATGTTTATAAAAAATAGAAATGATTTATGATATATATTGAAAAAGATAATTAGATATTAAATTCAAAAAGGATTCTGTAAAATATGATTAATAAAGTGTTCAAAGATATCAACTTGAAAAATGCATTAAAAAATAATGATTAATCATTTTATAAATTAATTTGACTGAAGTTTTGTTAATTTTCCAGAAAATGGGTAATTTTTAGGACCTATTGTATTTTTAAGAGATCAATCTAATGCGAAATGTATATTTAAATCGATTATTTTATGTATTGATTATTAGACATAGATTTTTTAGGTTTCAGTTTTTTCTTGATTCCATTAGCTTTTAATCCTATATATATTTAATACACTTTTGCGCGTAGTAAGTTCTTCAGGTAATTTTTTACATGAAACAAAGTACTCGATTCTGGAGAATTATTGTCTGATATGGATAATGAGGATGATGTTGAATATGATAGAAATACAAATATTTTCAAAAAATTAGATTTCTGTTGTAATTGAGATGAAATATTAGTGTTTGGTGATGAGTTTTTATAATGCTGGGAAAGTTCTAGCTCTCGTAAACCTTTATTGGAACCAGTATAAGAACTTGAAAAATCTTTGTATATTATCTAAAATAAATTGGCTTTTTATGTTTGATTTCAGAATTAGCCTTGTGATTTTTCAAATTTTGTTTCGATGCTTGATTTCGATGCATGTAGATATCACAAATCTCATTTTTTATATCCATTATTTCCAAGTTTTTTAAATTAATTTGTTTTTCTAAGTCTTTTACTTTTGATTGTTCATGAGATAATTTTTCTTGCAAAGATAAAAGTTCTTCTGAGAGAGGGTTAGGGGGAATGGAAGAATCGTATAATTGTTTAACTAATTCCTGAATAACCTCGTTTTTGTTATATATTTCATTTTCGCCATTTTCATCAGAAGAAATAAAACCATTTAAAACAGAAGTATGAGATTTTTCATCTGTATTTTCCTTGTTCGATTTTTTAAGTTTAGATGTTTCTCCATCAGAAAAATTTGAATTGTTGATAATCTTGATTAATTTTAAAGCAATATTTTTGTATTTCAAAGAAACTCTTGTTAATGTCTCTAATTGCTCTTTTGTATAAGCATGTTCTTTTTGCAAAGAATTTAAAGCCATAACAAGATCCTCTATCTGACAATGAAGTTCTTTATTATCACGTTCAAATAAATTATTAGATGCTAATTCCTTTTTAAATGATAGTTTTTTACATAAAGTTACTGGTAATGACAGATCTGTTGCCTTGTCGAATTTTGGTAATTCTAGGTATATAGATGATGCGGTGTCATTTGATTCTAATAGACTTTTCTGTGTATTATTACATTTATAAAACGAATCGCGATTAGTTGAGGAGTCTAGAAAAACTGGTAAAGAGGCCTCAGTCTTGTCCCATATTTTCTCGGGAAATTTAATATCTGTTCTTTGAATTTCATTAGAAATAGGTTTCGTAGAATTTTTATGGTTTTTAGTGTTATTTTGATTAAATTTTTGTTCTAATTCTGCCAAGGAATTCTGTGTAATTATATTATCAAGTCCGACAGCATCCGATATTAATTCGTTGTCATTATTATTATACGCTGCCCATAATTCTGGACTAAGAAGGAATTGTAAATTTTCTTCAAAATCGATATTTAAAATGCGTGTCTCGTTCTTCATAATTAATGCAATGGCAATCCTTATGATAGTTTCAAGTGCACCTTCACCAAAAATTACATCATAAATTCTATGTAACGTTGGAAGTGGACATGTAACAGCAAACATGCTAAGAAACCACTGACTAGCATACATAAAAGGATATATCCCTATAGAATTGAAGTATTTTGCAACAGACGGTATACAAAGAGAAAGAAAATGTTCAAATTGAAAGAGTCGTAAATGAAGTCCTGATAAATTAATAGTAAAAATGGTTCTCATATCATAACATTCCATGAGTCTATAGATAAATTAAAATAAGAAAAAAACGACTAAAAATAATACCTAACAAGAACACAAAAAGCCTGATGTTCAAACATATTCATTAAAAGAGGAGCAACGATGAAACCCAAACTATGAATATAATTAAACGTTGTAATATATGATACTAAATAAATACCCCTGACAATATCCAACCTCTATATCGTATAAACTAAATGCACGTAAAACTAAATGAAGTTTTTTTTGACCATCACCACCTTCTTTAAACATTTCGACACATGGGAACGTTCTTGCAATATCACATTTAATTATTCTATCATATGGACTTTCTTCATGACAAAGAGTTTCAAAAAGTTTTTCCAAATGTGTATTTTGTGCACCAGACATACTTTGCCATACAAGACCTCGAAGAGGATGTGGTATGCCTTCACGTATCTTTTTTGTCAAAAAATCTGGCATTTGAACAGCAGTCGCGCTATAATCTAGAAATATGAATCAATACAATATAATTGACTAGATAATGATAAACCAGCAATAAGTGTTATCCAAAAATCTAGATCACTAATATTATCTACAAAGATGATATCGTTCGTTGGAAATGATGATATTATTGGATCTTTTATACGCATACTTATAAGAGCTCGGAAATACTGAAGAGGTGGTCGACTTTTTAAGAGTCGAGATGACACAGATTTAGGGTTCTCCTTATAACTTCCATTTTCTTTTTCAAGTTTTGAAACTAAGGAATTCAAGTTCTACATTATAATTTATACTAGAAATATCAATAAATTCCATCATTACCTCTTGTGTTTCTTGTATATTATTTTCAATTGTCCGTTTATCTTGTTTTTTCTTCGTTTCTGAAATATTAGTTTCTGTAAACTTAATAGGTAATTGTCTCTTTGATAATGTATTTTCCTCCTTAACCACTCCGTTTTTTTGTCTAATTCTTAACATTTTAATATTTTTTAATATTTTTTAAAAATAATCGTTATAATATATTGGCCAAAAATTCTATATTTATTATTTAATCTTTTATTCACGAGGAATTGCGTACTAGTCAATCTTTTACTGTTTAATATACCAAAATTCTGTAATATTCAATTAAATTTTATAATTTCCTGAATTCGATATTCCTAGTTATTTTTCGTTCCTAAACGCCAAAAAAAAAATGCCAATTTACTAATTTTTCTAGGTCTACCAAATTCTCTTTATTCTCAATATTCCTTATCAATCTTTTCAAAATTTTGTATTTTAAAAAAAAATATCAATATTTAGATATTATTTTCCAATATATTATTTTCCAATATAAAAATAATTCGTGTATTTAAAAAATATTATTTTAGTGCATACAAAATATACATATCCCATATAATTCTGTTGACTTTATACCAAGAATATAACCCAAGTACCAATATATATATGAATGTCCTATTACTCCTTATATCTAATTCCTATTTTTACACGTTCTTATTTCCGTATTTTATATGTATAATTCTTATATTTAAGCTTTACATATATTATTTTGTATTTAATTTTTTATACACTTATTAACCTTGGCTCGGTCTTTTGTTGAATCGTTTCATGTATTAATCTTTCGTTCCTTGTTGCCTAGGCAACCAAGTTTATCATATATTACCCCTGAAAAAATATTTAAGAGATTATTTAGCTTTTATTCTAATTTTTTATAAAGTTTTTATAATGTTTTTATAATGTTTGATTTGTTTTATCTTGTCTTTTAATATTATAAAAATCTATTTATTTATTGTTAAAATATTAAAGTTTAGGGTTTAACCCTATTTTAGATAGATACCCTTTATAAAACCGTGTTTGAAAAAGTCGATAAGCTAAACACCTAAAGAAAACAAAGATTTTTAGAATTTAAATATTTGAAAATAGAGCGCATATATGCCGCATATATGTCGCATATATGGGGTCTAAAGGTGTTAGAAAGGGTTTATAAGCCTTATTTTTAATTTAGAAACGTTCATTATCTTGGACTTGGGAATTTGATGGGAATAAAAGGGTTAGATAAGGTAGGAATGGGGTTAGAAACTAGCAGCGAAGAGTCGGATGAATCATTTATATTGGTATATATGGATTATGATGTTAAATTGGGTCAAGGTTTTGATATTATGTCTATAGAAACGTAAATATTCAGTCACGGCGAAAAACAGTAAAAAAAGTAAGGGAGTTGAGGCGACATGGGGATCTAAGAATGGGATATCATTGGAGAAAGGGATTGATAAGATTTTTTGTGAAAAAACGTCGTGTTTTAGGGGAGAAAATGGATTTAATAGTGTAAATATGGATATGTCAGAAAAAAGGGGATTAGTAGGGGGATCTGATGCAAAAACGGCATCTGAGATTTATCAGAAGGTAATATATTTTCGTTTTAGGTGGAAAGGTTTAAGAATGGCATCAGCTTTCGCAATTGGAGCATATTTTAAAGCGTCCTGATACTTATATAGGGAGTGTTGAATCTACGCTTCAACAAATGTGGGTTTATGATGATAATACGAATTGTATGAAATATGTGTAAAGTTTTCGGAATTTTTTGTATTAAAAATTTATATATTTAATAGTCAGGTTTCTATTGTGCCTGGTTTATATAAAATATTTGATGAAATTCTTGTTAATGCTGCTGATAATAAGATACGAGATCCTAGTATGGATACTATAAAGGTGGAATTTAGTAGGGAAAAGGGTATTATATCTGTTTATAATAATGGTCGCGGAATACCTATAGAAATTCATGATGTAGGTTATATTTTGGTATTATGGCGATATCTTATATTTATTTTAAGAAAGAAAAAATATGGATTCCAGAACTTATTTTTGGTCATCTTTTGACATCTAGTAATTTTAATGATGAACAAAAAAAGGTAACAGGAGGTCGTAATGGGTACGGAGCTAAGCTCTGTAACATATTTTCGACTGAGTTTATCGTTGAAACTGCTGATAAGACGATGAAAAAAATCTATAAGCAGGTTTTTTCTAATAATATGACGAAAAAGGATGCACCTGTAATCAAGGAAAATAAAAAGAATGAAGAATATACAAGGATTACTTTTAAACCAGATCTTGAAAAATTTGGAATGAATGAGATTGATTCAGATCTCGAATCTGTCTTTAAAAGGCGTGTTTATGATTTAGCAGGTTGTGTTAAAAATGTAAAGGTGTTTCTTAATGGAGAGAGAATTAAGATTAGATCGTTTAAACAGTATATAGAAATGTATCTGAATTCTAATGGTTCTGAGGATAATATGAAGTCACCAATTATCCATGATATTGTAAATGATAGATGGGAGGTTGCTTTTACTGTTAGTGATGGTCAGTTTAATCAGGTTAGTTTTGTTAACAGTATAGCAACAACTCGTGGAGGAACTCATGTTAATTATATTGTTGATCAAATTGTTTCTAAATTGATTGAGGCTGTAAAAAAGAAAAATAAAAGCGCGCCTATTAAGCCATTTCAGATTAAAAATCATATTTGGATTTTTATTAATTGTCTTATTGAAAATCCTGCTTTTGATTCACAAACGAAGGAAACATTAACACTAAAGCAAGGTTCATTTGGTTCAAAATGTCTTCTTAGTGATGATTTTATTAAAAAGATACTAAAAACATCAATTATGGAAAGCATTTTAGATACTGCTCAAAAAAAGGCTGATCAATTAATGAAGAAAACTGATGGATCAAAAAAAATACGAATTATTGGTCTACCTAAATTGGAAGATGCTAATAAAGCAGGGACTAAAGAAGGCCATAAGTGTACACTTATTTTAACTGAAGGTGATTCTGCTAAGTCTTTGGCCATGTCTGGTATTGGTGTAGTTGGTCGCGATTATTTTGGTGTTTATCCACTTAGGGGAAAATTATTAAATGTTCGTGAGGCATCGCATGAACAAATTACTAAAAATGCTGAAATCAATGCTATAAAACAAATTATGGGTCTTCAACATAAAAAAGTATACACGTCTACTTCCGATTTACGTTATGGACATTTAATGATCATGACTGATCAAGATCATGATGGAAGTCATATTAAGGGTTTAATTATTAATTATTTGGAAAGTTCGTTTCCATCTTTGTTAGAAATACCCGGGTTTTTGATTGAATTTATTACTCCAATTGTAAAAGCGACAAAAGGCTCTCAGGAAAAGACATTTTTCACGATTCCTGAATATGAGTATTGGAAAGAATCGACAGATAATGCTAAAGGGTGGAAAATAAAGTATTATAAAGGCTTGGGGACAAGTTATGGTAATGATGTTAAGAAATATTTTTCAGATTTAGACACACATTTAAAAGAGTTTCATTCTATTCAAGAGGGAGATAAAGAATTGATTGATATGGCTTTTTCGAAAAAGAAGGCTGATGAACGAAAAGAATGGTTGAGGCATTTTAAACCAGGAACTTATATGGATCATACTTTGGATAAAATACCGATATCCGATTTTATCAATAAAGAGCTTATCTTGTTCAGTATGGCGGATAATATTCGATCAATTCCTTCTGTCATTGATGGCTTAAAGCCTGGACAAAGGAAAGTCATATATGGATGTTTTAAAAGGAAATTGAAAAGTGAAATTAAGGTTGCTCAATTATCCGGTTATATTTCAGAGCATACTGCATATCATCATGGGGAACAAAGTCTTACACAAACAATAATAGGATTGGCACAAACATTTGTCGGAAGTAATAATATTAATCTTATGAAACCTAATGGACAGTTTGGTACTCGTTTGCAAGGAGGAAAGGATGCCGCATCTCCTCGTTATATTTTCACTGAATTGTCTCCATTGACACGGAAAATATTTATAGAATCGGATGATGCTTTATTAGATTATCTTAATGATGATGGTCAATCTATAGAGCCTGTTTGGTATGTTCCTATAATACCGTTGATTCTTGTAAACGGAAGCGAAGGAATTGGGACAGGATGGAGTTCTTACATACCCAATTTTAATCCTATTGATTTGGTTGATAATATTCGTAGAATGATGAATGGAGAAGAATTACAGCCAATGCATCCATGGTATCGTGGGTTTAACGGACTTATTGAAAAGCATGGTGATAAGTATAAAATATCTGGATGTATACGCCAAATAGATGATACCACTGTTGAAATTACAGAACTTCCTATAAGACTTTGGACTCAGGATATGAAAGAATTTTTAGAATCGTCTATCGTAGGATCAGACAAGATACTTCCTTTTATAAAGGTATTTTTAGGAATTCATCATATTGGGATTGTTTTGACGTTTCCAGGATTATTCAGAATATCATACAGATACTGTAGTTCATTTTGTCATAAAGTTAACTGAAAAAGGGATGGCAGAATCTTTGGCTCAAGGTCTTGAAGAGAAATTTAAATTGACAAAGATTCAAAATATGACAAATATGGTTGCTTTTGATGCTTTAGGACGTATAAAAAAATATGATTCTGTAGAAGAAATTCTTTTGGAATTTTATACTGTTCGTTTGCAATTTTATCAAAAGAGAAAGGTATTGATAGATATTGAAAAATGAATATTTTGATTTAATATTTAATTAGGAGTATCTTGTGAATGAATTGGAAAAACAATATAATAAATTGTCTAATCAATTGCGATTTGTTCAAATGGTTATAAATAAAGAGCAAGAGTTTTTGAATAAAAAGCGTAAAGATCTTCTCGAGGATTTAAAGTTGAAGGGTTTTGTTCCTTTTCCAAAAAGCAGGCAAAATTTTGTTGATAATACTGCTGAAACTACTTCTGATACGATGGAGAATGATGATGATATTTCTGGCTATGATTATTTATTAGGCATGCCTTTGTGGTCTTTAACTGCAGAAAAAGTGGAGAAATTGCTTAAAGATAAATTAGATAAAGAAAATGAGCTGGATTCTCTTTTAAAATTAACGGCTAAAGATTTGTGGAATAAAGATTTAGATATTTTTGTTGAAGAATGGGAAGAAAGTTTGAAGCATGATGAAAATCTTACCTCTAAAACTACAAATTCAAAAAAAAATAGAGGATCTCAGAAATTGGGAACGGGTGTACATAAATCATTAGGAAAAAAAGCCACGAATATTCAAACATTATCTAATGTTGATAATAAACAAACTACCAAGAAAAATTTGGTTTCTGCAAAGCAAACAACATTGCCATTTACTGCAATAAATATAAAAGAAACAGAACCTGATCCTTCAAAAACATCTGGAAATTCTAGCACTAAATCTACTGTATCTGAATCGGTGATTGCTATGAAAAATGATAATGCTAATATACAAACACATGAGACTGCAGGGAAAAGACCTAGGACAAGCGTTATTGTGCCTTCCTTAAAGGGGAATTTATTGGATGATAGTGACACTGATTATATGGATGACCTGGTAAAAAAGTATACTTTGGATCCTCCGGATAATAAGGGTACTACTTCGTATATAAAGTCTGTATCTTCTAGTCCCAAAAAAATGAGAATTATACCATCTACAAAGTCGAAGACTCGGATTAAAATGCCAACACTCTTAGATTCAAGTCCTGAATCTGCTACATTAGCAGCAAAGCCTGTTGTAAAGACGAATAAAAAGTTAAAAAAGAATATATCTAAAAATCTTGATTCAGATGATTCATCGGAGGCTGATGTAGCAGTTAAGAGTGAAATAATGCAACGTCCAAGGCGTCAAGTAGCTGCTTCTGCCCGTGAGCGTGTTGTAGCTATTGCTGATTTAGAAGATGATGATGTAACGTCAGATAAATCATCTTCATCAAGCGAGTTTAACGATTCATCTTCATAGTCGGGTATTCATAAATATTAATATGATCCAATTTTGAATTATAAATTGAAAAATGCTATATTTTCAATCTATATATATTTTTATTTTTTATATTGGTTCATATTTTGTCTATTATATATCTATATCTTTTTTTTTTTGAAAAATTTTTATTTGGCTTGATGGTTATTATAGGACATATCATTTAAAGTGCTGCGATATGTTATTGTTTTGTTCTTTTTGAGAAAGATTTCTGAATTTTATTTGACTTTTGATCTTGAATGTTGATATAACAAACAAACAATTATACTGATAGGAATTATTTTCGGATGTCTAAACGAGATCTATGAAATGGTTTTCAATTGGTTAGCCTTTGTTAACGATTCTCTTCATATTAATTTGATTTTTTTTCTCTTATTTTAGACATTATCATTATTGATAATGTTTTTGATAATGAAAAAGTATATTTGATTTACTCTGTGGAGTTTATTTTACAAAGTTTTCAGATTATGATTTTTGATTTTATGCAACTGGAATAGAAAATATTGATATGGGAGTCGTTTTTATTAAATGAATAAGTTTGTATTAGGTGATGATGAGCTATATTATTCATGATTTAGAATATGATACTTAGTTGTTTTAAAATGTGGCTGAAGATTTTCAAAGTTTTGTGAATTATCTTTAATTATATAAGATTACAGTAATTTTGATATATTATTTACAAATGAGAATTGAAATTGCATTTAGACAATTCTTAATATTAGTTAAACTTAATAATTTTATTAATTAATACTGATTCTCTTTAAGTCCCTGCTACAATGAATATCTGATTAATCAATTTTTATATATTAAGACTTCAACTCTGTTGATCATCGTTATGCTCCGGTTTATACTTGTTCAAAACAGACAAGGTAATTTTTTTTTGAACTGATTTAGACAATTTATACTTAAAATAATAGGAAAAACAAGGCTTTCTAAGTGGTATATTCCATATGATGTATGTTTTATTTATATCAATTTTTTCCTAAATTTTTACTTTATATTTCTTAGGATCAAGAAAAAAATAAGATTAAAGGAGAGATTCATCGTCTTATTGTTTTAAGAGATCAGAGACGTCAATCTAACTTCGTAGATGTATGAAATATTCTTGTTTTTATCCATTATTTTGGGTTAAACTTTAAATATAGTTTAATAATCATAAAATTATATATAGAAGATATGCAGGACTCTTTTTCTCTTTATGTGTAGACTTGGACGACAATGAACTAGCTTATCTTGAAGCAATTCATCTATTTGTTGAAGTTATTGATAGTTTTTTTGGAAATGTTTGTGAACTAGATTTAATCTATAATTTTTACAAGGCATTTAATGAATACATAATATTATGTTATTATCTAATCATTACGAGGTTTATGCTATTTTGGATGAAGTTTTTTTAGCTGGTGAACTTGAAGAAACAAGTAAAAGTGCTATTTTTATGCGTCTGGATGATTTAAGTCTTTTGGATTAGTTTTTAAGGAAAATACAGTAAATATCAAATAAACACTATGATAATATGATAATATTCATATCATTACTCAATATCTTTTATTTTATACTTCATTGTATAGTCTAATGTTTTTATACTTGTTTTATGATTTTAACTAGATTTTAGATACAAATTTAACAGATTAACAATTCTAATATAAGGATATATACAATATTGTATTTTCTATGGATTGACTTATTATATAAGTCTGTTTTGAGTTCAGCTTCGATCGAATCTCTTAAATGACTCAAGACACTTTGCAGAATAAATTAAAGATTCAGATAAAGCTATGTGTAGGATATTAATAATATTATCATTTGTTTTTAGGATATTAAGATTTCTAGATAAATCGACTTCGTTTAGTTCAGCAAAAGATGGCAGCTATTCATAAACAACAACAAAAAGAATTGGTTATTTTATTAGAAAAAAATAAAGTTCAAAATGCAATGATAAAAGCTGAAAATATTATAAGGTTTTTTTATTTAAAGTTTTTTTAATAATTTTTTTATCTTTAATAGAGAAGATATGAAAAGAGAATTATTGGGGATTTTGGAAGTGTAATTTTATTAGAATTTTTTTATAATTCTATTTACATATGAAGATATTGTGATATTTTACTTTCACGTTTTTATTTTATAAAAAGAGGGTCTATTTTTTAACATAATTTGAAAACAATTAATTTTTATAGACAATGTCATGAGCAAATTCGTCAGGCAGTATCTACATTGATATATTCCATGTCCAGATGTGAAATAAAAGAGTTTAGTAGTGTAAAAAGAGTATTTTTTATGTATTTTATTTAATTATAAAATAGATGAATGAAATTTTTAGGTTATATTTTGGGAAAGAATTTATACAGGATTCAATAGAAAATAAGCATAATTTAGTAGATCCTAAGGTATGGATTGAATTAAAATTATCTAAAATAAATATTTGAAGGTTGTTGAAAAATTATGTTGTGAGCCACTAAGTAATGACTTTGTTGAAAATTATCTTCAAGAAATTATGGATCTTTATAATATTGGTCAGAACAACAAATTAAATACATTTAATATATTGGATAGTGCTGTCTTTTGCAATGAAGGTTTTAAAGAATTAAAGGAAAGTCAAGATTCTAATTCTGCATCTATAATTCATTCTTTGCCTGTTTCTGATGACTCGGAATCTCATTCAAAATCATCAATATATGTAAATAATTGTAATAAGGTTGCCTTATCCTTGTTAGTTTTGTTAGAATATTAAAATTTTATAGGATACGTCTAATAATGTTTCAAATATGGATCAACTTTGGGCAAGATTTGAAAGGCTTAAACAAAATTAATTGATAATAAAAGTCTATATTTAAGCAGAAAATACAGAGATTTAAATCGCTTTTATATTTATAGAATATGTATTTATGACATTTTAGCATTTATGTTTTTTGTCTATTTTTTCAGTTAAATATTTCCAACTTTTATTTATCCCTCCAGTTAATATTCCTTTAAGACTTTGTGAAATACTAGGCCATGATACTGTTCTTTTAATTACTTTTGTTATTTCATTGTGAAAATGTGTATCTTTCACTATCATTTCTTCAAAAGAATTATCATGATTTTCATGTAAATTATTTTTATGACTTATTTCTTTATATTTTGGTTTTTGACTATAGGCATAATATAAACGATCTTTGAATTTTTTAGGAAGTTGTTGAATCATATTCGCTCTTGAAGTAGGATTAAAATCTTGGACGAGAATTTTATTTGTTGCTTCAACTTGTTCATTAGAAATAACCTGAATATTTGGTAACTTATTTATTAAGGGAAAATATAGTTGATGAAAATCCCATATTTGTTTATTTACAATAGTTTCTATTTTGTCTGGATTTTCTGCATATTTCATTCTTATATCCCCTAATTTACTGATTAAAATTCTAAAAATATGTTATAAAATTCTTTACCAGTATATGATATTTTAGAAATTGTAGAATATAGTTCATATTCTGAAAATTTTTCAGGAAGTAACAGCATTGCTAACCTTAAAGCTGCGATTAAGTTCATGTTATATGCAATTCTAACACGAGGTTCATCTCTAAGTATTTTTATCTAGAAAAAATAAATTTTTGTAACAACTAAAAATTTTGAAATATACAGGTTTATGCATTCTACCAGAAAGATATAATGTATTCCATTCTGTAAGTTCTTTGCAAAGATCGTCAATTGTAATTACTCCATATTTTATTATCTTTCAAAAATTAGTGATTTTCAATTGATCCATAAAAATACCATATCATTGATCTTAATATATGGATTATAATATACATTTCCCCCGATATTCTCTTGCAAATAACTTATAGAATAACTTCCAAATTGCTTTAAAAATGAATAATGGTCTTTATTATATAATAAATTTAGAGAATGCCAATGTTGTGCATGTGATACTCCAAAAATAAAATCAATCATTGGTTTTTTCTATTTTATATTTTAGTCTTTTTTTTTTTACATTATAATCTTCATTTTTACATCATTCCTCTTTTTTTTAAAAATTCCACTTCCATATGCAAATGAAAAGCGTATAGGTGCTTTAAACTTCCACAATACACTTTTAAGTATTTCTTTGCTTTTTTCTTCATTTAAATCATATTCACTCATATATGTCTCTTTATATATTTGTCCCGACTTTTCATTAACATCTTTAAAATCCCTCTCTTTATCTTTCTCTTCAATAATATCTCTTCCCCCAACTGTTACATATCCTTTAACATATATTTCATCCCTTCTTATACATTTTTTCCACTTCATCATTTCACCTCTCCAAACTTGTTTTTCTCTATAAAAACGCACCAGCTTTAAACATTTAGACATTCCTCCTTAAAAAATATCATAATACAACCCTTCCAAACCTCATTATTCTATTTTTTTTGATCAATTAACATATATCTATTTTAACTCTTTTTTCATCCTAGCTTTTATTAACATAAATTAACCTAAATTAACTTAAATTAACCCCAAATTTCCTCTTTTTCTTCTAATTTCTTAATAATATTAATAAAATATTAAGATATTTCTTATATTTTACCTTAATTACTCTAAATTATAACCTTTATTGCTCCACTATATTAATAACCTTATTTTTTGTGTACGTCACCGATTGCTACATATAAACCTCAAAGATAAGGACTTATATAAATTATAAGAAAAGAGGTTAAAAATCACTGTAATTACTAAGTTTTATGGAGATATACGCTTCACGAGTTGCATCATTCCAGTTATCATCAAGGAAGAGGTCAAAATGGCCTCATATTCGTCCTACACCAAAAGATGTAATCAATAAGATATTTGAAAAATTAAGTAATTATTTGTAGCTTGCAGAAGCAGGATTTTATTATGAACCATCATCATTATCATGTGATAATGTTGTTTGTTTTTTATGTAAAAAGTCATTGGATGGATGGAACGTAGATGATGATCCGGTCAAAGAACATATTGAACATTCACGAGGATGCGGATGGGCTATTTTGAAATATATTAAGCTTGGAGATAAGGAAAGAAGTATTTTTTCAGAAAAAGAGGTTCAGGAAGCGCGGGAAGCGACATTTGGACAATGGTGGCCTCATGAGCAGAAGAGAGGATGGGTATCTAAAGTTAAGAAGGTTTATATATTAAAAGGGTTAAAATATTTTTTTTTAATTTTTTAGATGTCTAGTGCAGGATTTTATTATAATCCTACGCCAGGATCTAATGATATGGTGAGTTGTATATATTGTGGTCTTGGTCTAGATGGATGGGAGCCGAAAGATGATCCAATGTATGAAATATGATGAAATTTAAATGAGATTTTAATATTTTAAAGGGAAGAGCATAAGAAAAGGGCACCTTCATGTTTTTTTTTTCAACAAACAAATGCTCGAGTAAAAACATCAGAGTTTAAAGTATCTGATAAAATGGTGCAAAATCATGATGTTCAGGATGAAGATGCATTGGATGGAGATGATTTTATAATTAGTTCTAAATCTAAGACGAATTCTCTTTCAAAAACAAAAGGACGATCAGTTGTTAAAAGATCATCTAAAAAATCTAAAGATAATAATCTGCAATCACGATTGAAAAAATCTTTATTAGTTTCATGTAAAGATGATAATGATCATTCTCATGAGACATTATTAGTTTCAGCTATTGATGATAAGTCAGTTTTGGATAATTCAAATTTAATTGAAGAAAATAACTCTAATGATATTGATAATATTGGTTCTAGTAAAGAAACGTGTTTAAACTCTTCGCATACAAATAGTCCATCTAGTAATTCTGAATTTCCATTTACTAAGAAGGAAATTATAAAAATATCTAAATCAAAAAATACAAGACAGTCTCAACAAATTAAGAAAGAAAATAATTTAAATAAATCGGCATGTGATCATAAATATAATACGAATATTAATACTAATGCTACTAAAAATCAAAAAAATGGAAGTATTATAGAAAATAATAAACAAAATGATGTGTCTATCAGATCGAATAAACGGTTGACTAGATTAGATGTTAAAAATGATATCATTGAAAGTTATGATTCGGAAGGATCACAAAATGAATGTGTTATTGTTAAAACGACTTCAAATAAGTCTCATAGAAAAACTAGTTCTGTAAAAAGCGTTAAATCAGTTGGAAAAATGTCTCTAAGAGGTATGAGATTAAGTCATGATAATGAGAAAAAAATAGTATCAGAATCAGAAAACCAGAAAACTAAAAAAAGCGTTTTGCGTCCTAGAAAATCATCTAGAATCAATACACAAATAGATGAACTAGAAGATCAAATAAAATCTATAAAAAAATCTGATACCAAAAAAAAGCCTAGAATGACTCGGAAAACAAATGAAATTGCTAATTTTAAAGAACTTGAAAATGCTTTTGAATTAACTTCAAAATTATCTCAAGTTACTCCTTTACAGTTTGTAAATAAAGGAAACAATTATGAAAAAATTGGAGACTCTTTTAACCGAAATGAAGTATTTAATAATTTTGTTATGAAGGACAGTTTTGATGATTCATTACAACAGAAATCTAAAAAAATAATTGATTTTGGTATTATTGAAAGCGATGCAAAAAAGACTAAAAATATTTCTATATCAGAGGTATTTAATAATAGTACTGATAAAAAAACATGCAATTGGATTCCAATAGATGTCGAAAATCTCATTTTTAACTTCTCGAGTGATACTTTACCTAATTCTCATGAACTTACTGTTACAGAGCTAAATATGACAATAGAAGAGTGGATAAAATTTATAACCCAAAAACAAGTTGAAAAGTTAGAAATGGAATGTCGAAGAATGATTTCTATTTTAAAAGAAGAAGGAGAAAGGGCGAAACAAGCTATTTTGGATATTCAGGAATTATAATTAATCTATTTATATTGTCTTAATATCATTTTGTATATATAATTTTAAAATATATTATAAACATTAGCCTTTTACATGGCACATTCAATATTTATAATTCTTTAGTAATAAGAATTAGTAAAAAAACTAGTTTCAAAAAAACGTGTTAATTTATAGCGAAAATATATTTAGCAATTTTTGAAAATATTTAGCATACATAAATAGTTAAATTAAAGATAAAATATCTAAATGTAATATAAAGTATTTAGACTTTAGTATTGCATTTACGATTTTTTAGAAATTTCTATAAAATTCAATTATGTTGTAATAGGAACATTAGTATCATGCTTTTCAATTCCTTCAGTTAATACTTCTTGTGCAGTAGAAATATCAGAAATAGGTGTTTTAGGTAATACAGTTGATTTTGCTTTTTTAACTTTGAGATTTAACAACGTTTTATTTTTCATAAATCCGTTCCTGAATTTATTCATATCATTATTTATTTTTGTGCCCAATTTTATAAAATCGGAAGATAATTTCTTTGCTGTTTTTTCTGTGTATTTACCGGCATATTTCTTTAAAACACATGAATACTTTCTAGTAATTATTAAGACAGATTTGAAATATTTATCAATAGTTTTTTGATATTTAATATAAAATAATGGAACTGTAAATGCAAGTAATACACCTAAAAAATTAGTTTATACTCAAAAAAAATTGTGAAAATATAACCTAAAAGAAGCGTATGAACAAAAGATAAAAATTGCACAAGAACAAATGATATCCAAGAAACAATAAATGCCTAAAAGTTAAATATAGAACAAAAGAAAAGATTAAAATACTGTAGCTGTGTGTCTAATTTTCCTGGCAAATAAAAGCTCTTGGAACCCGTAAAGTGCGAAGTTAATTAAATCGCATGTCTTGTCAATGACATTAGTAAGTGATGTTCGTGAAATTGAATAAAAAGATGTGGGTGCAAATTGGCTACAAAAAAATTAAGTATTTCTTTTATTTTTTAAATAAAAGTAAAAAACCTAATAAATCCGTTATGCTGTTTAAAAAGAGAACGACCTGTAATTTCAATAACCGTTGAACTTGCAAAAACAATCCAGGCTGTACGGAGAATTAAGCGAGGAATATCGACTGTATTTGAAAGCAGCAATAATAGTGTTACTCCCCCTAAAACAGATCCAGATGTACGTGGGTATTTCCATGTAAAAAGATCAGAGACTAAAACGATATTTATTTCGCTTTCATACAAATAATATATGACCCTTACAGAATAAATAGTATTTTGATAATAATTGAGAATCATATGCATTACATGGACTTTTTTTAGATAATAAACATGTATCAGATGTTTCCTTATTTACTATCATATAATTAGTCATAATTACATTCTATATTAAATAAAAAATAAAATTAAACACTTACAATCAAGTCCAGAGTCTTTATCCGATGTCATAGCTTCTTATAAAAATACTATTTTCTTTTATTGTTTTTCCTAAGATTTTTTTCGGTATTGGGTTACTTTGAAAATGGTTTTAATTATTATAATTAAATAAAGAAAAATATATGAATTTTTATATTATTATTTAAATATTTTGATATTTTTTATTAATTTTAAAGAAGAATCTATACTTAATTTTAAGAGTGATATTATGGAAAAAAGATGGGTTAATGAATTTTCTAAAAAGTTTTTTCTTTCATATATACTCTGTATATAATTTTTTCCTTGTTTTTCTTGTTATATTGGTAAATCTCTTATTAATTAAGGCCAATTTTTGTATAGTAATAGAATATTATACTTATCGACTTGAGATAAAAAGTTTTGATAAAAAAAATTATTATTTATGTTTGATAAAGAATAGATTGATATTTTTAGTTTTATTTTTGAAGTATTGTTTATGAATCCAGTTATTTTAAAGAAAAAAATGGTATTTATATTCTTGAAAATAGTAAATTATAGATATATATATTATATATATATATGTGAGTGTGATCTTCCGTATCTAGTCTTTATAGCAGTTTAATGTCATATTTTCAGCTATATTTTTTATCTTATTTATTTTATTTTGCTTGCGTTTTTGTCGTCGTGCTCTATTTTTAGCTGTTTTTTCTTCATCTTTTTTTGTTATGGCCTCTCTTGCCATATTAAATTCACGTTCATTTATTTCATATTTTGTTTCTTCTTCCTGCATTTTTATTCGTTCATATTCTCTTCGTCTAGATACTTTATATATATGAAATTCGCCCGAACTAGCGCCTGCACTTGATCCTGGATTTATCAATTATAGAATATTTTTAAAAGGTTAGATGTTAACCTTGAACGTTATTTACAATATCTGGAGGTGGTGGAAGTGGTGGTTTAAGTGGTGCTGATATATCAATTTCTCGATCTGGTCTACGCATTAATTTTTCCAACTCTCTTGCTTGAATAGATGATAAATGATTTCTTTTTCGTTTTCGTTTTTCTTGTACTTCTGTATTAAGATTTTCAGACATAGTTTATATCAAAGAATTTTATGATTTTATGTTTTAAAAATATATATACGTTGAAATTAAGATAAAAAATGTTTTATAAGAAAAATAAATAATATTAAGTGAAATATATATGTGTGTCTAGTTTGAATGATTTATGCGTATAAAAAATATTTTTTATATTTATATAATGATTTATAGTGTATATAGTGGTATATTAACTAAATCTAGTTTATTTTAGGATTAAATGAAACAGAAATTGTTAATAAAATGATGAAGTATTTATATTTAGTAGTAGTAATGTTATTGTTTTTTTTTTTTGATTTATTAATACATGTTAAATATCTATATTATTATAAAGTTACTGAGATTTTTAAAAATATATATATATTTGCTTTATTAATGTTTATTCTTTAATTTTTTGTTTATGATATCTTTGTTTTTTTTTTGATTGAATATATATATACAATGTATATAATTAACAGAAATTTAATCAAGTTATATTGAAATTCAAAGTTTGTTTTAAGAAAATTTCAAAGATTTCTCTTTGGAATGGGATGATTAAATTAATTCAGTTGATTTATTACATTTTACTAACGAAATATTGAATATTTTGGATAAAGGCTAAAATGAAAGATTGTTTATAATTGAATTGTTTCATATATTAATATTTTAATGAATGGTATTTTTGAATTTTAAAAATACACATGATGTATGAACAATATAGCAAACATTCTTTTCTGAAAATAAATATTATATAATATGTATTTTTTAGGTTGGGAATTAAGAAATCAATGACGTTATAAAATGTGGTAAATGTGTCACAATGCTGTGGCACAGTTAAGATATTGATAAATAATTATTTTTTCAGTCCATGTAATCTACTTTTAAGAAATTCTTCCTATATATATATATATATATTATACAGACTTCCTGTTTATTTTGATATTATATAATATTACTTGTACATTTATAAGGCATGTTTTTATTAATATATTTATTATTTGATTTTTTATTATAAACTTATCGCATAGTTTTTATTATATCTTATATAAGCATTTATAAAAATGATTTTAAAATAAAATTGAATTTTGATTTTGTTTAAATTTTAAGTATTATCTAAATATAATTTGTTATTATATTTTTATCTATTTATTATTTACAAGTAAATTTTATTAAATTATTTAAAATTAGATATTTTTGAAAGTTATCTAAATATTTTGTAATATAAAAAATTAATAAATATTGATAATATATGAAATTATGGTTATAAAAATTGATGTTTAAATTAATAAAATATGGTTATTAATGCAATTATATAAATATTAATAGCGCTTTTATTATATTACTATCGATTTATATTTGATAATTATTATTATTCCTTCATTTGATAATTTATGTTTCATAATTTATAAATTTTATTCAATCAAAATAATTATTAGTATTTATAAATTCTAAATAAATATTTTTAATTCTAAATAAATTATTATCTATAGTTTCCTTTTTTGTTTAAGTTTCTTGATAAAATTAACTTGTATCTTTAATGTTATTGGGTTTTTAAAATTGTATGTTTTCTTAATATAACAATATATTGATTAGATATTTCTAAAATATTTTAATGTTTGCGGTACTTGTATTTATATATATTTAAACCGAAATTTGATCTTGATAAAATGTCACAAGCATCTGTAGAAGAATCAAATAAAAATTCTGATAATGAAGATGAATTTAGTGATGATGATTTTATCTTAGAAGAAGGTGGTAGTGAATATGATTCAAAGTCAAGTGGCTCTGAATCAGATGCCTGTTATGATTCAGGCGATAAAAAAGTGATTGATCTTTATAAGAAAAAAAAAGATGATAAGGAGCTTTCTTATGAAAACTATAATGGAGTTAAAACCAGAAGTCAAAGGAATCGGTAAAACTGGTTATTATTATTATTATTATTTAATTTTTATATTAGAAATGAAAAAGTTTTTACGTCAGCGCCTGAGTCTTGTCAGATTAACGTAGATGATATATGGGATAGTATGAATAAGAAGGAGCCTTCTAATAAGGTTGACTATGGGTCTTATAATACTTCAGAAGAAAAAGTAAAAATATCTAGAATATACGAATTTGCTGGAAAGGTTGAAACGTATGTTAATTTGTTTTATTATAAAAATGATTTTAAATATTATATTAGAGAAGAAAAGTATGTTCCAAAGGATTCTTTAGAAGCCAAGGCGCATATTTCTAGTCTAAATGATTCTAAGACAACTTTACCTCCTTTAAGAAAATCAACAAAACGAATGTCTTCTTTAGAAATTTCAAATAGTAAGCCGGTGAAATTGAACACATTAGAAAAGTCTAGACTTGACTGGGCAAAATTTGTAGATAAAGAAGGAATATCTGATGAATTAAAAAATGCATCTAAAGATGGTTATATGGATAAACAATTGTTTCTTCAAGTAGCTGAGGAAAGAATGATTAAAAATATTAAGGAAAATATGAAGAAATAAGTCATTTAAACAATTATTCATAATATATTTTTGAATGGGTTTTTAAAACATTGTATTTATTAATATAGCATTATTATTTAGTTTTTATAAATATTTCATTTTTTTAATTTAATATTTTGGTTAAATATTAATGATTGTAATTTTATTTTAGAATATCCTTTTATTAATATGAATATGTTTGTTTATACTAGATTTATTGGCTATTCTATATCGTGTTTAATCAATTTGATTTTAATATAAATTTTAGATTTAAACAATATTATTCATTAATAATTAAAATAATTTCTTGTTAAATATCTTTTTTTTTGTATACTATCTAATTTTTATTCATTCTTTCTAGATTTGATTTATAGCTATTTTAAAAAATATATATTCTTGTTTTAAATTTTAAAAAGAATTTTCAGATCTTATTTAAAATTAATAATTAAAAAATATTAGAATTATTTTTTTGTATAGGTTTTTATTATATTTATGTTAATTGATGGGTATTTTTTCTTTTTAATATGTGAATTGTGTTTTTAATTCTAATTAACTTCACGAAGCTTAAATTTACTACTTTTTTAATAAAAATTATAAATTTAAGTAATGGCAAGTTTGCCCTTTCAAAAAGGATATGATGCTTCAGATATTTCTAAATTATATCCTCCTGAACTTTCATTGCATTATGTTCAAGTAATATTTCGCCATGGTTTAAAGATATTTATTTCTTGGAGTTATATTGTTGATAGAAGTAGGTGAAAGAACACCAATTTTTTCAAAGCTCAAGTTCCCTGGAATCCAAAAAAACTGGAATCTTTGTAATTCTGCAAATTTTTTTCGTTCTGCTGTTAAAATTAAGAGTTCTGTAACATCTGATGATCATCAAAATTGGGATTATTTAAAATGTAAGAGGAAACTTGAAATAATGAATGAAGACTCGAAATTTAGAAGAGTTGAAGATGATAGTGTTTGGTATATATGTATTTATATTTATTATTTATATTGTTAATTTTTCTAGTATGGAGGGTGAATTAACAGATATTGGTCGAGAATCTACTTTAAATTTAGGGAAAAGGTTACGGAAATTATATGTTGATCAATTATCTTTTCTCCCAGATGTTATTTCTAAATCGTCTCAAATTTATGTACGAAGTTCAAATATACCACGAGCTTTGGAATCTGCTCAGCAAGTGTTTTCTGGGCTTTATCCTCCTAAATTTAGAGAATCGTCATTTGAACTTGAATTTGGTTTAAGAAAGCTTCATGATGAAAACATTTTTCCTAATGATGACCAATGCAAGTGAGTTTTTGTGTTTTTTTAATGATTCTTCTAATAGAAAAAGGCGATTACGTGTGTTGCTTAAAGAATTTAGAAACTCTGCTTCCAAAGCTTGGGATCCAATATTGGCTTCTAGAACTTCTGAAAAACTATCGAAGTATATTCCTGATAAAATTTCAATAAAGGGCCGTGTTCAAGTATTCGAATTGTTTGATTTAATATGCACTGGTTTGGGAAATAGAGTTAAAATGCCTGATGAATTATACGATGAGGAATTAAGAAGAGATCTTGAATTAGCATCTATTAGTGAGTGGTTTGATGGTTATCGCGGTATTTTGTCTTTATAATAAATTGTTAAATGTTGATATATTTTTAGATAGCCATGAGGTCAGGAGGCTTGGAATTGGGTCATTTTTAGGCGAATTGAAAGATAGTTTTGTAGAGAGTAAAAAACATATGGATAATGAAAGAAGGAAAATTTCTTTATATGGAGCACATGATACTACATTAGGTTCGATTTTACAGTCATTGGAATGCTTTGACCGTAGGTTATTAATAATATTAATATGATATTTTATAGTAATATTTTGATTAAGATGGCCTCCGTATGCATCACATATTGCATTCGAATTGTTTAGAAAACCTTCAACATCATATTTCCGATCATTTTTTCAAAAAGATGAATGGTATATACGTTTACGCTATAATGATACATCATTAGTTATTCCAGAGTGCAAAAAAAAGGGCAATCATTTAAGTGGTAATGAAAGTTTTTGTACTTTTCAGGCATTTCAGGATATAGTATTAAAAATGGTCCCAAAAAATTTGAGTGAAGAATGTTCTATATAATTATGAAATTTTTTTTATTAATATTAAATAATATAACTTTTTATAGTTAAATTATTTTTTTTGTTTATTTTTAATAAAATTTATGACATATTATTTTAAAAATATGGATTTTTTAGATGATTAAAAATGTTCTAGTTTTTTCATTGCAATTTATTGATTGTTTTAAAATTATATATATTTATAGTTATTTCTAATTTCATATTATAAGAATATTTAAATGTTGATTTTTAATATTTTCTATATTAAAAAATATTTTTATAATTCTAAAAGATTGCAAGCTTATTTGAATATTTTATATACTATATATTAAGCATTTAGACAAAATATACATATAAATATTTTATAAATTAAGGTTCTTTAAATTGCTTTTTGTCTCGATTTTTAATTATAATTTAACATTTTTTGAAGTTTTATTTAATAAATAATAACATAATGGAAAAGTAAACTGTTTTTTATCTTTTTTTGTGATAATCATTTTTAAAAGGTTTTCATTCTTATCGACTTAACTATTTTTTATATTGTTAAAATAAAATGTTTATTTATCTATATTTTTCTAAAAGTAAAAATAGTTTAAATATAATGTTATAAATTTGCTTTCATTTGTTATTATTAAGGTTTATTTAGTTTAAAAACTATTTAAGGTTATAATTTTAATTAAAAAGTAGATTAGGATTTTAGACTTCGAAGAGTATATATATATTAAATTTTAATGAAAAATTCTGCTTGAGTGGATTAAAATTTAGATCAATTATTGTATTTTGTTAGATATTAAGTCTCTTTTAAATAAGGATATATTAATATTTTACGAAGATATTCATAGTACAAGCATAGAAGGAAAACAAAATACAACATATATATTGTTTAGGTGTAGCTTTCTAATTTGGATAATGACGTTTTAAAATCAAAGGGTTTATTTTTGTGTTATTATTAGAAATGGATTTTACTTCATTTTTTGTTTTAAATGGAAAAGTAGGCGCAGTTCCTTCTTTATCAGGATCATATCTAGCTTCACTTGTTTATCCTTCGCGATTGATTATACGTTCTACTGCATCTCTTTCTATTAAACGTGTTATAAATCTTGATCCTGAGTTTTTCCAAAGAATTATATTTTTGAAATGGTGTTATATTGAAGGAAGTGACAAAATTCTTGTTGCTGATGATAAAAATGCAAAAGCATGGATTATAGAAGATGAGAAATGGGAACTTAATATTTCAGATGGTTATGGTATTAAAAATATACAATGGGGTCAAAATGGATCTGAAATATTAGTATGGACGGATTTTATGCTGAAACTTACTGTATGGTCACTTTCGAAAGACAGTGGATCTACTATACATTATCCTAAATTTTTTAGTAAAGGTATCTTTATATTGAAATTTCAAGGCTTAAAATTTACTTATATTTGTTTAGGATATGATTATCGTCCTACGTCAACTCATTTTGTTCTTATTACTCGGCCTGCATCCCATGATTTTATTAGTATTTTTGATTGCAGTTTTAATCCGTGGAGACTTTTAAAAAAATGGTGTTTACCTACTATGGATGCTCAAGGTTGTAGCTGGTCCCAAGATGGAAAATGGCTAGCCGTTTGGGAATCGCCTATGGAATATAAAATACTTTTATATACACCTAATGGTTATCTTTTACAACAGTATTCCGCATATGATATTGGTCTTGGTATAAAGACTGTTCAATGGAATCCTCCTACAGGAAAATTTATTGCTGTTGGTTCGTTTGATGGAAAAGTACGATTTCTTGACAGTTTTACGTCTAATTCTGTTATTGAGATAACACATGCAGCTATTGTAAAATTTGATGGTGTTACTGTGTGGAGGGAAATTATGTCACCTATGTTAATTCCAAAGTGTATGTATTTTGTACTTGTTATTAAATATGTTTTTGATTAATTTTTAGATGAAATTGTGCCTCAGCCTGTTTCTCTTCCTTTTATACGACCAAATACAGAGGATCCATCATCATTTCTTGGTGTGGGGATATTGTCATTTAATAAGGATGGTACTTTAGTTGCAACTCGAAATGACAATATGCCTACAATATTATGGATATGGTCTTTGTCTGATCTTACACCCATTGCTATTTTGATTTATTGTAATCCTATAAAAGCTGTTAAATGGTGTCCTTTTAATCCGTTTCTATTAAGTCTTGTTTGTTCTGGCGAATCAAAAATTAATAATTGTGTCTATTTATGGAATTATCAATGGGATGAACCTAGAGCATTTTCGATACCAAAATATGATTTTAATGTGAGATGGCTACGTTGGTTGGAGAAGCCACAAAATATAGATAATCTAGAACGAACAGGCATTGTTATAGGTGACAAAGAAGAATTTGTTATTGGATATATTATAGATGATAATGTTAAAGATATTATTAATTAAAAAAATGAGCATAGATTCATATAAAAGTTAGACGGTAATGTCGATTATAAAACTGATATTATGAAAAATCATTTTGGTTAATGTAATTTCAAACGCAAAATAAATAGTGAGATTAATATATTAAGCTGAAAGAATTATATTACACATATTAACTATGTTCATTTTTTTCCTTTATTTTATATAATTTTTGGTTGTATTTTTATTTTTAAAATGACTAAGTAAGTTACATATTGTTTTCATTTGGTATTAATGAAGACTTTACTAATAGTTTTATTAAGATTTCTGTATAGTATGTTGTGCTAACTACGTCATTGTGTTAATTCGTTCGTTTTGTATATATTTCATAAATGAGATGAAAAATTGTTATATATTTCTATATTTTATTATATTATGTGATGTTTTGTAAATATATATTAATATTTATTTATAATGTTTGACTAGTTATTTTATTTAGGTAAATAGCTTTTTTTGTAATTAGTTACTCTTCTCAATTAGAAAAATTAGAAGCAATTTTAGGATATATTTAACATATTATATTGAAAATAAAAGAATTTATGAAAGTGGGATTTTAACTTTTGATTTATATTGATTTATATTTAAGATTAGTTAATATGAATTAAAAAATAAGTCAACTATTCTTCATAATAGTAGAAAAATAGGATATCAAATATTTAAATATCTCTATTATTTGAGAATGTTTATAAATGAATTGTTTTGTAGAATATATGTCGTTGATTTTGAATACATGTATAATTTATTAATTATAATAAATCTTGATCTATCTATGGAATGTAAGCAAGAGCATTTAGATAATATATTGATTTTTTATGAAATATGTTTTTTGAAAATTTATGTTTTTATTTTTTTATAAAATTAAACCTTTTGATTTTTAGGATATATTATAACTTAGTACTAATTTTATCAGCAGAAATTGTTTTTATTATATTTATATTAATAAATATATGATAAATTTGCCATTTTTTTAATATTTTTTAAAATATGATTGGTTTATAGTATTTTATATTTAACAAGTAATTAATTTTTAAAAATAATAGTTTTGCTTTATATAAATTTTTTTACTGAAATAGATATTAATATTAAAGAGAACATGAAATTTTATTAATATATTAAATTTCGGATTTATGATATTATAATTGTCAATTTTTAGAACATGTTCCTGAATAATTGATAATCGTATTCTAAATTATACTTTAAAAAATTGATAAATTTTGCTCTTTTTTAAAATAATAAATACTAAAATATTAAATAATATATTTTATCTGTACAACATAATTATGTATTAAAAAATATTATTTAAATACACAAAATCAATAATAATAATATTATTATTTTTAATACATATATATTTGAATTAATAGATTGTAGACGGTCTTTTAGCTAAAAATACTGTTCTTTTAGTAAATGATTTAGGATAACGATGAGGTAATGGAAATTTAATTTTTGAATCAAGAAATTGACGAACAGATAACCGCTTTACATCACTAGTCTTTTTAAGTTCTACTACTTGAATAATCTAAGTAGAATATTAGATATGAAAAATAAATAAAAATAATCCAATTATACTTGAATAGATCGAAAACGCAAGCGATGACGTGATGCCATCTCTTGATAAAGAGCATGTACTGCCGCTGTTCGAGAGACTTCTCTATATTCCTTGTACATATTATGTGTCCCAGAACGTGAATCAAATCGAAGCCATATCCCATAATTTTTTACTTTACAAGGCCGTTTTTCATAAATCTTTTTGATTAGTCTATCAAAAAAAAAATAAAAATAAAAAAAATGCCTACCACATTCAATGATACAATTTCTCCTGCACTCTTCTTGATCTTTCGAAGTTTTTTCAAAAAATACCAAAATCTTGATTTTGCAACCACTGTATTAGGTGCAAAAATTCTCATACGATATAACTTTGGTACCGGTTCTTTTTCACTTGGAAGACGTCTTCCAATGATCTTTTACCATTGTTAGAAGTAGATTATCCATATTAAGCCCATATTATTACCTGATACTCAGTAAAATGAGACTTAACTGTCATTTTATATCTTTTTTAAAGAGTATATTTTTGTCGATCCGTGACTGACTTAATTTAAAACTCTACCTTTGAAAAGTAGTAAAAGTTAAAAATACAAGAATTAATAGTTAAAAGACAATATATTAAGAATTCTTCCTATTAATATTTGAATTTTATTTGACTGTTTGATTTTTTTTTTTTTTGGTATATATTTTTAAATGGGTTATATTTTTTAATTATAAGTAGAAATTAAAAAAATAAGGTTAAAAAGTCATATATTTTGAGAAGAAATTAGTTATGGTATCTGTTTCTGATGAGGAGAATACCCAGAATGTATCATTAAATAATAAGGAAAAAAGTGTAGAAAAAAAGAAGAAACGAAGACCTGCTCGTCGTCAAGTTGAGGGTCGTGAAAGAACAGGAGAACTTATGCCTCCTCAAACAGGACAGGTTTTTAATGTATGCCTATACAAGTATTTTATTTTGTTTTAAAGTTTTTTTTTTTGGTTTAGATTTGGTATGGAAAATGGGCAGGTGGAGATAAAGAAGATAAATATATAAATAAAAATAAAAGTGAAACAAGATGTAATATTAAACGAGATTCTGGATATACTAGAGGAGATAAAATCAAAGGTGCATATTTTTGTTTATTTTTTGCTAGAGGAAGTTGCAGTGATGGACCGGATTGTACATTTTTGCATCGTTTACCAAATGTACATGATATATATTCGCCTAATGTAGATTGTTTTGGTCGTGATAAGCATTCTGATTATAGAGATGATATGGGAGGTGTTGGTAGTTTTATGCGGCAAAATCATACGTTATATTGTGGACGTATCCATGTAACAGACGATATTGAAGAAATTGTTGCACGTCATTTTTCTGAATGGGGAGAAGTTGAGCGCAGTGAGTAAAATGAGATAAGATAATATTTTTTTAAAGTTTATTAGTTCGGGTTCTTAACTCTAGAGGTGTTGCATTTATTACTTATGTTAATGAGGCAAATGCTCAGTTTGCTAAAGAAGCAATGGCACATCAATCACTTGAAAATAATGAAGTATTAAATGTACGCTGGGCTACACAAGATCCTAATCCTGTTTCTCAAGCACGTGATGCTAGACGTATTGAAGAACAAGCGGCAGAAGCTATTCGACGTGCTCTTCCAAAAGAATTTATTGCAGAACTTGAAAATTATGGTAAAAAAATCAAACGCGATGATTTTGGCTTAGATGGCTATGATGTTCCTGATGATATATGGTATGCAAGAAGTTCCAGTGCTGTGAATCCTGCTGGAAGGCCATCACATATTCCTGTTGAAACAAGTATTGAAAATACTTCCGATCCATCTGTTTCAGAAAATGTATATGAGGATGAAACAAATGAAATATTTTTACGTAAAACGTTAGATACACTTCAATCTTTTAATGTTGTATGTACAACAGATTCGGGTCTAAATAATTCACTAGGATTAGTGGAATATACTAGTGATGAGGAGGTATAAAAAATAATAAAATTTGATAAGCTAGAATTTTTGCATAAATGTATAATGCATTTAATTTTCCATTGTTTTGATAATGCAAGATAGGGTATTATTTTAATATAAGCTAATACTTTAGTTTCGATTAAAAAAATTATTACGCTTAATTTTTCGATAAAATTACTAAAAGTGTATATCGAATAACGATTGACACGATAAAGCAGCTAAACTTGAAAAGTTCAGATAACTATTAAAAAATAAAATTATAAGATCAAATTAGTATTTGAATTAAAAAGAAATGAATAGCGTTGGTTCAAAGAAATTATGATATAAATCGATGGTCTTGATTTCTATGTCTAGAAAAATATTATATTAAAATATTATTTTTTTGAAGTTTTTAAATAAGATGCATTTTAATAGAGCATTGGTTATGGGACTACTGAGTCTAAGCATTTTACCTATTCGATGTATTGGATCAGTTGTATATTCTTATGATGTAAGCTGGCTTTAATAATTAAGATCTAATATTTATAATAAAATAGAACGTACATGTACTAGATCATAGAGAATCTAATAAACTGACTTTAATCGATCACATTCAGCAAATTAATGAACGATGGATTCCATGGTTTGGACGTCCTATTGATAAATGAGTGTGATCCAGATGGATTTTTTTTGTTTTGAAATGAATTTAGAATGTTTATTAAATATAGATGATTGATGTAAATAAATGTTTTCTCTTTAGAATGCTTATGTTTTTATCTTGCGAATTGTTTGCAACTTTTAAGTATCAATATTAAAATACAATAGTTAAAAAAGCATTAGTCAGATTTAAAAATTATTTAATATTGTTTCCAGCTAGTATTAAAGCCTAATGATTGTAGATCAAATGTAGGGAAAGGATGTGCTTCTGTATTAAAGACGACTTTGTCTAAAGGAAGAACATCATCTTGACTAAACAATAAATAAAAGTATTTTAGGGTTTCCGCCTATATGTTATTAAACAAAATATTGCAATGATAATGATTTTACCAGCCAAAAACTTTCCATATTATCTCCTAGAGTTGGAGGATTTACTAAAACATCTTGTACAGATGTATATCCTCCATCTACCTTAGTATATTCTTTAAATGCTTCAAAAATTTCCCATCCCCATTCTCGATAAGTTATATTTTTAGTAATTCTCCATAAAACAAAAAGACTTTCAATAGTTTCAGGACGCTGAAGATTATATTTATCTGAATTATAAATGATAATATCTTCTTCATTTTTATCTTCAAGGTTAAAATATACAAGCTCTGGTGAAAGTTTAGATGCAGTCACATTATACATTTCGAAACATGTTCTAGTTAATTCTTCTGAGAGTTTTAAAGTACTTTCATGTTGCTCTGTCCAATTTCGCTGTTTTGCTGTTTTAAGATCTAATCCTTCTGTTACTCCTAAAGCAAGTGTTGCTCCTAAAAAGCATGCTAGATGGTCCATTTTAGGTGAAATATAATTGCCAATTCCATTCGGTAGTTCTGCTACGAATGTAAATCCTGATGGTTTAGAATAGTTTACCATATGTTTTTTAATTCCCTCGACTGCTTCTTCAAACATTTCCAAGTATATTTTTTCTTGCTTCTGTGTCAACAAATATTGTTTAATTAAATATTCATAATATGAGTCTCCTCTAGATCCCAAGCTTATAAGGCCATTTTGGAATTTCCCATTTGAAGTACTTTACATATTAATTTATATAAATACAATGAAAAATAACAAACTCTAGAAAAATAGGTGCAAGCCCATCTTTAAGATTATTATCTTTTATAATCTTCATTACTTTTTCTACTTTTTCCCAATGTTGTTTGCTTTTTAGTAAATGTGATATATATTTAAATTCTAATTGCAAAGTAGCAACTTCTGCAGTCGAGGCATAAATATACCCCCCATAGTCATTTACACTTCCAGTACGTAAATTAACACTAGAATAGGGGATACCACTAGGTGAATCAAAAGCATTTAATACTCGATTAGATAAGTCAGTTGCCTTACTGAGATAAAGATCATCTTTTGTTAAGAAATATGCAGAAAGAAGCCCGCCTAACATACGAATAGTTACTTCAAATGTACTGATATATTTGTCTTGGTCAAAATTTAATGAAGATTCAATCCAATTCCTAGCATCTTGCAATTCTTGATCTAATCCCATAATATATAAGGTATCTAAGCTATCTACAATGATCCATCCTGCTCCATCAGGTAAAATAGAATTGTATCCTCTCTCTAAAAAAATAATTGGCATGTTTATTAAAAATAATATATTAATATTACTTGAAACTGGACTATATTGATCCTTTCCCCACCCATATTGTTTATATCCATTCCAGCTATGAAGAAAAACTTGCTTGACAAGTTCTTGTCTTGTTTTCCAAATATTGTCTTGTTCAAATGGTTTTTGTTTCCAATTTAACGCTGGAGTAATAGTTTCATTCTTAATAATTATAAAAATAATAAACAAAAAAATGCTTAAAAATATCCAAATATATTTCCTATAACGCCATGACTTTTTTTGCAAAAATTTAAGAAAAAAGAGCTTTTTTTTGTGTTGAAAAACAGGATTTATATTTTCTGACATTTCTATGGGAAGTCTGATATTTTAGATGCAATGCTCGATTTTTGAAAGAAATAAGGTATTTATTTAAAATATATTTATATTGTTTCTGAATGTTTAAGTTTTATGTCTTCAATGTTTAAAAAATATATGTTAGGGTTATAAAGTAATTAATAAAAAAAGCATTTAAAGAAAATATAAAAATATATGATTTGAATATATTATTTATTTTTGAGAGAATATATTATATATTGAAAATAAGATACAGTTTAGAATTTCTTAGTTAATCTTCAATCATTTCTTCTGAGCTTTTAAGCTCTGTTATTATAGTATCTACTATGTTTTTTGGTACTAATTGATGTTGTCCATTAGTTTCTGTAAGACCAATCCATGATACTTCAATTTCATATTCTTTATCCTTCGATTCATTGTGAGTAGAACGAATGCTAGATAATTTAATTTATTTTTTTTATAATTTTAAGAACTTATACATTTTGATAGCTGTTTTTACAGCTTCATGAAGAGATAACTCACTTAGTTTCAGTTTTTCAATTTCGTTTTTTACTTCACATTGAGATTTTCCTACTGCAATACCATTATACCCCTGTAGTATTTAAATTAAGTTTATAAAAATGATTTTAAAAAAAAGTACCCAATAATTCCCACTCGGCTCAATCATATAAAGCTTTGGAGCACTATTTTCTATGGAAGCAATGATACAGGACACTCCAAAAGGTCTTACTGATGAATAAAGAGTATATACTTGCACATAATTTCCCATCCGATCAGTTAAAGACTAGTTGATTAATTTATAAGTTTTAAATAAAGAAATACGATACCGATGATGGTATTGGTGTGCGATATATATCTCTCCAATTTTTTGCTTCTTCTCGAGCACGATTAACGAAATGTTTTCCATCTGTATTTAAGCCAGCAATTGCCTTTAAACTAAATGTTAGATTCAATAATATATATAGCTACATAAATTTTTACAATTCCAATATGCTCATCAACAGTGTGAATTCTTTTATTGGATCCTGGAATAAGTAATTTGGACTGTACTAAATGTTCAACTGCTAAAACAATCCCATCTCTAACTTTAATTCCTAGGGCTGTTCTGGGTTCAATTTTAGTATTTAATATGATCTATAGATCCTAATGTAATACCCTGAATTTTCTACAGCCTTATACGCATATTCTACTTGAAAGATTCGTCCATCTGGGCTAAAAGTTGAATTATTTAAATCGTATCCTGTGCCTTTAATTAATTAAGAAATATTCAATTATATCTTAATCATCAACAAAATAACCTATAGATGTCTATTAAATCAAAATGTTAGATGGTATTAATCAATGTTTGGGATATTTAAACCATTTAAATTTATTTAAATTTTTATTATACGATTTTTTTCGTTAAAATTAACTTTATTTATTTAATTTATAAATTATTTTTTTACATTAAGGAAATAATTAGGCAATGACTCTTAAATTAATGTATTAATTTTATGAAATATAAGAGGTAAGTTGCTTCTTTTATGATGAATTTTAAATGAAATAAAATTAAAATTATATTAATAATAGGTTTATAAAAAAACTGTTGAAATAATTATTTAAATTTAATCAGAGGGGGGAATAAGCATGTTTCCTATAGAATTGTCATATTTATAAGTTTATGTAATATTGCACCCTTTAACGCTGCACTTCTTCGTGAACATACGGTGTTTTAAAAAAACATAAAAACGAAGGGATAAGGTCGGAGAATCATCCTCATTTATTGCTCGTGATGAGCTTAGCGCTAGTACGTGCTTATAACTGCATTAGAAAGATACGGCTTAAGTCTTATATAGCCTTGAGAGGTCAGTTGTGAGGATTAGACGTGTTAATGTCTTTAAGTGCAATGTGCAGCACTCCTATTTTGGAGACAACTCAATTCCGACTAGTCTTTAGAGTGCAATATATATAGATTTATGATTGTGAAGATTCGAACATGCTTAATCGCTTTGATGATCAAAATTTATTAATGATTTCTTATATATATGATAAAATTTAAATTGAAAAAAATATGTATAAATATGGTTAAAGATTATATTAATGATGAAAAAGTCGAAGACTATATATATTAGAATTGCAGAATATAAACTGGATTTAAGATACTTTGTATTAACAAAAATCATTCCGAATTGATCGGCTGTTTCAAATATTTCTTTATCTTTAATACTGCCTCCTGGTGCACTTATATATTTGACATTATATTTAGAAAGTTCATTAATATTATCTGGAAACTGAAAAGTTAGTAGATTAATAATGATATTTATGAAAGATTTTTACTGGAAAGAAAGCGTCACTTGCACATGTGACATCGTTTAGTTTTTCCATAAATTCTGATATTTCTTTATTTGACAATGGTTCTGGTATTGTTGCAAATACTGACTCCCATTGTTTTTTTTCCGGTCCTGAATTTGGAATTTTATTTTCAATATATAAATCTATCGCATTTGATTTTTCTGGTCTCTTTACACATGAATGGAAATCAAATTTAAGAATTTTTGGATGATGCCTTAACCACCTTTAACTATGTTATTAAAGTATTTAAATTGTTAGAATAATACCATTTTTTTGTTTTAGCTCCTGCTAATCTAGTACAATGAATTCTACTTTGTTGACCAGCAGCTAATCCTACAATCATCCCATTTTTTGCATAGCTAACAGAATTGCTTTGTGTATATTTCAAAGTAATTGTAGCAACAGTTAAATCAATTAGAGCATCTTTAGGAAGTGTTTTGTTATTACTCACAATATTTCTAAATGTTTCTTCATTGATTTTAACATCATTACGACGTTGCTGCAATGATATCCCATAGATTTGGCGAGTTTCAATTAATGGAGGTTCATAATTATAATCCATTTGTAATATACAATATTTTCCATTCTTTTTTTTCTTAAGAATCTCTAAAGCATCTTCTTCATAACAAGGAGCAATAATTCCATCAGAAACTTCTCTAGAAATTATTTTGGCAGTTGGTAAATCTACTTTAGCTGATAAAGCAATCCAGTCTCCAAAACTACTCATTCTATCTGCTCCTGGAATAACTTTAGTAGGTATTAAAATTGGTAGTTATTGTACCTCTTGCTCGAGCATAAGCACATGCTAAAAGTGATAGATTCGATATATCTTCAACGAAATATACTTTTTTTTCTATTTCAGAAAGAGATATGCCTATGGAAACACCTGTAGGAGATACATGTTTAAATGATGCTGCTGCAGGTAAATTAAGAGCTTCTGATAGTTCTTTTACGAGAGGCCATGAGTTTAATGCGTCAAGAAGATTTATATAACTTGGAGATCCACAAAGTACTAAAAAATATTAAACTTAATTGAATGTATATATTTTATGAAAAACCTTTAAATGGAATATTTCCAGAATGAACAAATGCTTCTGCAGATGTTTGATATGGATTTATTCCATAACGAAGTGATAATTGCATTTGATTAGATGTGTATTGTTTTCTAAAATAATTTGCTATATTGATGTCGTATTCAGATGTATATGAAAAAGCCTATAAATTTCCATATTAAATTAATTGATAATCATATATAATGAAATTATATGCCTTTAATGCAAATCTATTACGAGATTCTTGAGAAATTTCTCCTCTTTCTAATTCTTCTAAGAAAGAAGAATAGTCATTCGGATCGCTTAATACTGTAACTCTAATATGATTTTTTGCTGCTGCTCTGAGTAATGTCACACCGCCGATATCAATTTCTTCTATTATTTCTGCAATTGTTATATTCTGTTTTGAAATTGTTTCTTTGAATGGATACAAATTACATATGACGTAATCAATTTTATTGATATTAAACAGTTCCAATTCTTTTTTGTCTGATTCTAGATCACGAGCAAGAATTCCTATACATATTTTAATACGAATTATTATTTTATTGAAGAAATACCTCCAAATATATGTGGATGGAGTGTTTTTACTCGTCCTCCAAGAATTTCTGGATAATTGGTAATTGAACTTACTTCACTTATTATATAACTTGTAAATATTTTTTTGAATTTATTTATGAACTTACCTAATATCATATCCTGCATCTAGTATTATTTTTGAAGTGCCTCCTGTTCCTAATAATTTGATATTCTAAAAGATTCAGTTTACTTTATAAATATTATTTAGATTTACATGTTTTGTTAAGCCTTCTACAAGATCTAAAAGTCCGGTTTTATCATAAACACTTAAAATAGCTAGAACAGTAATTATTAAAAAAATCAAGTAAATGATATTTTTTATACCTATCTTTTTTTTTTCCATTGAACGTTTTTGAATATATAAAAATATAATGAACTATATAATTTAATGATATTTTAAAGATCTTATAGTTATAATAAAAAATATCGAAAATTTAAAAAAAATAACGCTTAAAAAACAATCTGAAAAAGCACCCTTTTGAAGTTTGATATTTTTTAGTATATCAGGCTTAGGAAAGTTGTGGTCGTAATATGATTGTAAATATATCATTTAGTGAAATGAACAATTGGTGATGGGTGAACTTTTTTTAAGATAAATGTTACATGGAAAAAAGTTCAATTCCTGATTGTATATATTGTTAAATGATATTCATAGACACATATAATCCTTTAGAGATAAAGTACATATATAATATTTTTAGTGTAAATGAATAATATAAAATGCTTTGAAAATTAGAAAAATATTTTCTATTATACATGTTTTGTATTGTATATTACATAGTTTTACAAAAATGGTTTTATTTAGCATATTTTGAATGTTTTGAGCTTTTTTCCTATGTTATTTGTGTTTTATTTTATCGTTATGTTTAAGTATGTTTTGGTTTTTGAAAATTATATAATAAACTCTTTTAATGCTATGTTTCCAAATAAATCTAAGAAAAACAAAAATAAAAGTATCTTTTAATCTTGCCGGTGGAACGTTATTAACATCTAAGAGCCATTTTGTTCCATCCGTGTTAATAAAATATACGGAATTATCAGGTTCCACAATAAATGTTTGTCCAGTTTCTTGGTTTATAACTTTCTTTCTCCCAGAATTAGATTTATATGTCATATTATGTCCACGTGCTGCGTATATTGCTGATGAAATATAGTACTTTATACGATTTCTACTACGCGTAGCATTTAATTTGGAAGCCACATACTGAAAACTTGAAAAGATTATAAGAAGAATTATCAGAACAAATTTAAAACTGGGTTTATATCTAGAATAATAGTACCCACTGCCTTTCCTAAAATTGAAAAAATATATATATTAGAGAAAAATTGTATTTTTAATAATTATAAATTTTTACCATTTTGGAAACCCATTCTTATAGAAAAAGTCATATCTTTCTTTACTTTCACCATTTCTTAAAATGTTTGCAATTAATCCCAGTTTTGAAAATCTTTCTTGTGAAATTTTGTAAAATTTTTTATCTTTAATTTTATCTGGACTATTTGGTTAGATTAGAAGGTTAATAATTAGAAAGCTATAAATAACGATTTGAATATTTATAGCTTTAATGGAATATTTACTGTAATTCTAATGCTTTTTGACGGTATGCTTTGTTTATTTCATCAATTCTGGAGTCTGGGCCTTTCTTAAGATCCAAAAAAGAATAAAAAGTTGTTCCTTTTCCTTCTGTTTCTTCTAAAGAAGATACAATATCAAAAATTTCATAATCAATATTAGACCATTGAGCATTAATTTTTAAAATGCAGGCTGAATAGATTAAAAAAACTATATACATATGAAATTTCATATTTTTCAAATACTTGATTAATTTTCGATTGAAAAAATTATGGGTAAAATTCAAGTTTTTTAGTTAGAATATGAGATATTTTATATAATTATCTTTGTCATTTTTGAAGATTTATATGATGATAATCTAATTTTATAAAAAAATATATATTGATTTTTAATTAAGAATCCGTTTTTATATATTATTTTAAAATATTAAAAAAAGTTTGATTATAAAAAGTTTATAAAAAATAGAGTATTGTATATTTATATAGAATTGTATTGATTTTGATTTTCACGTGTTTAAATGTTTAGTTTTATTGTAAGAATTTAAATTTTTAGGTTATATACTATTTTGTAATTTGGAAAGAAAAATAAAGTTTAATTTTTGATTATTTAAATTTTTTTTAGATTTTTTTGATTAAATGTTCTATAAGATGTTTCTTTTATATTTATTTGTAGAAATATTTAATATTATATCTATTAGAAGTACACGAATATAATTTTATATAATTTTTTATTTTTTTATTTTCTTAATATTTGTAGTTTTATGATACAATTTTTCATTTATTTTAATTTCATTCTTATATTTGTAGAGTAACCGCTAATGTGGTTTATGTGTGGATGTTTTTTAATTGTTAACGAAAAAGATTTTCGAATTAGAATACTTTGTAGATATTAGATGTCTTATTTATTGTGGTTTAGATAAATTTGAATTGATAAATTTCTAACAAATCTATTATTATTTCTAAATAGTATTGATAGGAATAATTCTAAGATATTTTTGAGAAATGTTGTCCTAGAGTTTATGTACTTCAAAACTATATTAATGTTTTAATGTTATAGATTGAAATTATTTGTAAAAAAAAATCTATTTTAATTGCATAATGATGATTTTATAGTTTAGAATTAAAAAAATATAATAGTATGAAAAATTGTAAAAGTTATAGCAATGTTAAGTAAATAATATATGGTTATTTTAGATAAAAATTAATTATATATACATTAACTTCTAAGCATCCCCGTCCTCAAAAGCACATGCCACTGGAGGTTCTAATAGAATAGAATGACCTATGATAGTTATACTACTAGCACCAATAATGGAAAGAATTGTTGATATAGGAGAAGCAATAAATCCAAGAGGAATGGCAATAATAAGCAATGCTTTTGAGGTTACTAAAAAGAAAAATAAATACAAATATTATACTTACCCGTATATAGCTGTGAAGGTGTTAAATGAAATGATCCTATGTGAAGATTTTGGCCATTAAGGCGGTTTATGCCAAATAGGCCACCTGTAACAAATAAAAGAATAAAGAGTAATAATGGATTTGTAAGTAAAAAGTAAAGAACAATTAGTCCAAAGCAAATAGCATAGTTAGATGAAAATCGTGAAAGATTATAACGCATACGCTATTGATGATATTTATAACATTAAAATATAAATAAAAAATTACCTGTTGTATATCAACAATACTTCCTGGCCATGCAAGTCTTCGAAAATCAAGAAATTCTACATGTACATATAAGGCTTTGTTAGGAAAAAAACAAAGTAGAAAGACCTTTGAAGGACTGAAGATTGATAAATCTTTCTTTCTAATAAAGTTTAAAAAATATTTAAGAAGTAAAGGTAAAAGTATACATGAAAGTTTTGTAAGCTTCCTATATGATTTCTAAATATATTCATTCCAAAATCCATAAATTTCTCTTTAGATAAAAAATATTAAAAATAATTGAATCAAAAATAAATTTGGAAAAATATAGAATTAAAAATAAATGTAGAAAATATAGTTAAATTGCGTTTATATGTATAATACAAACTAAATAATTTAGTAAATAAAGATATTTTGAATTTTATAATTTTTCTTAAAATTTAAATTGTTTTGAATTTCTGGAGTTTTTATATAAAAATAATACACTTTATTAATAAAAAGTATAAATATATTAAGTGGAATCTACAATGTTTATACAAAAGTGAAGATTTAATCCTTTAGGCTTCTAAGAATAAATATTTAGATTTCTATGAGGTATTAAAAGAAATATTGTTTTAATTATAAAAAAATTAAATTTCTATTAGTCAAAAAAGGTGAGTTTGAAGAGATACTAAAGTGCTAAATCAGTTTAAGTCATCAAGTTTTAAGCTTAAATAGGAAAATAAAATTAGATATCCTTTGAATAAATTTTCTTTTTAGGAAATAGAAAATTAATTGGATAAATGTTTTCTATTTAACAATAAAAGTAATAGGGTCTTAAACAGGGAAAATAATATGATATTGAAAGATTTTTTGATCAATTGTTCTTAGGGATATTAATTGTAAAAATATATTAATATTATCTTGAATAAAAAGGTTATTTTTGAATTAAAGGATGTTAAAATTTCTGGGGTTCTTGTTTAAAATATACAGTTTTTTCACTTTTCTTATTTAATTCTTTTAGTTTTTGTTGCCGATATTATCAATTGAATTTTATTGATAAATTATTATTTGATAATACAATTGGAGTTTTCAGTAATTCATTTGAAATTGATCTTGTTAATTTTTTGGATTCATTTCCTAGTAATAAATTCTCTGCAATGCTTCAATTTAGCGTATTAGCTTTTTTCATTCGAGGTTTAGTTAGTATGATCATGATAATAATATAGGATATATTTTAATGGTAATCATTTTTATAGTAGATGAATATATTGAGTACAATATAATGTATTAATTTACTAAATAATTTATATATTAATTTCATATATCTAAATAAGTATATATGTATTCTTATTAAAAATTCAGTAAAAAAAATATTTTTATTTTTTAATTTATTTCGTATATGGAAATAAAGACATTAAAATATTGTGTTTTTGTTTTGTTTTATGTAAAATATAGTTAATAAATTTCGATATTTATCTTTTTTGTACTTTAATCTGCTTTATATCTCTAATGATTAAAATCAACAGTTTATATAATGTATCTGACTAATATAATAAATTAGATTTTCTTATATTCTAATTTATCTTCAAGACGTTTGGCTTCTGCAACTTTTCGGACAGCCTTTATAAGATCATTTTGAATGATATAGTCTCTATCATCACGAATAGCAAAAAAACCTGCTTCCGTAATAACATTACGAAGATCTGCACCATTAAAAGAATCTAAGTTATATAAATATAAATTAGAAAAAGAATATAGAAGATACCTGATAATTTTACAATTGCCTCATAATCTATTTCACCTTGTTTTTGAATGTCTTGTGCATGAATTTTAAGAATTTCGAGACGTCCTTGTTCATTAGGAAGAGGTATCTCAATTTTACGATCAAGACGGCCAGGTCGAAGCAAAGCAGGATCAAGAGTATCAGGGCGATTAGTAGCCATAATAATTTTTGTTTGTCCTAAAATGTTAATATATAATGGGAATTTATGTATAAAAGATATACCAAGATAATCAAACCCATCCATGCAATTTAAGAGCTCCATGAGAGTTCGTTGAATTTCTCGATCTGCTGATGTGCCTTCTGAAAATCGACGACCACCAATGGCATCAATTTCATCCATAAAAATTATGCATGGTTCATGTTCTTTCGCATAACCAAACATTTCTCTGATTAAACGAGAGGATTCGCCTATATATTTATCGACAATAGCTGATGAAACAACCTTTAAAAAATTTGTTTCTAATGATGATGCTACAGCTTTGGCAAGCAGCGTCTTCCCTGTTCCCGGAGGACCGTATAATAAAACGCCTTTAGGCGGTTTAATACCTACTCGGCGAAAAAGTTCTGGATTTTTGAGTGGTAATTCGATAACCTAAGTTTAATGTTAAAACTTTAAAAAAATACTAGAAAATAAAAACCTCTCTTAGTTTTCGAATTTGTTCATTAAGTCCGCCAATATTAGTAAAATTCATTTTTCCAGGATCTTCAAGAGACATATTATAAACAAGAGGATCTACTTCACGTGGTAATATGCGCATAATAGTAAGAGTAGTCATATCAAGAGAAACCCGGACCCCTTGCTTTAATTTATCTTTACAGACACTTGTCCTGCAGCTGACAACATATCGTGGTCCACTAGATGCTTTTACAATAAAACGTTCTATTTATATTAATTATATAATATACAATATTTCTTATGTTTTCCTTCATCTAATTGTTTTAGAACTTCCCCGATTATCTGGCCAACTGACTGTAATGCTTTAATATCTTCTTCTGTTTTTGTATAAGTTTTTTTTTGTTCTCCAATTGTTTTGCGTACTTATTTCATAATTAGTTTTTTATTAAAATTTTAATTTTTTTAGGAAAATTCATACATTTTTTCAGCTTTGAATCCCATTCTTTATGTTCTATAAGCTTTTGTTTAAACGAATTTATTACTTCTTCTTTTTGTTGTATGTTCTCCATTAATTTTTATATTAAACATCGAACCACAAAATTTAAGTTTTAAAAATATAAATTAAATTATTATATAAGAATTGCATGAAATATAAGTGCCGATTTTCTTTGTATTTGAATTTAATAAATATATATTGACGACACAATTAAAATAATATATATATATTTTGTATTTTTAATAAATTTCGTTTTTAATAAAAAAATATTTATTTCAAAAATGGCTAAATCATGTTATATTTTTTAAAATAAAAAAACGTCGTATAGTTTTATCAAAGTTTTTTTTGATAATTTTTTGTTTTATTGTAATAATATTTTTAATCATTTAAAAAAATAATGGAATATATTTTAATTGTAATTTAGAATAAATATTTGAAATGAAGGTAATATTTAAATATTTTTTATATTTTACAAGCAATTTAAATAAATTTATGAGCTTGAATTTATGAATGTAATAATGATAATGTTTAAAATCTATTAAGAAAACTATTATAAAATTTATATTAAATTTTTAAAGTTATATTTTATATTCAGCAAGCTTCTGCGAGTGTCTCCGTGGCCAAGCGGTTAAGGCGTGGGATTGCAGATCCTAAGATCGTTGGTTCAAATCCGACCGGGGACTTTTTTCAAATCTACTTTTAGTTAAATATAAAAAAAATAGTATATAAATGTGATTTTTTAGAAAAACACTATTTTTATAATGTTTATTAATGATTTTATGTAACTATATTGTTTTAAGTATTATAATAGTGTTAAAATTATTAAAAGATAATTTTTTATGTTGATAAATTAAAAAGATCTACAATTTATCAGTAATAAATGATCTAACATTTTATTTCATAATTTTACTATGATTATAACGAAAATAAATATAAAACATTTTTAAAAGTTAAATTAGTTTTTTTTAATACTTTCTTTGTATGATTTGTAGTTTAAAACAGTAAAATATAGTGATTAAGGAAAATACTTTCATTTATATTATTTTCAGATATTAATATAAGTTTTTATTAATAATTCATATTTTTATGAGAATAATTTGATGGAATTGTAAGACATTAATTATATTACTTTTGATTGTAGGGTATTTCATTCTTATATTTTATTAATATTAAATTTATTTATCTATAAATAAATAGTATGAAATATTTTAGATAAAAAATATTTGACTATACCGATTTTTATTGTCAAATTTTTTAAAGATATTAATACAATTAAAAATATCGCTCGATATTAAAAAAAAATACTATTATTAAAAAAAATTATGGGAATTTTTAAAATTCACGCAAGATCAATTTATGATTCACGAGGTATAGATATTATATATGGTTTAATTTTTTTAAATTATAATTTTTCTAGGTAATCCTACTGTAGAAGTAGAAGTGACTACAGAAACAGGGGTTCATCGAGCAAATGTACCTTCAGGTGCTTCAACAGGAATTCATGAAGCTTTGGAATTACGTGATAATGGTTCTTCTTGGTCTGGAAAAGGTTTTTAATTTTTATTTTTTTGATTTATGATAAATTAATAAAATTTCATAGGAGTTACTCTTGCAGTTTCCAACGTTAATGATATCATTGCCCCTTCTCTTTTATCTGCAGGCATTGATATTAAGGATCAACGTTCTATAGATAAATTTCTTATTGATCTTGATGGTACTTCTAATAAATGTAATTTACAAAAATATTTTGCTCTTTTATTTATATGTTTTCAGCAAGACTTGGAGCTAATGCTATTCTTGGTGTTTCTATTGCTATTTGTAAGGCTGCTGCTGCTGAAAAGGTTTACAATTGTTTACTATGAGTTACTTTATGTTTATAACATTTCTAGGGTGTTCCTCTTTATCGACATTTTGCTGATATTGCTGATATTAAAGAGCCATTTATTCTTCCTCTTCCATGTTTTAATGTACTTAATGGGGGATCACATGCCGGTGGAAGGTTAGCTTTTCAAGAGTTTATGATTCTTCCTACTAGTGCTGTTACATTTCATGAAGCTATGCAGCAAGGCTCTGAGGTTTATTCTGCTTTAAAAAAGCTTTCTAGAAAGAGATATGGGCATTCCGGTAATAAATTTTTGTTAATTTTTTTTTCTAATCAGTATTGTAAGCTGGAAATGTCGGTGATGAGGGCGGCGTTGCTCCAGATATTCAAACAGCTGATGAAGCTCTTGATCTTATTGTTACTGCTATTGAAGAAGCTGGTTATACTGGAAAAATAAAAATTGCATTAGATGTTGCTGCTAGTGAATTTTATAAGAATGGCAAATATGATTTAGATTTTAAAAATCCTGAAAGTGATTCTTCTCAACATAAAACTTCTAAAGAACTTGCAGATATTTATTTAGATCTTTCTAATAGATATCCTATAGTTTCTATTGAGGATCCTTTTGATCAGGATGATTGGGATGCTTGGATTTATTTATCTAAACATGCTACGTTTCAAATTGTCGGGTAATATAATGTTTTTTTGTATTTATTTCTTTAATATAATAGTGATGATTTGACTGTTACAAATGTTTTTCGAATAAAGGAAGCTGTTGATAAAAAGGCATGTAATTGTTTACTTTTGAAGATTAATCAGATAGGAACCATTTCTGAAAGTATCGAAGCTTGTAAAACAGCTTTTGATGCTGGTTGGGGAGTCATGGTATTGTTTTCATTTTATTTATTAATTTATATATATATATTAGGTTTCTCATCGTAGTGGTGAAACTGAAGATACAGTTATTGCTGATCTTGTTGTTGGTCTTGGTACTGGTCAAATTAAGACTGGTGCTCCATGCCGTTCAGAGCGTGTAGCAAAATATAATCAGCTTTTGAGGATTGAAGAAGAGGTATATTTAAATATATTTATTATACTGGCTAACAATTTAGCTTAATCAATCTGTTTATGCTTCAGCCAATTACATTAAAAATATTAAATAATATATTTATTATTTTCTATGATTTTGATATGTTTTTGTTGTATAAAATGATTTGGATATATTAAAAATTATGTTTGTGTTTTTTGTTTTAATTTTTTAATTTCAAAAAATTTAATTCCATTTTTTGCATTTTCATTTTTGAGCCATCTCCCTAATCTGTTTTCTTTTCCTATAGCAGCAATAATTCTAATTCCATTTTCTGCTCTTTTTCCTCTTTTAGTTACACATAATCTATTTATAATACCGTTGATTGGTAGTATATTTTCTGTTATTAAAGAAAAACTTTTCAAATCGGATGATAATTTCCAAAGTTTAATATATCCATCCCACGAACCTGATAAAAATATATCGGAGTAAGAAAGTGAAGTTAATGAAGTAATCCATCGAGGTTTATGAAAAGGAGGAAATGATGTATTAAGCTCTGCTGAATACTGAGATGATTTTAAAGAATCATAACCATGAGCACAATATACTGTAAAAATAGGTTTTTTCTTATAGGTAGACCATAAGCATATGTTTCTATTAATATAAGATTTTTAAAAAAAAAAAAAAAAATACCCATTATCTGATCCAGTTAAAAAATGATTTTCGTCTATCATTGTGACACAGTCTATGCTTCCTTCTTGAAACTCGTTATTTTTTTCATCTTCTTTTTTAAAAATCATTTGAGATTCTTCTGCAATTTTCCATAATCTTGCTGTTCTATCTCTAGAACCAACACTTATACATCTTTCTAAAGAAAGTGATGCAATATCAGGAATTGTTTCTTGATGTCCAAAAAGTGTTTGTATGTATGTCATTTCATCAAGTGACCAAAATTTAATTGTTCTATCTGAAGAGCATGAATACAATTGATTCGTACCTTTACGAAACGTTAAAGCCTGTATTATCATTTGTTTAGATTTGATAACAATAAATGCTAATATAACAAACCAAAACAGAATCTCGATGATGCTTAAATGTGCAAATAATATCCAATGTAGATGAATTTCTTACAACAATGCGTCTATCCTTTCCACATGTAACGACACAATTACCATCACTACTAACCTTAACATCTGTAATTTCTGAAATATGCCCTTCAAATGATTCATCATTTCTTTTTCCACCTAATGCACATGCAAGCTTTTTAGGATTATTAATATCAGATATATCCCATTTTTGTAAAAGGCCATCTTTAGAAACAGAATAAATATAATTTTCATAGGCAGCAACTGATGTTACTGAAAGTTTATGCCCTTGAATAAAATTGGATGCAGGTTGTTCATAAATCTCAAGATCATCTGCAATATATAGATATACCTTTCTTTTATGTTCTATCTGAAGATAAATTATTAAGAACTACTTATATAAATTATGAAATACTATATTATCGTTTAATTTTTTAGATATCAAATCATTATCAATATTTTTTGCATCAAAATCATAGTCTCCTAATTAATATTATAAATATAACATTTAAATTAATTAAGAAAAAATACCCACTTCTGTTTGTACTTTTTGAATATATTGTTTTGCTAATTTAAGACGTTTTTTCGAAACAGATTCATCATCTGAACTTAAATACTTGTTTATATTATATTCTATATTATTTTCTAAACTAGTATTTTCATTTTTTTTTTTTTCATTAGAATTATGGTTTTTATTAAAATATCTTTTTTTGTTGATAGTTTCTTTTTTTTTAAGGTGAACCTTTTTGAAAATATCTAATGATTCCATAAAAGATAAATTATTCATAATTTTATCATTTTTTATAATGTCTTTTTAAAAATTAATTTAAGTGTTCGGTTAAATATTGATAATTTTATAAAAAAATACTTGTTTAAAATAACAAAAATGGATTGCATATTAGCATTGAAGGGAAAGGGTATGGTAAAAAATGCTTGTATCTGATGATTTGATATTTTAGAATATGTACTTACAGCGTCGAATAAAGCATTTGTTCGAGGAATTACTGTTCTTACTGATTCTGATGATAAATCAATGTGTTTAAATCTTCATAATCTTCTTTTATATTCTGGAAGAGAAGGTGATGTACTAAATTTTTCAGAATATATTCAGGTTTTCACATAATGAATTAATTTATGTCTTATTAATTTGAAGGCAAACGTTCAGCTTTATGAAATGAAGAATGATATTGAATTAAATACTAAAGCAGTTGCTAGTTTCATTTGGAAGGAGTTGGCGGATAGTTTAAGATCACGTGTATGTTTTTGACTAAAATTTGATGATAATTTTGAAAAAAATAGAAGCCATATGGTGTTAACCTTCTTTTGGCTGGATATGATATTGTTTCTGGATCAGCACAACTTCATTTTTTAGATTATCTTGCTACTTTTTCAACTGTTCCTTATGCATGTCATGGCTATGGGAGTTATTATGTATTGTCTTTATTGGATAGATATTATCAACAAGACATTACTTTAGATGATGGATTAAAATTATTAAAAATGTGTTTAGATGAAATGAAAATGAGGCTTCCTATTGATTTAAAAGGTTTTACAATAAAATTAGTTGATAAAAATGGTATTTCCATTATTGATGATTAAATAAAAAAATCATTATAATCCAATATAAAATATCAATTAAAAATTATGTTTTATAGCCTTTAAATTAAATCTATGTTATGTAGTATATAAATTAATGTTATATTTTGTAAATATATATATGTTTAAATATATTTGTTTTTATGAGTTTTTGTTCTATTTTTTCGAGATTTTAACATCTTTTTTGGTCTAATTGATTAAAATAGTTATTTAAAGTATATTTTATTTTTTTATATATTATATTTTATTGCTTAAGATACTATTATTTAGTATAAATATTATTTTTATATAATATTGTGTTTATTTCTATCATGATGTTATTATTTTTATGATGTGATATATTTAAAAATGTGTAGTATATAATTAAATCATTAATGATAATATTTAAGTTAATAGTAAATATTTCTAAAGATTGTTTGCATGTATATTATACACTCATGTATTTGTAAAATGTATAACTATATAATTAAAAAATAGTATTTATATGTAAAAATCATGAAATTATATAGAGATTTGTAATTAATAATATATATTATAGTTTGTTTTTTGATAATATATATGTTTTTCATATATTATATAATAGTATTAAATATAAATATTAATGAAAAATATATAAGAAATATTTAATATAATATTAAAAATTTATTAAAAAAAATCTATATTTTTTTGCATCTTCATATAGATTATTTTTTGTTAAATAATAAATGATTAAAAAAAATATTTATGAAAATAAGTATTATTATATAAAGAATGCAATAACAATCTTGGAATAAAAATATAAATTAAAAAATATGAATATGTATCTATTACGTTTTTTAATCATATTTTTGATTTTTTTATTGTGATAAATAAACGTTTATTATAAATTTTTCATTGTTTTTTTTCTAATTATAATTTTGATAAATTATATGTGAATTTTATTTAAGAAATATAGTATATATGAAGCTTTTAATTTTTATAACCCTTATTGGGATGTTTATATTTCAATGTTTTGCAGCAAAAGGGCCTTTGATTACAAATATGTAAGTTTTATGTTTATAAACACATTATTTAGTTTTGAAATTCAGTGTGTTTTTTGATGTTGAGTATGGTGGAAAATATCTTGGTAGAATTGAATTTGGATTATATGGAAAAACCGGTTTGATTTTTTGTCTCGTTTTTGTATGTTTATGTTTCTATTAGTTCCTAAAACTGTAGAGAATTTCAGAGTACTTTCTACTGGTGAAAATGGTTGGAGATATAATAATTGTTTTCATGATAATTATTTATTTAAAATAGGATATGGATATCAAGGATCTAAATTCCATCGTGTGATCAAGAATGTAGGATTAATTCTTTTATATACATAATATTTTTAATCGTAAAAAGTTTATGATTCAGGGAGGTGATTTTACACGTGGCGATGGTACAGGTGGTAAATCAATTTATGGAGGTTTGTTCAAAATAATACGTAGATCATAATTAATCATAGTTGAAAGATAAATTTTCTGATGAAAATTTTAAATTGCGTCATAGTAAACCTGGTATTTTATCTATGGTTATTAGTAATTGCTATAAAAGCTGCTTAGTAATATGTATTAGGCAAACGCGGGAAAGGATACAAATGGCAGCCAATTTTTTATTACAACAGTAGAAACACCATGGCTTGATGGTAAACATGTGGTATTTGGAGAGGTCATTAATGGTTTTGATGTTGTTAAAAAAATAGAGGATTGTGAAACAACTTATAATGATAAGCCAGAAATTGATATTGTAATTATAAAATCAGGTGAGCTTCATATAAATGAACCTTTTCATAGAGAATTGTAATTATTATGTTTATCATTCTGTTCTATTTTTTTGTAAAAATTATTAGAAATGTTGAATTTTAAAAAAATATTTAATGATATAGCCTGAATTTCAGCTGAATATGTTGTATATTTTTTATTATAAACGTGCTTTTTTTATAATTTATATGAATAAATGATATAAATGTATTTATAATGATATTAACTATAATAAGACAGTATATATGATACAATTTGAATATTTTTAACTTTTCGATAATAACGTATATTTTGTATATTTAAATGAAATAAATATATAGATTATTAAAATATATAAATCATAATAAACATTAATATTTTATGAAAAAAAATATGTTTCTAGCAGTTTGTACGATATATATATATATATATATGTGATATGTTCATTAATTTTTAATATTTTTTTTGTATTTTATTTATCGTTAATTTTTTGATTTTTAACACATACATTATGATTAAAACTTTATAATTTATGGTAATTTGCTTTATAAACAGTTAGTTTAATATGATTAACGAAATGATCTTATTATAAATTTAATAATTATTTCTAGAATATATCATTAAAAAAATTAAATATGGCGAAGACGAAAAGAACAAAATATACATCTATAAAAAGAATGATTAGCTCGCATGATCAAAGACTGTATATTTTTTTTTTTTGATTTCATTTATTAATGTTTACTTTTTTTACTAGAAGTAATTCTAATAAAAATGAAAGTGAATCTGAAATATCAAAAAACGGTTTTATTCATAATATGTAAGAAATTATCTAATGTAAAACATTAATAATAAGATAGTCCTCGAGTTTCTTCATCATTATTCTTTCAATATAATATGTCTTTAGGCCCACCTTATCATATTTTAGTGGATACGTATGATAATATGTTTTTGAATTACTTATTAATAATTTAGAAATTTTATTAATTTTTGTATAAAAAATAAAATAGATATTATAAAGGGAATGATGGATTGTTTATATGCAAAATGCATTCCATATATTACAGATTGCGTTATGGCTGAGCTCGAAAAATTAGGTAGTAAATTTAGAATAGCATTAAGGTTAGTATTTGATTTTTTTGTATATAAACATTGGTAATTATCTAATAGAATTGCTCGTGATCCATGTTTCGAGAGACTGCCTTGTTCTCATTCAGGTAATTATGCTGATAATTGTATAATTTCTAGAATAATACAAAACAATTCATATATCGTTGCTACTAATGATAAAAACCTTAAGGTCCTTATACGTAAAATTCCTGGTGTACCAATTATGTATGTTGGAAATCATAAATTAAAAGTCGAAAGACTAGTAGGTCTTGATTAATTTGATATATATATTATGATTTTTTTATTATGTATTTTTTTTATTATATAAATAATCATTATATATATTTTTAATCAATAGATTTGTAGAATTTAAGAAAAAAAATATTTATGATTATATTTTTAATAGTATTACGTATCTAAAATATTAATATATTTGATGAAATTATACAAATTTGGTCGTTCAAGTTATTAATTTGAGCTTATTAATAAACATTATAGTTTTGTAATTAGTTAATTTTACTATAATTAAATTATTGAATAAATAAAATAATAATAATAATAGTTTTTTAGATATTTAACAGATATAAAAATAATGATATAAAATCTTTTGATAATGAATTATGATTTTAAATTAATATATCATAAATATGTAAAAATATGAATTAAGCTATTAAAAAAGTATAAACGATCTGCATATAAAATCTATAAAATTAAAATCATAATAAAAAAGTACATCATAATGAATATATTGTATTTATAAATTCATTAATATTTTACTAAAAACAATTTTTTGGCTTAAAATATAATCTGTATAGTCCATTTATAGTACCAATTGCAGGTTTTCTTTCATCTCCATTGATTAACATTTTCTCATGTAAATTTTTTAACATTTTTTCTCGTTTGGATAATTCAAACCTTTTATCAGATTTTTTAGAATTAATTATAATGTCAATATTATAACCTTTTTTTAATGATAATATAGCAGTTTTAAGTCGATGGTTTAAGTCATGCTCATCTATATTCCAGTTAATTTGTAAAATTTTTATAATATTCCGACATTTTTCCACTTTCACTTTATTAATATATTTATTTTCTTCTAATCTAAATTATTTTTTTACATAAAATTTATAAATTAATGTCTTAACATACAAATTATTATATGGTAAAGTGTATTTCAATTTATCATTATTAATATCGTCCTTAACTATGTTAGATTCATGTATTTTTTTAGATTCAATATTTTTCAATATCATATTTTGTGTAAATATATTTAATAATTTTGATAAAGTATATATATATCTTTTGATCCCAAAAAAGTATAAAACTTGTATACGTTTAGACATTTGGGTTGATATACACACGCGATATCAATAAAGATTATCTAATTTTTATAATATATTTTATTTTTATAAATGATCGAAAAAAATATATGTTTTATCGATTAATATTTTAATGAAATTAATTATGTTTATATAGCTATTTTTAAAATACATATAATTTAGACAACATAACAAATGAATAAGTAAAATTGAAATGAAAAAATAAAAATTATCATATATTATATGATATATAATTTCTCTAAAAAGTTGTGAATCTATATAAACATAATTATATTTTTATTTGTTACTTATTCATCAATTATATACTTTTTTTTAAAAATATTATATATAAAATTATAGAAATAATATATCATTTCGAGTTATTAATTTTTATTAATTTAAAACAATTTTTTTTTTTTACTAGAAACATTCAATCATAAAAAATCTATTATTTCTTTTCAAAAAAAAATAATAGAAATTGAAATCTAGTATATATTTTTTATTACATAAAATTCTGATACATAGTAACTATATAACATTTAAAATATAATTTAACTATTATATTAAAATACATATATTACATGAACTACTTATTTCACAATTAGTACTAAAAAATATATAAATTCATTAAAATAACCATTATTAAATATATATATTAAGGATAGTATAGTTATATATAGTTTTAGTATTGCATTAATTATAATTTTTAATTTAAAAACAAATTATTATAATATTAAATATTAAGAAAAAATTACGATACAAAACATCTTAACTATAAAAAATTAAAATTAAAATACTTACATATAACTTATAAGGAAAAAATAATGCCATCAGTTTTATCAGAAATTTTAGTAAATATTCAAAAAAATACAGATCATATTAGAAATATATGTTTATTAGCACATGTTGATCATGGAAAGGAAAGAAAATAATTATTATTATATTATTCACATTGTAAAACTAAAAATAGACCACATTAGCTGATAGACTTATTGCTTCTAATCTTATTATTTCGAACAAAATAGCAGGAACTATAAGATATTTGGATAATAGAGATGACGAAATAACAAGAGGAATAACTATGAAGGTATATTTCATAAATAATACTATATATTAGACTAAAATAAAAAGTCTAGTGCAATTTCATTATATGCAAAAATAATAAAAAAAGACGAAACTAGTAAGCTCATTATAGATTTAATAGATAATCCAATACCTAAAATTATTTAAAGATTCAGAATATATGATTAACCTTGTCGATTCACCAGGACATATAGATTTCAATTTTGAAATTTCAGCTGCATCAAGATTATGTGATGGTGCTTTAGTTATTATTGACGTAATCGAAGGTTGTTGTAGTCAAGTATATACCCATTTCGATTTAATATTATATTCATAATTTTTATTTAGACAATATCAATGCTCCGACATGCATGGACAGAAAAACTAAAACCAATATTGATATTTAATAAAATCGACAGATTTATTTTAGAGTTGCATCTTTCTCCAGAAGAAGCATATTCAAATCTACTACAACTATTAAATCATGTCAATACTATTATGAGCACATTTTTTACAGAAGATAATTTAAAAAATCATGAAATTGATGAGCTATTGGAAAATCAAGAGACTAATGATACTAATGATATTGTTACATCACCCTGCGAGAAAACAGATAAAGATTTATATTTTTCTCCAGAAAAAGGAAATGTTATTATCTGTAGTGCTATAGACGGATGGGCATTTAGAATAAATCAATTCTCAGAAATATACGAAAAAAAGCTAGGAATTAAACAATCTATATTAAATAAAGTACTATGGGGATCTTTCTATTTAGATCCAAAAACGAAAGATATTTTGCAGCCAAAAGATTTAAAAGGAAGAAATCTTAAACCAATGTTCGTTAAACTCATATTAGAAAACATATGGACTATATACCATTCAATTATTTTAAATAAGTATAATTAAGTTTTAATAACACTAGCATTTCTTATTCTTTCAATTTAGAGATCAAAATAAAATCGAAAAAATAATCAGTAACCTTGAGCTAAAAATTCCGCACCGGGAAATCATTTCAAAAGATTCTAAATGCCTTCTTGCATCAGTATTTTCTCAATGGCTCCCACTTTCAACATCAGTTATACTTTCTATAATTGATCAAATACCTTCTCCAAGAAAATCTCAAAAACAGCGTCTATCTCATATAATAAAACATAGCCCTAATTTTGACTCGGTACCATCATATATATATAATTCAATTACAGAATGCTCTACTAATGACTTATCACCAGTTATAGGCTATGTTAGTAAATTAATACCTATACCTATTAAAGAGCTCCCTAAAGATAAAAAAACATATGCAAAGTTAGAAAATGAAAAACAAAAAATTCAAATAAAAATTTCGGAAAAAGATTTACCTCTATCTGAAACATATGATTTAGAATCATCATCAGATTATATTTTAGAAGAAAATAATTACAACTCTTCAGAACATACCAAATATTTTGAAAAAAACTGTTTCATAGGTTTTACAAGATTATATAGTGGAATCATAAATATAGGGCAAGAACTATATGTTTTTAAACCAAAATATGATCCAAAAACGCCAGAAAAAAATATATCTAAAATTATAGTTTCTAATTTATATTTACTTATGGGGAAAGAATTAATACAAATTGAAAAGGTTTATGCAGGTAATATATTTGGAATCGGGGGGTTAGAAAAAAGCATTATCAAAAATGGAACCATATCATCTCTACCTATTTGCTATAATTTAGCTAGCATTATAAATGGCGCACCTATTGTTAGAGTAGCTATTGAACCTACATTGCCTTCAGATATGCAAAAACTTATAGAAGGCCTTAAATTACTTAATCAATCAGACCCATGTGTTCAAATACAACATCAAGATTCAGGAGAACATATAATTCTAACAACAGGTGAACTTCATCTTGAAGTAAGTTTTTTCTTATGCATAATATAACGATAAAATTCCATAGAAATGTTTAAAAGACTTGTGTGAGAAATTTTCGAAAATAAATATACATGTTTCAAAACCTATTGTCCCATTTCGAGAAACTATAGTAAAACTAAAAGGTAAAACAACACACATTTTATAATAATTATTAATATATTTATAGATTCAACACTTTTTAAAGAAAATAACGTTCTAAAAGGCATAGTAGAAGTTTCAGTACCTTTAACTAATATAAAAATAAAACTTAGAGTTTATCCTTTACCTAAGGATATTACAGAATATATATATTCATTTTCGAAAATCATAAAAGAGGCATATCTATACATTGAAACTGCAGATTCATCAATTACTAATCACCTAGACACGAATTCATCTAATAATTTCAAATTAGATAGTTTTAAGAAACAATTGATTGAAAAATTCAATTCAACAAAAAAAACAGATATAGACTGGACAAAAGTATATGAGAGGTTATTTTCAAAAAAATTTTAAGTCTTATTTAACAATATTACAGAATTGTTGCATTCGGTCCTAATAAAACTGGACCAAACATATTGATAGATAATACAGGAAAATTAAGAAAGTTGTTAGTTTTATAAGTATATTTGAAAATATAAGCTAAATATATATAGATTTATTAATAACTCATTTATAGCAAAAAATTCAGATATTAACAATGATTTACAAAGTTTATCATTCAATGAAATAGAAAAGCACATTAACACAGGATTCCAATTATCTGTATTACAAGGCCCATTAGCAGAAGAACCAATGCATGGTGTTTCTATATTTATTGAAGATATTGAATTTGAAAACATCAATATTAATCATAAATTAAAAATAGAACAAATTACTAGTCATTTAATATCATCATTCAAGGATGGGATTAAGCAAGGATTTTTAGACTGGTCTCCACGCTTAATGCTTTCTATGTATGCATGTGATATTCAAACACCTAGTATGTATTTTTTTATATTTAAGGAAATAATTTATAATTTTAATAACCAGGTAATGTTTTGGGAAAAATCCATGCAATTATTTCTAAAAGAAGAGGACGTATTGTTTCTCAAGAATTAAGAGGAACTTTATATCTAATAAAAGCTTTATTACCTATTGTGGAATCGTTTGGTTTTTCAAAAGATATACGAAAAAAAACATCTGGTGCAGCCAATCCACAGTTAATTTTCAGTGGATTTGAAATTTTAGACCAGGATCCATTTTGGATATCTGGAGCTAAAGATCTAGAAGACACAGAAAATAATAAAAATAAGGAAAATATATCCCAAAAATACATAAATGACATAAGAAAAAGAAAGGTAATTATCTAGCACTTTTTTTTTAATTAATTCAATTTATAATATTAGGGACTTTTCATAAATCAAAAAATAATCTTTCGTGCAGAGAAACAAAGAACACTTAAACGATAAAAAATAAATTTATATACTAAAAATAAGCGGTTTAGCTTAATTAACAATATTTATTACAAAAATCAGATATTTTTTAAAAATTACAGGAACTTCATCAGAAAGAATATCTAAATAGACTAAAATAATTCAATTGAACCAATTTTTACTAAATTTATCATATAAACTGAAATTAATAAAACATATTAGAATTTATTAAGCCATTTAACTAGAATAATACATTTTTCTTAAATAACATCAAAGACTCTATTTTATTTAAAGCTAGTTTCAAAAGTGCTTTCTTTTCCTGCAAATCAAATTGTTTTTTAATTTCAAAATTCTCATTAGCAATTTTTTCTAGTTGCTCTGATGTTAAATTATAAATAAGTCTATTATCAAGATCTCGCGGAAACTATAATTTATGTTAAACTATAAATTATAGAAATCACATATATCTACCTGATGTACAAATTCAGAAAACAATTCAGCATCAAGAAAAGGAACTGAAATATCAACCAATTTCTTCACAACAATTTCCAAAAAAATTTCAGGACAATAATATTTATTAACGACACTTTTGCATTTTTCTGATTTCACAAATTTTAGTCTTTTACTTAAAATATTTTCCCTATTATTTAAAAAAATTGCTTGTTGACCTAAAATACATAATTATACATTAAAGATAAAAAAATTCGTTTAAACCTTTTTCTATTAAAGATTTACTATATTCTATAGTATCATAATCATTTTTCCCAGTAACAATTAAATTAACAATTTTTTCTATTTTCTTACTCCCTATAGTTTCTTTAAGCTTTCTAAAAGCGTCTCGACACATTTTTATTTCTTTTTTTAAAATTTCTTGAGAACGTTTTCTTCCTAATTCCCATTCATCCTCATCAACATCAATTTCATATTTATATGGTTTTATAGAGTTTTCAACTTGTTCAACAGTACTGTGGTATTTTTCTTTTAAAATATCTTGAGTTAATTGAACAATACATTGTTTTACATATGGATGAACCTTAAATTGATTTTCTTGAGATATTTTTTCCATTTCAGAAGCAATGATAGATGTCAATAAATCAGTAACAAGACGCCCTACACCCAATTTTGTAAGAGATGATATAGATGTATCTAATTTATGTTTCCAATATGCGTCATCAAAAGACTTTTTTGGAGAATTACAGATTGATTGATCTAACCAATATCTCTCTGCTAACAAGTTTAAAACCTTCTGGTTTAAAATATCTTTTAATATCAATCGAATTTGAGACTTTCCAAAATTTTCAACAAACTTTTTAAAGCGATACTTTAAAATATCTACTAATTCGGCCATATAAACTTCTTGAGTAAGAAATCGATCATTATATTCAACTTTAAGTTGATATGATACATGCTCTAATTCCAATCTAATAATTCCATATATATTTTGTAAATTTTGTACCATTGAATCTTCAAGTATTTGTACAAGTTTTTTTTTCAAGGTGGCCACTCCAACAAAACAATCATTATTGCTAAATTCACGAAAACTAGAGAAATATTCTTTCTCATTTTTATCTATTAAATCAGAAACATTGATATTTTTATCAAGAAAAGATTGGGAAAACTTAGAAATTACTCCAACATAACCAAGATTAAGAGGATAATTCATATCTTTTAATATGCTAAATCCCCTCTCTGGGGTAACAAGATCCATTTTAGTCACTACACCAATAGTTCTAATACCATGGGGATCAACTTTACGACTAGCATGTAATGCTACTGAGTTTGCAAGATCAACATCTGCTGAAGAAACAGCAAGAATAATATTAGGCTCTTGAATATATTTTTCACATAATGCTATAATTCTATCTTTTAAGGATGAAGGCTGATCTTTACTTTGGATTTGAATATACCCAGGTAAATCTATAAAAGTAAGATCCGGAACATTTGGTGAAAATATATTTAATCTAATAGGTTCATCAGAAATATAATCATTTTCTGATACAGAATAATTTAATTCAGTGATTATTTCTTGAATCTGATCAAAACTGACTTTTTTTTGTTCTAAATCAGGAAATTCACCATACTCATCAGTTTCAAATGTATGAACTAAGGTTAGCTCAATAGGTCTTCTAGTAACCATATCTGTTCCTCTAAAAAATCAAATTTATTAAATAATATTTAATTTCTAAAATATACTTAGGTAAAAATTCACGGCCTATAATAGCTTCAAGTACAGAACTTTTACCAGAACTTTGAGAACCAATTACCACTATGTTTGGTAATGCTATTTTTTCATTTTGTTTTATTTGTTGCAATATATTTCTTATTTCAATCAATCCTTTAGTTAATAACATTGTTTGACTATTATTAGAAGTATTATGTAACGTGCAAATTTCGCCATTCCTCTTTTGGTTAAGATTTAATGAAAAAAAACTAGATAACATAATATCATATAGTTCTGATATACTATGACTATTTAGACAATTATTATTATATTAATAAAAATCATACAAACTATCTTCTCTTAGAAGAGAACATTTCAAAAATGATTTTTTAAAAATAAAAGCTCCAATTTTTGATAAAAAAATATCTTGTTTAATACACTCCAAAATAGTTTTAAAGAAAATTATATAATAATTAAACATGTTATTAAAATAAGATTTTAAAACTAAAACACTTTATAAAAAGAAATAATAATTATTTTATATACCTTCAATTTTATAATTTAGATAATTGATTCCTCCAAAAAATAGCAAACCTCCTACAATAAAAATCTTTAAAATTTTATAAACGGTTTTCGAAATCAATGAAAAAGTTGCAATCTTAAAAATAGAAACACATTGAGGACCGTTCAATACATTATTAAATCCCTTTATTAGCCTTTGTTTTATATTTTTATTCATAAAAGGTTGAGTTACAAAAAATCTTTTACATTCATTTGTTTTACAACAGTTTTTTCTTAGAAATTTCCATGAAATATTAGAAGTCAATGTATATCTTCTGACAAATATCTTCAAAATTGCAACCATTAAAAAAATATTACATTTTTTATTATCGATAAACAAAAGTTTATCGATAAACAAGATAAATATTTATAAATTAGCAAAATATAAAATATTTAAACACTAAAAAAAATAATTAAGAAATCTATGCATTTAATAAATCAAATATGATTCGACTATATATTTTTTTAAAATAATAATTTTATAAAATAACATTAAAAATTATAATTTTTGTTACATTTTATATAGAAAATCAAAACATTATCTATAAAAAAACTTTTATAAAAATCAAATAAAAATATCAATCACACTAATTATTAATTCAAAATAATTATCAGGAATTTAATATTTTGAAATACTACTTAAAAGATATAAAAAATTGTATACATTTTTTTTAAATAACTATCATATACCAATCTTGCATTTAATCTAATAATGTTTAGAACTACAAACTTTTATTATATTATTTTCAAAAAAAAAAACTTGAAGATATATGTAATATTTTATAATTTTCTTAAAGATAATTTATTTTCTTTGAATAAAAACTAAAATTAAAAATTCAAATCTTAATTATATCAACTCTAACTCTTTCAGATATATTATGAGGAATCATTATATCATTTGGATCAATATCATTTGATTCAACTTCTCCTAAATCCCGAGGTTTTATATATATAATAGCATAACTCCCAAAATCATGTTTTTTAGCCAAATAACCTGGGTTTAAAACAACAGTATTACAAACAACCTATAATTAATTAATTTAAACATAAAAAACCTTAATTCACTTTAGAAAAATACTGAAGATCACTGGGTAATATTAAAATATCAGGCAATACATGAGAAATTCCTCCTAATTCTATAGAAGCAATATCTAAATTTGCTCCACTAATAGAAGGCTCATATGCTGTACCAGGAAACAATGGATAAAAATGTCTTTGTTGTAATACATGATATGATAATCGTGCTAAGGTATTTGAATATAAAGGAGATCTTATAGTTTAACAGATAAAAATAAACATTAATTTACTTACTTAATAATTTCAGATTTAGATAAAGACATAAGAATATCATTTGAACTAACGCCAATAATAACTTCATTTAAAGAAAACATAGCAGGATTAGGTATGCATTTTACATTCTACTAAGTTTAAAAAACTTAAATCGTTATCCTGAAAAAATTACCTTTCCTAATCCTAAAGATCTTTTATTGAAACAATCTTGAGGCCATGCAGCATGCCTACAACAAGCATCTTGAATATGAGGAACAATAACTATTAAGCAATTCAATTTCATAATCTTAGAACTGATGTAATGTTTAAACAAATCATCTAATGAACCTATATCATCTTTTAAAGACATATTAAAATTCCCAGTAGAAATCAAAGGATGTCTTAAATCCAAAAATGGCCCTATCTATTAAAAATTAATAAAATTTAATAAAATCCAAACATACTAAAATAACAACATCTGGACTCATTTCTTCTATTTTATTACATAACTCAATAAATGGCTCATATAAGATGTTATCATCAACTGTATATGGACCAGCAGCAACAAATATTTTTTGAGGAATACCATTTAATGGAGTATTATACTTCTTAAAATCAAATAAACTAGTAACAGGAAAAGGTAAGAGAGGTAGCATTAAAAACTCATGAACAGAAAAATAAACACCAGTAGAGTTAATTCCTTTAACTCCCAATATTTGACCCGGAAAAAGAGAGTAACTATCAAGACTATCAATATGCAATAAAACACGACTACCTGAACAGAATCTACGAGAAGTCTCCAGAATTATAGAAGTAGTATTCAAATAACCTTCAGAATCAGAATCACATATAATTCTTCCTACAACTATTATTTCATTCTAACAAACTTAGAATAAGCATAAATATAAATAAATAAACATAAATATATACATGTGATACATAAGAAGGATTCCCAAAATCATTTTCAGAAAGATCATAATACTTAATTAACTCATCAGTAAACGTATCAATTTTATCATCAAGAACTAAATATATTAAAAACTAATAATTATAAATATATATAACCTTCTGAAATCTCTGATAACTTTTGATACATTGTTTTAAAAGAATATTTCTTTGGGTCAAAATTAGCAGTAAAAAATATTTTCCTCTGTTTTTCTTAAATCTACTTAACATAAATACATCAATATTGAAAAAATCAAACCATTTATATAATTAGTATCATTAAAAAGAATATGTGAATTAAGAGTCTCCATAATTTCCCCAGAATTTATAAAGTTGGAAGTGAAACCAGCCAATATACGATTATCATTTTCCATAGAAACTAAAGATTTGTCATCTAAAGAATTATGAAAAAATTCATTTAATAACTAAAAAACTCTTACATACCCAAAATTGAAGAATTATGTATTTTTTTTGAATTTTGAGAGGTATTAGGTATAATATTTGAAAGACTATTATTAAAAATTTTAAAAATATAGGATTTAAAGCCTACATATTATCAAATTCCAAAGCTTTACTGGACAAACTTGAAGAAAAATGAAGATTATTATAATTCTACAATTAAATTAAGCATATAAATATATTAAAAATATTATCATTACTTTATTTTGAGCTAACCGTTTTGTCTTTAAATTACTTTTTTTTTCAAGCATACATTGCATATCTTGCTTAAAAAGTAGAATATTTTCAAGTATCAATTCTGGTTCATTACCCATTTTTAAACACCAGGACTCCCATCTGTAAAAAAGCTCTATTGCAGAAATTGAATGAAGTTTTAGTATAGACAAACATTCCATCAAGACTTCAGGCCTATTTTTAATAGCACTTCCAAAATAATGAGAAAGTTCATCCTTTAAAAAAGTATCTGTATTTACATGTGACATTTTTCTAAAAACTACGAATTAAATTATTATTTAAAACATTTTAAATATTCAAAAATAATTTTTATACTTCCTAACAAAAAGATAAATCGCTTTTATCAAAACGATATTTAAAAATACAAAAAATATTATTTTAAAAATATTAATGATTAAGAAAAAAAACAGAGGTAAATTACGACAACAAAAGAAAATCATCCATAAACCATTTTCTAGCTTTGCTTTTACCGACTAATATTCCAAAATTACAAAACTTAATAAAAAAAGACCCAAAATCTTATAAAGAAGATTTTTTCATACAATGGAGACATTATGAAGCAATGAGAGATATTTTCATAGAAAACACAAATGAAAAAAGTGAGGATTTTTTAAATCTTATTATATTCATATCTCAAGTAAAAATCCTCCTAAAATTTTTATTTTTAATTTTTTACAATAGATGTGCTCATGCTTTCCTAAAGAAACAGAGAAATTTCCAAACGATATGGTTACATTATTATTGAATTTCAAAAATAATCTACATAGTGAAACCAAGGAAAAGATTATCCAGGCTCTAATTCTTTTAAGAAATAAAAATATAATATCTTCCGCTTATTTACTTAAAATTATTTTTGCAGTTTTATCTTCATCTAATACTAAATCACTTCATATGCGGATATTTACAATAATCTTATCAGAGATAAAAAATGCAAATCTTAAATCATGCAATAATAAAATAAATAAAATGGGAAAAACAATTTTATATGAAACAATTCAGAAAAATAAAGATGAATCGTTTTTTGGATTCTGGGCAGTCAAACTCTGCCAAAAATTATGGAATTTAAAAATATGGAATGATACGTTTACAGTAGAAATTATGAAGGAAGCTGTATTACACCCTAATACCAAAATAATGATAGCAGCAATCAATTTTTTTCTTAATGTCGATAATTCATCAGATGACAGTGACAATAGTGAAGAAAATAACCAAAAAAATATAAATAATAAACACAGGCTATCCATAAATAAAAAAAATAAAAAAAGAATGAGAAAGATTTCAAAGATTAATGTAAAAAAGGTTTATATTTATAAAAGTAAAAATCATTCCTATCTGAAAAATCATAGAAACAGAATAAAAATAAAAAAAAAATTCTACAAAATTTTAGTGCTATTGAACTATTACAAGATCCTCAAGGATTTGCAGAAAAAATATTTTCCAAATATTTTTCAAAAAAAAATTCGCATCTTATTTTAAAACATAAATTACTATTATTACAGCTCTTATCTAATTTAATTAATACACACAAGCTTAATATTTTAGGAATATACACTCTTTTATTAAAATACCTCAATCCAAATCAAAAAAACATTACACATTTTATTATATGTACTGCTCAAGCTTGTCACGATCTTATTCCTCTAGATGATATTGAACCTATAATTGAAAAAATAGCAACAGAATTTGTTATTGATAGTGTTTCACCGGAAATAGTAGCTTTAGGGTAAATATCAATTTTATATTTGATATTATAAACACTAATTCATATTGAGATTAAACGGTATAAGAGCTATTTGTTCTAAGCAACCTTTGGCAATGAGGAAAGAACTTCTTCAAAGTTTTTCAAAGTACAAGAAAAGTAAATATAAAGATGTAATGTTAGCTGCTAGAAGTTTGATAAAATTATATCGTGATCTTGCTCCAGAATTGCTCGAAAAGAAAGATAGAGGAAAAATGACTAATATATCTCTAAATAAAAGAAAATCTTTAAAGTTTGGGGAGGAACGAGATATTCAGGAAAGTATTGAAGGACTAAAAATGTTGGGAGAATGGATAAAAAAAAGCAAATATAACATAAATAACTATAATGAAAATAGGAAAAATAACATAAAAGAGCAATTAGATAAAAAAAATATAATTATATATACAGGAGAACAAGTTAATACTGGTAATAATATTATTTTAAATAAAAAAATAATTTTGATAAATTTTCAGAAACAAAGCTATCAAAATATACAGATGATAATGAAGAAATATCTAAAAATAGTTTCCGGAAGATAGCAATTAAGGAAAATACTAATAACCCTCATGATTTAGCTATTTCTATGGTTTTTTCTCCCCTCTTAAAAATACAATTAATAACTAATATAAAGATTTTTACTCCTGATTTTTCGAAACTTCAAGAACTTAAAGAACAAAAAAATATATCAATCAATAAAAACCAAAATCTATTAAAGTATTCTACTAATATTATATAAACCTTTTTCTAAACAATTATAGGAGAAAAATTACGCATGATATAGATAATAATAATAATAGTGAGAGGTATTATAAAAAAAATAGACATGAAGAAAATACAAACATTGAAAAGAGTCAAAAAAATAAAACAAAATTTATATCTAAAAAAACAGAACAAGCAAAAATAAGTCATTCTACTACAAATAAAGAAAAATCACGTAGAAAAAATTTTATGATGTTTATACATAAAAAATTAACTCAAAAGAACAAGCGAAAATTAATAGATAAGCAAATATCAAAAAAACATAACCCCAAGAAGAAATATATATATTAATTTTAAAAATTCAAACTAAATTTAACCATTTAAAAAGTATAAATTCTATAATTAACAATGCATAAATTTTAAAAATATAGTATTATATATCTAAAATTATTATTATTTCTTAAAAAACTCCTTTTATTTTTGCCATAAAAGCCTAGATATATAATTTCTCAATAATTTCTAAAAAAGCATTTTAAAACAATATACTATTTTTTTTAAATGAGATTTAATTTAGCATAAAATTTTAAATAACCTAAAAAACAATTTCTATCAAAATTCAAAAATTTAATGGATAAAGAAATCGCCATCACAGAACTTGTTCATAAATTCAAACTAAATGGAAAATTTGATTCTTTAAGAAAGGAAATCTTAACAATATATAAGAATTCAGTAGTTTTGATCTATTAAATTTCATCACTCTAAATTAAGTAGAATACTGGATTACAACTTAAATCTAAACTTGAAGAAATAATTAGAAAAGAAATAGACAATAATCACACATTATTTACTCAAGATCGTGGAAAGACTGTTATAATGATTGGCAATATAATTGATAAGTGAGTTATCTAAAATCTTATATGCTTAATTCATTTTTTTTATAGAAGCGAGGTTTATAATCATGCAAGAGAATTAATGAATGACACTATATTTATGAACAAAGAATTTCGAACAAGAGTAAATATCATTATGCAGGAAATTAAAAATGATCTTGAAAAAACAACAGAAAAAAGAAATACTTAGTATGGAATAAATTAATCATTCACATAAAAAAGGTAGACAATTAATCCAGAAAAAATATAGATAAGACAAAAAAGAATAATGAAATATCGTAACTTATTATGATAATTTAATAACTCAATATTCTAATATACAAGCTATAATTTCAAACCTATTTTTTATTATATTATATTATCAATGAACCATTATTAGAAATTTGTAAAGTAGTTTTTATATATTAAATCCTTTCACTTAGATTATAGTAACAAAAGCAATATTGTTTTGAATCAAACATATTATTTTATATCGAGTACATATTTAAACATTTTTGAAATAGGAATTTATTTCATAGTCAGTAATTAAAACAAATTTCCTTAAAACTTTTAACGAACATTTTACATCATTTTGAAAAATTATGATGCTAACTTTTAACTTTAGTATATTATTAAAAATGTTTTATTCAAAATAAACTTCAACTGATTATTATAAAAAAATAGAACCTAAATATATACAGATATATAAGCTTTGTTAAAAAACCAGAGTTTATTAAAATTGTACAAAATTATTTTTAAACATTAGTCTTCTAGGGAATTTCTACATTTTCTAACAATCATAATACTTTATTTTATACAAATATAACAGATCTTTAAGATATTCATAGACTATTAAAAATATTATACATATATTAAATAATATAATATAAATTGTATATAATAATAGAATTTATAATTCCTAAGAATTGAGAATTAATTATTAAAAAAAGCAATTCTAATTAATAATAAATATATGATACCCTAACATTAAAAATCCAAAATTTAAAGCTTCAAATATCAGTATTTAAATTTATGGAATTAATAATAAAAAAATTAACTAAAATCAATATATTGTCATATTATTTCAATACAATGTATTTAATCAAAGAATATTTTAAACACCTTAAAACATTTGATATAAAAGGAACATAAATATTTCAAATTAAAATTAATATTCATTTTTAGTGTGTTAAATATCTTGTATATTTTCTAATAAAATTTTATATATTATTATATAATATAAACTTCAATAAATTCTTAAAAAAAATATCAGATTATTTTATATTTTTAATTAAATATTAATTCTTATTATTACAGAATTAACAATCGAGTTTCTTTTATATTTTATTTTCCCGTAAATTAATATAAAAAGTTTATTTTATCAATTAGACAAATGTAAATGTAAGCTTCAAAAAAAAAGTGAAAACTATTAAATTTCAAACATTATATTAATATTAAAGAACGACTTAAAACTTTTTATACTTAAATTCAAACATAATAAAATTTACTAAAAAGAATCAATATAAAAAGTATTTTCCAACATTTGAATTATAATTTATGAATTATATCATAAAAGCAAATTCTAAGAAAAAATATCACCTTTAATTTTCGAAATACAATCATAATCAAATATAGCTCTGAAAAAATCAATGATTACTTTTCAATATTCAAAAGAACAAAAACTAATTTTTTTAAAAACTTTATGACTAAACCTACTGTAATTATATATTAAAAAAATAACAATTTTGGATTATAAAAAGTTATTAAAAACATTATTTAATTTACTATTAAAATATGAATACGAAATATAAAAAATCAATTTTATGAAAAGAAGTTTCGAAAAAAAATCAAAAATACAAAATAATTTTTACATATAAAACAAATATAAACCATAATTTTATAAAAAAATAAATGCGAAATTCATTTCAGAAAAGATTATTTAGTAATTCTAGAAAAGCATACTTTTATATTAAAGAAAGTTCAAATGGATTAAAAAATGTAACTAGTACATCTAAAATACATAGCTATACCAATATTATATAGGAACATTTAGAATTAAACAAATCATTCATTCTATCTAACGGAGTTCGTATTGTCTCTAAGGCTATTCCTGGGCATTTCTCTACTCTTGGAGTATATATTGACGCAGGTTCAAGATATGAATACGATTATATTAGAGGAGCAAGTCATTTTATTGATAGACTTTCATTTAAGGTTAGAAATTATCTTATTGAGCATTGAATCTCACTAAAAAAGGCAACAAAAAACAGAAGCGCAGAAAATATGATAAATAGTCTTGAATCTTTAGGAGGAAATTTCATGTGTTCATCGTCTAGAGAATCATTGATGTACCAAACGGCAGTTTTTAATAATGATGTAGAAAATATGATCGAATTGTTATCAGAAACCGTTCTTGATCCAATTATTACTGAAGAGGATTTAGAAGAGCAAAAACTTACAATACAGTACGAAATTAATGAAATAACATCTAAGCCTGAATTAATACTTCCGGAAATGGTCCATATCACTGCTTACAAAAATAATACTTTGGGAAACCCCTTATTATGTCCAAAAGAAAGACTTCCTTTCATTTCTCTTTCAACTATTTCTAAATATCGAAGTCTATTTTATCGTCCAGAACGTATGATTGTTGCATTTGTAGGAGTTGAACATAATAAGGCTAGAGATTTAGCAGAAAAATATTTTGGAGACTTTAAAAATAATGATACGTCTTTCAGTTCTTTTACCCTACAAGATAAATCATTAAAATTGCCATTTCAAGAAAAGCAATTTCCAGAAGGTATATTTATTTACACCATCTTTATTTTATAATAATTCAGAAAGAAATGTTTTTGCCTGCACATTATACAGGGGGAATAATGAATATACCTTTGTCAAAACCAGATCAAGAATTTACTCATATCTATATTGCTTTTGAAGGCATACCTCTTTCAGATCCTGATATTTATGCATTAGCAACTCTTCAAATTCTTTTAGGAGGAGGAGGATCTTTTAGTGCCGGAGGTCCTGGTAAAGGAATGTATTCAAGACTTTTCTTAAACATATTAAATCAATATGGATGGATAGAAAGTTGCACATCATTTAATCACAGTTACACTGATTCAGGGATTTTTGGAATATCTGCAAGTAAGCTTTTGTTTTTTTATACTATTATTTTAATTATAAAGGTTGTAGACATGACGCTGTTCATGCACTAATTAATGTTATTTGTCAAGAATTGGCATTTACTATGCAAAAAGGACGGAAGGGTATAAATAAAATTGAAGTAGAAAGAGCAAAAAATCAATTAAGGAGTTCACTTATGATGAATCTAGAAAGTAAAATGATTATCTTAGAAGATTTAGGAAGACAAGCTCAAACTATGAATGAAAAAAAGATGACTGCGCAAGAAATGTGTGACAAAATATCGTCATTAACAGTCAATGATTTACAAAAAATTGCAGAAAAAGTTTTTACAGGTTTAGTAAAAAATAAAGGCCAAGGAACTGGGCAGCCTACAATTGTAACTCAAGGAAAAGGTGAAAAAGTTAGTAATGCAAGTGATATTATAAAACGCTATGGATTAGGAAAATAAATACTAAATGTTTTTCCCTTAAATTTCCAAGTGATATGCATGTTTTCCATATTCTACTAGTTCTTTAAAGCATTTTTTACTAATCTTACTGTTTAAAACCATTAATTTAAATATAATATTTAAAATATAAAATCTACGAAATCAATTTTAAAAATTATAAAATATTAAAAATAATATAAAAATATAAAATACATAATGGGAATTTATACGTATTAAAGATATTGCAAAATCTATTATGTAATGAAGATATTTAGCACTTTTCTAATAACTAAATGTAGCAAAAAATACACGAAATTAAAAAAAAATTATTATAATTTAGAACAAATATTCAAATTAAATACCATAAAAAAAACATTTTTTTCCATATATTTGAAAAATACTCAAAGAGAAAACTTAGAAATAACTAACAACACAATAGAATACCAGAATAAAGACAAGATAAAGAAAAGATTTAATGAACTTGGGATACAGCATATTAGTTCATCTTTACATTCACAACTTTTTCCTCATGAAACAAAGCAACCTGATGATGAATTAATCGAACTTTCTCGAAAGCATTTAACTGAGCATAATTTATTAGGAAGAAATACAGAACCTACTGAAGATATTGAGTTTGATCTTCCACCTTTACAAGGGAAAAATTTAGATGAGCATTTCTATAGAATAGCAATGGAAATTTCAGAGCCCTATTTAAGTTACTCGAAAGAATTTGCTTCAATAACTTTACCAGCTAAACCACATTCTTGGATCATAAGATCAGGTTGGACACAATATAACCTTGATGGAACTACAAAACCTGTAGAATATCCTAGTGAGAAATCTATGGTATTTGATGTGGAAGTATTATATAAAGACAATCCCTTTGCAGTTATTGCATGTGCAGCTGCAGAGAATGCTTGGTATGCATGGTTATCTCCATGGCTTATTGAAGAAACAGAATCACCTAGACAACTTATTCCTATAGGAAATATTGGGAAACGAATAATTATTGGACATAATATCGGATATGATAGGACTCGAACAAAAGAAGAATACAGTATAAAAAAGAAAGAAAATGCATTTATAGATACCATGTCTTTACATATTGCAGTAAATGGAATGTGCTCCAGGCAAAGATCTGTCTGGATGAAACATAAAAAATACAAAGAACTTAAAGAAAAATTTCAGAAAGAGTCATTAACACCAACACTTATTGAATTATTAGAGCAATTAGAAGAAAATGATACTCAAGAATTATGGATGTCTAAAAGCTCAGATAATAGCCTTCAAGAAGTAGCAAAGCTTCATTGCAATATTAAACCAAATAAATATATTAGAAATTTATTCGAGAAACTTGATAAAAAAAGTGTTCGAAATCAACTCAATATGTTCATAAACTATTGTGCTAACGATGTAGATATTACTCATAAAGTTTATAAAAACGTTTTCCCATCGTTTTTAGAAGTTTGTCCTCATCCTGCAAGTTTTGGAGCTCTTCTAAAAATATCTTCATCATTTCTTCCAGTCGATAAATCCTGGAAATCATATACAGCTAAATCTGAGGAAATATTCCAGAATTTTTCGAAATCCATTCATGAAAGACTTGTAAAACTAATAAATAACTCACTGAATCAAAAAAACAAGGATACAATAAAGAACGATCCATGGTTAAAACAATTAGATTGGTCCGTTAAACCTATACGAATGGTAATAGATAAAAAGACAGGCGAGAAAAGACCGGCAAAAAAACAAAAAAAGCCAGGATTTCCAAACTGGTATAAAAATCTATTTCCATCAAATGACAAAGCAATAAATATTACAGTACGATCTAGAATTGCACCATTACTATTACGGCTGAATTGGGAAGGACATCCATTATTCTGGTCTAATAATTACGGATGGACTTTTCGAGTTGAAAATAAAGAAACTATAAAAAATTTTGTCTCAAGAAACTTTGTTTTATGTGATATGAAAAAAGAACCAATTGATATTTTAAGAGATGATGTGGATGCTGTTTATTTCAAAATCCCAAACAAAAACGGCCCGTTTTCTCGCTGTGGTTCACCTTTATCTAAAAGTTATATAAAGGCTTTTGAAGATGGCTTATTAAGCTCAGAAATTTCATATGCTAGAGAAGCTTTAGATATGAATGCAGCATGTTCATATTGGATTAGTTCTCGAGAAAGGATTATGTCCCAAATAGTAGTCTGGGATAACGAAATAGATATTGGACTTAATAGTCAAAACAGTTTAGGAATAATTCTTCCTCAAATAATTCCTATGGGAACTATCACTAGACGCGCAGTAGAAAATACTTGGTTAACAGCTAGCAATATAAAAGAAAACAGAGTAGGTTCTGAGTTAAAAGCGATGATAAGAGCTCCATATGGATTCAAATTTGTTGGTGCAGATGTTGAGTAAGCCTTATTCTTTATTGTTTATATATTTACATCCCTAGCTCAGAAGAATTATGGATTGCTAGTCTTTTTGGTGATTCTCAATTCAGAATACATGGGGCTACAGCAATTGGATGGATGACTCTGGAAGGAACAAAATCAGCAGAAACGGATATGCATTCCATTACAGCAAAAATACTCGGAATATCGAGAGATGACGCTAAAGTATTTTCTATTAGAAATAGTATATCGTAATATTAATTTTCCAAGGTCTTCAATTATAGTCGAATATACGGCGCAGGTATTCGTTTTGCAATTCAATTATTACAAAGATTTAATCCAAAATTAAGTGAGAAGCAGGCTAAAGAAATAGCAGAAAAGCTTTACAATTCCACAAAAGGAAGAAAATCAAAAATTACTCATATTTTTTCTAAAGAAAACGATAAGAAAAAATCATCTACTTTAAAACGATATGTTCGGAAACAGTTTTGGCATGGAGGTACAGAAAGCTATGTTTTCAATATGTTAGAAGAAATTGCAAACCAAGAGATTCCTCAAACACCAGTATTAGGTTGTTCTATAACAAAGGCATTATTACTTAAAAATATTACTCCAGGAAGATTTATGACATCAAGAATAAATTGGGCAATTCAATCTTCTGGAGTAGATTACCTCCATTTATTAATCATTTCAATGGAATATTTAATAGAAAGATATAAAATTAATGCAAGACTGGTTTTAACAGTACATGATGAAATTCGTTATTTAGTGCATGAAGAAGATAAATATATTTTAGCTCTTGCTTTGCAAATCAGCAATCTTTGGACAAGAGCAATATTTAGTCAAAAACTTGGAATTAATGATGTTCCACAGGTATTTTATTTATTTGTTTAGAATACTATATTAATAAAACAAGTCATGTGCATTTTTTTCTAGTATAGATATAGATCATGTATTAAGAAAAGAAACAAATATGGATTGTATAACACCTTCAAATCCCGAAAAAATCCCGCATGGCGAATCATTAAACATTTATCAACTTCTAAAGAAATTATCTATTCAAAAACATTTTCTAAAAAGGGGAACTCCTTCTTCAACTATTTTATCTTGGAACTATATAGAAAAGAAAACATTGTCTAACATTAATGAAAAAAACATATTATGGCTTAAAGCTCAAGCCATTAAAGATTCTAAGGAATTTGAAAAATTAGCATCTAATTAAAAACAATCTATAAACCAATAATCAAAAATAAAAAGATTTCATTTTATGAATTAAATAATTAGCAGATACATAATACAAGCATACACAGATTCCATGTCATTTCTAAAATCCATATATTTATTTAAGCTTTATAATTTTTTGTTAATAAAGATATATCCACTATTTAGAAGTATGCTGCCCATCCTAGATTTATAAGACTAATATACCCAAAATATATACTCTAACCACAAAACAGTAATGCAAGATTATTTGGATTTGTAGCTTCATGTATTAGTTCATTTACTGCAGCCTCAACGCTCAATGTCTTCGATAATTTCTGAGATACTATTAATAATGCTCTTTCTGCTTCAGTTCCATCAATGCTATTCTCTTTTAGATTATTAAAATCATTATCAATATTATTAAGTAATGTTTCATTTTCCTGTATTTTTTTAATTCTTAAAGGAGATATTGTCCTGTATATATAAATATCCTATATTTTATAAATATAATTCCAAATACCAACTGTACAATGAATCATATTTTAAAGTTTCCAATATACTAATAATATTAAATGCTTCTTCACGAAGCACATTTAACGTGAATTCACAACATCTTCGAAAAACGCCTTCTGTTCGTATAATACCCATGCCATCTACAATATCTCTTGTTAAACGAAACGGCACAGTTTCTGGAATTGGCAAAAGTTTGCCCTAATTAATTATTTAAATCTGATATATTAAAATATAACAATTATAATACCTGATCAAAAGCAACACCTAAATCTATATGAACGACTTCTCCGCTTGTCTTATCTATTAATATATTATGCCCATGTCTGTCACCAAGACCTAATACATAACCAAGTATCGAAATAACAGCAGTACTTCTTGTATAATTTAATTGCTTTTGAAACCAGTCTTTAGGATCTGAATAATGATCCATAAAAAAATGCCTCATAACAGGTTTAAAATGAGAAACAACTCTATTATATATCTGAAATCTAATTTCCTTACTTTTTTTCGAAACACAATCTATTGCCTTCCTACATTGGTCAGGAGTCCAATCTTTTGGATTATATTTTTCATGAGCAGGATGTAAATAATCTTGAATAGGAAACGTATATAAAACCCATTCAAGAATGCCAGCATTTGTTGTAAGTGGAAGAACTTTATATGTACGTATACCCAAATTCCTCTGTCTAGTTAAACGATTCTTTTGAAGAAAAGCATGAACTTGTTGAAAAACCTGTTCCATAATAGCATCCTGACGAAGGTCATCATTTCCTCCCTTAACCTAAAGCCAATATTAGCAAGAAAAAACTAAATTTTATCAATAGTTACTAATTCTTTATAAAAATTCCCATCAGAGCTCACACATTCTATAACTTTTGGTAAACTAATACCTGAAGCAAGCATAAAATAAGGAGAATAATGTGAAATAACAGGAACATCATTATAATTACAGTCACTACGGATTGATATATCCATTGTTGGAGGAGGAAGCCTGTATTTTGGAATATCATCCAAAAATACATTAAACTTAGGATATACAGAAAAAGGAATTTTACTTGTTCCATATTCCTTTTTTTTCATTTTATAAATAGCAAAATCAGCATACGCAGAGCAAAGATTCATAAACTGTCTAAGCATATCTCCTAAAGCACTAGGTAATAAAAGCTCAGATAAAACAGCCTCAACAGCCTTTTTTCTTAGAAGTCCTAATTTATCATCTTTATTAACTGTATGTCTTAACGAAACTAAATAAAACAAACTATGATAAGGATGATCAACGCATATATGTTTTATTAGTTCATGCAAAATAAGTTGAAAATGACTCTTATTTTCAGAAAGCCTGGATGCAAGCTGAGTAAATAATCGCAAAAATTTGTGAGTGGCTATATTATAAATCAATTTACGCACTGTTTGATTAACGGCATCATTTTCAATGTTCGATAACCATAAACTCATACATCTAGAAATATTATAATCATAATTGTCGCAAGAAATTAAACTTTTTAAATAATTTTTAATACTCTTCCGTAAATAAATTTCTTTATTTTCGATCAAACGATTAAATTCTATATCATCATTATCAAAAAGCGCCTTTGCTCTATCTCGATGAAGAAGCAAAACCTTTTTGTCATAAACAGAAGCATCACAAATCATCTGATCCAATACTGCAAGTTCATCAAATTTTTGTTTCCTCAATTTTTGAATCCTCTTAAAATCGTCATGATTATTAAGTAATTCAAGCTGCTTATCACAAAAAAAACCAAACTCGTGAAATACATATCCAGCCTCATTACCATACTTTTTATCACCCAACAACTTAACTGCATATTTCAAATATTTTTCCATAATAAAATCCGATCTTTCTAATCTTAAAACTGATGTCCATGAACCCTAAAATCTATCAATATAATAAAGAACCAATAACTCTTTATTACTAGCTGCACAAGCAACTCTGGAGAAATTTCATGTTCTCTAAAAAGATCAATATCCTTATCACTAACTATTTCACGTAATAGTTTAACAGAATTAATCTTATCGCCTTGATCCCATAATACCCTTGATATTTCAATTATAACAGGAGAAAAAAGCTCAGAATTCACTTTTAAATCAAGTTTTAAAAGCTTTTCTGCATATGTAATTGCTGAAAACGCAATTTGTAAATTATCATTAATACGAGCCACATGAGATAATTCTACAAGAGTTTTTATTAAACAATTTCGAATTAATGGCTTATCAACAGAATATTTTATAAATGATGAATTCTTCAAAATAGAGCTCAGTAATACTTGTCTTAAAGATAAAATAGGTTCGATACTAACAAATCTTATAAAATCAGAAATAAAGAATATTAAACAAAAATTCTTACTTTATGCTGGGATTGGAAACAGATAACCGAGATTCCCAACGAGACCAAACATCAGTAAAGGATGAACACGAAAAAATCTCTTCAATTTCTGTAAGCATTATCAAACCAGTTATTCTTTTGTCAGATAGAACCGGATAATTCTCAAAATCTACCATCATAGAATACCCAATATCTAAAATATTGAAAAAGATATTTTGTTCCACATTCTTATTAATTAACTGCAAAATGTTATATATAACATGATCAAAATTAGAACTCAATGGTGTACATGGAAGATCCCATTGTTCAAGTCTCCATGAAGAAGAATATTGATCCTTTAGAAAATCAACAGTTATATTATTCCCAAAATAAAAAAAATTCATTCTCGAAAATGATCTAAAACCCAACATATCAAAAGCTTCCATTACTCCAAGTACATTCTCATTCTTAGTCATTGAAGATGACATCCTATAATCATTTTCCAACGCAGCACCATGTAAAAAAAGACTCTCCCATCCATTTCTATCAAATTTATGTCTAGAAAGTATGTTCTCTAAGGATACGGTATATGGTATCCCATAAAATGAATCGGGATCATCTATTTTTTTATATACAACAGAAAGAAGTTTAAGCATCTCATCATCAATAATAGAATCATTTGCTGTCCAATAAATATATATAAACAATAGTGATGTTTCCCAAAGCTGGCACGAAGCGGCAGCAAGAGCAGCATTGAAATAATTTATTTCAAGCCGAAAATTCAAATCAAATCCAGAATAATGTATTTCGGATGACTGAGACCGAAGATAAAGTATTGTTTCTATCATTAAGCATATATGAGGATGATAAAAAGCATCTTCATATTGAGAAAAAACAAAATTCACAATCTTATTTAAAACTGTTATAATGCTAATATTTTCTCCAATATCTTTGTTGAGTAGTAAATAATCCACTGAAAAAATAAAGATTTTTTCTGGAAAACCTGCAACATGTTCGACAAGTTCACCCAAACATCCAAATACAAAATCATCATTAAAATTATAAAGAACAGTCAAAAGTAAAAATTTAAGCCAATCGGAAAACAATATAGTCCTATCTTTCCAATAATATTCATTAAATTCCACCAAAGAATACTTCAATGATTGATTTTTCTCAGATACAAACAGATTAGATATATATATAGTAGCGATGTCTCTATATTTATGATCTACAAGTTCATCTAACGCTTCTAAAGATATTTTCTCAAAAATATTCCTTAACGTCTTTTCTACAGTTATCAAAATAGTATGGTCGTCTTTATTCAAAAGAGAAAACACAATCGATAAAATATTAAATCTAGGATCTTTAGATGTTCTTACTTTAAACCTAGACAACTTCTCTCTGTTTATGAATTCAAAATAAATTGCTTTATTTATGATTTTATTTCTGACATACCATTGTCCTAAAACTCGTGCACCATAATATAAAAGAGATAAAGATATTTTTGACATATCGCAAATAGAAAATAATATTTTTTTAATCAATATAGATTTATCACTTTCAAATAATAAAACTGTTGAATCTTTTTGCAAAACTTCCAATAAAATTAGAGCAGAATTTTGATCAAAAAACTCTACATTATTTAACAATAACTCAGAAAAAGCCATAATATGCTGTGATTTAACAGATAAAAACTCTTCAGAACAAATCATAACTTTATAATAAGACTTCAAAAAAGAAGAAATACAAGACAATTCCTGTACTTTAGCAATTAAATCACAATATTCAATAATCCATACAAAAAGCCTATTTATTATTATACTATTAAAATAATCCGATTTAATATTAATAATCCCATATCTGATAAGACTCATAATAACATTTAAAAAAACAGTAGACTGAATTGTAGAAAAATCATGACAACGGTATCCACACATTAAAAGATATCGAAGCATTCCCGAAACATCTATAAAACATTCAGGAAAACATAAATATTCCAGCAACCCCTGAAGCAACACTTTCAAAATATAGCCATGAATTAAACTCCTATCTAATAAACACATAAAGACTCTAAACTTTCGCAATTGTAAACATTTTTCACTTAAAGAAGTTCCTAATTGACAATGTAACATTAAATATCGAAAAATATAAGCTATTATATAAACATCATTTAGTTTATACTTCGGTATGTCGCTATATTTGCAAAGATCCCATATGCTTTTTAAAATACATCCAACCTTGTAAAATGGACGACATGGTTCAGGAAAAAAATTATCGGAAATTCCAAAATCACATATTTCATCAAAATTAATTGCTTCGTTTTTCAAATCAAACTGACAAAAAATTCTCGATATAAACATTTCATCTTTCATAGATCCAAATAATACACTAAGTATCATAGGAAATTTAGATTTTAAAAGATACATAAACTCCTCATCATCCAAATAATTCTTACAAAAAGAATCAAATATTAATCTCGAATCCATATTTTTCTCATTATAAAATAACAAAACATATCCAACTATTTTATGAAAAGCATCTCGAATACCTTTTTTTAAAGATACTTGAATTAAATTAGATATCTTAACCAAATACTCATTTTTTCCAAATAAAATAAGCTGAGGAATTATTTCATCAAAATTCGAAGAATAAAAACTAATATTAGACGAAAAATTTAATACTTTAAAAGGAAAATTATCCAAATTTCCTTCAAAATTCAGCCACGACCAAATAACTTGAGAACGATAAGCATTAAAAAGATATGACTCGGATTTCAAAGATAATATTTTACATGACCATTGTAAACACTTTAAAACAAAGAGAGAAATGGAATCAAGTTTACCTAATTCTATTAAATTATAAAAAGCAGCTTTCCTCACATATTCAGAAACAACTAAGATATTACTTAAAATAAGAGCCCGTAAAGCGATCTTTTCAAATTTTTCCTCGTTTGTTTCTAATTGACTGACAATATCGAAGTAAACTCTTGAATGTTCTATAGGATCATATTCCTGAAAAATAAATTTAATCATCATAACTGCTGAATACAAAATTCCTAGGTCGTGATCCTTTAATAATTGCAAAAATATTTCATTGGGTGCTATATTTAATGATTTTAAACTTAAGCCGTAATTTTTACTAACATTATAAATAGAATTTAACAACTTTAACACCTGTATACGTGCATAAAAAGATGCTAGGCAGTTTTCTAAAGTAATTTTCAATATCCATTCAAGAATTTTTCCGAAAACTTTTCTTAGTGAAGATAACTCTTCACTAGTAGACCATTTTTTAACTATAACCATAAGTAAATCAGTTGAAACCATCAAGACAACGTCAGATCTTTCAAATTCATATTGTGTTAAATAGGTTTTTGCAAAATTTTCCAAAATCTCAGATATATCCTCTTCAGTCATCTTGTCAACTGAAGATAAAAGATAACTTATTAAAAAGAACCCAAGTTGGATAAGATTATTACCAGTCTGATTCTTGAAAAGAATAAATAAAACAGATTTTTGTAAATAAAATCCTGACATATTGAAAATATCTAATGATTCACTACCTAATAAAACGAACTCTAAGTGTAATAAAACAAAGGCTTTCGTACTATTAACAGAATACTTCGCATCTATGTAATCTCTTAGAAATGGAATGTATTTTTCTATATTTTCTTGATAAATTATTAATGATCTATTATCATCATCATCATCATCATCATCATCATCATCATCATCATCATCATCATCATCCATTATTACACGAGTAGAATCTTGCAGTTGAAAAAAACTACTACGCTGTTTTAATATTTGTAATAAAGCATAAATTGCCTGACGAAATAAATTTAAAGATGTCTTATTAAAACAAGAACTATCTTCTGCAAAAGAAACTTGAAAGTTTAAACAAAAAATTCCATTCAAACAGTAAAGTACAATATCGATTTGATCACGTGAACAACTCTCAGAAGCCAAAAACTTTATTATTTCTTTTACCAAATTCAATGAAATTTCAGTAAATTCATCCATGTTTTTATTGATACTGAGTATAAAATATGTAAATAAAATAACAATAAAAGAAAATTGAACAAAAGATCGGAAAACATCTACATTAACATGAGTAGACTCTTTAAGCAATTCAGTCCATTGACTATGAACAATTTTAATTGTATTCTGAATAGGTAAAATAATAGACATAACCCTTTCCAAAACAATAAACTTACTTTCCAAAACAATTTTATTTCTTAAAACTTCAAACTCGTCATATAAATCTTCATCAGAAATATTTAATTCTTGTATAAGAAAATATAATAAAACATTTTTAAAAAATTTTTGCCTCAAAGAAAACAATCCAATACTACTGAGTTGACAATTCCGCCTATCCTTAATGACAAATCCAGAATTCAAACAGCAACTGATAAGAAATTCAACATGTACTGGAAAGTTAGAAAAATAACATATATTTGATCCTTTTAAAAAGTCCAAAGAATTCCAGCGCGATAAAAACCATTGTAATAAACGCATAGATCCATCAATTCCAGCTAAGCAATTGTTTTGTTCTAAACGAAAAAGAAGAAGAAGAAGAAAACGATAGCTATCACTAGAAATAATCGCAGGGCCATTTATCTCAATAGAATCGAAGACATGTCGAAAAACAGGTAACATCGTTGCAATATCTACCAAATCAAGCTCCAAAAAAAGAGAAAGTAAATGACATGCTGATCTGCATGTAATGGGAATAGCAGACTTCCGTAAACATAATTGTAAAATATCCGTATTTACTAAAACATCTGAGATTAAACAATTTGCATGATGGTAAGATTTTTTCCATGATACAAAGCTACCAATACCCAAAAGTGCCCACGTTTGCACAATAACATCATTATCCGAGAGCAAATGTATAAAATGACATAAAATAGTAGAAAAATCATCACAAAAACAAACCTCAGCTCTTTCAAAAAAAAAAACCATTATTTGAAGCCAAAATATTTTAATAGAATTAGATGATTTGCATACATTATATCCGAATTTCTCAAAAAAAGATAAAACTTGATGTACTTTTAAAGATTCATCATTATCATTTCTACGTATATATTTTAAAAAATCAGATTCCTTAGACTCAAATATCTGAATTATAGAAGCAGCTATTTGAAGAATAAAAAAATATTGTTCAGATTTCTTTGAAGCCAAAGATAAATCTAAACAACGTAATGAAGAACTAAAACAAAGAAAAGATCCAACATTTGCCTTTAAAATAGGAGAATGAAGAGTAATGTCATTTATACTCAACATTTCTTTATCCTGTAAAGTAATATAATCAGCTTGAATACAATGAAATAAATTAATTAAATCTGTCTCTAAAACATTTCGATATGATTCATTAAATCCTTTATACCAATGAGGATATGCCAGCATAAGTCCTATAATCAACTGATTCTTTAAAAGGAAAGACTTTGTATTCCAAAGTTTTACACAAAGCTTTATAATAGCATGAGCAACTCGAAACAAAAACTCAAAATTATTTATCATTATTTTTTGAATAATTGAATTAAGAGCAGTAAAGGCAAATAAGTGAGCATTAGTTTCTGATCTATAAAAAGATAAAAAATTTAATAAAAAGTCCACGAGATTAAACAAACAATCACTTATTGGGGCGGAAGACCAACTAACGAGAACTTGTAAACAATACATCAACTCAATACTCTCATGCTTCATACGCTGTACATGTTTTAAAGGCTGATCGTATTCTTCCAGTAACTCAATATCACTAGACAAAGCATTTTTATCAGAAAATGAAAAACTATCTTCAAGATTAATAATAAATGAGGAACAAAATACAATTAATTTCTCCCATTCGCTGACACTTAGATGCTCTACATGTGGAGGATAAGAAAGAATTAATTTTAGACATTTAATATAGTCGATACTTAATGTTTGATATAAAGTCTCTTCAGCAATAGATAATGTATCAATTATATGATTTAATACAAGAGAAAAAGTCTTTACTTTCAAAAATTTATTTCCCAATTCAATAACAGATCTTAAAACTACCCCGTATTCCTGAAGACGAGCAAATGTCATAGAATTATTTAATTTCCCTCTCTGGATGCTATTATGTTTTTCGTAAGCAGCTGCCTTAATTAAGCATTCCAATAATCTTTGGTAACATTTTTCTCCAACAAATTGCATTTTTCTACAATTATTCAATATAAATTTTAAATTACGCAAGCCATCAATCCTTATTTTAGGTTTCTCAGAAAGTAACTGTTCACAAATATCAAATAATGATACTTCAGTCATTAGTATCAAACAAAAATCAATGACAAAATCCAAAAGTATTAAGATTTAAAAATAATTCAAAATTTAATACCTTATCTAAATAACTAGTAATATAATCACATTTATATCAAAAAAAGTATTTTAACATAATTTTATAAAATTTAAAAAAAAAAAATACTAAAAATACGACTTTTTTTTTTAATAATACATGAAGTTTAAATATATACATTTTAATAAAATAAAAGTGACAAGATATATAAAAAAGTAATGCTTTTAGAGACATGGGATCCAGATAATTATAAATTGCTGTATGATACTTTATTAAATTTATCAGAAGGAACTGTTATTCCAGAATCATTCTTAGAACATCTTTTAGAATCATTCCGTCAAGACTTTAAAAATCTTTTACAAACACCGAAAAAATCAGAGCAAAGTCTAGAAAAACTCAAATCAGGTATATTATAATTTATTTTTACTATATCTAATGGAAATAGGAATAATATATATAGATGGTATAAAATATAAATTAAACGATACTTTTATTTCAGAAGCACTTCATGTGTCAAATAAGCTTAATCTTGATGAAATTCTTTCTGCAAAACTAGTTCATTATGGAATCAAAAATTCAAAAAATCTAGACAGATCAGTTTTACAGACTTCTTTATTTCTTTTTTATTCAAGGAAAAAATATCTTTTGAATAGTCTATCAATCATATTATTATATGCAAAAAATGAATTAGGAAATAGAGAAATATTAAAATATTTTAAGCAAACAGTTCAATTTATTTTTCAAAAAAATTCTGAAAACCCTGAAGATAATCTTGTATCTTACTCAATGAAATGTTTACAGGCTATGGAAGATTTAAGAACACAAATATCTAATATTTTTTATCAAAAAAAAAACAAGAATTTTAATGAATATAGTCAAAACGATGAATATATAGAAGAAATAAAGCTAAAAAAAGAATCGATGTTGCAAGAACATGAAATTTATGGAATTCTTTTATATAGACTTTCAAACTTAAATATGGTTAATATTAATGATTTCGAAAAGATTATTCATAGAATTTCCCTATTTGATGAATATGATTTACTTATAACTCATTTTTTCCCAGTAATAATTAATTTTATTGCATTAGGAGGAGAAATATCTTCACAAAGTGAAGGTGAACTAGAAAATTTTACAAATTATGATATAGAAATTCTTTGTAAAATAAACAAAATAATCAACTTGGATTATCAAAATGAAAAAAAATGGGCAATAGAACCCTTAAAATCAATTATTCAATTATGGTGGACTACCAAACTTAACAGAATTTGTAAAAAAGAACTCGATATTTCAATGCCTTTTAAATATAGCAGTGATATATATAATCCAAGTAGAGAAGCAATATCTTCTGGCGCATTTGAGACAATGATAAAAAAAATAATGGATGTTCTTCGTTTTGAAACCAAAAATCTTTTACGATTAGAAGATTATAAATTACTCCTAAACTATCCAAAATTCAAAGAGGGAATGGAATTTCCAGAATTAACATTTTCTAAAGCATTTCAGGAAATAATGTTTTATGAAATAGAAAAGTTTATTTATTCTTTTATTAGTGATATGCCAGATTTGTTAAAAAATATGAAACTTGTAGAAGAGGATTTGATAATGACACAGAAATCCTTAGATTTTAATGCAGATGACAAAATCGAGTCAAGTTTAGAAGCATTCTTTTATCTTATTGCCTTAGTTTATGAAAATCGAGAAGATTCTGCACTTTTGTTTTGGTTAGACCGAGAAAGTGATCTTTATGGATTTATCCTATGGTCATCACAATGCCAGACACCGTTGATGATTACTGCATTTTCAACAATGCTAGCGTCTTTAGGAAATGGACCTCAATGCAGTACTTATGCGTATGATTTTTTAACGGAAACAAAAGGGATGGAGACTATGAAAGCGCAAAATAATATGACGACATGGGAATATATTTTCGATACACTTAAATATTATGTTTCTCAACTAAAAATTACACATTTTGATTCTTCTCTTAGCTCTTCTCGCATGTTGACAGTAGCTTTTGACTTCCTAGAAATTGATCACGACAGCAGAAGTATCCTGCGATCCTATTTTCATCTAATTACATGTATTTTATCTAGTTGCCCAGATGTTTCAAATATGGTTTACAAAAAATATAATCCAATTCCTATACTTTTTGATCTATTAAATTGTCAACTGTCAAGTGACATGTATTGCGGGATATTACTGACATTAACATCATTTTTATCTGGAAAAGAATTAGAAATTAGAGATACAATATGGAATTTGCTTGATCAATGGATATGCCAACAAAATAATGAAATTTATTTAGCTCATACCTCATATATGGCACCTAATAAATTCAACGAATCATTAAAATCATACACGAAAATTGATCAAACATTAAGGGTGTTTGTATCAAACTCTCTATCCTTAGCTATAGCTTTTGTTCTACTGCTAAATCATTTAATTATGTCTATAAACGATTTAAATAATACTCTTCCTTTTCCAGAAAGTATAGGATTAAATAGGAAAGACCCTGGAATACAGCCTTTTATCGATTTAGTAATGGATCTTTTTTTAACATCAAATTCTCTAATATTAGATAACAAGCTTGAAGGATTACAACTATTTTCAGAATGCTTAAAATTTATTCAACTAGGGTTAAAAACATTTAATCTAGATATTGTTGAAGTCGCAAGTCTTAATAACATAGAAATGAATAAATTCATTAAAACGTCATCTTTTTCATCTTACCTAAATTTACATCCAGGAAATAGAATTATGCAACATATGTATCGCAATAATATATATATATGTTTATTTGATTTTATTCATATTGCATTAGAAGTATTACAAAATACGGAAAGTGATCCACTTTGGCTACTATGTTTAGATACATCTCTTAATATACTAGATCTAGTATTACATTTACAATTACCTTTTTTAGAATGGTTTTCATCTATAACTACATATCAATCGACATATATAAATTCAAACAATCATAATAAACCAAACTTCGAAACATTTGAAGATATTATGCTTTTCCATCTTAATGTTATAGTTTATATATGCTTATGTATTGGATTTGATTCTTTAAGTGTATCAAAAACTGCTGTGTCTATTTTAAAGAAATTATCAGATTCTCCACAATTAACAGATACAAAGAACTATAAACATTTCAACAATTTTAAAAGAAATAGATTATTAGGTATTCTTGAAACTGTTGATGAATCGAAAAAAATAAGATTTGGTGCTATTAATCTCATTCAGATAGAACAAAACCGTTTTTTAAATACGTCACATCTAGATCAAGATACTTCAGGCAGATTTTTTTTAAAATTTCTTGCCTGGGATTTACAAAAGAATCAAAAGATTCCTACAGTATCTCATTTTTTTTTAGGTTTTCAGATACTAAATGATGGAACATCTGATATTGGAACAGAAAGAGGGGAGATCGGCTCTGAAATCTCAATTTTACATTGTTTATTATCTTTTATTCAAAATTCTTCAACTATGGAGGAAACTTTATTAGATTCTCCAAAAAATAACTTATCAAATACTATTATGGAAACTGTTATGCATATTATATTTTTATTATCTAAATCAGAATTAACATCAGATATTATGTATGATATTTTGAAAAAAAGAGATGATATTCTACTAAAACTATTATCTCCTGGGCCATTAACTTGGATACTACCGAAATTGGATTCTTCCAACTTAAACACATTTTCATCAAAACCTGTTAAAATTCTTTTGTATCGTAGTTGGTTGCTTCATACAATAGCTATTAAGCTACGTAAAATGATTTTATATAATGCTACTACACTTCAAAAATGTTATACAAAAGCTCTTACTTTTTATGATGAAAAAAATAAAAATAGTCAAAACTATTATTTACAATCACTAAACAAAGGTATTAGAATTTTAAAATACTTAGATATTCTTGAATTGGATATCACAACAGATGACCAGGAGTTTATTTTAGAAAAAACACAACAAATGTTTTCAAATATTCCTAGATCTTCAAATTCGCTATATGATATAAAGAAGATTAAAACATATATGAAACTTAAAGCTTGCGAATTCCAAAATAAAGATTTCGATAACAAGAGAAAAACGTTTACAATTGTGGAAAAGGATATAATTTCGCAAATAGAAATTTCTAACATTTTGATTGAAATAAATAACGCTAAGTTACTTTGTTTTCAAGGGTGGAATAATCTGCTAGGTATTTTACTTGAAGATTGCGCTGTTCATTTGACACAATCACAAAAAGATTCTCTCATTATAGAAAGTTTACGAATTCTTACCCCTAAACTAACAAGTTTTAGTAAAAAAGACGAAAATATTATTGAAATATGTAGTTCATCTGTTCTAATTTTAATTCGACATATCACCCAAAATACAATATTTGAAGAAAAATATTTTCTTTTTCTAAAAAATATTTTACTTGGTATTCAAAATCCAAATACAAACGAAACTATTCGACAAAATTTATACATAGCCGTTATATTTTACTTAGATATGGTATCTGGTCTAGAACTTCAATCAAATCAATCACATAAGCTTTTTGAAAGTTATACAAATATTTTTAAAGAAAAAAAAAATCCCCAAATAATTAAGCCATATTGTAATCAATTAATTCATGTTATATGTAGAGATGCTATATATGGATCAGGAATGTTGAAAATGCTTTCCTACTTAATCCTTAACTTAGCAGGAAAAATAGATACTATAATATTTTTTGGTCCTTTATGGGACACCTTAATCCATCAAAATTATCTGAATATATTTATAACATCATTATGGGAAAGTGAAGAATTAAATGCCTTAATATTTGCGGAATTTGGTAATATTCACAATTTGTAAAATGTTTACTTATTTATGTAGATAATTCATTAGAAGGAACCATTATAGAAGCAAAACTTAATTTTATCCTTAAAGTAAGCCAAACAAAAATTGGCGCACAAGAAATTCTAAAAAACGAATTGTTTGATTACTTAATAGATAAAAAAGATTTTATTAAAAACGGTTTAAACAATATAAGAAGTATTCTTCATCATACTTTTTTTAAAAAAAAGAAAAAAACTAACAAAATATAGCTACTAAAAAGGACCATCAAAACATTCTAAATAGATATATACATTTAATTTGTATATTATTAAGGATATTAATATCTTGTATGATTTCTTTAGGGTTAAAAAATATAATAGCACATAATGTTGGAGAAAAATTTTATATAGCATATCGTGAAATTATCGTTTTTTTCAAGGAGAACTATTCTAAACATCAAATAGAAAATAGTGAAATGACAGAAATATTAAAAATAACTAATACACTTGAAATAATTTTGGAAAGTTATAAGCCTTTAATAGATTCATAATTAACGCAGAATAATCTATAATTATATACAAGATTTAATGTATCATTATTTAATTATATAAATAAATTTATTATAGAAAGATATACTAATATAAGTGTAAATTTTTAAAAATAAATTTCGTAGATATACGATATTACGATCCTTAGAATTTATAAGAATTAAACAATGGACAAGCCAACACCTAGAATCAAGTAATAATTTCTAGCTATATTTTAATATATTATTAAATGAAATCAGCGTTTCTCTTTGCGAACAATTTGTTGATCAAACTGTACGAATGATTGTTAGAGTTAAAAAATTAAAAGGAGATACTGCTTTAGTAGATTCATGCGGGCTGATAGAAGTTCATTTAAATCGCGTAAATTTCATATTAATTTAAAAAAACAGAAAATTTGACTAGTTTTTATAACAGGATTCTAATTTTATTGAAGGAAATGCATTTGAAATAATAGGAAAAATTAATCCAGATCTTTCTGTAAATGTTTTAACTGCTATAAATTTTGGCAAAGACATAGGTATAATTGCAAACGAAAATATTAAGAATTTACCTTTTCTAGATTTCGAAGCAGTCAGTTTAGTTGTTCAAGTATCTCATAAATACCATGAATTATTTTATTAAGCCTTTTTAATAATAAATTCATCGCAAATTTACATATTATATTTTCCTGAATATACAGATATTCTATTTGTATCTTCAAATAATACATTATTTTTTTCGATATAAATTCTAACTTAACAATTAAAGTTTTCGTCTTTAAAATATTTAAAATCCATTGTAAACACACTTATCTAAATTTTAAAAGTCTATATTTCCTATATTAAACATTTTTAAATTAGGACATATTTTAAGCCATTAGATAATTTTTTTAAACATTTATTCTTTAGATTTTTTTTTAAATTTTAATATTTAAAAGCTTATTGAAAAAATAAAATATCATAAAATGTTTAAAAACAAATAAAAATTGTGTTAGAATTCAATAAAAAATCTGAAATACAATGTTTTTTTAAGAAAAAAATCTTTATAAGGAATAATGTAAACTATTAAGAAATAACAATAATAAAATATACCAATATAGCATTTAAATGAGTTGAAATCTACTTTAAAACATACTAAAGCTATTATTTAATAAAACAGAGTCCTAACTTTTAGAAAACTATTATGAATTTAGAATCTAATCCTAATTTTACAATATAAAAAATTCGAATATTTGAAATAAAACTATCAAAACATATAAATGCAAATCAATACAAAAATACATAGATAACAAAATAAATTATTAAATAAAATTATATCATTTAGAATTTTTTAAACATTTTTTTAAACATTTTAATAATAATTTTAAGTAAATATAAAACAAATATAAACTAAATATTTAAATGAATATTAATAAAATACTATCATTTATAATTACATATAAACGATAATGTTATTTTTTTCCAAGATTTTTATGAAGGATTTTTGAAAGGGTATTAAAAACTATTTTAAAAGATATTTATAGAAACAAGTCATCTATTTTTGCCATTTGATAAATCAAAACTTTAGCACTTTTTATTTTTTTGCATAACACATATTTTCTGAAAAGATATTAACCTTTTAGGTAATTTTCTTTTTTTTTAGAATTTATAAAACATTAACATTTATAATTCTTGATTTGAAATTTAAATTAGATATTAAAAGATGAATATAATAATAATGATTTTCTATATATAACAAAAAATTATATTTTCTCATGTAATAAGACTAAATTTTCTTAAAAATTAAAATAAATGTCCAGAATTAAATAATATAAACTAAAAATTAGTAAACATATATCAATATTTACAAGCTAAATATAATTAACTGCCCTAATTATTCTCAGAAAAATCCTTTCTCTTTGAATACAGAAAGAAAAACTTTAAACAAGGATAAAATCGACAACTCAAAATTATACAAGAAATCAACTATTTTTTTCAAAAGAATCTATGTACTTTTAACATTATAAAATTTTTAAAAAAAACAACGCATATATAGTATAATAACTTTTTCTTCTAAAAAAATATAATTCTATTGTTTTTTTCTCATGGTAATAAGCTTAATATTAAACATAAATCTGTAAGAAAATTTAACGAATTTTTCGAGATTAACTGGAAAAATAAATCAGAAAAAAAAATTTTAATCCAAAAAAAAATCTAAAGATTTTGTTTATTTAAAATCTATACTGTGGAATTCAGATTCATTCTATTTGTTTTATGTAATTTGAGACTAAATGATATTACGACTGAAAATAAGATTCTAAGAAAAAATATTAATGATTTTTTGATTTATTTAATTTACTGACTTTAAAACTACAATGGATTTAATAAGCTACATGAAAACATCTATAATTTGTATATTTTGATTAAATAAGTAATCTACAAATGAATTATCAAAGACATTTAAAAGATCTCAAACCAAATTTTTAAAATAAAGGTATTTGGATTATTTATTTAATACAAAATATCTTAAAATACTTATTTCTTCTAGGGAATTGCTAAAAATTATTTAAATTGTAAAAAATATAAAATCAAGTTCAAATATTTTAATTTAAAAATCATATTTAAGCAATAAACATATAAATATAAATAATATCAATAAACATTTAATAATGTTTAAGAATGAGAATAAAAAACTATTTGAATCATATATTCGACTGAAAAAACAAGCGAAATTCTTAAAAGTCTAAAAAGAATGCCATTTAATGTATTCTTTAAACAAAGAAAAAATCTAGAAAATAAGTTAAATTTTTCTTTAATAGCAATCCAACTTCGATTTAAGGAATGTATTTATGCTAAAAAGTTTTTCATTTGTAAGAAATAAAGGTGAGCTGAAAAAGGTTTTGCTAAAAACAATAAAGATATAAAAATTATACAACATTGAGAAAGACATTTTAGTTTATCTGAAAAGTCTTTGATAGATTTAGTCTTCTACACTTTTTTCAATTGTACTTATTGCGTTCGAGTTTAATAAAGTACTTCATTATATTCTCTAGAACTATTTAAAAAATGAGATTGTTATAATTAGAAGCAATACAAAAGAAAAGGAATTTGTATTCTATAAAAGACATATTACAGTAATTTATTAAAAAATTATCTTGCTTAGGTTTCGTTAGAAAAATAACAAATCACTGAAATCAACAAAAAATATAAGCTAGTTCAGAAAAACTAGAAATAATAGAGATATATAAATTAAAAAAAACTCAAGAGACATATCTCAGTCAATAATCTTTCTAAATGACTATTAAAGTGGCTAGTTTCAAATACTACGCTAATTTATATATAAAAAAGATATGAAATAATTGGAAAAGCATTTTCCAAAGAGTCTTTATGAATACGATGAATGTTGTTAAAAAAAAAAGAAAAAAGACAGAATATTAAGCTCAAGGAGAATAGTGGTTCTTAAAAAAAGTAGAAAAAGGAGACAGAACAGTTGAAATTACTTATTAATTCGAAAGGAACTAGAAAATTAGTAAATAATATGGTCCTAATTAAAAAGAGTAGTAATAGATTCATTTTCTCATTACTACAAGCAATGCAAGTATAACATTAAAGCCCAAGTTATATTTATCTAAGCAAATACATAAATTAAACTCTGACTAAAATCTACTTTTAACTTAACAAAGGAAATACTAAAATAGTATTGAAAAGAAAGAAAAATGCAAAGTTTTACAATTAAATTATGATTTCAGAAAAGATTGTCCAAAATCCAAACCGCTTCTAAAGAAGTAGGTAAGTTATGTAGTAAATTGAAACTATTGGAAATTACATTTTACAATATAATGACTATAAAATATTAGAAACTACAACATCAATAAAAGAAGAAAAGTTAATAGAACAATCTACATTGGCTCGAACGACAGATACATGAGTGATAAGTACATAGTTACATACCAGTACAATGACAGCTGCGCATACTCTAACATCTATTGTGACATTGACATCAATGAGAAAATGCAGGCCTGCAAGATGCATAACAGATTCAAATAAAGAGACACAAGAAGTGAGTCCAGATGAAAGAATGAAAATAAGAGTTCCAGAGATAGTAAAAATAATGTCATTGGGAGTAATTGTTATGATAATGTTGTAAAATAAATAAGAAAAATGGCATTGGGATAAAAGTTTGCATATATCTATTATTTGTATATAGTACAGAAAATTTAAAAAAATGATGCATAAATTTTTAATGAAAAATTGAAAAATGAAGTTTTAATTATTTTAGCACGCAATTTTAATCAGTAACTATTCTTTATAGGGTAAAGTTTAGGCTTATAGTAAAAGAGCTAGTAAACTCTTTGCTTATCATAAGAATAAGTCTAGGTTTATCGTAAAAGAATAGGTGAACTATATTGTTTATTTTAAAAAGCCTAGTAAACTTTATGATGAAAAAATTAACAAAATCTATTGCTTACCCTAAAAAACCAACAAAGTTTAAGTTTATTCCAAAAAAATTAATAAAATCTAAGATCATTATAAAAAAATTAATAAACTTCAAGTTTATTGCAAAAAAAACAACTAAACTTTATGATTATCTTAAAAACTAGTAAATTTGTTTATCGGAAATTAGTCTGTTGTTAGGGCGAGGCTAGTGGAGATTTGATAAAAATGATTTGGAAGGGGTTTGACTGGAGATTAAAAGGATGGTTCAATTTAAAAGTATTTTTATTAAAAGTAACCAATTATATAATGTTGAATCGATTTTTCATTAATTGAAACAAAAGATCAAAATTTTAAGATGTTTTTATTAATAGTAAAATCAGATCAATTTTTATTTAAAAATAATAAATTAAAATGAAATTAAAAAATTTTGTTAAAAACAGTAGATAAGATCAAAGTTCAAAGATGATTTTATTGAAAATAAAAGATTGAATGAAATTGATTAGTAAAAACAAGAGGACAGAGGTCTTGTTGAAGATAGGGTTAGGTTTAAATAAGTTAAATATTTTTAATGCTAAAGTTAAACTTTAAAAAATCTAAGAATTTCTAACTAAAAAGTTAAGAAATTCTAATTAAAAACTTAGGATAAATAGTTTTTTCTTAACTTTTCGTCATGATCCTCAAGATACTCCTTACTCTTCTCTTATACTGGATCTATTTAGTTAGAGTAAGATGTGAAACGGAGCCAGTAGACTTTGAGAATAATGATTATTATCATTTTCATTTCTCAGAAGATGTTGATATTGAGGATTTTTCGCGGGCGTTAGGATTCAAATATCATGAGAAACTAGAATATCTGGATAACCAGCATATATTTTCTATAGAAAAGGGTGTTTTAGAAGACGAAATTAAAGAAAAAATTGAGAATTATTTTGGTTTAGAAAAAGGAAGAAATGCAATAAATGGGTTTAATAGTGACAAGCTTTTTCATTATGAGAAACAAAAATTGATCAAGCGAGAAAACAGGGGTGTGATAAGAGACGATATATATTTTGATAATGAAGGTCTTTATAATAGAAGAGTTGTCAAGAATGTTGTAAAAGATCCGACGGTAGATCTTCCGGTAAATCTAACACAGAAGTTAGAGAAAATTAAAAAAGAATTAGATATAAAGGACCCTCTTTTTGATAAACAATGGTATTTGGTATAGCTTATTCTTTTTTTTCTTTAAAATCTGATTTTTTAATTAGTTCAATACACAAAGACCTGGTGTAGATATAAATGTTGTAGATTTATGGTTAGAAGGTTTGATATTTGTGTTATTGATTGCCTTTTAATGATTTTAGGGATAAGGGGAAAAGGTATAACAGTTGCCATTGTAGATGATGGCTTAGATTATACTAATAAGGATTTGGCTCCAAATTATGTTTGGAAAACTATTATATAATCGCTATTTTAATTCTTTTCAGAATTCCCAAGGTTCATATGATTTTGATTTTGGAACTTCCGACCCAAGACCTAAATTTCCTTATAACACGCATGGTACTAAATGTGCAGGAGAAGTGGCAGCGGCCAAAAATACTCTGTGTGGGCTTGGTGTCGCATATGAATCTAATGTTTCAGGTATTTTTCCTTGATTGGTACCAATCTAATATTGTTAAGGAATACGAATTTTCTCTTCTCATGTTAGTACTTGGTTTGAGACAGATGTTCTTGGTTATAAACCGGATGTTAATCATATTTATTCTTGTAGCTGGGGACCTTCTGATGCTGGAAATATAATTGAAGGCATTCCTTATCCTATATATTCTACAATTATTCAAGGGATAAATCAAGGAAGGAAAGGTCTTGGTTCTATATATGTTTTTGGAAGCGGAAATGGTGGATATCGTGATGATTGTAATTACGATGGATATGCAAATAGTCCATATACTATTACTATCGCTGCTACAGATGCAGAAGAAAAAAGATTTTATTTTTCAGAGCCATGTCCTTGCATTTTGGCTTCTACATATTCTGGTGGATTCAATGGACGTATTGTAATCTTTTCTTTTTTTTTTATAATAAATTTATCGTTTTAGTATACTACGGATGTTGGTATAACAAATTGCACCACTAAACATACTGGAACTTCTGCTTCTACACCTATTGCTGCGGGTATTATTGCTCTTATTCTTTCGAAACGGTAAAAATATCATTAAAATTATTTGACTAAGAATTTAGATCTGATCTTACATGGCGTGATGTTCAAGCTTTGATTGTGTATACAGCTGTTCCATTTAATTTGAACTATCATGAATGGGACCAACTTCCTTCTGGACGTTATTATAATAATTTTTTTGGTTTTGGAAAACTAGATGCATATGCAATGGTTCAACAAGCAAAAACATTTCAAAAATTAAATCCTCAGACAATATTTTCAACTCAACTAATACAAGTTAATAAGAAATTTTCAGAAAACAATGGACATATCACAAGCACTTTTTATATTCATCGTGATTATCCTACTCATTATAAATTTAAAAATTTGGAATATATTTGTGTTTCATTTTGTTATAAGCATCAATATAGAGGTCATCTGGAGTTTAGTATTACAAGCCCTGCCAATGTTACTTCACAATTAGCACATAGACGTCCTCGTGATAAACATTCTGGCATTGTTTATTGGACTTTTATGAGTGTAAAGCATTGGTATTTTGTTTCATTTTATAAAATAATAACTAATGATTTTTAGGGGAGAAAAGATTGTAGGTAATTGGACTATCGATGTTGAAGATAAAAAGGATCAGAATCTAGATGGTGAAGTTTTTGATTGGCAACTTCATTTTTTCGGGGAGTCTTCTGAATCAGAAGGCGTACCGCCTCCTTCATATCCTTTTCTATCTAGATATCCAACTACTACGCCTCCGCCAGATCCAGATGCTACATCTCCTCCAGATCCGGATGCTAACCTTCCGCCAGATTCAAATGCTGACCCTCAACCTCCATCAGAACCTGCGCCTCCATCAGAACCTGAGTCTCAGCCTTCATCAGAACCTGGGTCTCAACCTCCATCAAAACCTGGGCCTCAACCTCCATCAGATCCTCAACCTCCATCAGATCCTCAACCTCCATCAGATCTTAAACCTCCATCAAAACCAGATGCTAGGCCTCGACCTCCATCAGATCCTAGCTCTCAGCAAGATCCAGATACTTCGCTTTCATCAAATCCAACTTCTACATCTTCATCAGAACCACCACCACCATCACCACCACCACCACCGCCACCGCCACCTGCACCTGCACCTGCACCTGCACCTGCACCACCTCGGCCGGAACTAGAACCAGAACCAGAACCAGGACCAGAACCAGTGCCACAACCACCACAGCCACAACCACCACAGCCACAACCAGAGCCACCTGCACCTCCACCAAAACCACAACCACCACCACCATCACCACCGGAACAAAAACCAACATCAATAACTTCATCTACATCTACGACTTCATCTACATCTACGACTTCATCAAGCAAAACTAAAATATCAACCACTCGAAAAGCTTCATCTACTAAAGCTTCATCTACTACAAAAACTTCTACACGGCCGTCTCCTACTGAGGGTACTTTTACTGGATCAAGTGCTTC